GAGTGGCAAGACGGGATCTTCACAAGTTAGAAATGATGTGTCAAAGACTACCCTTGCATATCACCGCGCGGACCCTGACATTCACACAAGAAAAACGGCTCTCGCGCCAATTCTGTCGTTTGTAGGACGTGTGGAAGAAGCGGAAGCTAATGACATCACTTTTGCGTTTCACACAACTTCTACAAATGTTTGCGAACAGCTTTCTGTGGAAAATCAGGGAAAATCAGGGAAAACCCTGAGTTCCACACAAGAGTTCCTGAACTATGTAAGCGCGCTCTCGTACGGTGAGATCAAGTTTCACATTTCACATATGTGATAGTTTGCGAACAGGCTGTCATGTGCATGGCGCCTGATCGTGTTGCGTGCGAGGCCACCGTTGCACCGTTTGTTGATGGACCAGAATGTGCCAGCATGCAGCCTGATCGATTGATCGAGATAAGGAGATGCGAGGAGCGCCGGATGCAAGTCGCATGGACCTGCGATCCTGCGATCATGCGATTAGGGCCTGAGCCACATGAGCCACGGAGTGCTGGGACCCTAGGCATTACCTCGGTGGTGGCAAGGTCGGATCGGTGGCATCTCCTGCTACAGCTCGCTTCCTGTCCGTCTCCCGCCGAGACAAGCGAGGGGTCATCTCCTCACTTGCACAGCAATGGTAGCTTCAAACCGAGATGCAATCGAGGAACACGCGCGCGACACATCAGGCTTGTGGTGTTGAGATTGAGGATGCCTGTATGTAGCACGCAGGACGATTGGATGTGTATCACATGGGTGCGCATTTAGGATTGCGTTGATCGCTTTGAATGACGGCAACCCGCGCGTCATACGACTCGAATTATGCCTCGATGTGCTTCGATGTGCTATTGAGGTCAGGAGAAAGGATGGCACGCTGCTATCGGCGTCACCGCTTCAACGCTGAGACAAGCTAAATACCAAGAGTGTAGTGAGCACTTGACAAGTGATGCCACGATGAGAGGGACAAGGGAGTAACGGGGGTGTTCTACCGCTATGTTCGAGTGTACGATCGCGTGAGCGATCATGAGCGAGCCGTCGAGGTGGATTGTTATGGGAGCGCCTCTGACGCCCCCGAGTGCGCCACTGTTTTGACACGGATCAACAGAGAGCTGCTGAGAAGGCAGAGAAGGAGAGCAAAGGTCAACGGCCAACGAGTTGAGGAAATGGAAGAGACGAAAGGTGATGCTTTGATTGCCTATCTGAGCCACTCACTCAGTGCTGCCTGTTGCACCCAGGCCACCCAGGCCACCCAAGCCACCCACCCACTCAGGCAATCCAGGCGGCCGTCCCATCCCACAATCCCACGCCTCTCCCGCTTGTTCACCCACCCCTCCGGCCCCGCAGTCATCCTCCGGCCTCCAGGCCTCCAGCTCCATCGACGTTCATCATCTCTCATCCTCTCTCATCCTCTCTCATCTGCATACTCCATCTTCGCTCGCTATCTACACTCGCTACCTTTACTCTCCTTTCCCCCTCTCCCTCTCCCTCACCCATTCAGCACTCGTCATCGCATTCAACAAGCCTTCCATCACACAATCCCCCCCCCGAGGGGCTGTGCGACATTGCAACTGTGAGTCTAAGCCTACGAGCTTGGAGCTTGCAACGGCGACGCGTTCTCGTTCCCTTCAAAACCCTCCCACTCCCAAGTCTGGCGCCTGCTCACGAGATCCCAAGTGGGGTGAGCTCGTGTCCGTGTTGCATCGCTAGATGCATGTGCGTGTCCAGAGTGCTCCCTGTGGCCTGTGGACCTCTCGAGCTGCACATTCCTCCAATCACATACGCTGGCCCCACCCTTGCTGCTCGTCATTATCCCTTCGCTGGCGCGCGCACGATCCTCTGCCTAGGCCTCCTTCCCTCGACGCCCATGCCTATTACCAGGTCCGAGCGTGCTTTGCTGACAGTCCCAACTCCAGTCTCAAAGCTCTCTCCACGCTGCGCGCATTTCGAATCCATCATGTCTGACGCTCCCGCCGCCACTGAAGCCGACAAGCTCGCTCCACCCCCTCCCAAGCCTCCTCGCAGCAACTCGTCTGCCTCTAATCGCAGTAACACCTCTTCACGACGCGGCCATCGCTCCCCCGGCTCATCCGCTTCGGTATCCCGCTCCAACTCTCACTCATCGCAAGGCAACGGCTCAACCGCCCCTAGAAAGGGCGGCAACACCACCACCATTAGCGGCGGCACATCGTTGGGCGGAGGCGCAAAGACCGGCGGCGAGCACAAGCGCACCCGCACAAAGGGTGGCGCAGTCGACGCTGGATCGCGCTCTCTCTCCCGTCGTTCGTCGACCAAGCAAGGACCCCAGCGTCCCACTAGCGCCGCCGCGGACAAGTCGCCTGCCGATAAGCCGGAGCGCGCTGCGACCCCGAGCGACCAACCAAAGGTCCGCTCCCTGCACGCAGCAACTAGTCCCCCCATCGACGCTATGGAGGCTGCAGTCACAGCCGCCACGAAGAAGCATCACGAAACCCACGGTCAAGACGCTCTCAGCAGCCTGCAACGCATGATCTCGGACCTCAAGGCCATCTCTCCGTCCAACTCGAACCCGGGCTCCCGCCAGGTCAGCGGCAAGATGTCCGAGTCGCCTCAGTCACCTGCGTCAGGCTCTGCAGCCCCCGTCGCCATCCCCGGCGCAACGTCGCCCACTGCAACGACATCGACCAAGCTCAAGGCAGACGCCCCGAGCTTTACGCCCGGATCCCTCCGCACGGGTCAGTCACCGACTGCGCCGACATCGCAGCCCCCTCCTCCGCAGGCGAGATCAGCAGGTGGCAACACGAATCGCCGCGGACAATCGCAGTCCGTTTCGTACGGCTTCAGTCAGAGCTTTGCTGGGCCTGCGGGCTTCCCAGGCGGCGGCCTGCCTCACTTCCCCCTTGCCGACGTCCAACCAGGCCAGAGCGTCGACTTTTCTCAGTTCAGTCAGCACGCTGAAGTCTTCCAACAACAGCAGCAGCTCCTTGCCGCTCAACAGCTACAACTGCAGCTTTTGCAAGCGCAGCTGGTACAACAGCAGATGGCCAGCCAGCAGCAGCAGCGAGACACGGGTTTCATCGCTCCTCGGTTCCAGGCACTTGCTGCCCAGCGAGCAGCGCTCCAACAACAGCAGCAGCAGCAACAGGCGCAAATGGCTGAGGCACAGCGCCTGTTTGAGTTGCAGCAGCAGCAGATGCTTCTTGCTCAGCAGCAACCCATACCTGAGACAGCGCCTGTGTTTGAGGAGGACTCGCCCGAGCATTCCCCCGTTGGCCCAACCGGCCGCCCCCAGCTCAACCCCAACTTCACATTTGGCAAGAGGCGGGAGAGCCAGTCGGACAAGCCTCCTGTCGTCGTTGACCGAAGCGCCGGTGTGGGAGGAGCTGCGGCAACCGGGCTGGCTGGTCTCGCCGCTCGTGCTCACAAGCGCAGCGGCAGTGACATGGCACAGCAGGATCCTGAGCAGGTGAGTTGGCTCGGATCATTTGTAACTAATGGCCAGCTCGAGATTCAACGCCAGATCGAGGCTCTACAGGCAAAGCAGAAGGAGCTTATGACCCGTGGCGGCTCCATCTCCAAGCCGAACCTTGAGGCGCTCAAGGGTCAGGCCACCGCGCGTCACCGCCGAACCCAGTCACAGATGTCGTCAACATCGCCCACTGCGGAACTGCAGTTTATGCTTTCGCCGGGCGAGGAAGGCGACAAACTGGGCCGGTCGCTTCAGGAGGTCCAGAGCGCTCTCCCTTCGGCATCTTCGCTTCCCCACAACCGTCGCCATAGCATGAACGTCCTGGCCAAGGGCGCCGGGACGGGGATGGGCTTTGGCGACTACGTCGAGGACGGCGGCTCCATCTCCATTCCTCCTGGTGGATTCCAGCACCATCGCTCGGGCAGCCGCGGCGGCTTTGAGTCTGGCAACTGGCGCGTGAATGGCGGTGGTGGTGGTCACAACGCTACGGCTGACCTCGCCTCTGCTCAGGCTCAGCTTGCCTCGCTTGCGCAGTTCCGTGCTGCTGCTGGCTCGGGCCACGCGAAGATGGCCTCGTTCAGCTTCCCTAACATGCTTCCGAATCTCCTTGCTGCCACAACCCTTCAGAACCCCGCGGGTCAGTCCTCGCTCTGGCAGCAACAGCAGGCTTTCCAGATGCAGCTGCAGCAGAACCAACAGGGCCCGCAGCGCAAATCTCTGTTCGCCCCCTACCTTCCTCAGGCGTCCCTTCCGCCACTTCTGAGCGCTGGAAAGCTTGTGGTTGGTATTCTTCGTGTCAACAAGAAGAACCGCTCGGATGCGTACGTTGCGACCGATGTTCTTGATGCCGACATCTACATCTGTGGCTCCAAGGATCGCAACCGTGCTTTGGAGGGAGACATTGTGGCTGTTGAGCTCCTCGACGTGGACGAGGTCTGGGGTACAAAGAAGGACAAGGAGGAGAAGAAGCGCAAGAAGGAGGAGAACTACGACGTCAAGCCCTCGACGGCCAAGAAGCTTGAGAAGAAGAAGGACGACATAGAGGTCGAGGGCCAAAGCCTCACCCTGTTCGAGGACGAGGAGGTGAATGACGAAACCAAGCCCACATATGCTGGTCACGTTGTTGCCGTTGTGGAGCGCATGCCTGGCCAGCTCTTCTCCGGCCAGCTTGGCGTTCTTCGCCCCTCTTCGGCCGCGACCAAGGAGAAGCAAGAGGCCGAGCGCCGCGAGCGCGAAGGCGATAAGCCTAGAGACGAGAAGAAGGAGCCGGAACCTCGCCCGAAGATTGTTTGGTTCAAGCCGACTGACAAGCGTGTGCCGCTCATTGCCATTCCCACCGAGCAGGCACCGCCCGATTTCATCGAGAACCCCGAGGCGCATGCCAACAAGCTTTTCGTTGCCACGATCAAGCGCTGGCCGATCACCTCGCTCCACCCCTTTGGCACTCTTGTCGAGGAACTCGGCCCCATCGGCGATTCCGAGGTCGAGACGTCGGCTATCCTCAAGGACTGCAACTTCCCTACTGAGGAGTTCAGTGACGTTGCGCTCAAGTGCCTTCCTCCTTTGCCCTGGACCATCCCGGAGCGTGAATTCGAGACGCGTGTGGACCTCCGCGAGGACTGCGTTTTCACTATCGACCCAACCAACTCACGCGACCTGGACGACGCCCTCTCTATCACGGCGAATGACGATAGCACGCACACCGTCGGTGTCCACATTGCGGACGTCTCGTACTTCCTGAAGGCGAACACGGCACTTGACCGCGACGCTCGCAAGCGCGCTGCGTCAGTATACCTTGTGCAGCGCGCCGTGCCCATGCTTCCGCCCCTCCTGTCGGAGCAGCTTTGCTCGCTTATCCCTGACTCTGAGAGGCTTGCTTTCTCGGCCTTCTTTGTGATCGACAAGGACGGCAACGCTGTTGAGAAGTCTTACCGTCGCTCGATTATCAAGTCGTCGGCCCGACTTTCCTACGCCGATGCTGCGGGGGTCATTGCTGGCGGCAAGCTCGACTCGAGCAAGGTTACTGGCAAGCACTCTGCCGACAAGGTAGCCGAGAGCATCCGTCTGCTCCACGACATCGCGGGCAAGCTGCGAAACAAGCGCATCGAGAACGGCGCGATGCTTTCTGCCAGAGCGCGCTTGACGTTTGCATTGGACGAGAGTGGCGAGCCTGTTGATGTCTCCGTCCAGGAGAAGAACGACGCCAACATGCTCCTCGAGGAGTTTACGGTTCTCACCAACACCTCCATCGCGGCAGTTATCGCCAACGGTCTCTCCGAGCAGGCACTGCTGCGCCGCCAGGAGGCTCCCAACGACAGACGCCTCGCTGCGTTTGTCGAGCGCGCCAAGGGTCTTGGTTTCGACCTCGACCCAACCAACGCTGGCACCTTGCAGAAGTCGTTCAACAAGATTACTGACAAAGAGGCCGTCTTCTGTCTCAGCCTTCTTGAGAAGAAGACCATGCAGCCCGCGCGCTACTTCTGCACCGGCATGTTGGACATTGCCAAGTACTCGCACTGGGCCCTTAATGCGCCTCTTTACACGCACTTCACCTCGCCGATCCGTCGCTACGCCGACGTTTTGGTCCACCGCATGCTCGACGCCTGCCTGTCGAGCCCATCCCCCAACGACGTCAAGTTCCTCATGGACCGCGACCAGGTGGCCAAGTGTGCCCAGCAGTGCAACATGAAGCGTCAAAGCGCGCGTCTCGCCGAAGACCAGTCGGCGCACTTGCACCTGTGCATCCTTGTCAGCAACTTGTCGGCCAAGTACGGGCCTGTCGTGCGCCATGCGCGCGTCACAGGCGTGTACGACCAGGCTTTCGACGTTGTGATTCCCGAGTTCTCCCTCGAGAAGCGCGTGCACCTCGACAAGCTCCCGCTTGAGACCAGTGTGTTTGACGAGCACACCAATCTGCTTTCGCTGTACTGGAAGACACAAGACGTGCTCTCGTTCCTCACCCAGTCGGCCGATGACGAGCACCTGCTCAAGATCAAGCAGCACACCGATGGCCGCGCGTCGGGTGCGTCCACCACGCGCACCACCGATGCCTCGGCTCTGCTCGACGACAGCAACCTTTCCTCGCAGGTTCAGAAGAGCACGAGCCGGGCACCGCTCGAGTTTGAGGGCTTGCGCAAGACGGACGCCGGTCACCGCATCCAGGATATCAAGGAGTTCAGCTCGCTCCCCGTCATCGTCACCGCGGACATGTCCAAGAGCCCTCCCGTTCTTGTGGTTTATGCCTGTAAGTCTCCGCGTCTGATTGTGCCCGAAGCCCGTCACTGACAAGCAGGCAACCCCTACGCAGCCTAGGCTGGTATCCCCATCCGTCATTTCTGTCGTGTGCATCGATGTGGGTCACGCAAGTTTAGCATTGGAAAATCGTGAGATATACAGGTGATGGTAGCGTCGGAGTTGGAATGTACATAATCATGCAGAAGAGTGGGTGAACTGACATCGCGTCTGTTGTGATGAAGGCGTCATCGTCATCGCTTATCTCCCGAGTACAGTGGTGCTCGCCGCTAGAGTGGGCCCGTCGGTGCCTTCAACATGGCTTTCAACGCCTCGTTATATCAGTCGGTAGATTAAATGACTCTTAACGGCTTTCCGGCAGATCATTCGGTCGTGGGTTCGGGGGCCCAAACGAGGCTGACGTCTCCTGGAGATGCTGCGTTTTTCTTGAGGCTCGCAAAGGCGACGCCGGCGATGATGCGAGCAACAGGGATGATGATGGCAGAGGTTCAATGGCGGAGACGTGGCGGATTTGACCCCGCCATGTGGTAGTGTGGTACTTCACCCCAGCTAGTATTAGCCTGTTAACACATACATGCATGCACCCCTCGTCTAGACCATTGGATACTACTAGTACACTTAGCGCCTTCGGCGCGGAATATTCCCCCCTTCTTTCAACACGCCCACAGTGGATGCAGTGAGCGAATCGATGTCCACTGACCCGAGCTTTTTCGGGCGTCGCCGCGAGGAGATGTGGACAAGGTCTGACGCCGAGCGCTCGAGAGTGGGGCGCTCGACGCGCTCCACAGGCCGCTCAGCCTCCTGCGAAGACGACACGCTATTGTTCCGCGAAGGTATTCTTGAGGGGACGGGTGGCGGCGTGATCACAGCCTCTACGGAGGCAGAGGCGGAGATAGTTGACGTCGAGGCACTCACGTCCGGGGAGGCCACGGGGGCATCGACGTCGGGCGTCTCCGCGCGCGGCAGCACAAGCGGCGACCCGCGCCGTATCCGCTCGAGGAGGACGCCGCGCGGCGCAGTCCGCTCCCAGCTGGGCAGGTGGTATGCGCGCTTGCGCGGTGTCTCACCCGTCGGCTCGTCGGCCGCGAGCCCGCCGACGTACTCGGACGTGGCGGAGAGCATGGCGTCCAGCTTGCGCTTGGCGCTCGAGTGCGCCCTGCTGCTCTGCGCGGCCGCGTCTGTGTGCGAGCGCAACAACGTCGTCGTGAGGTCCGCGGAATCTTGCGCCACGGCGCGCGTGAACCTCGCCGAGGAGTCGTGGAGGCCGCGCGCGGCCGTCGCCACATCCGCCAGCGCGGCGAGGTGCGCGTCGGCGCTCTTCGAGGCCTTGTTCGAGACTGAGGTCAGTTGACACCGGCGAGGTAACTCACAGTCCGCGATGCCCGACCCGAGCCGCCCGCACAGCGCGTTGAACTCGCCGACGCGCTCTGCGCCCTCGCGACTCGTATCGGCGCCGTACGCCTCCAGCCGCTTCTGTAGGCCGATAGATACTTCCTCCACGGCCGCAGGCCCTGCCCCGCGCTGCGCCTCGGCCTCTCCCGCCCGGGCGTCGAGACCAGTGCGGAACGTACGTGCGTTCTCCGCCATGCTGCCGATAGCTTCTGCGTGCGACGCCGCAAACGCCTCCATTCTATCCACGCTCGTGTCGTTGGCGCTGCGCACGCTCGCAAGTGCACTCCCGAACCGCGCGTCCTGGTGCTCCGAGAAGCGCTCGACAAGCCCCGCGATACCGGAAAGGAGGTCCGTGCGTGCCTGCGCGCCATGCTTGCGCTCCTCTACAAGGACTTGGGCAAGATGGCGATTCTGGGCGCGTAGCCGCCCGATCTCGTCCGCCGCCGCTTGTGAAGCGAGCGCGGCGACGCGCTGCGCTTGCGCATCTTGCGCCGCGACGTGGTCTTGCGCTGCCGCAATAACCGCGTCGACGAGCTGGCTTGTAGTGTCCAACACGCCCTGCACGGTCGAGAGGTGCGCGCGCTGGTGCGCCACGAGCTCCTCGACCATGCGGGATGAGCGCGAGTCCATCGCCCGCGCCCAGCCCTTTGCGGCGCCCTGCACTTCGTCGCGGACCGCGAGGATTGCCGCCCCTGCTTCGGCAAACGCGGTCTTGTCTTCCGCGACTGAGTGTGTAAAGGTCGCCGCGAGCGCGTTGAGCGCGCCAAGGCTCGCGTCCAGCGAGGCCATGTGGGACTCGGACTCGGTCTTGCCCCGTGCCGCGTAAGCTTCGAGGTGGGCGCGCAGGCTGCCGCCAAACTCCCCCTGCACGTTGTGGAGCTTGGACATGCGCGTCTGCAGGTCTTGAGAGAGCGACGACACCGCGGCGCTGTACCGATGCGACGACGCAGAGTTGGCGTCGAGCACGTTGTTCACGCGCCCGAGCTTGTCGAAGAGCCCGCCAGCGTCCCGGATACTTGTGCTTGCCACAGCGTGCAGCTTGCCTGCTACGCCGTCGAGGCGCTCCTCGCCAGCAGCGTACGCGTCCGCGATTGCCTTTTCGTGGCCCAGCGCCGCCCGTGTTGCCTCGAGATCGGCCTTGGCAGCCAGTAATTCTGCGCCGAGCTGGCGCTCCGCTTCGCGTGCCTCAGTGAGCTCGCTCGATGTCGTCACGAAGCGCGTCGTAAGCTGCTCGAACTCGGCGCGCCGTGTGCGCAGCTCAACCTCGACAGTCGTTACGCGCGTTTTGGCCTCGTCGTAGTCGAGCTTGCGTTGCACGCGCTCCTCGCTCATCTCCTTCCACTGTTCGTCAGGGATGTACACGCCGTTCTTCTCGCGCGCGGCATGTAACTCGGCCTTCAGGCGTTCGATGTCGCCGAGATACTCGCGCAGTAGCCCGGCTTTGGTGAGATGCGCGTTCACTTCGGGCTTGTTGCGGATGCTCTTGGCACGGCTGGCGTATTCGAGCGTCGACAACGTCTCCTCCATATTGCTCTTGGTCGGGGAGACGGTCGCGATGATGCAGGTCTTGGTGCGCCCGCCCAGCGAGTCTTGGAGCAACCGCGTGAGTTTTGACTCGCGGTACGGGACGTGCTGCGCCGACTTGTCCACGAGGGCGTTGATTACGCGCCCTAGTGAAAGGAGAGACTGGTTGATCATGCCAGCTTCGCGGCGTTGGGCGCCCTGCGCCATTGAGCGCCCGACGGCCTCAGAGCCCGCGAGATCAACAAGATTGAACTTGCCTATCCTTAGCATGTCCTCCCCGGTCTTGTCCCCCGACATCTCCTTGACGTGAACAGTGAGGGTAAAGATTGAATGGGAGCGAGAGCTCTCCGTGTTGAGCTTGGTCTCCGCGACTTGCCGTCGCTGACTGCCCTTGCGGAGGACGGCGAGACCATCGTTGAGGTCGCGCAACCCCGCCTCCTCGACTCCCTGGACATTCACGCCCTTCTTGGACGTGTCGTCGAAGATCTTGATATTGGATGTCGCGCCCGGCTTTCCGTAGTCGTAGGACAGGAGGTCGCGCAGCTCCTCATTGTAGATTTCAAGGTACGAGCACTTGACTGCGTACTCGTTGTTCTCCTGCGCCTCGAGCAGCGCGAACAGGCGGTGCAGTACGCGCGGGATGATTCCTGCCTCGATGGACGGCGCCTGTAGTGGTGTAGGCGTCATGTCGCCTTGCATCGTGTACCTGCCGTAAGCATAAGCCAAACAATGGCTCACGTCTTGCCTGTTCCCGTTTGCCCATACGCGAAGATAGTGCAGTTGTACCCCGACAGCACCTCATTGAGCATACCATCGGCGACCTCGCTAAATACAGTTGTCTGATCGGCCTCGGGGCCAAACACCTTGTCAAACTTGTATGTCTTGGTGTTTGCGTCTGTAGGGACGACGATACTCGTCGCCGACGCCGCGGGTGTTGTTGTGACTGTGATTGCGTCGGACACGGGACCATCAGTCTGGGTGATAGGTGGTGAGTTCTCCTCGATTTCTTGAGGTGTTCGCCCGCGACATCGCACTACGACGTTGATATTTGATTCTGGGATATCGGAGGGCACGCGCATGCCGGCAAGTGCGGAAGTCGTACGCCGCGAGGCCGTAGCGCTGCTTGGTGGTCGAGAGACGCGGGAGGAGGGAGCAAGTGACGGCGCACGGTTCACTGTTCGAGACACGCCGGTGGAGGGGACGCGTCGAGACATTGTGGAGGATGGATAGAAAGAGGGAGAGTTGTTGTTGTGAATCGCGCGTTGATAGAAGTCAGTCTCGTTGTTGATCCCTGTTCTTGCCACGTGCGATTACGTTTTGAGAGTGGGGATGGCGGGGTTAAACAGACACGGCCGAGATGGATGTGGCGAATCATCGGGCCGGCTATGCCGTGCGCACGTTCCGACCCTTGCTACTCCGAGGCTCATCTCATCGCGCTTGCTGTCATTCCTCCGTTCACCACTCACCACTCACCTCATATCATGCATCCGCGCCTACTCGCCGGCGTCCAGCGTGCCCGGGTCGGCGCGATTCCCGCCGCTCGCTCTCTTGCGCCCCTTGCCCGCGCCCGCGCATCGGTATATCTCCGGCCAGCATTCCGCACCGTCACGACGTCGCGGAGTGCCCTCTCGCCCGGCCAGCGCGAAGACTTGGAGCACAAAATCCACGATTCGCAGGCAGCCGCGTCTTTCCATGGTGCGCTAGGCGTCGGCGTGGCTCACACCAGACCCGATGACGCGGTACGAGTTCCTCGTCAACGAGGGCGTCCTAAGACCCGACGAGCACCAGCGAAAGATCGTGAAGAAGCTAATGCCACTCTGGGAGCAACTGAAGGACTACGACCCGGGACCGCTCCCCGAGCCTGAGGCAGAGGTGCAGCCTTCCTTCGTACGTCGCTCTGTGGCGTTGAGCTAACGATGAGTTCGGCAAGTTCTTCACGCGCAAGAGCTCGACCCTTGAGCCTATCATCCCGCTTGACCAGGTGCCCAAGGGCCTGTATCTGTATGGCTCGGTGGGGACGGGCAAGACGATGTTGATGGACCTGTTCCATTCGACACTGCCGCACCAGTTCCAGGCTGGCGGCAAGTACGGGAGCACGCGCATCCACTTCCATTCGTTCATGATCGAGGTGCTGCAGCGTCAGCATGCGGTCACGGCGCGGTACACCGCTGAAGGGGATGGAAAGCGCGACGCCATTCCCGAGGTGGCGCGTAGCATTGCCGCCGATGGGCGCGTGCTCTGCTTCGACGAGTTTCAGGTCACGGACATTGTGACAGCCATGCTTCTGCGCAACCTGTTCGAGCGCCTGACAGACTTTGGTGTTGTGGCCATCATCACGTCCAAGTGGGTGCAGATTGCGTCCGAGCTGACGATAGCCGCCACCCGGATGAGCTGTACATCAACGGTATCCAGCGCGAGTCATTCATCCCGGCTATTGACCTTATCAAGGAACGCTTCGACATTGTCGATCTCAATTCGGGCACGGGTGAGTGCCATCTTTGCCGACTGTGCTCACACAGACTACCGCAAGATGCCGCGGACGATCACGCACGTCTACTACCACCCGTTGAACGAGGAGACGTCGGCCGAGATGGACAAGCTCTTCCACGGCCTCGCGAGCGCCGACCCGGACCCGGAGATCAAGATCAACCGCAAACTTCCGCTGTGGGGGCGAGAGCTCACCGTTCCCGAGTCGTCGGGCCACGTCGCGCGCTTCACATTCGACGATTTGTGTAACCACCCCCTCAGCGCGGCCGACTACCTTGAAATTACGGCCAAGTTCCCGACTGTATTCGTTGAGGAGGTGCCCAAGCTCACCTTGAGCGAGCGTGACCAGGCGCGTCGCTTCATCACGTTCATCGACGCGTGCTACGAGAACAAGGTGGGTTGGCAGTTGTGTCGAGCGCTAACGCCAGACGAAATTGTTTATCTCATCCAACGGGCCGATCTACAGCATTTTCTCCGACGAGAACGGGTCGGCCATGGACGATGAGACCATCAAGCAGACGATGACGGATTTAGGCATCAACACCGAGGTCGTAGGGTCCTCGTCGCTCTTCAGCTCGGACGAGGAGCTGTTCGCGTTCGCGCGCTGTGTCTCGCGCCTGACGCAGATGGCGACCAAGGAGTGGGCAGACGAGAGCGCGCTTGCGCACCCGACCAACGGCAAAAAACCCCCCGCGGCCCGGCAATAAAGAGAAACAAGAGCAGCTCAGAAGATATCACACCACATTCTTGGTATATACCCTGCATCCAGCATGCTGTAGAGCCCAGGTGGCGTATGCATGGTCTGACATTGTAGGTGTGGCTAGATCTAGGAGTGCTTGTGGAAGCGCCGACGTGAGGCGCGAGGGTACGAGAAGCCTGTGGCTTCGAAGCTACGCTAGCCGCTCGGCGAGGCGCTCAACGGGCCGCCCGTCAATGTATCCGCTCGTCCAGTCGACGAGGGTCCAGAGGAGACCGTGTGTGAGCATAGAGCGCACCATGGACACTCCGAGTCTGCTGTCAACTCCTGCTCGGCGCCTTCACGTACCCTCGGTATAACCGCCCGATGCCGGAGAGCCAGGGTTTGGTGCCGTCTGTCCCACGCACAAGGCGGCGAAGCTGAGTGTACGGCGTCCGCGGCGCGAGGCCTGAGAGTGCGCGCTGCTGCGCCTTGGTCTTGATCGCGTCCACGGGATAGATGAGCGCCCAAGACGTGACGCCCGCCAGCGAGCCGCAGAGGAACGGCACGAGTTGCGCAGGCAGCCATCCGCGCGCCCACGCCGGCAGGTCGGCTTGGGTGGTGGTGCTGCCGAACTTGTCCTCGCGCTTGCCGTCCCCTCTCCCGCCGCCGAGCCAGAAACGCATCACGTCGTACTCGGCAAAGTATAGTGCTGTGCCGAGAGTGTCGCGTACAAAGTGGAGCGGGAAGCCGGTCCAGAGGCCCATTGGGCCCAAAGAGCGCACGATCATGCGCACGGCTTGCAGTGTTGTGGGCGGGACGAACTGGGGTGTGGGGGGCGGCCGGGGCTTGGCGGAGGCAACGGTGCACTCGATCGCCTCGGCCGCGACGTCGGCGGGAGTGGTGTGGGTGAGAGGGACCACTTTGGGTGGTTGAGGGACGGATTTCTGGGGAGGTGGAGAGGGGGCGAAGAGCTCGGGATGTGAGTCACGGTAGATCTGATACTCGAGCTGACGGCGGACCTTGACGAGCTCGAATGGTGCGCTCCCGAGACACACAACTGCGCCTGACGCGCCGCCCGCAATGAGCGATGTCAATGCAACGTCGGCGGTGCGGTTCTTGTTCAGCACGCCTAGATGGAGATCGAACCACGGCGCCTCATTGGAGGTAGGCGAGTCGGCCGTACTGTTGAGAATGCGCTTGGTGCTGGTATAGATTGTGAAAGAGATGGTGCGGACGATCGAAATTGTGATGAGGGGTAATGGAAAGCCGCGCCATAGTCTATCGTCAGCAGGGCCACCTGGGCGCACTTACCCGCCGATGCCTTCTTCACGGACGACCTCAGCGGCGAGGCGCGCCATGGAGAGGTTCTCGCGCGAACTCTGGAGGCGCGACTTGAGCGAGTCAAGCTGGCGTTAGTCGCCGGTGACGCTGAGCACGGGCCGCGGCGAACCACAGGCGACGGCTAGTACTGTGCGGCGAGGTAACGGCATTGGCTGGGCTGCAGACCGCGCCCTTGCTGCGCTGACGGCCGCCGCTAGACGATGGACGACGACGCCGCGACATCGCCGCATGTAGGTGACAGTTGACGGTAACATGCGCTCCCGCCTGGTGCGGAATGGCCGGCCCCGGCTGCCCGACCGCCAACAGAAGAACAGTCGCTAACATCCCCATCCGCCCAGGCTACTCACCGGGAAGCCCGCAAAGGTGGAGACAATCGATGCAGTGGTGGCGGACACGACGACCTTGTGGCCTGTCCGTCAGCGACGCGGCCTCGGCGGCTCGGGTATCCTCGGCGCTGTTCCTGATAGGTGTAACTGACCAACACCGCAGCTCTCATGCGTCGAGAGCTGCGGCATCGGCGGTGGCGATCTCTCTACTGCAACAGACACCGCGGTGGGCCCATGCCCATGCTCATGTCCAATCCTCGCCCTCCCCCTCCCCCGCTTTCGCTTTCCCAGCGCCGCCCAACGCGCTCCGCTCCACTCACCAGCGAGCCAGTCGTCGACGGTGCGCGCGCGGCGCGTCCAGGCGCCGTCATATCCCCTGTCGTCAGCAGGCCCGGGACCACACGCACCCCGTCGCCGCCATAGTGTCCGCGGGCGGGGGTGGTAATATGGTGGGAGAGAGTGTGATGGTGCGGGGTATCGGACGCTCGGGGAGTCGGCACCCCGTCGCCGCGCGGGACCAAATCCCGGCTATTCGATGCTTTTGGCCCATGACGTACGAGCCATTGCACTATGCGCCCCACGCTCAAGATATCGCGCTGCGTGCTATCGCGCGCGGCGTCGTCGAAGGCGGCCGTAGGCGCGGCGCTCGCGCCCGCAGCCGCGCGCGACCCCGGCGCGCATTTGCGCCGCTCGGCGGCGCCCGAGCCCGCGTACCTCCCGACCTCCGCAGTGTCGGGCGAGGGCCGCGCCCGCTCCGCCCTTTTTGGGCAGTATCCGACGCGCACGAAAGTCAACTACGCCGCGCGGCGCGCGAAGCCGGCCTCGACGGCGTGGCGCCACGACCCTGTCGGTGAGTCGTGCCCGGGCGCGCTGACGCCAGCCGTGATGCAGAACACGCCGCTGCGACGCTGCGCCGTCTCCCGCTGCAGCTTGCACACCGCGTACATGCTCAACCTGCGCGCACTGTTGGTGCGTGACACGCGCGGGACGCCGCGCGTCATCGCCGCGCCGGACGGGCTGCGGCACCCGCGCTACGCGGGCCGCCGGACGGGGCTGGGCGCGTGGGTCGCGCTGCGGCGCGACATCGTCGCAGGCATCGGGCATAGTAAGCGCCAGCTGGCGAACATCACCAAGGGCCCGCCGAAAATCCCTGACAACTTGCTCGAGCAAGTCGAGGGGGAGCTTGTGACGCGTGTCGCGCAAGAGCTCGAGCTGTTGCGCGCGCGCGTCGCCGCGGCGCCGGCCGGGGAGGGCGTGGACGCAGCACGCGTGCTGCGCCCGCTGTCGCCTGCGGAGGTCGATGGCGTGGCGCACGGCGCGGCGCCCCGCAGCGCCATCGCCGTGCTTGATGTTCGGTTCGGCGCGAGGAGCAGGTTGACGGAGGCGGAGCGCGAGCACCCAACCGTGCGGATGCTGCGGCGCGAGGGCGCGAACTCGACGAAGGAAGGGGACGTGCCCCTCTTCCCGCTGCATGCGTTGTTGGGTGCCGAGCCGCGGTGTGCCGCGCTGGTGGAGGACGTGTTGGCTGCGCAGCGGGTTTTCGCGCGGCGATGCGCGGAGGCTGCAGGTGGGCATGTCACGACGCCGACGGATGAAGTCGAGGCGCACCGGGCTGAGGAGGAGGCTGCGCTCGTGGCGGTCCAGATCCCTCAAATCGATAGTGGGCGGGATGGGGGTGTGCCGCTTGTTGTGGCGTTGTGGCGGGTGTCGCTGTGGCGCGGGGAGGGGTGGGATTTGGTGGAGGCTGCGGGGGAGGGAGGGGAGGGCAGCAAGGGCGGCGAGGGTGGCGAAGAGGCCGAGGGAGGTGGGGACAAGTAGCTCGTGCTTCGTCGCATGTATCATCACATCTTGTTCTCTGACTGCACTTGGTGTCTGGGATTGCACTTGTTTTCTATCAGCTCTTCTCTTCTGGCTGCACGGCCACTCAATCCCATCATCTCATCAGCGCGTAAGCAGCACACGTGTCAATCTCCTGATCTGCCGATCATCACATGCATGAACTACCGGATATCCGGACAGATTGTCCTGCTCTACTTGGCCTCGGGTACGGCAGGCGCGGGTGTGGCGGCGAGTGTGGCCTCGGCCTCGGCCGCGTTGGCTGGCGCCGTCGCAGTCCTCCACGGCACAGCCTTCGGCGGCGCACCGATTATGACGGCGTTGGCCGGCACGTAGCGTGCAGCCGGCTTCCACGGCGCGATCCATGGCGCGGGCGGGGGCTTGGGCGTGGTCGGGCGAATGTGGATGCAGGGCATGGTGGGTCGTGTTGGGGCGCGGGGCTCGTTGGGGGTCTGGTGTGAGTGGGGGGGGGAAGAGGGGAGAGGACGTACAAGACACGTCTGGGCGAGCTGCGTGTTGATTTGCAGGCGCGGGTACTTGCGTAACGGCTTGGAGGTCTTGGCCTTGATGGGCGCCATTGTGCTAGTGCGTCTGGTGGCTGGTGGGGTTCTGGTTGGGTTATGTGCATGCTTGGGATGGTGGGAGCGAGGTCAAGGTGTGTTTTGTGTTGGCGAGTGTGTGGCTTTCTGGCATTGTGGCGAGATCGAGCGCGCGTTCTGTGATCGTTGGGACGCGGTCGCAGCACGCTGTGCGATCGTGCGAGGATGTCACTGATTCCATCCAACTCTCGGAAATGGACATTTCTTTGGTCAATACATGGGTGATAGCCATCAGAGTGGGTTGTGGGACACTTTCCCGTCATCAAGGTGAAACCACACTCTCACGTCTCGCCCAGCTGCCTGCCCGCCGTCTCCTCCCTCGCCCACGCGCCCTCACTGTGTACATGGCAGATACTGCCCATAACTATTGCATACAAGTCCCTCACTTACCCTCGAGCTTACACCTTCCCATACGACATCTCGTCCAGTCTCCAGAACAGCCACGCGCACGTGACGAGCAACAGCCCCCCAACCTTCCAACCCACCTCGCGCGCAACCGCGTCCCAGTCCCAGCGCCGGCCGTACGTGAACTTGCGCCAGCCGGTCACATGCGACGGCGGGGGCGGCGGGCGGAGCGGCGGCGAGCGGCGCGGGCCGGGCGTCACGTCGCCCCCGTCGTCGTCGACCGTCACATTCGACGTCACCCACATCTGCACGGTGCGACTCCAGCCCGTCGTTACGCCGATGACCACCCATGCGAGGAGAGGGCGGGTTGGGCCCAGGACCCAAAGCGTCGTGTACGTCGCTGGCCAGCAGAGGCATTGGAGCGAGACGAGGCGCGTCACGGTCGATGGGAGCGAGTAGTATGATCGCCAGCGGTGGGTGAGGCCCGTCGTGAGGCAAAAGCAGAAATGCGCAGTGACGATGGCCTGGAGTTAGCTCTGCGGCGCACAAACAACTCACCCATGCGATCGCCAGCGCCATATCGCCGCGGTGGACCGGTCGCTCAATGCCCTCGTATACGTGCAGACCCTGCACCAGTCTCTCGACAGACTCCCGCGAGAGGTCGACGCCCCATGGCCACACATCGTGCCAGAGCGCTCCAGTGACGAGCGCGTGCGTGAGCACACTGATACCCCATAACGCCGGCACCACGGCTAATAGTCGGAAGTTGAGGAGGGATGAGCGGCGAAGACGCGCCTCGATGCTCTCCGGCCGCAGGTCAACAAGGCCCTGTGAGCTTCGCTCGTCTGCCGAGTTGGGTTCAAGAAGCAGGCCAAGAACGGGTCCAGCCCCTCCAGATCCCGAGCCCGAGCCAGACCCGTCGCGCTTATTGCTTTGCCGCTGTCGCCGGCGCAGCTTGGGCGAGAACGAGAGCGAGCCGGACGAAGGCGAGTCGGTCGACTCGAGGTCATCGTCTGCATCCTCGGAACCGGTCATGCCCCCGTGCGGAATGGTGGTGCCGCGCAGACTCCATGGCGAGTCCTCCGCGCTCGACTCGGCGCGCGGTGAACTGGTTATCGGAGTCAGATGCGCGAGCGCCACAGTGCTCGTGCGAGGCGAGTGGCGCAGCCCCAATGCGCTCTGCGGAATTGCGCTTGCAAATCCCGCTGACGATTGGCGGTGTGGGTGGATGTGCGGGTGTGCGCCGCTCGCGAGCGGCATGGGGCGGATCGGCGGCGTCTTGCGCCCATGGCTCCGCCGCCGGCTCAGCATCGAGTTGGCCTGTGCCTCTTCTCGGAGTCGCCGTTCTTCCTGCTGCTGGTTGGCCCAGCTTTCGGCAAGCCGTGACCGTAATGCCGTGAGATCGGGTTGCGACTTGGAATGCTGGTGGCGCACGCGGCCGGGCACAAACGTCGAGTCCGAGTCGACCTCTGTCTCTGTGTCTTCTGATGACGTCGAAGAGGGCGGGCGGGGGTTGGAGCCGGCTCGCCTCCTGGCGCCGGCACGAACAGTCCGGGACGAGCCAGACGATGCGGCCGACGAAGGCCCCGGATCTGGAAGATTGTAGTACGAGAGGGCAGGGCGCTGCTGCTGCACTGGAGGAATGGTAGCGCCCCGCTGAGCGGCCTTCTGTCGTGGATTGGCGAGGGCATGGGCATTCGGGTTGATCGGTGCGAGCTGAGATAGTGGCTTGAGAACCGCCTCTGGTGACAATCTTGGATGCAGGGTGCGAGGCGAGTGTGAAGGTGAGCGGGTTTCGATGTGCGCCGGCGGCTGGAGAGAGAGATGCTGCCCTGCAGCAGGGGAATAACCGGGGTGATTGGCATGTCCGTTGAGCCTGGCATAACCGTTGGCGCCGTTGGCAGCAGCATTGTTCAGGTCGATAGGCGTGATTGTGGACATGGGGGCGAGGCCGTGGGCCATGTCGCGGGCTGGGCGAGACATTGGGGATGTTGGCGCACTCTTTGAATGTTTTCGGCCAGTCTGGGCTTGCTGGAGCTGAATGCTTAGGTGGTGCGCGAGGATGTGCGCGGGGGGGAGGGTAATCTGGCCGGGATGGACGAGGGGGGAGCGTCGTGGGGCGTGAGGGGAGCGGCGAGACTCTGTGGGAGAGCCAGAGGGCTGGAAGAGTGAGGAGGAGACATTTGATTGATGTGGAGCGGGGGGGAGGGCGTTGGAGAGGGAGATGGAATGGGAGAGGTTGTGAGAATGTGTGTGGGAGGATGGCATGTGCGCTGGGAGAGGAGGCGGCGACTGGATCGCTGACATGGCCTATGGTGAGCGCATGTAGGGAGGATGCCACGGGGGGAGGGGGGGAGGAGGGAGAGCGTTGGAGAAGAGAGTGGTGAGAGATGAGGAGAGATGAGAGATGAGAGATGACAAGGCGATGGAGAAGAGAAGAGAGGAGGAGGAGGAGGAGGGAGGGAAGGTGCGCTCCTTCTGCTACCGTAGCGATGGCTGCGCTCAGTTGAAAGGCTGGGCCTCCAGGTTCTGCCGCGGGAGCAAATCGCATCTCAGGCACGTGTTCCTCACCCAACATTCGATATCCTCTGCCTCGTCGTCCGTGATCTCCTCCAATCCCCTCTTGTTCAATCCATCTCCTACTCTCCTCTCCGCATCTCATCTCTTTCTTCCATGCACACATTCCCACCCTCGGCTTTCTAGAGTACTGCCGAGCGCCGCCGTCAGGGAGACACCTGACGCAGCGCGCTGCCGAACAGTCGTCCCGTCGTATGACTGTGCCTCTGTGCCTGCAACAGAGCTTGTACCAATCCCAGAACACATATCCAACGCTCATGCCCTGTGGCCTCGCGGCCGCGCTGCTTCGAGCGACCCCATGACGGCACATGTCGACGGGGGCCCGCCGCGTTTGCGATCGTGCACGTGCGGCACGAGTCACCTGTTTTGCGGCGGACACGTGCACCGCTCAACTATGGTACTTTTGCGGCGTGTTCGCGTGTGAATAGACACAATACAAAGAACAGGCACGAGCGCTGGCCGGGCAAGGACTGCGAGTAACTCGCCGCCAAGACGCCGAGCGCGACGCCGGTACGCGGCGCCGGAGGCAAGCGGAAGGGCGGGCGATCGGCGGTGGTGCGGAGCTGCGTGTATTCAGGGAACACGCGTGTCCGTCGGGGGTTATCTCGCGGGATGGGCGGACGTGCGCGCTCCATCACGCTTTCTCTCGGACTGCAAGCGGCATGCGTCACCGAGCGCCAAGTAGGTGCACCGACACAAGGCACAGCCAAGCGGCGGGGAGTAAGATCAACGCCGAGCACATGGTGCTCATGCGGGGGGGGGGGGGCAAGCTTCTTGCGGCCGTGCGGAGGCACTTGTCGTCTCGCCTCTCGCTATCTGGCGCCATCCGCAGCCCGGCCATGTCCGATGGCGTCATCCCCCGGTTTATATTCGCATCTACACATCTCGTCCCCCTCGCGGCGCGACCTCGCCGCCTCGCCGCAGCGTCCTCCCCGCGCGCACGCCCGTGACCTCTCCCTCCGCCGCCAACGCCACCTCCCCATTGACAAGCACGTAGCGCACGCCGCGCGCGGGGGTGCGCGGCGCGTCGTGCGTCGCCATGTCCCGCACCCCAGGCTCGAAGAGCACGAGGTCCGCCGCGCTGCCGGCGCGCACCACCCCGCGGCGGGGATACACGCCGAGGCGGCGCGCCGCGCGCGTGGTGAGGTGCGCAACCATCGCGGGGAGAGACATGAGCTCGCGGCCGTAGACGAGGAAACGGGGAAAGGTGCCCCATGCGCGCGGGTGGGTGCCGGGCAAGATGCCGTCCGAGCCGCCCATGTGCGTTGCGTGCTGCATGATTGCGCGCACATTCTCCTCGTTCCCGACGTGCATTAAGCATGCGGTCGCAAGGCGGTCGCGCCGCAGGACGTCGAAGAATATCTCGATCGGCGCGCGCCGGAGGCTGCGCGCGACGTCCGCGACGCGCCGCCCCGCCCAGCCTTCGAGGTCGGGGTGCGATGTCGGCCCGATCTGCCGTCAGCGAACACACAGACAGCGCACTTCAATTTCGTCCCAGTTCGTCGGGATACCGTGCCCGCCGTCGCATCCCGTCACCTCGACTGCGATGCGGATCTTTTCGCGCGTCGCAGCGTCTTCGAGCCGTTTGAGGGTTGTCGCGGGCCCGCCCGCACTCGCCCAGCTGGGGAGAAGCGCGGCCAGCGTCGTGCAGCCTGGAAGATAGGGGTACGTGTCGAGCGTAATATCCGCGGTCTGCCGCGCCCTATCGATCATAGCGAGGAGTTCCGGTGCCCGTCCCTTATTCTCGGCGTAGTTGAGAGTCGCATGCGTGAGATGTACGGGACACCCAGTCTCCTGTGCGAGCCCCAACATCTCCGCATACGACTCGATCGCCCGCGCGCCATAGCTGCGGTGGTGCGGCGCATAATATGCCCCCGGATACTCGGAGAGGACGCGGCACAGCGCGGCCAGCTCGCTCGTGCTCGCATACATCCCCGGCGTATACGTGAGGCCGCTGGACATGCCGACTGCGCCGTCGGCCATGGCTGCGCGCAGCAGCGCGGCTTGCTCCGCGATCTGCGCAGCCGACGCCGGCACGTCGTCCGCCCCCACGGCCAGCAGCCGGAGGTTGCCTTGCGGCACGAGGAAGGCGACGTTCGTCGCGGGCGCGTGGCGGTCCAGTGTGTCGAGGTATTCCGCGACTGAGCGCCACTGGAATAGGCCGAGGTGCGCGAGCGACGTCGCGCACTCTTCGTCCGAGGGGTTGCCGTTCCAGGCGGCGATTTGGGCGCGGATCGCGTCCATCTGCGCCGCCGTGCGCACGGGCGCGTACGCGATGCCGTCTTGCCCAATCACTTCGGTCTGGCGTTAGCGCAAAAGAGAGGAGGACTCGCCGTCACGCCCTGCGTGAGCTTCGCGGCGTGATCTGGGTGCGTGAGGAGGTAGAGGTCCGAGTGCGCGTGCATGTCGATGAAGCCTGGCGAGATGTATAGGCCCGATGCGTCGATGATGCGCGCATCGGCGTGGGTGTGGATGGAGCCTGGGTCGGCGATGGTGTCGATCACGCCGCCGATGATGAGGATGTCCGCGGCATAGGGCTGCGCATCTTCCTCGCCGCTGATGACCGTGCCGTTTGTGATTAGGAGTGAGGGGCGATCGCTCATGGCACCGAGGTGAGTAACGCGGCGTGTAGATGACGACGAGACGATGCACAACTAGCTCTAGTCTTAGTCGTAGTGCATGCCCACTCAATAGTCGACAACTTGACGGCTGCCGGCGCTGGCCGACGATCACGGCGACGTTACCGTCGGCATCTGCAGGCAGAGTGCGGGGATGGGCGGAGTAGATGGGGTCTCCGCGTGTCTTGCTCTTCTCACGAGGCTGTTCGCGGCCGAGCTCGTTCCGGATCATTCCCGCGGTGCTGGAATGTGGCAGCTGGCCAAGCTCGAGGTGCTCCTGAGGATGGAGTGAGGATGTGGTATGCATGCCCTAGTGATCGTGATGAACGAGACAAGCGCGACTGTTGTTAAGAGAGCATGATACGGCCACAGTCTGCCGACGTCATTGTGGTGGGGTGACTGCTTGGGAGGGGAGTAAGCAAGCAGAGCCTGGCGCTGGAGTGAGTGATCGATACTCTACTCGGTGGGATTCCACAAGGAGGCCGACGAGACGACGAAATGATGCGATTGATGCGGTGTGTGAGACAGAATGCTCGAGGCTGCTCGAGGCTGGAGGGCTGGAGGAGAAGAGGAGGTCTGCATAGACCGCTGCAGTGCTCGTGGCCTACTGTGACTTGCTGCCCCACTCCTTGTTGAGTGAGTGTGGATGGATGACGATTTGGCTGCTGCTCAGTCAGCCTCCGCCTGGCCGCCGCCTACTCCACTGCTCCCTCCCCTCCGAGTGATCTCGACATCTCCAACTCTCACTCCGCACTCGATCTTTCTCTTTCATCTCTTTCTCTCTTACTCTCTCTCTCTCACGCACACTCCGCCATCACTTCCTGCGCTCACACACTCAACACCCCCCCACCCACGCGACCTCTCCCCATTGCTCCTCCACCGGTGGCAACTGGCATCCCTCCGACTGCGCGCCTCCTCATTAACATCCTCATTCACCCACAACTCTCTCTCCTCCTCTTTCTCTTTATCCCCCTCCCTCGTCCCACTCTCCCTCCTCCCTCTACCCCATCACTCCTGCCCACGCCTCTCACAATAGAGGCAGGCAGCGCCTCCTCCCCCTCCATCTCCACCCCTCCTCCTCTCCTCCTCCTCCTCCTCCTCCTCCTCATCCCCCCAAGCCCCCCTCCCCCCTCCTCCCGCCATGGGGGCAAACCAGAGCCTCCCCGCACGCCGGCAGGAGGAAGCCGAACCTCGTCCTACACTCCGTCGCCGCATATCCACCTTCCTCCGCCGCGACCACGAGAGTCAGAATGCAAGCAAGCGCGAGCGCTCAAACTCGGCCCACAACAGCATCAACTCGCCCGGACCAAAGCGCAGGAGGGTAGACGGTGACGCAGAAGCCCTCGACGGAGATGATTCTATGAGCTCGGAACCTATCGCCGGGCCCTCATCGTCACATCAGTACCCCACTCGACCCAGCCTCCCATTCCCTAGAACAATGCCCTCCAGCGGCATCAGCACTCCAACATCACCAGACACACCCGCATCACCCGCAACTGATGAGTTGCTGTCCGATAGACTGCGGTCCGTATCCACAATACGCGACAGCCTCGCTCCAGAGTGGACACCGCAGCCCGGTCTCATATCTCGCCTTCGTCGACGTGACAGCCCCGCCGTCAGCAGCGCTGCCAGCACGAGCTCGGCCATCCCACCACCCTCCGCAGCCCCGCCACCACCACCACCACCGCGCACACTATCGCATCGCCTCAGCGCCATCATGGGATTTGCCGCCCCAGAACGTTCCCCAAGCAACTCCTCAATACCATCCTCCAGTTCCCAGCAGCCTCCCACGCCCGCCACTGAGGCGCCTCCACCTGCCGAGGAGGAAGGAAGGATACCGGTGGGCGCCGTGCTTGTCATCCAGGGTCTGGCACAGACACGCGCCAACCATGACGAGACCGGCGGGTCACATAGCCAGGTCGACTTGCCCAGCATTGACCAGCAGGCCCGTATGATTGGCAACCTCTTGACGTGAGTGTGCTGCTTCTTGGTGCAGGCAGTCATCTCAGTAGTACTGACGAGCAGTGTTGCTGCAGCCGCCACCGCCACGACCCTTCTATCGCCGGAGAGCTTGTCGTCTCAACCTTCCCGGTCGACCGCCCAGAGCGCGATGCAGACCATTATGGAGCGTCTTCGTCCCCAGCGTAACCAGCGACATCAGAGCGTCGAAGCTGCCCTTGGCGAGTACCTTCGCACTGTTCTACGCGACAACCGCCGCTTTGCAGAAGCCGTGGCTCCAAACGCGGCAAACGTGCCGGCAGAGTTCCAGGATTTCCTTGGCTCGCTACAGCAAGATCTCATGCAGGCCGTTCGGGCGTATGCCGTTCACGACGCGGCGGGCGAGGAAGGTGACGACGATATTCCGGCGCCCTCTTCCAGTGTGGAGGAGACATCAACCGGAGGGACGCGTCCTACTGGCGACCTGGATGCCTCAGCCACGACAAATGCGACCTCCTCGGGCGTGGCTGAACCCCCGTCTCCCAATGTCCCCAGCAACTCCACTATCCCCACATTCCACCGCCAGCTCGGGCAGAACCTACCGGGCGCTCACCGACCACTTGGCGTAAGTGGGGGGTCGGATGGCGAACCACGACGACTAAACTTCTTCCGGGCTCACCTATTCCCTACCGTCCATGCCGATGGCTCGGTAGTGACGCCAAACGCAAACGATGGACAGGAGGAGGCGATTGTGCCTTCCATCTTTGTAGGTGTGCGCTCCATTGCGCACAATCCTAGCATGACCACCGAGGATCTAGTGGCGCACCCCTCGTTCCCATTCATGGACGGCCAGGTGCCTGAGGATGCCGGCGCTGCCGCTCCGACTGCTACGGGATCGTCGCCTGCCACATCGCCTGTCGCCACCACCCAGGCGCTGCCCGACGATGACCACGACTTTGACCGCGACCTCGAGCAGGAGTTATCGGCCGCCCCCGCCGCTGGGGGCACAACTGTTGAGAGCCGTCCTCGCCGCAGCCTGCGTACCCGGGTGCTTGAACGCCTGGGAGCCCGCCGTGAGCCGCGCGCCTCTCCGCCCCTTAACACGTACCTCATCTACGTTATCGGTGGCAATTACCCAAGCTCTCACCCCGTGCTTTCTATCCCGTCCTTGGTCTCAGGTGGCCCGCTTACCACTGAGGACTTGCAGCTCCTTGCCGAGCTCCTTGGCCCGGCCAAGCCCCCAACTGTCACTCAGGAGGAGATTGAGGCGTCGGGTCTCAAAGTCATCAAGGCGAACACTCTCGCGCAGGCCATCCAGGATGGCCAGGTGCTCGATTCGAGCACTGAGCGGTGCATGGTGAGCTTCCTCACGCTTGACTGCAGCTGACCCCAGGTTTGCCTTTGCGACTACGAGGACGACGAGGATTGCCGCGTGCTCAAGTGCCGGCACGCCTTTCACAAACCATGTGTAGACCAGTGGCTGTCGTCGGGACGCAACTCGTGTCCCACGTGCCGCACCGAAGCGGTGGAAAAGGGCTCGACCCCTACCACCCCGGAGGTCGAGGACGCTGATGCCGTCGCATAGAAGTAGTTTCCCCGTCCTTGATATCCGTCATGCATGTATGTACCCTTCCTGTCCTGTTTGTCCGCTGCAGTTGCACTTGTCCGTCATGCATGTTATACATTCCCTATCGGGTCTAGTTCTGGTGTACGAGCTAGTTCTGGTACTTGGAGGTGTCGGCACCGTGGTCGTTGTGGTTGACAAAGTTGAACCTGGGGTCAGAGTCAGATAGCGCGGTTGCCGGAAGGGCGAGAGAGCTGGCAAGTTGGTTCAAGCATCGCCACATGCCCCAGCTGCTCCCTCTCCCTCTCCCTCTCCCACACGCTCAACGCACCAAGGCATAGTCTGCAGCTTGAACTGCGAGTAGGTCGAGTTGCGCGACGCAACACCCTGGAGGTAAGGCGACAGGTCCGAGTCGCCGTACAGCGGCTTGCCGGCCTTTGCCAGTGCCGAGAGCTCCTCAAAGTCGCGCTCCTGCTCCTGCTTGTTCTCCTTGAGGCCGAGGAAGCGGACTGGTGTTAGTGCGGCAGTTCAAGAATGTCGAATGAAGGAAAAGGAGGGGGACAGAGGGGTTGCAGCGGGGAGGGTGGAGAAGCGGGACGCCGGCGTCGCGAGCACGAGCGCGAGCGCGAGCGTGAGCGCGAGAGAGGCGATGGAGGCGCAAAGGTGGAGTCGTGCAGACGCTAAGGACGTCGCCGACGTTTCCGCAGTCAGACTCGATGCCTGTGCTCCCTGCCCGACATCGCAGGCTCCGCGTCCGTGTCGGTCGGTTGCAGTTGAGTCGGCGCGGTCCGCCCGGCGCCGCTGTCGACCTCAGAATCGATGGGACCGCCGCAAGCTCGTCGGGCGCCGCTCTCGCTGTTTCCGTGCTCCATCCTCCCCGCCTCCCTTCCCCTTCCACCCTCCGCCCCTCTCTTCCCTCCCTCTCCCCTCCTTCTCCTTCACTCCACTCCCGCCTCTCGACCTCCGGCCTGCACCGAAGCCTCTTCCTCCTAATTCCTCCCCACCCCCGCCCCCGACAAACTCACAAGACGAGTTCTGGTACGCGAGCATGAACCCCGCAACAAAGCCCATGCATCCCGCGAAGCGGCTCGCGTGCCGGATGCCGTGCGTAGCCTTCGACGGGTCCATCTTGTCCCACAGGCTGACGAGGAGGGGCCCGGACGCCGTCACCCCGCCCCAGAGCAGGTAGTCGTTCGGGCGCATGTAGCGCACGACGCGCGCAAAGTGCGGGTCCACGTCGATGACGGGGTACGGCGTCTCGAGCTGCTTGACGGGCATGGTTGGTGTGGTGGTGATATGCCTCGGCCGTGGTTGGCGAAGTGGGGGCGGGGCGGGGATTGCGGCGTTGGTGCGTGTGGCGCGGTGTGCGGGTGGCAATTCAGTGATCGGTGGAGGCCATCCATCTGGGTATTGACGATGGATTGAGATGAGCTCGGCAGCGTACTCGGCCCAAATACAGAATACGCTCGTGCCCGCCCTCGCGGCGGTGCGCGAGGAGATTGCGCGGGTAGACGGCGACATACGCGATTAGTGAGCGCCGACGGCGGGTGGCTTCGCCGCTGCCGCCTAGGAAGGGAACTGACACCAGTGAACAAGTCGCGCGCAGGCTGGAGCGGCTAGACGGCAAGCCGCACGCGGGACCCTCCGAGCTCGGCGCCGGCGTGTGGGTCGACACGGTGGTGTGAGTGGCTTCTCCGGCGGCGTTCCTTCCTTCCGCAATCTCGCCATCCAACTCCTCCCAGTTCACCTTCATCACATTCTTCCCATTCGTCTGTCGTCGCTTCCCTTGCACATGTGCTCACCCTAGACCATCCACCGCCGCCATCACCCTCGACCTCGGGCTCGACGTGCATCTCGCCCTGCCGCCAAAAGAGGCCGCGGAGTATGCGACGCGACGCGCGGGTGTGTTGAAGAAGAAGCGGGAGGTGCTGGTCCGCCGCGAAGAGCGGTTGTTATGGGAAGTTGAGCAGGTGCGTGATCCGGGGGCGCATCGCCCAGCGCAGCACACGGCGCTGGAGCTGACCCCAGTTCGAGGGTGCGGTGCGCGAAGCGCAGGCGCGTGAGGCCCAGTCGGCTTGATGTATAGTATGTATTCTTAACTCTGCAGCCACTGGCAGTTTCATCCCCTACTGACGAGTTCCACGCTACATACATGCATAGCTGGGGTGAAAGTCACCCACTATGGGTGGGATGCAAGTGTCTATGAGTATCGACTCTCGATGCGAACGCGATCGGCAGCTCGACGTCCGATGCCATTTTGCATCTTGCGGCGTCTACGCCGTGCGCTTGCCTCCTTGCCTCCTTGCTCCTTGCTCCTTGCTCGCCTTTTCAGCTAGTATCCGAACCAGCTCCACAGCCAGTCCGACCAGCTCTGGCTCTCGCTACCCTTCAGTTCCCCTCCATCGGCCGCACCAATCTCCAATCCCCCCCCCCCCCCCCCCCCCCCAGTCGCGAAGCCATCCTAGCGTCCAAGTAGACCGTCGGAGTCGATCGCTCTTTTCCTCTCTCTCACACCCCTCTCCCACCCCTCCCCGCGCCACTCACGCCTGCTTCTCCACCCAAGACCCCTTGGTGTCAATCTCGAGCACCTTGAAATCGCACTCGACGTTGTGCTCGGCGAATATCCGCTCGATGTCGCGCGCGATGCCCTCGTGGTTCTCCGTCGCGAGCGCGAGGATCGTCGGCCCTGCGCCGGACAGGCAGATGCCGCACAGCCCGGGGTTGGACTGGGGGCTGAGCGAGATGATCTTGTCGAGGCCGGGGATCTGATGTGAGTTTGCTGGGCGACGGCAAGCGCGACGTCGCGACGACTTCCACGCAAGCGGAACATAGATCCACACATAAAAAGGCACTCACAAGCGGCACACGGTACGGCTGGTGCAGGCGGTCCTTCATCGCTTCGTAGATGAGCTCCGGGTCGGGCGGGGAGCGCGCGAGCGCGGTGGTGAGGACGGCCAGGCGCTGGAGGTTGAAGATCTGGGGTCAGCGCTCAGCGTAGCGGCGAGTGTGGCGAAGACTCCAATCCCTTGCCCAGGTTGGGCGCGATTGGGGTTGAAGAGAGCACGGTTGGTGCTGGCTGACAGTGGGTGCGGAATTCCAGACGAGCACGCGATCTCTCTCGTCCGCTCACCCCGCCCGCTCGACAAATGACCCAGCCACTCCTTCTCTCCGCCAAGCTGCCACGGTAGCCTAGGCTCCCGCTCCGCTGGAACTCACCACATCCTTCCGGCTGTATTCGTTGGGCAGCACGCCACGCGCCTTGGCGGTCGCGAGCTCGAAGCGAGGCATGACGGCGATCGCCTTGATCTCCCTGGCCCAGCCGAAGCGCACGTAGTGCCCGATACCATTAGGGGCGACGGGCGGCTCCTTGCCCCAGTCCGGCCCGGCGTCGGGCGGGAACTCGGGCAGCACCTCGGCGAGCGGCACGCTTGCGGCCTCGAGGTCCTTGGGCGCCAGCTCTTTGAGGTAGCTGCCGACGAAGCCGCCGACGAGCGCGGCCGTCACGTTGTCCGGGTGCCGCTCGACCATGAGCGCAAAGTCGAGGAGGCGCTCTGTGTCGAGGCCGAGGTCGCCGAGCAAGTCGCCGAGGAGGACACCGGCGATGACGGCGGCGCCGGACGAGCCGAGGCCCCGGCCGAAGGGAATCTCGTTGTGCGCCGCAACCGAGACGCCGCGGGGGAACTCTTTGCCGTGCGAGCGCAGCACGTACAGCGCAACGCGCGTCAGCAGGTTCTTGTACGGCGAGAGGGGGACGTTGGCGCTGTCCAGGCCCGTGTAGGTGATCACGGGGTCGCGCTCGAGAGAGTCCGCGTTCGACTGCGCGGGGACGGTGACGATCAGGTCGAGCGATAGGCCCAGCGCGATGCCGCACACGTCAAAGCCCGGACCGATGTTGGCCGACGTCGCGGGCACATGGATCTTGTAGGTTCCTTCGGGCATGGTGGATGGGGGTGGAAGATGGCGGATAGAGGAGAGCAAAGTCAAAAGTCAGAATTCGGTGTGGAGGAGATCAGATCAGATCAGGGCGGAGACGGAAAGCGGAGGGAGCGGAGCGCCACAGCCGTATCGATTTCGCCCGGCGAGGAAACGTGAAGAGATGTCACTCCGCTCGAATATATTTAGTTCGTGCTGCATATCGCGCGCCGCATGCGCATTGCGCCTCTCTATCTCGTCACACTTGGGACTTGATGTTTGGTCTACCGCTCAGACCATCTTGGGCTTATCTCCGACCCCGCTGTCCGCTATCCCCCATCACTTGTCTTACTAGGCAAAACGAACATCACATACAAGGGCGAGGCCCGAACTAATCTACCGAGCGCACCTGCGTGGTGCAGGCGAGATACAGACTAATCTGTACGTTGGCTGCCGCGCACTGCGGCGCAGCCGCCGAAACTTACGGAGCCGCGAGCCCCTCTTGATCGACCTGATCGAACGCTCAAGGTCGCCTCGCAGACGCTCCGTCTTCTTCACCGCCATCTGCTCTACTACACTCCACGCCACCTCCCACACCTCCACCTTGCCTAAACCTCCTCACTGGCCAACTCGCCGCACAGCAGCTCGCGGTCATGACGAGCTTAAAACTCGTGACGGAACACATCGTCCGGGTTATTCCGCTTCGGCGCTGCGTTCGATGCCCCGCCCTGCGCGCCCGAGGCGCTAGATGAGCCCCAGCCTGCACTTGAACCAGAGGCAGAAGAGTCCTTGCGTCCGCGCGACGAGCGCGAGCTGCGCCGCTTAGAACCGTAATCGCGGCCCCACTCGGGCACGTCGTCCTCGGTCGCGGCTGTCCCACCAGGCGGGTATGTGCCGTAGCTGTCGCTGCTGCCCGATCGCACGGAGCGAGTACGCTCCCACCGGTCAGCGCCGCGGCTCTTCTTCTTGCGACCGCCTGCACCGACGGTGCCCTCGAAGTTAGCGGGGTAGTGCCAGTTGCGCTGGTTGGGGGCCTCGTCTGGGGTCAGCGCCGTCCAGTTCATTGACCCTTCCGATCCACAGTCTGCCGACGAGCCGAGGCAAGGCTGCCTTATGCACACCCACCTTCATTGTAGAAGCGCTCCTCCTCGCGGTCCCACAGCCCTTCAGAGCCGCGGCGCTCTGGCCGGGCATCGGGGTCGCGGGGGACGTAGTTCGGACCTTCCTCGCCGTCGGCGAGGTCCTGGCCCACGAGCGTTGACTCGGGGAGACGCTCGTCGTAGCGCTTGGCCCACTGCGACTTGGCCTCCTTGCGGCGGAACTGCGCATCGTTGACTAGTCCGTACCGGATAGCCCACTTGGGCGTCCGCGCTTTGTTGGCGTTGTTACGGATGTTCTGGATGTAGAAGTTGTGCCCGTGCCCGGGGATGTAGCCGCAGAGTGTTAGGATGCACTGAGGTCAGCGCGTGATTACCCAGGCGGCGTGGAGGGCGCAGCAGGATGATTGAGGCGGAGTGATCGAGGCTGAGACTACCATGTCTGGCGGTGTAGGCTTGGCAGCTGCGGGAACCAAAGGTCTGATGCACCGCGCACAGCCACCGCACGGCATTGCCAGCACTACACTCCGTCCTCTGCAGCCCCTGTCGACCTTCCCCGTCGACACTTACGTTGATGAAGAAATCCCTGCCGATTCCGAAGCGCACCGCAACGGCTGCTGTCAGCGCCAGCCTCAGACGGACTCACCAAGGGGCGGGAGGAGCATGCCGAAGATGAAGAGCAGGACATTGAAGCCGTGGTGCCGCCGCGGCGTCAGATCGACCTTCTTTGGCAGGTAGTGGTTGTATGCCATGGTGGTGTGGGTGATGGGAGGATTGTCAAGACGGGAGGGGATCGGGCGTCAAGTGGGTGATGGGGAGGGAGTGGGAGGGTGTGAAGAATGGAGCGGAGGCGAGGGGAGGCTGATCGCTTGTGGCTGTGTACACGCGTGTGCGTGTGGAGAGGCGTGGGGGGCGTGTTTGTCAGACTCGGAGATGGGCGCCGAGTGGGCGCTGGCTCGTGGCTGGGGCTCGGTGGCTCGGTGGCTCGGTGGCTCGGTGCGAAGGGGTGGCGGGCTAGCGCGCGATAAGGGCAGGGAGCGTAGAGCGAGAGAGGGGGAGGGGAAGAGAGAGTCGGGGTGGAGGGGGATGTAAAAGTCCCAGAGTGGGAGGGAGGGAGGGAGAGGAGAGTGATGGTGAGGACGACGGCCGAAGCGGCGGTGAGGGCGAGTGGGGACTCGTCGTCGCGGGCTGGGCAGGGAGCGCTGCGGTGGCAGGCCCGGGCGGGGGCCGAATTTGATCCCGCCGTCATCGGCCCCACCGTCATTCCGCCCATGTCCGGCCCGTTTTGTGCCTGGTTCTAATTTCTCTCGTCAGTCTCACACATGACTCTCACAATGCAGCCACTGTATGCGATCTGAATTGCAGCGCGGCACCCTCGACGTGCAACGTTGCAACTCAGCAGCTTGCAGCGTTCTACGACTTACGCAGCTCGGATGCAACTACCGCACAGCCTTTGGGCGCTCGGTGCCCAGTTCTTCACTCGCCTTCTTGCACGACATCACAACACTCACGTCCTCACTCCTTCGCTTCCTGACATACCACTCCCACGCACTCACAGCTCGATGCACAATTCATTCTCTAAACCTACACCATACTCCGCATACCGCTGGCCGGCAGCCCAACCTGCGTCACTCCGTCGACAACACACACAGTGTTCTGGTACTCGGGCAGGTACCGCGCGCCAGTGTATGCCGCCACAGCCGCCGGCGACCCCTGGTAGATGGGGGTGAGCGACACAGGGCAGACCGTGAACGTCGTAAACTGGTCGTACGCAATCTCATGCGCGTCGCGGGGGTTGCGGTCGCCCTGCGCGAGGATGCTGCGAGCCTGGGGTCAGTAGAAGCCCATTAAAGCGATGGACGCATTGCCTACTCACCTGCGTAACAGCGCGCGTGTCTGTCGGGTTCGTGTCGATGAAACGGCGGGCAAACACGGCGGCGGTCGCGACGTTGCCGGCCTTGAAGAATGTGTTCATCGCACTGCGCAGCGCGAGCTGCACGTGCTGTGGCTGCAGCCCGCAGTGGGTAAAGTACGCCGCGAGCTCGAGGTTGCGCACAGTGTTTTCGGGGTCCTGGGCCACGAGTGTTCGCCTCTCCGTCTCCAGTCGCAGACCGATGACATACTCGCGTGCCGTCTTGACAAGCTCCTTGACCTCGGCAGCGGCCTCCTCGCTCGTGACGACGGTAAGCAGCAACTTCTGCAAGATCTCGCGGAACAGCGTGAGCGCGTCGGCAAACTTCCCGCGGCTGAACAGCTTGTACGCTTCAGCAAGCTCCTTCTCCTTGAGATCCTCAAAGTCGAGCGAGATGGCGGGCAGAACCTCGCGCAGCTCAGTTGTCTCGGGGTTGCGACGAACGTGGAACTCGAGGGGAGGGAGCGATGCGTTCGCGGGCACATATGTGTGCGCCGCGCGGTACGCCTGCAGGAACAAAGGCTTGAGCGGCTTGAAGTCGACCGCGGCCACCTGGCGGTTGAGGAGTTGCATGGCGCTCTCAAAGTTGCCGGCAGCAGCGTGGTCTGCTGCCAGCGGTGAATTGCGAACCCACATTTCGTCCTCATCCACTCCTGGTGCGACGCCTTCTGACAAATCGGCCTCGCCCGCCTCCAAGATGTCGTCGCCCTCGTCCGCAGCAGCCCCCGTGTCCACCACTTCGGCATCAAGGTCCCAGCCCTCGTCCTCGTCCAACTCCTCGTCGTCCTCGTCGGCAACATCCTCGTCGTTCGCCCAAGCGTCAAGCTGCTCGCCATTAGCAGCGTCGGCCTGCTCGCCAGCCGCCATGAGACCCTCGACACCGCCATTGGCCAGCGCGCGGTCGAAGAAGCTCTCGCCCAGGTTCTTGATGGGCCAGTTGGACTCTGCCTGAGGGAAGACAACAGGTGGGGGCGCGAGTTTAGATGAGCCGGCGTTCGGGGGCGGCGGGGGAACGTCCTCCTCGGTCATGCCTGCCTCGTCGAGGATCTCCTCCGCGAGTTCATCGAGCCCAGCCGTCTTGGCTGCGTAGTACGCAAGCGGGTACTGCCCGGTCTCGCGCAGGACAGCAACACGAGCCTCAGTGTCGCCAAGGTAGAGCGCGTTCTGGAAGCGAGACATCTGGTCGCCGCGCTTGGTGGCGATTGTCTGCATCAGGTTGAGCTTCTGCGTGTTTCCGGTGACGAGGTAGAGGAACGAGAGCTTGTCAAACGCGCGAGACCTCTGGTACGCCGTCTCGACAATCTGGTGGTTGCCCTGCTTGAGCGCGGCGGCACCAAGGCGCTCCCACACGTCAGGACGGTCGACCGAGCGAGCCATCTCAAGCGCGACCTGCAGGTTGCCGCACTCGATCGCGAGGTCGAAGCGCGTCTGAGGGTCCTGGATAAAGTGCAGCGCAATCTCAGGGTAGCCCTTCTTCTGGAGGTAGGCAATGATGCTCTGCCCGACAAGGTTCGAAGTGCGGATGATCTGCAGCACTTCGTCGTAGTTCTGGCGGATGAGCGCAAGCTTAAAGCGATACTCGGTGGGGTCAATGGGGATGGTGCGCGGCTTGGCGGTACGGTCGAGGCAGTGCACGACCTGGCCCTTGATGCGCGTAAGGTAGACCGGCTGATCAAGAGTCTTGATGATACCGTTGTCACCACCGGGCAGGGCGTACTTGATGTGGTTAAGAGTAGTGTACACAAGGACACCATTGTCGTCCCACGCCGCCGACTTGATGCGGATAGTCTCGTGGATAAGAGCCGTCTGCTCGAGCGCCTTGTTGGCGATGGTGATCGTGTGCTTGCTCAGGAGTGCGACCTGGTTGCCGTCGTTGCTCCAGATGACGTACTTGACGGGCGGCGTAGTGATCTCGCCGAGGACCTTCTGCTGCTGAATGTCGAAGAGCACGACCGAGTTGCTCGACGAGAGAAGCAGGCATCCAGTACCGCCGTAGAAGATGTCGTTCGTCTGGACAGGGCACTTAACCGTCTTGGTAAGAGAGTTGGAAAGGTCACGGATCTCGATGTTCTGCGCGGTCTTGTCGAGCACGGCCATGCGGTTGCGTGCCACGAAGAGGGCAGCGATACCAGTGCCCTTGCGGCCGTCAGATGGGGTGTCCTTGCCGTCACCAGACACTGGGGCGCTCGACTTGGGCAGTGTAATGAGCTCGTACACACCGTTGTCGGAGGTAGATGTGACGACAACAGCCCGCTCGGCAGGGTTGTAGCTGAGCGTGCGCGGCTGGATGTACTGCGAGCCGAGCTTGCGGACTGAGCAAATGCCCTGGTTGGTGCCAGTCGACAGATCTGCCATACGAATAACCTTGTCCTTGATGTAGAAGAGGCTGTTGCCTGACAGAGAGAAGGCGGGGCGCTCGCGCTCAAGCTTGAACACGATGAGACCGTTGTCGTGACCAGCAGCAAAGAGGTTGAGCTCGGGGTGCGCGGTCAATACCCAGAAGCGGTCGTGCTCGCGGCGGAACGTCTGCACAGCCGTCCGCTTGGTCATGTCCCAGACACGGATCGTCTTGTCCTCCGACGCCGAGAGAATAAGCTCGTGACGCGGGTGGAACAACGTCATCGAAACGTTGTTGAAGTGCCCGCGGCAGCTGTCGACCTCCCACGCCTTGGTCTCGGACATGCGCCACAGCTTGATCTGGCGATCGTCACCGCACGACACGATAAGCGGCAGGGTGGGGTGGAAGCTAGCCCAGTTGACACCGCGGTCGTGGCCCTCAAGCACGTATTTGACGACGGCATCTGTGTTGCCGAACAGGTCGGCCTGGCCCTGGTTCGCCCGCGACATCTGCTCCTCAAAGCTCATGGGCGCCGAGCTCGCCTGGTTCTTCTTGCGCAGGCCAGAGATGTCCCACACGCGCACCGTCAAGTCCATGGATGCCGACACAACGAGGTCGTCCCATGGGTGGAACTGGGCGCACATGATGTAATGGTTGTGGCCGGTGAGGATGGCGATACAGGTGCGGCTCTGCCAGTTCCAGATGCGGATCGTCTGGTCATCCGACGCCGAGATGATCCACGGGTACTCGTGGTGGAAGAAGACGGTGCGCACATAGTCGAGATGTCCGGTGAGAGTAAACAAGCACTTGCGCTGCTTGTAGTTCCACACCTTAATCTTGTAGTCGTCGCCGCCCGAGCAGAAGATAGGCTGCGTCGGGTGGAAGCAGATACCGCGGACGGGACCGTCGTGTTCGTCATACCGGTCGACAAGCGTACCCATCTGGTAGTTCCACAGCTGGATTGTGCCATTGTGCAGCGACGCAGCGAGGAGCGGTGTCTTGGGGTCTGTTGTCAGCTGAGGGCACCTCTTGCGCATAATGAGGAGTCACGCTACTCACGGAAGGCAATCCCCTTGACGCGTGGGCTTTTGCTCTCAAACTAATGTCAGCGCATCCCCTACGGAGCGACGTGTCTCGGTACGACTCGGAGACATGTCACTGCAGATCGCGCTGCTTCCCTCGTTCCGGCGTACCTTGGTGAGCATCTGCATCTTGCCGGCCGCTCCTTTTAAGGAAAGAGTCAAGCGGAGCGAAAGGTGCGCAGAAGATGCGAAAGAGGGAGAGGGGGAGGGGGGATGGGCTTGAGAGAGCGTGGAGAGTCGGAAGTGGTATGCAGGAGGCTGATGTCGGTGAGCGCGGTGAGTTGAATGTCGACGTGACGGGGCGCGCTGGAGCCCTCCATCACGGAATCAAAACCACGTGGAACTTTCACCGTGGCAGTTGCAATGTGGCGCCCCTCCCTATGGTCAATCTCGGGCCACACAAAGCAAGATTGGCGTGTCTATGCATGTACTGGCTACAGAAGAGGCCTACAGCTCGTCCTTGGACGACTTAGCCTTAGCCTCCTCGGCCTGCTTGTCAACCTTGGCGAGAAGTGGGGAACCTGCGCCCTTCTTCTCCTCCTTGATGTCGAGGATTGAGCCCTTGGCACCCGCCTTCTTTACGTCCTCGGCCTTCTTGGGCACGACAATAGTGGCCTGCGTGGCGCGCTTCGCATCCTTTGACTCCTCATTGACAGCTTCACGCGCAGCGATGCGCTCCAGAGCCTGGTTGCGAAGGTACTCCTGACGCGTCTTCCACCCCGCGTAAGAGTCAGTGAAGTCAGTGATGAGCTCAGCGGCGCCAGCCTGAGCCTTCTGAATAGCGTCCTTGAGCTTCTTGGAGGGGTTCTTTTCGGGCGCCTCGGCAAGTTTGCTCTTCCACGAGTCGACATCCTTCTTCAGTGCCTTGTAGGCCGCCCAGTCCTTGGATGTGACACCCTCGATCATGCTCATGCGCTTGCCGAGGGCGGCGTAGTCGTCACCAAGAACGCGCTCAATCTCGGCCTGAGCGTTGTCCACAGCAGGGCGAGTCTTCTCGTAGATATGATTCTTCTTGGTCTTGACGCCATTGGTGACCTGCTCGAGAATCTTGAGAACCTTGGAGTCCGACATGCGCTGGCTCTCCTCAACCTGGTCCCGGGTAAGGGAGCGAGAGTTGGAGTAAAGACGGTCGAGGCCGCCCATCATGCGAGAAATCTCGCGATCGAGATTCTCGTCTCCGATCTGCTTCATATCCGGAAGGAGGCTGATGAAATGCTCGGCCTGCTTCACAGTCTGCGATCAGCGCTTGCACGGGACGGACGGCTCACCTCAGACTGGACCTTGGCGTACAGAGCTTTGCCCTGGAAGTCGACCTTCTTCTTCAGCTGCTGGATCTCGGCGCGGGCATCAGCGAGGTGGTCCTTCGCAGCCTCGGCGCCAGTCGTCGAGTCACAGGCAGCAGATCCGGTAGCGGTGCCGCTGACAGAGGTCGCAACAGTGGTGGTCCCAGCGACGGCGGTGTCGCCGGTAGGAGCGACGAACGCCCGGCGAGTGAGATCCTCGGGGTCTGAGGCGGCGGCACGCGACGCCTCGGCCTTCTTGAAGGCCGCCTTCGCGTTGGCGGCAATCTCGGCGTCGATGGCAGCCTGCTCTGCGGCCTTCTCCTCAGCCTGCTTCTTGGCCGCAGCGGCCTTCTCCTCAGCGGCTTTCTCGGCCTCAGCGCGCTTGGCCTCGGCGAGACGCTTGGCCTCAACGGCCTTGTCTGCTGCGGCCTTCTTGGCGGCAGCAGCCTTAGCCTCAGTCGCCTTCTTTGCGGCAGCCGCCTTCTCCTCGGCGGCGCGCTTGACTTCAGCAGCCTTCTCTCCGACATCGGCAGCAGCCTGCTTCACACCCTCCTTGACGTCACGGGCACCCTTCTTGGGCGCCTCGAAGACGGTCTGCCCGCCGCGCTGGCCGACAGTCGAACCAGCAACTGGCACGAACTCGGAGACGTAGGACCAGAAAGTGCGAGGCTTCTCCTGTGGCGGGAAGACGGTGTGCACCACTGGTTGAATGAAGGGGACATAGACCTGCTTGTTGACGGTGGCGCACACGGGAGCAAGGACCTGGTGAGCCTTCGCAAGGTACGGGTCGCAGTGCACGGCCAAGTGCTGGGCGTAGAACTTGGACCACTCGGCCTTGATGAGGGCCCAAGTGTTGCAAGCCTGCTTTCCGGCGTAGTTCAGGCCCTGGATGGTGCGGGGGATCACAGTCTGGTGCGTGTGACGCTTGCCCTCGTTGTACGCCCACAGCGCATGAGGCCTCGAGTACGCATACGCACGAGCACCCTGCTTTCGGCTGTAAAGGTAGGCGTTGTGCGCGTGCTTTCCAGCCTGCTTGGTCGTGGGATGGCCGACAACCTGATTGTAGGTTGCCTTGGAGCTCTTGATCGCGGCATAGCCGTGCTTCTTGGCAACCTTGACGTGGGGAGCAAGATGAGCCTTGTAGAGGGCACAGAGGCGCATCCTGATTGGGGCAGTCGCCTCCATAAACTTGGCCTTGACGTAAGGGACGTGCGGCGCGACGTACGTGCGGTGGACGATCCGGGCACCCCGGCATGTACGGTCAACAACCGGCTTCACGGGGCCGTTCCAGATCTTCAGAAGATGACCCTTGGTCTTCTGGAACGTTGGTTCGAGAGTGTGCTGGTAGAAGGGCGTCGAGGCGACCTTGACCTTTGCGTCCTCGATAGCAGGGTAGATGTAGGGCACCAGGACCTCGTCGTGGTATACATTCGCCGGGTAGCACAACGCCTTGTGAAGGCTCGATTCGGTGGGCTGGACTCTCAGACCAAGAGTGCCGAGGGCCATGGAAGAGAAAGTAGACGGCCGGGCGGAAGACGGAGGGCACAAGACCGTCGAGAAAAGGGATGCAAAGATGATGAAGGGCAGGACGGTAATAAGGCCCCAAAGCGACCACCCGCCGCGCTTCTTGCGCTTGACCTTGACCACCTGGAGCTGGCTGTTAGTTGTGCTTGCGGCGACGTTGAAGGCACTAACCTGGCTCTCCGGGATATTGGTTGTGCGCTTTATCGGAACAGATGGGGCGGCCGACACAGCAGGCTTATAAGCGTCCTGCTGAATCGAAGGGGCAGACTTTCTCCGCGCCTTGTCAGCTCCAGAAACGGTCGGTCCATCCTGGCGTCAGTGATTCTCCACGGCCAAGAGTGAGGCTTACGTAGAACTTGGCCTTCTGCTCTGGGATGTTGGTAACAGGGCGAGGGGAAGCAGATGCCCTCGGTTTTGATTTGGACATGATGACGAGAAACGGGCGGCGCGTGAATAACTGTGCTAGGTCGCTTCCGATAATATAAAACAAGTGGACGAAGAGGAGATGAGAAGAGTTAAAGAGCGTGAGGTGGAGAGGGGAGGGAGGGGGAGATGGGAGATGGAGATGGGAGAGGAAGCGAGGACGAGTATGACGATTGTAACCTCGCGATCGTGCACGTCACTCCCACCAGCGGAACCAATTATAAACCCCACTCACGTGATACTCCTGCCCCTCTCCATCATTCGCCCTCCGTCCATCGCCGCTCTGCCCATCCACAATTCAACAACATCCTAACCGTCAGCTGCCCCTCATCATAGAGCACACACCATGGAGGGCCTGCTCGCTGAGATCAACAACAAGAAGAAAGACCTCTCCTCAGGCGACAAGTACCTACGCCGCGGCGAAGCCCAGCGTGCAAAGGAAGAGGAGGAAGCGCGGCGGCGAGAGGAAGCCCGCAAACGTAGGGCTGAGGAAGCTGACGCGGGGTCCTCAGAACGCGCGTCGAAGTTGCGTAAGGAAGTGAGTGGCCAGCCGAACTTTGAGTATGCACGGAACTGACCAAAGGCGGACGCCGCACGCAACGCATCACTCGCACGCTTGCGCGAGTCGCGCAAGCCAACTCCTACATCCACGGCGGGCTCTCCAGCTCCCGAGGAAGAGAAGGAACGCTACAACCTCTCTCCAGATGAGTGTATCCGGCGTTTGCGATTGTACGGCCAGCCAATCCGTCTATTTGGCGAGACGGACCGAGACCGGCGAGTACGACTGCGCGCGATCGAGCTAGAGGAGGATCGGGGGGACAAGAAGAAGTCGCGGCAGGACGACTTCAAACGCGCTGTAGCAGAACGTGAGCGCGAGGAAGCGGAACGACGCGCGCGCGGTGAGGTTGTCAAGACGGAGGACAAGAATGTGGAGAAGATGAAGAAGTACACGGAGGGCGGGCCGATCGATCTCGATCTGATCAAGACCGACTTCAAGGCACTACACCCGCTGATCTACTGGTATTTCAAGGCGCTTCTCAAGGAATGGGAGGAGTATCTTGAGGCACGCGACGGTTAGTAGCGTCTCGGCAGCCGCTGAGCTGATGGCAGACGAAGTGAAGAGAACCGCGCAGGGCAAGCTCGCTGTCGCAAACCACGCCCAGAGTGCGCAGAACCTGAAGCCCTTGTTCCGCGGTTTGAAGAACCGCGATCTCGCTGAAGATGTCGTGCGTCATCTTGCGGAGGTAGTCCACTTCTGCCAACGCCGGCTGTACTCAAAGGCGCAGGACGCATACCTTCGCCTCTCGATCGGTAACGCGGCGTGGCCTATTGGCGTCGTGTCCGTCGGCATCCACGAACGCTCGAACCAGGGCAAGATCTCGGACAATGTCGCGCACGTCCTCAACGACGAGGTGTCGCGCAAATACATCCAGGCGGTGAAGCGGTGAGTGCAAAAAGGGCGATGCGGGTGCGGACTTTGTCTGACACCAGTCTCATGACCTTCGCGCAGACGGTGCGCCCGCCAGACTCGATTGCACAGATGATGGGGTAGATGTTGTATGCATTACTATGTACGATACGGATGTTCTGATGCCCGAGTCAAGGCTCCCGAATCTGCGGACTACCGATTGGCAGGCCGCATGGGGGGCCTCCGGCTTATATCAAGGCCAGGTTGTTCTTCCCCCCGGCCGGGTACCGCCAGCTAGGAAGCAAGCAGGGGCCAGTGCATCAAGCACCGGCAGACCGGGGGGTGCTGAGGGGAGGCTGTGGGATGATAGCGAAGAGGGGGAGGGGTGAAACTGGTCAGTAGCTCGACTCGATTAAGACGAAGCATCGCGGTTGGGCGTGATCGACTGCATGTCGCGACCTGTTCAGTTTGTGGTAAAAGAGTGAGAGATGTGAAGAGCGGGTTGACAGGTTTGGGACGGAAAAGTTGGGTGAAGCTGGCGGAGCCAAATCTGTTGCCTCCCCATTGGGAAGGACCCTGCCCCACTCGCAAAGCCTCGCCGCCCCACTCCATACTCATTTGTTTTCCGACTAGTCATTCACTGCGACGCCGATGGAACAGTTTGCGTTCACATACACAACGTACACGACGATTATCAAGATGTGCAATACAAGAAGTGTGATAAATCAGTCCCACGCGACGACCTCGACTAGCGTTGCTTGCTTGGTGGTGTTTTAGGTGGCCGAGGCGATGCCTTCGGTGACTTGAGCGCCGCCGCTGCCACCTCCACGTCCTCGAGGGTGAAGTCGACGAAGTCGCCCTCAGGCTCTCCTACCTCAAAGCTCTCTACAAAGGCCCTGAGTCGTCCAAAGAGCTCTGCCTGATGGCCCAACGGCGTGCGTTCTAGGCCCGACGTGTTGGGCACAACCCAAAAGTACGTGTGAGTGTACGTGGGAACCCCTACACCAGGCGAGGGCTGCGGCAGGCCAGAGGCAGCGGCGGGTGAATGTGAAGGTGAAGGTGGGTCGGAGAGTGGTGACGAGGGGTGCGCGGGAGGGGAGGAGGTCTTGGGCGCTGGAGACGGCGACGGCGGGTCCTCTACAACAGTGTCCGACTCCCCTTTCCCCGTCGCTGGCTCATGGCGGGAAAGGACCAGGCGGAGCCGCTGCGGCGCGTCGAATGCAAAGCTGGAGTGCGGAACAGCGCGGACGTACCGCCTCGTGGTCGGGGTTTGCTGCTCGTCCTCGATGGAGACGAGCGGCTCATCTAACTCCTCCTTCACCTTCCCTGCTTCTTCTTGCTGACCCTTCTCCTCTTCATCCTCGGTCAGCTTCTCCTCCCCCTCCTCCGTTCCCGGCTTGGTTTCCACTTTGACGACATCTCCGTTAACAAGTGCGAATGGCACGACTGTTGCGGCTCTGGCTTCTTGCTTCGCAACATCGCGGCGCACGGCCTCTCTCTCTTTCTCGCGCTTGATCTCCTCGGCCTTCTCGATCTTCTCTCTTCTCCGCCCCTCGGCACCCGCGACGCTCTCGAATATGTCCCAGATCTTCTTGCCCACGAAACACACCACTCGTGGGCGGTAGGCTCTGAACTTCCGCACGAGCGGGAGCACAGCCGCACGCATCTCTGCCGGCGAGAGCTCGTTCTGCTCCGCCGTGGGCCGGTCAACAAGGTTGGTCAGTCCGTACCTGTACGCGGAGGGAAGCGTGCTGTCCTCTTCGGGAGAGAGGAGGCGGGGTGTCAAGCCAGAGAGATGCAAAGCCCGCTGCGGTCAGCTCCGCCGAGGCATGCAGCGCACCCAGAACTTGTTGGTGGGATGCGCAAAGTGGTGCCCACGCTTGCTCGAGCGAGTGCCAGGGTTTATGCCGCAGAATATCACTGTCGTCAGCAGCGGATGCCGTGGACTCCGAGTGCAACGCACGCTTCAACTCGGGCGCGAGACAGTCCCCGATCGGCTGGAGATGCGCATACTTCTCCGGACTGGCGTACCCGCGCGCCTTCTTCCACCCGAACTTGTCGAGGCTGCCGTCGGGTCTGCGCTTGGGCGTTCTCGGACTTATGGCGGCGGGCTTGGACGGCGTACTGGGGCCCGAGTCCTCGTCATCGCTCACATACCCGCTCGTGGTGGCCGTGGGCGGCGCTGTCGTGCGAGGACTTCGGCGTGGGCTCGGACTCGCGCCCGCGCCCGCGTATGCGTACTGCGCCAGACGGGAGCGGAGGTTCTCAGCAGGGCTTGCCATGTTCTGGAGGATTGTGGATACGGTGTGGAGATGTCATCGATGGTGGTTGAGTCACAGGGTGGAGGTGGACGGGAGAAGTGGAGGTCGATCCAGTCAGCTTTACGTGCATCTCTCAACAACACATCTCTCGTCCGTCCTCGACGCTCAACAATCGCACGATGGATCAGCCATCGCTCCTGAAGCGTTACCGACCATACTACCGCCCCGGCGAGGTCGAGCGTATGACCGCTCGACAGCGAGGCAAACTCAGCATCTCACGCGAGGAGCGTGTGCGCCAGCAAGCGTGCGCGTTTATCGACGCGGTGGGGGTGCGATGCGGATTGTGAGTCTGCCCGCTTCGCGGACTCTGCAGGCAGCTAACCTCAGTCCACGTAGAACGATCGCGACCGCGCAGACGCTCTACCATCGCTTCCATCTCTTCTTCCCCTACGCGGAGTTCCACTACATCGTGAGATCGTGGCCCCGCTCTGCTGACGCACAGGAAGTCTCCCTCACGACACTATACGTCGCGTGCAAGCTGCACGACACGCTCAAGAAGCCGCGCGACATCATCCTGGCCTCATACGCGCTGCGGTTCCCGCACCTCGTGCGCAAGACGGCCGTGGATGTGTCCGCCGTAGACCCGGCCACGCTCGAAGCAGAGCGCAAGCGCGTTCTGTCAGTGGAACGGCTCGTGCTCGAGACGCTGTGTTTCGCGTTTGGCGTCGCCGTGCCTTTCCCCTACGTGATCAAGATCGGGCGCCGCCTCGGCCTCGGCGCGGACAGCGTGAGGGCGGCGTGGCGCGTCGCCGTCGACGCGCACCGCACTCCCGCGCCCCTCAGCTTCCCGCCACACGTGATTGCGCTAGGGAGCATTTACGCTGCCGCGCTACTGGGTAGCGAAAGTACGACGCCCCATGCAGAAGGCGCGAAGGAGGACGCAACTATCCAACTTCTGGGCAAGGAGGGGCCGTGGGAGACCGAGTACGCGGCCACCGCAGGCGCAGTCGACGAGGTCGCACACGCTCTGCTCGACTTGTACACGACGATCTTGAGCACGCCCGCGACCGACCCCTCACTCCAGCTCTACTCGCCCTCCCCTGTATCGCCGCGTGAGGCGTCAAGATCGGCCCGGCCGTCGCCGGCCCCTGCCAGTGTTGGGGGGACGGCGTACAGACTCCCAACGAAATGGACGCCGCAGGCATTGACTGAGCTCAAAATCCACCTGCGTGAGCGGCGACCAGGGGAGATGCCATGGGACGAGGAGAGCGATGGCGAGGGTGTCGAGGGAATGGGCCGGAGCGACGCGACGGTCCGGTTTGTCTGGGACTGAGCAGTAGAGTGCCCGCCGACTTGTAGCGCATGGGGACAAAGTATAATGCATAGGTCTACCAGAACCCGCCCAACGCATACAAGTCGCTCGCAACTGTCACCACGTCCGTGCCGATCTGGCGCATCATTTCGTTTTGTCGCTTAATGGGTTGGAGCGCGAAGTGCTCCAGCAACCCACCGTCGAGTATACCCTTGACTAGTGGACGGGGTACCAAGTCGTTGCGCACACTGCGGAACGCGCGCGGGTTCAAGCCCGCGACGTGGGGCGCGTTGCGCACCAACTGGTCCTGCACGAGCTGGAGGCGCTTGGCACGCGCCGTCTTGACCGCCACGAGGGTGGTGAGTGCGCCGTCGGCGGTGGCTGGGGTCAGTTTCAGAAAGTGCATATGGCGATCGTCCTCAACTCACCATAGATGAGCTGCGTCTGCGGCGCGACGTCCTCCTCAGCTGTGCGTCGGCGCGCGATAGTCTTGCTCGCCGTGAGCGGCGACGCGCAATGGAACTCGGTCTTGAGGATAAGCTTCTCCCCATTCAAGCTGTCCGGATCGGCAGGGTCAAACGCCAACAGTCGCAGGTCGCCATGCCTGTCGCTGGTGACGAACGCCGCCGCACCCTCCATGACGAGGAAGTCGGCAGAGACCAGCGAGCGGTCCGTGAGGTCGCGTGCGACCGTCGTGAATTTGTATGGGTTCTCCTGAAATGTCGAGAACACGAGCGATTTGACAAAGTCTCCAACGAGAATGAGGTTCTTGAAGACAGCTAGGGACGTGACATACATCGACACGTCGAGGAACGCGAGGCCCATCAGGCGGTCGTCATAATCGAGACCCTTCGCGAGAATCTCTTGTCAGCTTCCGAAAAGACAGAGATGGACTTACCTTTGGCCCGTTTGAGTGGATCAGATATGGCCCAAGGTTGGCCAGCGCGCTGACGGGATTGCGCGTCGGATCCTTCGTGCAGAAGCGAAGACGGAAGCCTGGTTGCCCAGGAGTTGCCCCCACGATCTCATCGACCTCGAAAATGTAGACTGCGCCGTGAGATGCCCGGTCCTCGCCAAAGTTCTTGCCCGTGCCTACAGCGATAAAGTCGCGGAAGCCTGTTGGGCTCGCCGCGCTTTCAAGGTTGACGCTCTGCACTGTCAAAATCGCCTCGTTCTGGTCGAAGTCGTAGCCGTCGATGACACGCCAAGGATCGCTGCCTGCACTAAACAGCTCGAGTGTCGCGCGCTCGTTCAGCGGCGGAATGAGATTTTCACCCTCTGGGCCCAGTTGAATCTCGCCCTCCTCGTCGTACGCCTGGAACGGCACGGAGATATTGGACGCGCCAACGTAATGTCCTGAGGGCGGGTCAAACGCAATCGCAGTGTATGTTCGCTCCATGGCGTAGCGGTCGCACGGCATTGCGAAGTCCGTGTTGAGCGTTGGCGGAAGATAACAGATGAAACTACCATCCTCGATGCGCAAGAAGTACTCGCCGGTGCCACCATGGTGTGTGGTACGCCCGAAAGCGTACGCCGCCTGCTTCAACCCGTACGCGTGTACCGGGTGCGCGTCGCTAGCCAGGATCCAGTGTGGGCGCTCGCCTGTAATGAATGCGCCTGTCATGCCCTCGAGGTCTGCGAAGGGAACGATATTGTACCCCAGATTTGAGATGGCGTTCTGTGCCAACAGCTGGGTGTATACCTTGCGGAAGCGCACGGCCAGCGAGCGACGTGACTGATCGCGCGCATCGAGCGTAAATCGCGGTTGCGCCTCGTAGATGTTGAAGCGTCCCGAGTTGTGCATTACCAACAGATGGGGGCGGACGGTGCGCTTGCCGATTGGGCACATGATCATCTGCCGCACACCGTCCTCGGTGTCTGCCGCGTCGGTCTCGCCCCCGATGTCGTCTGTGAAAGATGGTTCCGAGTTCGACACACCGTTTGACTCAAGCACGAGTGTAAAGTCTGGCAGGCGGCGAATCTGCAGCGCACCCTTGGTTGTCAACAACGCAAGCCACTGGGTACCACGGGCGGCGATAAACGCCGACTCGCGTGTCTCAGCCTCCGAAGCGATGGCAGGCTTGGACTCCTGCAGACGCTTGAGCTGCTCGCCCGTGAGCTGCGTTCGCCCGCGCTGCGCATTGCGCTGTCCCCCGCTCGCGGCAGCAGGAGCTGACGGTTCATCCTTGCGCTCCGTGGCCTCGAATGTCCTAAAAACACCCGTCGTGTCCGAGAACACGTCCGCGGCCTGGCACTCTGGCAAAGGACCAAGGTCGCTGGCCTGTGACACAGTGCGCGCCACAGAGTCGCCGACAAACAGTGTCACCGAACCGTCGGATCGTCGAATAATGACGTAGGGATCAGAGATGGAGGCATCGACTATCGGAGCCAGGTCGGAAGAGGGTGGACATACTACTTGTTGTTCCTCACCATCTATGTGTCAGTACGGGACAGAATGACTGAGTATCTTACCTTGGTCAAGCAACAACACCTTAGTGGCCGAGACGTGAAGAATGCTGGAGCGCTGGAAGAATGCACCCACGTTGATCGCAGGCTCCTCCAGCCGCTTTATCTGCTCCTGCGTCGTCTTCGTTGACAAGGCGTAGATCTAACGTCAGCTGCTGCGTGCCGCGTCGAGCTCACTCTTGTCTGTACCGTATCGGTGGCCACCAAGATGGTTGACAACTCGTTGTCCGGTATGTCCTTGAACTTCTGGGCAGTCGGTCGCTGGATTGGCAGGAACCACGTAGCATTTGCGTTGGCAAGCTGATCAAAACGGCGCTTCTTGGTGATTGGAATGCCTCGCTTGTCGTCAGCTGTGGGATTATGCGCTCGCTCACCCTAAAGACGTTGATAGTGGACCCGGCGCTGCCGCCACCAAGTGCCACGAGCTGAGGATATGTCCTTGCCTGACGTCAGCCGATTCCGGCTCGGTGACAAACGTTTTGATCCGTGACAGCTGTGCCAAACTCAATCGCTGAGATGCGTCCTACGCCGCTCAAAACGTCCTGCTTTATCAAATTGACGTTTGCGGGACCCGTAGGCACAGCCTTCGCAGAGCCATTCGCGGTGCCATTTGCGGCCGGTGCACTCTCTCCGTACAGGTCTGCGATCAGCTGATTGTGGTGGATATGCCTCACCCTCATCCCAGTCCACCTCCATGTCTTCGTTTTTCTGTTCTTCCTTAGCCTCTTCCTCCACGTATTCGCGGACGAGGTCGACCTTTGCGAGAAGCGAGTCGCCTTCTGCCGAGCCAACGAAGAGCCCCTGTGCGCCAGCAGTGACCATTGTTGATGGAGGTGGTACATTGCTGCTGGCCTCGTCTACCTTGATTGCGCCAACAGCCCGCCCGTCCATCTCGAAGCGGACCTGGTGGGCCTGGCCATTTGCAAGCACGAGAAGCATGTCGTTGGGGCCAACAAACTCCGCGCGGGAGCCATCAAGCGTGAGCTTGCGTCCCTCCGAGTCGCGGTTGGTCGAGAGGGACGTTGACAGATCCCACCATCCGTTGACAGCTGCAGATACAATGCGCCCGCCCTGGTCGACATGCACAATGCCATTACCGGCCACGATCGCGATGCCGCCCACCTCCGTGGGGCAGGGCACGAGATACAGGCAGTCCGCCGGAAGACCGGACACAGTCGTCAAGAGAGGATATGAGCCACCTGCACTCAAGTCGATCGTGCGAATCTCGAGGCGGAACGTGTCCTTGTTGGATCTGTACCGTCCCGCCCATGTGTGCGAAGGTTCGAAGAGGAGCGCGACCGTCGGAGAGTGGAAGCCCGGGAGGAAGAGAAGATCCTGCAGATTCTTAATCGTCGGAGAGACGTCAGATAGGGCGAGCACAAAGGACGGAGAGTATGGCACATCGCTGTGGTGAGCGAAGTCGCTGTGGAACTCACTGAGAGTGGCTATCCTGTGTGTGGTCCAACTCGGATTGTTCCTGCAAGATGGGGAGGATTGCGAGTGAGTCCTCCGGCAGTGTGAGGATAGCAAGACGGGACAGAGGGTCACTGCGGAGCATTGGGACATAGCCCTGCAAGTCGCCGTTCACCATCTGCTGACATCGCTCATAGGTATGCAACGAAACGGTTGCGATGTCGCCGCGCGACCACTCGAGGATAGCCATCTACCGTTAGCTAGCTCTCAGGCTCACATGCTCACTTTGGCGTCCTTGAACGACACCAGCAAGCGGTCAAGTCCATCCACACCACTTTCGATGGTACGCAACGGCGCAAGTCCGGTGACCACACCATGCAAGGTGTGCTTCGTGAGAAGGTGTAGCCGAAGTGTCGTCTCGAAGCGCACCGGCGCACGCTAACATGAGCTTCACGAAATGCATATTTACGCTTACATCTGCTGGCGCCGAGTCAAAGAAGCTGTCTCCTACGTCCACATCCCCGTCCTGCCTGTCCTCAACCACGCCTTGGTCGGGCACAGCCGCCGTCTCCTCGCGGACTTCGAAGACGCGGAGGTCTTCACCTCCGGCGACTACGAGGTTTCCGCGCACCTTGACATCTGGTGTCTCGACGGCGGCATGCGGCTTGGGCAGCTGGTAGATAGTCGAGGGGGTGAAGTGAGGAAGGAAGAGCGAGTGGTGGACGGCGGAGGCGGGGAGGAGGGAGGAGTAGAGGGCGTGCATGGCGCCTATTGCGCCTTAAACACGATGCAGCTCGGTCGGCTGATAAGATGTGATTGAGATCCAGGACAAGAGAGGAGATGGGAAGGATGTGATTGTTTGCAATAACACTAGTAGGAGCTGTGATGGATTGTGGTCGAGACAGGCCAAGATGTCAAGATGTCACCCAATGATTCACGGAGGCAGAACTGGCGGGGTGTTTACCTAAGCTGGCATGAAAACATCGTGGCAAGCACGTGGAACATCGGAAGTTCGGAGGAGGTCGCTGCTCAAGATGAGTAGCTTTAGCGCCAGGGTGATTGGTCAAGTGTAGCCATGAGCCACCTGGAAGAAATGCCGAAAGTCCGCCTGGGTGAGATTGAGCCCTGGGCTGGTTGGGTGGTTGGGTGGTGCAGGCAGCACAGGCGAGGGGTCGGGACGCACCGGCCGTACGCAGGCGAGCCTGCTCCTCGCTGCTCGACGTTTGACCTCCAATCCCATCTCCGCCTTCTCATCACTCCCCCTCCTCACCACTCCCTCTGTCCGAGATGTTCTCCTCGGCCCTCCCCCGGCTCGCCACCAGGGCCTCGGCGCGGGTGCCCGCCCAGGCCTTTGCCAAGGTCCGTCAAACGACCCCGGCCCCATTGGCTCGGCTGCGCGAGCAAACGGAGCTCGTGCAGCTGGAGCCGAGGGGGGCGACTCCGCAGAATCGTGTGCTGACGCGCGCAGGCCCGCTTCAACTCGACCTTCTCGAAGCCCGCTGAGTCGTTCGCGTCCCGGGCAACGCTCTACGGCTCGGCTGCCATCGCCGTCGGCACCTCGGCGTGGTACGCACACCTCTTTGGCATCCCGGGCCTCCAGGAGGCGAGCGCCAACACCGCTGCCGAGGTCGGTCTCCACCCCGCCGAGTACCCTTGGCCTCACAAGGGTATCTTCGAGACCTTTGACCACGCCTCGATCCGCCGTGGTTACCTCGGTGCGTGCGCGATGCGGCTGCCCCATGGCTGGAGCAGCCAAAGCCGCGATCTTATCTGACATGACAGTGTACCGTGAGGTCTGCGCTGCCTGCCACTCCCTTGACCGCATTGCCTGGCGCAACCTTGTCGGCGTCTCGCACACTGCCGACGAGGCCAAGGCCATGGCCGCCGAGTTTGAGTACAAGGACGGCCCCAACGACGAGGGCGAGATGTTCGACCGCCCGTGAGTATTGCAGCGGTGTGCAAGGAGCACACCGGCGGGCGAGGTTCGGAACGTGTTACTGACGATGCAGAGGAAAGCTTTCCGACTACATGCCCGCTCCCTACCCTAACGAGGAGGCCGCTCGTGCGGCCAACAACGGTGGTCTTCCTCCCGACCTTTCCCTCATCGTCAAGGCCCGTCACGGCGGCTCGGACTACATCTACTCGCTTCTCACCGGTTACGTTGACCCCCCTCCTGGCGTTACCGTTGCCGAGGGCATGAACTACAACCCCTACTTCCCCGGTGGCGGCATCGCCATGGCCCGTACCCTCTTCGACGGCCTCGTCGAGTACGACGACAACACCCCCGCTACCACCTCGCAGATGGCCAAGGACGTCACCACCTTCCTCAACTGGGCTGCCGAGCCGGAGCACGACGAGCGCAAGAAGATGGGCATGCAGGTGAGTCCTGCGGTGTTGCAGAAGTTGTTGGACGTCCTCGCTGACTCCCAAGGCCGTTATCATTATCAGCGTCTTGACCGCATTGTCTCTTGTCGTCAAGCGCGCCAAGTGGGCTGGCCTGAAGAACCGCAAGATCTACTACGCCCCGCCCAAGCACTGAGTGTTTAGACAAAAGCTCTTCGCCGGGAGATGCAAAAGATAGCACGGAGGGAGGGTGTGGAGGCCGATCCGTCGATCATTAAGGCGCTAATGAAATCTTTGATTCCGCTAATCTCCGAATGTGTTGTGCCTGGGAGGTGACGCTCTGCCGCTCCTTTGTCTAACTGGCTCCGTGCTCCGTGGTGAGAACGTTGCAGAAAGGGGGTTTGCCGAGATTCTGGGACAGGGGAGAGCCGCCGAATGCCCTACTTTACAGGATGAGCCAGTGCATGCCCTTTCCGGGGAGAGAGGGGGGAGGGGGGAGGGCTCGAGGCAATGGCGGCACCATGAACGAACAGTCTGGGAGAGGGAACGCCGCTGCAGCTAACCTAGACCCAGTATGGTCCCGCCGCTCCCCGGCTTTGGGCCGTACAGGCGCGGCTTCATAGATGGACCTGACAGCTGGCCTCGTTGCATGTGTAGGGGCGAGATGTTGTAAATACCGGACAATTCTTTGTCACTGTCACTGGCTTTCGCCCATCACAGCTTGGGCGTTTACGGTGAACTCTGTTAGATGTAGAGCGTCTGTTAGGCCTGTCGCGAGGATCTTGCACCGAGAGCCATCAGCCCGGGTGCCAAGCTTCTGGGCCGTGTGAGACCTGTCCACACCCCATACTGTCGGTGCCCAAGCAACGGTTGTCGAAGACGGATCTCGAAGGCGCCGTGGGCGGCAACACCCTTCGAAATCCGGGCTCGCTCTGTTATTGGAGCCGGCCATGCTGCCGGTGGTTCAGCATTTGTTGGAGTATAGTACTGGCCTCGCCGGAAGCATCGTACCCCGGGTTGTTGGTGCACTCATCCGTTTCGAGTGGAGGGAGGTCCTGCATCCTCTCGATGCAAGGACGATATGGCACTGACCATGCCGAGCAGCCTCCCGGGACATTTGAGGTCTCGGCGCAAGGCTTTCCTTTTTAACGCTCCGACCAACAGAGAAGATACCTTCCTCCACAGCAAATGAAGGATAACCTGCGTTTTTGAAAATAGTCTCCTCGATGTAGGTCTTGACGTACATCTCACTCGGACGAGATATATACCACGGATTATTCCCCCCGCTTTGCAAAGTCAAGAATTTCGCTCAGTGTTCAGCAATCTACAGCTGAAGCAGATAGGATGGATACTTAGAGCATCCCAGTATTTGTGGCGCCCGTTGGCGTTGGAGTGGTGGAAAGGAGGCCACATCTCTGTCCGCTATTTGAAACACACTTTTCTCGGCACTTTGGACATGTATATGGACATTCTATGTATTCCATCGGCGCCTGGGAGTTCGGCAGGACGTTGTCGGATCAGAAAATCAAGTGATGTGATATATGCCTATGTGAATGTGGGAGTGGGGCAGGAGGGATGGTCGGAGGCAAATCCACGCGACTGACTTGAACCTGAACATGCCATGACTTTAGACGCGACGCGTCCTTCATCACCGCCATCCATGGAACAAGAGCGCAGCCTGCACGAGACGCTCGCCTCTGGCCTCGGCGGCGAGGTAACAGACCGGGTGCTATTGTAAGCCCTTCATCGCTTCCTCCACTGACGACAGCTCGGGCTCCGCGCGCCCCCTATGGCTCCTCAAGCCGCTCCCGATCCCCGCGCACAATGTGCAGCCGCGCGGCGCCACGCTCGCAGGGATGTGTATGAACATCGTCAGCGCGAACTTTGACGCGTTCCGCCCCGGCGACTTGCGCATCCCCCCGCTCCTCTTTCGCCGCCTCATGGCCGTGGTCAACCACGACAGGTGGTACTCGGAAGCGAAGAGCTACGAGCGGCCAGACGAGGCGACGCTGTGGGGCTTCACGGCCGTGCACGACCCCGAGGGCGCCGCGCGCTGGGTGCCCTCGCACACGGTCGCGTTGCCGTGCGTCAACACGCTGCATAATCTCGCGACGTCGACGACGCGCACGGAGGACCAGGAACACCCGCTCGTCAGCCTCCCGCGTACATTCCACTCGCTCAACCCGGGGTACGCCCTCCTCACGAGTCTGACGCTGGACGGCAGCGTCGACGACGCGGGCATCCAGTCGCTACGGTGGGCGGATAGCCTCACTGTCCTTTGGATTCGTAACAACGGGAAGATTACCGATGACGGGATCCGCATGCTCGCTGCCTCGCTCGAGCTCTCGGAGTGGGAGGAGGGGCGGGGCTGCTGGCGCCTCCGCGCGCTCTATCTCCCCGGATGCCGCCGCATCGGAGACAAGAGCATGAAAGCGCTGGCGCGCTGGCCCGGGCTCAGCGTGCTCGATGTGCGGGACACGAGCTGCACCGAAGTCGCATTGCAAGTCGTCAACAGGGCCAGCGCGGGCTTCTTCGATGACCAGCCGCCATTCCAGCGCTGCACCGAAGGGCTGAGGGAGCTCTTCTTGACGACGTACGATCCCGAGGAGGTGCTCGACAATCTCACCGCGACGCTGCTCAAGCCCGACATTCCTACAAGCACCGACGAGAACACAGAAGAAGAGAAGAGGCGGCATCTCTCACTGCACGTAATTCCCGGGTCCACGCCAGCCCCCGAATACCTGCACGACGCGTACCGCCCCCAGTGGTCCGCGGAGCTTAAGACGACGGGGCGCGGCCACTTTGTGGCCGGCGGCACGGGCACGGTGTGGGGCCGCAACGCGGCACACGTGAACGACCACGAAGCCGAGCGGCGGCGGCACGCGGTGGGGTGGGCGCTGAACTTCCAAGCGCACGAAGAGGCGCAAGACCGCGCAAAGGCCGTGGGGCGGCGCGCGCCCAAGAGCTGGTGGGAGAAGGAGGCGGAGCAGGTCAAGAAGGCGCGGCGCGAGTTCTACGAGGGCGTGCGGCGCGCGCACGGCTACCGCGCCGCGGCCGAGTCGAGCCACGTCGCCGGCCGCGCGTACTATCCCCAGAAGCGCGAGGCCGAGCCCGTCGACCGCGAGGTGCGCGGCATGCCGGATCTTATGCTGGTGCGCCTCGTGCACCCGCAGTGGACGCAGCTGCGGTATCGCAGGGCGGAGGTGGTCGCGCAGCCGACGGTGCGGCGGCGCGCGGCGGGCCGCGATGAGCTCGCTGACATGCTCGTGTCGATTGACGCGCCGCCGTCGCAGTCGCAGTCGCAGTCGCAGTCGCAGTCGCAATCGCAGCCGCCATTGTGCTCGCAGGAGAGCTCGCAGAGTCCGCCACGCTCGCAGGATGCCAAGAAGAGGCCGTGGATTACACGCGCGCCACCCGCCTCTCTTCCTCCAAGCAGCCAGGGGAGCCAGGCCAAGCGCAACCCGTTCGCAGCCAAGCCGGCGCCGCGAACAGCATCCGGCGTACTCAAGCTGCCGCCGGCACAGGCATCGACAGAGCCGAAACCCCCCGCATCCGTCAAAGCTGGTGCGAAGAGGGATCCGCTCGCGTTCTTGGACAAGGGGAAGGGCAAGGCGGACACCGAACGCAACGTGTCGGCACGGAGAGACCCCCTCGCCTTCGTCAAAGCGACGCCGAGGGCGACAGAGCCCCCCACCTCATCCGCGAGGGGAACGGTGTCTACAACGCTCAAGCCTACGCCCACGCCAGCGCCAGCGCCAGCGCCCGCACCCAAGCTGTCCATCGCGAAACGACACGCCGCACCAGCCGGCCCACCGCCCAAACGCACACTCACAGATTTCTTCGCTCCCAAGTAACTTCGAGCCATCGCCTTCTGCCGGATCTAGTGGAATCCCATGTATGTAGCATGTTGTATGCAGTTCTCCCGATCACCCGGTCTTCTCTTTCCTGATGTGCTCGGGGCGACGCCATCCCGGCGCCACCCCCCGCAAGCATCCGATCACACACGACGTGAAGAGGCCCGGCGGACGCGTCGCACGCATACTCCGTGCTGCGTGCTGCGGCGAAGAGGGCGTGATGCCCGGCTTCCGGTAGAAGCTTCTTGCCCACAAGTTGCACGTTCCCAACGAGCGGTACGAGTCAGGATCAGGTCAGTGAGTCAGTTGCACGGACACGCCCTTCTGGGCAGGGGAATGGGCCACCATGCTGTGCCGCCTGGGCCCCATGTTGTCAGCGAGGACCCCGGATGTGGGCCCATCCTACACCAGCTGTCTAGATCGGATACATGAGGGCACGCCGCGATTATAAGAGCGGTAGCCTGCGAGCAGGGGATAACGAGTGTGGGGGGTATGGGTAGTGTGCCAGCGCGAGGTTACATGACTGGGATTAGCGACGGGGGCTGGAGACGACGCACTGGTGCATCCGCACCCGGTCTCGGGGGGCGCGTACGGGTCCTCGCCGCGCTTGAGCTCGCCCCACACGCTCGGGAGGATGGGGTCGCGTGTGTCCTGGCAGTACCGGATGAGTCTGGGGTCAGCCGAGCCGCGGGCGCAGCGAGCGGCGACAGGTTGCCAGGTTGCCAGGTTGCCAGGCTTCCAGGCGGATGCGGAGGGCGACGAGCAGCGTGAGGCTGGAAAAACCAGCCTGATTGTGATGCAGCGAGAGGCGCGGGCGCAGCCGATGGCCGCCAGGACGCTGGATGCGCCACTTTGGCATGCCCTGGTTGACGGGGGGCGGTCCAAGCTCAGCCATGGCCTCAATTTATCTAGCGATGGGCGGTCATGCCATCACTGTCGCTGAGTGCTGCGCAGCGTCAAGTGCGGCGAGAGGGTGTGATCTCGTTGATGGAAGGGCGCATAATTGAGGCTTCCTTCCTTGGGGCGTGACACAAGATGGTCCTCGATGCTGGCTCTCTAGGCCCCAGGAGCGGAAACCTCGATTTGGCCTCCTCGAAGCCCTGCTCGGCTCCCACCGTGGCCTTGCAGCTATCTCGTACCCGCCGACGTCTGTTCTTGCCGCCTGGCCGCCCGGCAACCATTTTGCTTCGGCGTTAGAACTCACCCTAAGCTAGCCTGCGACACTGGAATACGTGGCCGGCTCAGGTCCTCCTTGAGACGGGCGTTGTTCTCGAGGATGCGGCGAAGCTTGAGCTCGTGCATGCTGTTCTTGTTATGCCGGCGGGGCTGATCCTCAGGCTGGAGTGTGGTTGGCATGATGAAAGGGGGAAGGGGAGAGGATGAGGGAGGTGCGGAGGGGGCGAAGAGGGTGAGGCTGTCCCAAGTGCTGATAGGGAGGTAGTTGTTCAAGGCAAGGCTGGCTGAAGGGAGTAACACGAAGGCGAAGAGGGGACGGGGAACGAGTGAGGGGAGTTGTGGAGTGTTAAGAGAAGAGGAGCGTGGAGAGCGTGGAGAGAAGTGGGGAGGAGAGAGAAAGAGGTGTGTGCGAGAGAGAGAGAGGGGGCGACGAGGACGACGAGGACGAGGATGAGGCCGAGGGAAGGATTGTTCTCAGACGGCGCAGGCGTCTATTGTCAACTTCAGGAATGGCACGGACCGCCTCCACCCTCCACATCCACCCCCCCACCCCATCCACCCCAATGGAGCCCAACACTCCCGCAGGGTCTGTCTCGCTCTAGGCTTTGCTTTCCCATCGTCGTCACATCAGAGCAACAGTGCAACGATCAGTGCATCGCGTCCGGCCTATGCGTGGTGAGCCATGAGCAGAGGATGGCGAGCAACGAGTTGGCGAGATGTGATGCGCATTTCATTAGGAGGGAATCCGCCGTGTGTAATTGAGCGACCACCGCTTTTCATCATTTTATATCAACGCCCTCCGCCCCAGGTCGCCCGACACCGCGCCCCGATCAGTCGAGTAGCTAAGCGAGGCATGTTGCGCCGAGAATACGGAGACCCTGCCGCCGGCGTGGAATGGTGACGCCGGTTACTGCGGTTTGCGGACCGACCTGCACCGACAATGGCCCCACCTTGTCACCTCGCTCTGATATGGCTGGGACCTCTGCAGAAGTGAGCCTCAGTCTTTGCGCCTGAGGCGGCGACATCAAACGCTTCGCCATCAGTCCTTGCCTCGACCTCGACGTTTTCCTCCTGCTGTCATACCGACCTCGAGAGCTCGAGAAGGGGCGCGCCGGCTGCTATTCAGCGAAGGCCTGTCCTAGTTGCATATCTCACGAACTGAGCCACACCATTCCCGTATCAAGACCTACGCCGCTCGAACGATGTGTTTGCCTAATTGGCCTAATAACTGGGTATTTGTGTGCGAACTCTTGATCGCTGTGTGGTCTTACAACATGCCAACACAACCACTCCTTGTCCACACTCGAAGCACTTGCGTACTTAACGGATTCACACATACTCGAACTGCTCGCTCAATATTGCCACGGCTAACATGTTTCTTCTAGGATTCAAAGGGTACAGACAGACTCGTCAGTTCCACCACACGGGCGAGGCGAGGCGACGCTACGCGCTCCCCCAAAACGAGGCGTGTGCACGCGTAACGTTGGCCTGGCATAATCATGTCTATGTCACAGGGTACGATACGGATTACCCCGCTCTATAGATCCATGTGTGATGGGGAGTCAATGAATGATGAACAGTCTATGTGGTCAATTGCAACGAGTGAGGGCCAGGCCATACCGCGCCGCGAACCGATCAAGTGTGGGGAAGGGGGAGGGGGGGAGAGGGAACAAAGAAGGGAGAGGGCGATGAGAAGGGGAGGATAATGGTTTACCACCTGCTGCCGTAGCCGCGGTCGCCGCCACCGCCACCGCCGCCGCCGAAAGAGTTGGCGCCGGAGCGGAAGCCACCACGACCTCCGCCAAAGCCGCGGCCACCACGGCCACGGCCACCGCCGCCACCACCACCGTAGCGAGCCATTTCCTCAAGCTCTGGGGGAACCTCCGACTTGGACTCGCGGAGAATGCCAATGAGCTCCCTTGCCTGCTTCGAGTTGTCGGTGGTGAAGTAGGTGTACGAGGTACCCTTGCGGCCAGCACGACCGGTACGGCCAATGCGGTGAATGTAGTCCTCGCAGTTGTTGGGGAAGTCGTAGTTAATGACGTAACTGGCGTCAGTCTAGGTGCTTGAAGAGGGGGTACTCACGAAATGTCCTTGACATCTGTAAGAGGAATGGGATCACGGAGCAGTGAGCAAATTCAAAATGAACAAGCAGAATCCGGAACGAGAAGAAAGGTCAACACACAATCACACGGGGAGTGCCCTCTTGCACGCGACGGGACTCGGAATGAGGGCCGAATCTCCAGGAAGGGGACGCTGCGGACACTCAGTAAGCCGACCACACAGGGGCCGGACGAACAGATGGGATGTGTGTCTGCTGCGTCACGGGCGCGCTACCCTCCTCGCTTGAACTAACTGCTCAGAGGAGGGCAATGGCGTCTGTCTGCTGCTGTGATCTGGAGCTCAGAGAGAATGCTCAACGAGAGAGACTTCCAAGACGAGGAGATCACGGCCAGACGCCTGCGCGCACAACCGGTTTGGAGATTTCAGTGCCCAGAGTTCTAAGAGCCTGACGCCTGTGACAAGTTAGAATGGCAGGGGTACGTACCGAGACCACGCGAGGCGACATCGGTGGCGAGCATGATTGGGCTACGGCCCGACTTGAACTCGGCAAGGACCCAGTCGCGTTCGGCCTGCTGCTTGTCGCCGTGGATGGCGAGTGCTGGCCAGCCGTCCTGGCGCATAAACTTGGTAAGGTCGTCGGCGACGCGCTTGGTGCCAACAAAGATCAGCACCTTGGCGTTCTCACGCGAAATCTGGTCGAGGTGCTTCAGCAGCATCTGACGCTTGTCAAAGTCGGAGCAGACGGTGACGTGCTGAGCGACGTTGTGGTTCGCAGTGAGGTCCATGGAGCCAATGTTGACCTGGATGTAGTCGTGAAGGAAGTCAGTTGCGAGACGCTGCACATCCTTGGGCCAAGTGGCCGAAAAGAGGAGAGTCTGACGGTCGGGGCGAATCTGCGACACAATCTTGCGGATCTGGGGCTCGAAACCCATGTCGAGCATGCGGTCGGCCTCGTCCATGACGAGGTAAGTAACACGACGGAGGTTAGTCTTGCCAGACTCGAGCATGTCGATGAGACGGCCGGGCGTGGCAACGACGATCTCGCAGCCGCGCTGGAGGTCGCGGATCTGGGGACCCTTGGGCGCACCACCGTAGATGGCGGTGTTGCGGATTCTGGAGGACTTGCCGAACTTGGTGCACTCGGCCTGGATCTGGACTGCGAGCTCACGGGTGGGGGCAAGGATGAGAACAATGGGGCCGTCACCGGGCGCGAGAAGCGGCTGGGCGTTGATGTGGACCATGGCGGGAAGGGCGAACGAAATGGTCTTGCCGGAACCGGTCTCGGCAATGGCGACGACGTCGCGACCCGAGAGGGCCATAGGCCAGGCCTGGCACTGAATAGGGGTAGGTGCCTCGAAGCCCATAGCGCGAATCTCGGTCATGCAGTACTCGGGGAAGCCAGCCTCCTCGAAGTTGGTGATGGGGCGGGGAACGTTGGTGCCCTGGATGCGCATGTCCTTCTCCTTGCGGAACGCGGCGATCTCCTCCTCGGAGCGCGCGGAGACAGCCTTGTCCTCGATGTAGAAGTTCTTCTCGAACTTGATGAGCTCGGTCGACTGCCAGTCGATGTTGCGAAGGCCGGAGCCAAGGTTGCCCATGCGGTCGCCGCCTGCAGAGTCAGCATGATCCGAACGCGACGAGGCAAATCGTCGATACGAGCCATTAAAGCCGCCGCCGAAGCCGCCACCGTAACTGCCGCGAGAGAACTGACCACCGCCGCCGCCGCCGTAACCGCCGCCGTAGCCGCCGCCACCACCACCGCCGCCGTAGCCACCACCGTAGCCACCACCACCACCACCGCCGTAGCCACCGCCGCCACCGCCGCCGTAACCGCCACCGTAAGACTGTATGTTAGCTAGACGCTTGTGGGATGAAGAGAGGGAAGGGAAGATAACGACTTGACGCTCCACCTGAGTGGCGAAGAAATTCGTTACTCACCATTTTGCTGGGTTGTTTGAGGGTGTTAAGACGAAGAGAATGACAAGAGGTCTGTATCGGACCTGTGTTTTGATGTGAATGTGTAGAGGAGGGAGACGGGATGTGTCTCAAGAAGATGGGAGAGGAGGGTGTAGAGGAGGGGGAGAGAGTAGAGTGAAGATGAAGAATAGGGGGAGGGATCTGTTGATGGCGGCGACGCAACTGTGCTTTCAGTGGCGCCCGCGCCCCGCTCTGGAGCGCCTGGGGTGGAGTGGGAAGAATCTGCTTCCGTGTTCCAGTGAAGCTTTTCCACTCAATTGCCCTCCCGCCCGCCGCCCTCCCCTCTGTGGCGTCACCCAGCACTACCAGTGGCTCGAATAAGAGCGGGGTTAGTGGACTACCACGTGTTGTGGCATCTCGTGACTTACTCACCGATCGCGCCAAAAGTCTCTGTGGAAAGTTACTCGACTGCGACCTTGTTCATTCTCCATCCCTCAAGACGGTGTAGGCCATCGTAAGTCCTCCATCCCCCTCCTGATGAAACTTCGACATTTGCACGTCAGTACGACAGCCACGCTCCTAGCTTGCTAGGCTGTGGCTGGCACGAGTTCACTTCGCATTTCTGAACCTCTCGTCGGCGCATGTGAGCAAGAGCTGACACTTAGGTATGCAAGTATGAACAACGACTGCGTTTGCGAGTCCGGAAGTGAAGCATTACTGACCCCCTCCCCTTCCCCTCCATGTCATTGCGGGCTGGCTTTGCCTCCCCACGCTCTCAGTCCCCCGTCACAGCGGTAAGACCTTTCGTCGAGCCATGCTGTTGGTGGGGATATCCGGCCTAAGTGGTTGGACGAGCGAAGAAGAATTATTCAACTGGGCATGTCATCGCGTCTATACGCATCCACTGCGCGGAGACTAATCAGTTGAACCGACATTCTACTCTAGTATGAAATGCATCTCATCCTCTCGAGTTTTGGCAGCACGCCTTGATTTCTGTATCTCTGTCTGTCGATGCGTCGAACAAGTGGTACCTGGAAGTGCCTCCACGGTCTCACGCGGAATCCGTTCGAATGCGTCATGACGGAAGCATAAACTTGCGGTGGAGGTCGCCCAGTTGCATGACTACTATCGGTCTCAGTCTCGGTCACAGCATCACTCACATCACCATGTTCGTCAAAGACATCGTCGAGCGCGACGCGCCTCCGCCGAGCGCACCTCAACTGCCCGCCACGCAATCCAAGGGGTTTCCCATCGCCTCGCACCGCAGCGGCAGTGCCTTCGCCCGTGCGCGCAAGGATGCCAAAGTGCGCGCCGGCGGTGGTCTTACTGTGGGCGAAGGGCGGGTCGTGGACGCGGTGCCGGCCGTCGGGTCCTCTTCACAGCCTCAATCCTTCCAGGAGGATGCGGCGCCGCGCCCCGCAGCCCCTCTCCCAGCCCTCACGGAGGCTGAGCAACTGCGCCGCCAGGTGCACGCGGAGAACCTCGCGCGTATTTCCAGCATGTCCGACGCTGAGCGGGAAGCGGAGGCCGCTGAACTGAAAGAACGCTTTGGCGATGACATTGTTGATCTCATGCGTCGTCGGCGGGCCGCGCGCGACGCGGCCGCTAGGGATGCAACGACAAGTGCCGGGCCGCGCCTCATAAGGAGCCAAAGAGGGATGGGCGTGTTTGAGGGCGGAGCGGTGGAGCGGCCGCAGAGGGGGCCCGCAGCAGATCTGGGCAACTTGGAGACCGGCGGTCTCGAAAGAGCACGCAGGATGCAAGCGGGCGGAGCAGGCGAACTCGACGCTAACGAGCGCGCACAGAATGCCGCGCGTGTGGCCGGCATGAGCGCCGGTGAGCGTGAAGACGAGATGCGCGACCTGGAAGAGCGCTTCGGCGCGGCACTTCTCGGCCGGTTAAAGACTACGCTCCAGAAGCGCACCTCCCCGACGCCGAAGGAGGAAAAGCCAGGTGAGCTCTTATCCGTGTCTTTGCTGACGACAGCACCCCCTGCAAAGGCCGTGCACGAGCATCCGACACCTGACCCGCGCCCACTTAAATCTCCACGCGCCAGCAAGGAGGTACGCTTCGACGCGCCGACACCTTCACAGCTGCGGCAGTACTTCCCCGACGCACCGGCGCACGATCCCAAGCTAGAATGGATGACTAACTCCGCCTCTGCCCCTATCGAGCCCAAGCCTCCAGCGAAGGAGCAGGAGGATGCCCCTCGCTTCGATCTCCAGGGCAACCCGCTCAGCCGCGAGCAGGCCGCCAGCCTCCCGTCTCACCTGGGCCTGCACCACCACGGCGACGCGCCTGATATGGCAGGCTATACCATCGGAGAGATCACGCATCTGTGCTACTCCACGGTCGCGAGCCAGCGGGTCGCGATGATGGGGGTGTTGGGGAGGGTTTTGCGAAATTACACACGGGCCGAGAGTGTAGGCAAGGAGAAACCCGCGAAGAAGGTTGCAGGAGAGCCAGAAACGGAGGAGGGGGTTGGAGCACAGGGCGACGAGCAGCTTGACTGGCTCGCCGCCTGCCGTGAAGACGACATTGAATCCAAGGCTCTCTCTGTCGCCTCGTCCGTCCTCTCCTCGCCGACGCGCGCGCTCTCTGTAGTTTCCGCAGCCATTGACCTCCTCTTCACGGCCCTCGGCGGGCCATGGGCGTACTTGGACAACCCCCCCATCGCGTTCCATCCAGACCCCACGAAAGACGGCGAGGGGACAGGTACCGCCGCTGTCGCCTGGGACGACCTCGCCCCGCGCTTGTCTGAACTCATCTCCTCTGATCTGCCCGCCTCTACTCGGGCCCAACTCCTGCGCATCCTTCGCCGCGCGGCCACCTCCGCCCCGCAAGTGGCGGAGCTGATCACCCCGATCGTCCCACACGCCGTGAAAGCGCTCGTACTCCGGCCCGCGTGGCCAGACGCGCTGCCGAACATGGACGCCCTTGTGCTTCTGCGGGAGACGGTCGAGAGCAGCCGCGAGTCAGCCGACGTACTGCGGCCAACTGCGGAGGCGCTGCTCAAGTTCCTCGCGACGGACATCCCCTCATCCGGGACGGAGGTCGTGCTCGAAGTCCTGCGCATTCTCTACGCCCTGGGGCGGTACGGCATGGCCGCGGGGCTCGCGGCCAGCGCGCGCGAGATCTGGTCGCGTTTGGGTCCGTGGGCGCTGGGGCAGGAGGAGAAGACGTTTGCGGCGTACTTCGACCTCTTGAGGGTCTGGGTGGTGTGCGCAATCGACCCGCACCGTACCACGCCGGAGCACGACCTGACGTGGTCCCAGCTAACGGCGCTGGGGGTGGTGGAAGAGACGCTTGCGGCGACCAAAACGCTGATTTCCTCTGAGGAGAAAGAGTGGGGCAAGCTTGCCGCCACGCTCGCCGTACTCGCCGAGTACGCGCTCGGCGCGGGCATCAACGGGCAGCGAGGGGGAGAAGCCGAGAAGGCTGCTCTCTTGTCTTCCCTGCAGAGCATGAATCTCCTCGAGGCGATTCCGAGCGCGCTCGCCGACATCCCCTCTGCGGCGAGCCAAGACGGGCCGGGATTCAACGCCGCGCTCGCGCAGCTGTTCCGCCTGAACAATGCGCTCGGGTTCGAGCTCGTCGTCGGCCCGCCGCTCCAGCGCCTCGTGTGGTGGACGCTGGCCACCACGAGCAGCGAAGACGTCGAGCTGCGGCACGCGGTGCTGCAGACTGCGAAGCGGGGTGTCGTGGATCTGGGCATGTGGGCGCGCTCGGCGTTCGACCTCGCGCTGAACTTTGGCCCGGGCGATGAGCCGCTCGCCATGAGCCTCGTAGACGACATCATCCGGACGGACTGGACGCCGCTGGCGTCCGCGGACGAGCACTCGGACGAGCACGCGGAACACTCTGACGAGGAGGACGACCCCGCGCCCGTCCTCGCCGCCATCGCGTCCATCGACCACAATGACGGCCTCACGGTCCTCCGCCCGCTGCTGCACGCCACGATCCTGCCCGCGCTCGCTGACATCCTCGCCCCCCGCCCCTCCCACCTCTACCTCAAAGCGACGGGGACGCTGCGCGCACCGCCCCCGTCGTGGCCGCAAGCCCTCCCGCTGTCGCCCGACTGGGTCTTCTCGCCGCTCGACGAGCTCCTGCGCTCGGGCGCGTCCGACGCCCTCTCCCTCGCCCCGACAGACTGGGACGCGTCCGAGCCGCAGCTCGCACGCGCAACCCTCGCCCTCGCCCGCCTCGCTCGCCTCACCTCCCCTAGCTACCGGAACAGAAGCGACGCCATCTTGGGATGCATGAAAGTGTTCATGCTCGAGCACGGGCTGAACGATGCCCCGAACGCGGTCAAAGACGTGTTCCGGGACGACGCGGTCGCGGCGTCCCTCGCCGCGCTGCTCGACGCCGTCTCCGTGCCTTCTTCGTCCCCGCCTGCCCCCGCCGACGTGCCCCCCGCGCCGCTCGAAGCCGCCCGCTTCCTCGGCGACACCCCCTTCTTCCAGTTCTACCAGGACCTCGTGGCACTCTACGAGGCCGTGTCGTTCGGCGACGCGTCGTTCTCACGCGTCCTCCTCCCCCCTCTCGCGATGAACTATGCCGTGGACTACCGCCGCCTGCTGTGGGCCGAGAGCGGCGCGCTCCGCTCGCTCCGCGTGACGGACAGCGTGCCGCTCGAGTGCGGAACCATTGCAGCGTATTTCTCGCCCCTCGAGACGGACCGCGGCGTCCTCCATGCTTACGCGCGCGCGGTCGTGGGCGGCAAAGAGGGATTCCTTGGCCGCGTGGCCACGCACCACCTCGCAGGCCTGTTGTGGAAGGGTACAGAGACAGAGCGAGCGAGTCCGCGCGTGCAGCTTCTTGTCGTCGTGTTGGCGCAGGGGAGCGATGCCGTGCTTCGGCGCGTGCTCGCACATGACGTGGACAAGGACAACGGGACCGGAGTTGTTAGCGAGGAGGAGGTGCGGCGCCGCGCCACTACAGCCGCGCAGCTGGGCGGGCCTCGTGCCGTCGCGCGCCTCAAGGCCGCAGGGTACGACGTAGTTTAGCACAGCAGTTATCATGCATAGATCAAATTCACAAGGGTGTCGCTGTACACAGAGGCATATGGCTTCCGAGGGGAGCCTGATTCGATCTAGCTCCCGTCGCATGTGGCGCCACAAGGCGCTGGGTGCAGCGCGCAGCCGGCCGTCTGCTTGGTTGGTTTGCGAGGAGGGTCAAGTGCCACCGTGCCGCTACGAATTCGTAATCCGCACCTTGATGCCGCGGCGAGACATGCTCTGCTCGACGTTGCTGAGGTCCTCGTGCTCGAGCCGCTTCTCATTCTGCAGCACAAGACGCTTCAACTGTTCCTGTTCGGCGCGTGACTCAGCTTGATGCGTGCGCACGCTGCTAGCAATGGACGAGTCGATGGGAATGTCCACGGAGCGCACTTGCGGCTTGTTGCCCTTCTTGGACAGCAGCATGAACTGCATCTTGCCCGCCTCAGGCTCCCCGTTCTGTGGCCGCTTGCGGAACATGGGCACCGCCTGATCGAACACGGGTGGCGCCGCCTTGCGCTCGACGGTCGTGTCGGCGAGCATCCGCGCAAAGTCGCGTTCAAACTCATCCTGTGCTCGCTCGTCGAACTCGTCCAGCTCCTTGGGTTGCTCGCGGATTACCACAACGTCGTCCTCGTCGTCATCGTCTGCCATGGGCAATTCTGTCTCCTCCTCCTCTTCCTCTTCCTCATCATCAGTGTCGTCGATGCGCTCGAGGGCGCCTTCGTTGCTCCTCTCGCCCTCCTCCTCGTCATCGTCGTCATCTTGGTCTGTCTGTCAGGCGCTGATCAGCGAAACACCTTACCAGTGACATTGGCTGCAAGCATCGCGTCTAGGGCCTGAGCGGCCTCCTGGAATGTGCGTAAACGGTTGATGGCAGGGCCGTCCTTAACGCCCTTTGGCCGCCCCTTGGGACGGAGGGTCTCAAGCAGGTCGTCGAGCATAAAGTCGACGTCCATTGGCATGTCCGCCTTGCAAACCGCATAGAGCTGTCGTCAGTTGTGGAGAGACGAGGTAGTTTACCTGGAGGACAACTAGGTAGTGGTCTGATCTCCGCCGCAGAGAGCCCTTGCCGAAGCAGCTCCCGCATGTGTCGAGGATCACGCAAGCCAAGCGCACGCGGAAGAAGTCCTGCACCGAGTCAATGGGGCTGTCACGCCCAGGAACTGGGAAGCCCTCGGCTGCGGTTAGTCGTAAGGCTAAACGGTCTGAACTCACGATGTCCGAAAGAAAGAAGCTGCCAGAGCACCTCAAAGATGACCGCCGCGTTGACGACGCGGTACATATACAACTCAGCAAGGAACTTCACGCTCGCGATACGGCGTTGGTTAAACTTGAAAATGTTCTCCTGCGTGGGTCAGCAGAGAAGACGGCGCATCCCACCTCCAGTCCAATGCGGATGTCCTCCATGACTTGGTCGACCACAGCCACGGCAAAGTCAACGTGGTAGCGTTGCAGGTCGTATACGAGTGCCGCTATCCGACCAATGTTTTCGTATTTGACCTCCCATACCTCCGTGAATGTTCTGAGAAGGAAGTCTGCGGTCTCCGGATCCTCCCAGTGCATCTTGCGCAAAAGAAGCAGGACCTTGTCCTGCGTGCGCTTTGTGAGCGCGTCGTACAGCAAATGCTGGATGTAGAGCTGCATTGGTGGGAGCTCCACGACCTCGCGTGCGACCCGTTCTGGTGGATTGCACTTGCGTGAGCAGGCTCTAATCAACCGTGCCTACCTGGTAGAAGGCATTCTCGAGCATGATGTTGAGGCGCTGGTCAAGGTGTGTCACACTTTGCTTGCGACGCATTAGCTCGATCTGGCGTCAGTATATCAGGCGGGGCAAGCCACGCACCATTCTCTTGGCCGTCTCGGATGTGCCCTCAGAGCGCAGCAGGAAGCGACCACAAGTCTCAAGAAGATTCGCAATGTTCTCAACATTGAACTTGAAGTTATCAACGAATACCTTCAGGACGTGGAGGATGGTGTACGGTCGCGCAACCTTGAACTTCGCCAGCTCCCCATAAAACCGAACGTTCTGAAGTAAGTCACACGTGCTGGGATATGGACTATACCTTCAACCGGATACTGTCGAGCTCGCGAATTGTGCGTTTCCGCTGAAGATACCGCATTTCCTCGTCGAGCGTCTCGATAATGCCCTTGCCGACGTCAGGCATATACTTGTCGAGGATGGCAACGAAGCGAGAGTAGTGTGGGAGAAGATCAGTGCGACTCTTCGGCACCGACGCGATGAACTGAAGTCAGCGCATGGAGTGGGCGGCGGCTTACCCTGACTAGACGGCGACGCGCAGCCTTGGAGTTAAGGAAGGCAAACTCGACTGCGAGCTTGTCGATCATTTCGCGGTTGACGGCCTCGGGAAGCGCGGCGAAAAGCGCAGTAAGACGAGCAGCAGGACCAGATTGGATCTCCTCGTCCGCTGCCGCGTCCGCAGCAGGCTGCGGCTCCTCCTCGTGAGCCTCTTGCTCCGCAGGGCCTGCCTCGTCCGAGACCGTTGACTCGACCCGGTCCAGGGGCACAGCCTCTTCCTCACTCGAGACACCCTCAAGCGCCATTAACTCAAGCTGGCGGCGAATGTCCTCTTCGTCGCGCTTACGGGCCTCGGCGTCTGCCGAAACATCGCCCTCCGCTACTTCCCCCTCTGGTGCCCTCCCTTTCTCGTCCTCCTCCTTCTCCAGCTTCTTGTCCTTCACGCCCAGCAAAGTGGGCGGAACCAGATCTAAGAGGTCAGGGAGATCTTCGTAGAACCGACGCTCCTCCTCGTCGTCCCAGATACCACCGGGCACAACCCCATCATCGCGCACGGCAAACGATGACGTCGTGTTGACAATCTGAAGCCCAGACTTGCCCAAGGATGCGGCAGTTGGAAGAACCGGCGCCTCGAGCCCGAGGAGGTCAGCGAGACCCTGTACACCGGTGGTAAGGCGTTCCACGGCCCGTGTCATACGTTCGTATGCGTGCTGACGGTCCTCGAAGATCTCGCCGGACTTGATGTATGCCTCGTGATTACGCTTATCTTGTTCCAAGAGTTTCTGGAGTTAGCCCAGTCTCCCTACAGATCTCACAAGTTGTCCCTTGACAAGAGTCTTGCTCGCCATGTCAAAGTACTTGACGAATAGGTCGCGCATCTGCCTCTGCACCTCGACGGGGATAAGCTCCTCGACGCCTTCGGGGAGCGCCTCAGGCGCGATGCCGTCCTTGGGCGGCAAAGGCCCGAGATATGCCCGGTTGAAGTGCTTAAGAAAGGTGGACATAAGAGGAATGTTTGTAAACTGCGGGTCATTGTTCATCTGCCAGTCAGCGTCAAATTGCCACCCAACACACGAGGGTTTTGAGAACTTTGCCGACCTCGGCGGCGCCCTTGAGCGCTCCCTCCGGCCAGGCCATAAGCATGGCGAGCTCAGCAACAATGCGGAGAACGGGGCGCTGGCGGGCGATCCGCTCCTTATCCTCTTTCTCGCGGTCCTTTTCAGTTGCGTCTTTGGCAGGTGGAGGTGCGGGAGCGAGGATGGCAAGCAGCGGTGAAAGTAGCTGCGGCAGGAAGTCAGGCGCGAGCCGCTTGTGCAGGTGTACAATGATCTTCCGTCAGCCTTGTATATGACAGACACACCTCAACGGCAACCTCCGGGTCACCGCGCCCGCGGCTCGCGCCGTCGACGACGGCAGCGACTATTTCGGCCGTGTATTTTGACAGCACAAGACCGTCAATCTCCTTGATGATGGCATCTGAGGGCCCGATAAGCAGCGCCGCCTTGAGCCGATTAATCAAAGTCGTGTGTTTCTTGAGGGAAGAGTCAAGCTGTCCGGGTGGCCCTGTGGTCAGTCACTGACAGACGAGAGGGGGACGACGGACTGTAGGGGTCGTCTATCCAGTACGTGTCCACGGTCTTGAGGAGCTCGCGCCTGCGAGGATACTTTGCGACATAGTCTGCAGTAGACATTGTCGCTGGTCAGGCGTTGAGCGGGGCAGTCGAGAAGATGTGTCAACAATGGGCTCGAGGAAGTTGATGGTGGTGGATGAGCACGAGTGGAGGCGCGTAGTTTCAGCGTCCTGTGGCGAACAGCAGCGGCGCGGAGTTGCGGAGATGGAGGGGATTGTCCGCGGCACGTTGATGGATTCGGTGTGCCTGTGGCTTGGGTGAGTGATCGCTACGGTGGAGAGATCGTGCGGTGGAGACCCTGTGCCTCTGCCCTCGCCTTCCCTCCCGCGTCCAGGTAGCGACCGCATCATCCCTCCTCTCCCCCTTCCTCCTCCGCCATCCCCCTCCTTTCACCTCTCTTTCATCATCTCACAACGTTGTCTCTTCTTCATCTCACTCACTTGTCTCCTCCCCATCGGCATCACGGCGGGGCATCCTTCTCCATCCCGCCCCCACGCTCGGTGGCTCTCGGCTAACCACCCGCGCGGGAACGCCCTCGACCACCTGGGGCTGCTGGCCGACGAACAGCGTGCTCGCCGGCCCGGCACCAGCTCCCCCTACTCTCCGCAACGATGGGTCTCCCAAGCATGCTTCAGTACGATGCCAGCTGTACGTTATCTCTGCGGGTCACGCTGATCCAAGTCCCGCTGTACGGCGTAGCGTTCTCGAACAATCCGCAGCACCCTCACCGTGTGGCGCTCTCGTCGTTCCTTACAGGCCCACAGAACAAGTTGACCATCGTCGAGCCCAACTCGTCGTACACGGCCTCCTCAGACTTCCAGCAGCTTGCGACTGCTGGCCTCACATATCCCGCTACCAAGCTCGGGTGGGAGCCGAAAGAGTCTCTGAGCCGTGATGGTGGGCGCGGCGAGCTGCTCGCCACAACAGGTGATGTTCTGCGCATCTGGGAGATGAAATGGGATGGGAGTAGCAAGGACGCTGGCCGCATCGGGTATGGGCGTAATGGATATAACGACGCCGAGGGCTGGAAACTGCACCAGAGATCCTTCCTATCCAACGTGGGTCTCGCATTGTGTGCTTGTCCGCTGATATGCAGAGCAAGCAGAGTCCATCCAACCTTCCTCCCATCACGAGTTTTAGTTGGAACTCGCAGGCGCCACAGAGCATTGTGACGTGCTCGACAGACACGACTGCGACACTGTGGGACATCAACACTTCCCAGGCGCTCACCCAGCTCATCGCCCACGACCGGGCGGTGTACGATCTCTCATGGCTTCCATCAAGCCCCGATATTTTCGTGTCTGTCGGCGCGGACGGCTCGCTGCGTGCCTTTGACCTGCGCCAGCTTGAGCATTCGACAATCTTGTACGAGACGCCCAATTCGGCACCACTCGCGCGCATCGCCTTCAGCAACCGCGAACAGTGAGTGTATATGCGGCCGTGCTGATGCAAGACACATGCTTGCGTGCTTTAGTATGGGTGACTCGAAGACGCTCATCCTTGACATGCGCTCTCCCGGGCAGCCTGTGGCAGAATTGCTAGGTCACAAGGCGCAGCTCGGCGCCATCGCATGGGGGTCAGGCGGGAATACAGGTACCACCTCTGGTGCGACGGGCGGCGGGTACATCGCGTCATGTGGTGAGTGAAGACTGAGAACATCATCTACCTGCTGGAGAGATGGGCTGACGTCAGGTGACGACGCGCAGCTTCTCATCTACGATCTCACGTCGCCCATACCCTCCGAGCCCGAGTCACGGCGCAGCAACGTCCCGTACAGCATGTCGCCGCCTGCGACGCCCAACGCGGGGCGCACACCAACACCAGGCTCCACACGCGCGGCCGAGATTCAGCCTCACAAGGCATGGACGGCACACGCCGAGCTCAACAACCTCGCCTTCAGCAAGGATGGAGATTGGGTTGCTTGCGTCGCAGGCCAGCGGCTAAACATGCTACAAGTGTAGCACCCGCCCACATAGACTCGCTCGACGCCGAGCCTGTGCTGCGCACCCTATTCACTCCCTCCCGAGATAGACGCAGAAGCCAAGCGTGAGGTAGACGGAGGATGAGACACGGGTTTCACGCTGAGCGAGCAGATAGAAGCCTGCGAAGGCACTGGGGCACAGGCAGGGTTGTATTGGGGCTCTCGGCCCAACATGATGTGATGCATTGGCACGATCGATCGTTCCCTCGTCACTGTCACAAGTCAATGCATACCAAAAATACAAGTCGCAAGTCGGGGGAGAGGGTATTACAGGGCGCGGCGGAGGCCGCTGCCCGATAAGCTGTATAGATGGGCATCTAGAACTACTCGTCGACGAAGCGGAGGCGTGTGTCGTTGGCTTCACGCACGAGCACGCCCATGTTTTCGTATTCGGCGATTGTGTCCATGAGCTGGTTTTCGGTGAAGCCCTTTGCGATCACGCGCGCGCGCACGTCCACCATCGCGAGCTCCTGGAGCGACTCCTCCTCTGATTCGAAATCATCATCCGCCGCACGCTGCGCACGACGACGAGCGGCGGCACCGCGCCCGCTCGCCATATCCTTGATGATCCGGAAGATCTTGGACGTGTCGGTGCGGTCGACACCAATCTCACCGCGGTCCTCGATCAGGCTTTGCTTGGACGCATCCATAAGACGCAGAGCCTCGTCGACGTCCTCCTGGCGAACGGTCGAGTCCCAGCGGAGGCGCGCAAGTGCCTGCGAAAGGCGCAGCACGCCCAGCAGAGTACGTGCCGACACATAGGTGAACGACTTGTCCTCAGCCTCGGCCTCCTTCTGCTCCTTGCGCATCGTGACGTATGACGACACGATGTACTCGCTCATCTCCCTAGGAACAACCGGGCGGAATGTACGGCACCTGGCAATGTAGTGGCGCATGAGCGTTGGCTCGACGACCTCAAAGTCGAGCTCCGGCGCCTCGTTGTGCATGTGCACATACGTAACGTGCTGGGCGAGCAGCTCGTCGTTCTCGCGGCTCGGCGTGTCAAGGATGAGGAAGAGGATGTCAAATCGCGACAGGAGAGCGGCCGGCAGGTTGATATTCTCAACGGGCGAAACCTTGGGGTTGTAACGGCCGTACAGAGGATTGGCAGCGGCAAGGATCGAGGTGCGCGCGTTCAAGGTCGTCGAGATACCTGCCTTCGAGATCGAGATGGTCTGCTGCTCCATTACTTCGTGGATTGCCGTGCGGTCCGAGTCGTCCATCTTGTCGAACTCGTCGATGCAGCAGATGCCGTTGTCTGCAAGAACAAGCGCACCGCCCTCGAGCACCATTTCGTCCGTGACAGGGTCGCGCATGACCGCGGCAGTGAGACCAACGCCTGACGAACCGCGACCGGTGGTATAGACACCACGCGGAGCAATTTTTGTGATATACTTGAGGAGCTGCGACTTTGCCACACCTGGGTCACCCATAAGACAAACGTTGAGATCGCCGCGAATCTTCATGCCGTCGCCGACGTTCTTCGTCACGCCTCCAATGAGGAGAAGAAGGAGAGCCTTCTTGACATCCTCGTGCCCGAAAATTTCTGGGGCAATCGAGCGAGCCATGCGAGAGTAGAGTCCTGGGTCGACGCTAAGCTCGTCAACTGCTGCCTCGAGTTCAGGCGTGATGCGCATGTCCTCGTATTGCTTCTTGAGCTGGTGCACGTGCATAGCCTCAAGGAAGGTGTCTTGCAGCAGACCAGCGCGCATTGCCCGGAAGCCGGTGTATGGGGTGGGGAGGAAGATGCCCGAGATGTTGACCACGTCACCCGGGTTGATCTTGCGCGTGAGTGCGCCGTACAGATGCACTGTCATGGAGCGCGGGATGTGGCCGACGGGAACCTGGTCGGCCATCTCCTGGATCTTCACCTCCTGGAACGCCTGGAAGCGCGAGGCGCGCGTCTGCATGTGCAGGTTGCCGTTGGTCTGGTTTGTCTGACATGTCTGCGAGGGGCACACAACGAGGGGGGTGAATGACTTGGAGCCAACCTCCTGGAAGATTTCGTCACCACATGAGTCACATGTGTACGCGTTGACGAGGAGGAGAGGCTTGACCTCGGACACACGGGTCACGATGCCGCGGACAGTGATGAGATGCCCAAGGTGCTGTGCTCGTACAGCGCGAACGGCGAGAACGTCCGTGCCGCGTGGAGGGCGGAAGAAGACGTTGTAGCGACGCATGAGCTCGGGCGGGAACTGGGTCCTGTCAAGTTCGTTCTCATCTTCGCCTGCCGCGTTGTGCTCTCGACGCCAGGCCATTACCATGTCGAGGATGTCGTCAGAGGTGTCGAGGTCGTTGTCTGGCTCAGGCATGAGCTTGTCCAGCACGTCAGCGAAGAGCTGAATATAACGGCGGGTGTTGTTGAGAATGTTGTGGAGAAGGGAGTGATCCGTCCCATACTACTGTCAGCTCCTCGTGACGACGGTGTGACTCACGTTTTGGAGGTCTTTGAGGTCGATAACCACCTCTGCAGTCTGGCGGTTGGCGACCTTGCGCATGATGCGCATATATTTGGGGCTGCGCGCCTCCTCCATGTGGAGCTCGTCCAAATCATCCAACTCGTCCTCGGTCTCGTCCTCGGCGGCAGCGTCATCATTCTCGGGGATGGCTCCGCCGTTCGCTTGCCGGCGTTCGGAGACGAACTTGGTGAGGAACTCTGAGATCTTCCCTGCATGTCAGCTGGAGTCTCGGGACAGCGCAAGGAGACGGTCATCATTCGCACGCACGAATCTCCTCATCGTAGTCAACCTGGTGTGAGCGATGGATGCAGATGGGAAGGCGCGTGAGATGTGAGACGCACCTCGATGGTCGCAACCGGAAGAACGCCAACGTTCTGAGTCGCCATTATGAACAATGGGGCGGGGCAGGCAACGGGAGAGGGAGAGGAGGAGCTGCCTAGTCCACGTCGGAGAGAACGAGGTGGATGAGGTGGATGAGGTGGATGACAAGTGGGCGAGAGAGACAAGAGTGAATGAGTTGGCGAGGGGAAGGCTTGTTGCTGATTGTGGTTGTGTGTGAGGCGCGTCTCGCGTCGCGTCCCTGAACGTCAGTCAGTCGCCTCTCTCATGTTCGAATTTGCTTCCGTCATTGGCTGCACGTGACGTTGAATTGGACCCAGGAATTTGAGGGACTAGATTTTTGGCAAGTGGAGGTGTCCGCAACGGCCTCCGCTTCTCCGCCTCTCCGCTTCCCACTGGGGCAAGGATTTCCAGTCTACTCGGCCTCTCGGACGGCTTTGGCACTACCCACAACTCCATCCTCATCCGCGCACCCGCAATGGCAGAGCCAACCACTTTCCCCGCCCCGGCCACGGACCTCACCGTCCTCCTCCTTGGCTCGGGCGGCCGCGAGCACGCGCTTGCGTTCAAGCTCGCCCAGAGCCCTCGTGTCAAGCGTGTCCTCATTGCTCCCGGCAACGCTGGCACCGCTCTTATCGGCGGCAAGGCCCAGAACGTCGAGGTTCCTTGGGGCGGCAAGGCTGGCTACGACACCATTGCCAAGTACGCGCAGGATGAGCGCGTCGACCTTGTGGTTCCTGGTCCCGAGCAGCCGCTGGTTGACGGCGCTGAGGCTATTTTCCGCAAGGGTGCGTCACCTGCTATTCAGTGCTGATAGGTAGCCGGCATTGCCACCTTTGGCCCCTCGCCCGCCGCGGCGCTCCTTGAGGGCTCCAAGGCTCTCTCCAAGGAGTTCATGGCTCGCCACAACATCCCCACGGCCGCTTTCAAGACGTTCACCAAGGACCAGTACGAGGACGCCGTCGCCTACATCAAGTCGGCGCCTTTCTCGTCCGGCCGCTGCGTCATCAAGGCCTCGGGCCTTGCCGCTGGCAAGGGTGTGCTTATCCCGGCCGACGATGCCGAGGCCCTTGAGGCTCTCAAGACCGTCATGGTTGACAAGGAGTTTGGCGACGCCGGCGACGAGGTTGTCGTCGAGGAGTGTCTCGTCGGCCCGGAGATTTCCGTGCTCGCCTTTTCGGACGGCTACACCATTGTCCCCATGCCTGCTGCGCAGGACCACAAGCGCATCGGTGAGGGTGACACTGGCCTCAACACCGGCGGCATGGGCGCGTACGCCCCGGCCCCTGTCGCGACCCCCGAGATTATGAAGAAGGTGCTCGAGGAGTCTCTCGAGCCCACCCTCAAGGGTATGCGCCAGGACGGTCACCCCTTCGTCGGCATGCTCTTCACTGGATTCATGATCACCCCCGACGGCCCCAAGGTGCTCGAGTACAACGTCCGCTTTGGCGACCCCGAGACCCAGGCCCTCATGCTTCTCCTTGACGACGAGACCGACCTCGCTGAGGTTATGCTCGCGTGTGTTGAGCGCCGCCTTGACTCGGTCAAGCTCGGCTACCGCGAGGGCTTTGCCGTCTCGGTCGTCTGCGCCTCCGAGGGCTACCCCGGCAAGTACCCCAAGGGTGTCCCGATGACTATTGGCGAGACCCCCGAGGGTGTCGAGGTCTTCCACGCCGGCACTGGTCTCAAGGACGGCCAGCTTGTTACTGAGGGTGGTCGTGTTCTCGCCGTCGCAGCCACCGCCCCCACTGTCCGCGCTGCCGTTGACCTCGCGTACGAGGGCGTCAAGGCCGTTGAGTTCAAGGGCAAGACCATCCGTCGCGACATTGCCTACCGCGCCCTTACCGCCGACCAGTCGGCCCCCGCCCCCTCTCAGGGTCTCACCTATGCCGCTGCTGGTGTCGATGTCGACGCGGGCAACGCCCTCGTTGATGCCATCAAGCCTGTCGTCAAGGCTACCCGCCGCCCAGGTGCTGACGGCGAGATCGGCGGCTTCGGTGGCGCCTTTGACCTGAAGGCCGCTGGCTTCCGTGACCCCGTCCTCGTCTCGGGCACTGACGGTGTTGGAACCAAGCTCCGCATTGCGCTCCAGCACAACAAGCACGACTCTGTCGGCATCGACCTCGTTGCCATGTGTGTCAACGACCTCATTGTCCAGGGTGCCGAGCCTCTTTACTTCCTCGACTACTTTGCCACCTCGAAGCTCGATGTGCCTATCGCCACGGATGTTGTCACCGGTATCGCGCAGGGCTGCCTCGAGTCGGGCTGTGCCCTCATTGGCGGTGAGACCGCCGAGATGCCCGGCATGTACCACGCCGGCGACTACGACCTTGCTGGCTTTGCCGTCGGCGCGGCTGAGCGCGACGAGATGCTCCCGCGCCAGGACATGCAGGCTGGCGACGTGCTCATCGGTCTTCCGTCGTCTGGCCCGCACTCGAACGGCTTCTCGCTCATCCGCAAGGTCGTCGCTCTCAAGGGCTTGAACCTTTCCTCCCCCGCGCCCTGGGACGAGACCATGAGCGTCGGCGACTCCCTCCTCATCCCCACTCGCCTGTACATCAAGGCTCTTCTTCCCGGCATCCACGCCAAGCTGTTCAAGGGCATGAGCCACATCACCGGCGGCGGCTTCACGGAGAACATCCCCCGTGTCTTCGCCGGCCGCAGCGACAAGCTCGGCGTGAAGCTCGACCTCAACACGTGGAAGCTCCCCGCCCTCTGGCGCTGGGTTATGCAGGCCGGCGGCGTCGCGCCCACCGAGATGGCCCGCACGTTCAACTGCGGTGTCGGCATGGTTATCATCGTCGGCCGCGACCAGCTCGACGCTGCGCTCAAGAGCCTGCGCGAGTCGGGCGAGCCAGGCGCCTTCGTTATGGGCGAGGTCACCAGCACTGAGGGTGTGGAGTACGTTGGCATGGAGTCGTGGTCGCAGTAAACGACCCTAGGGTTTAGATCTTGCGTGGATTTTAGATAGGTTGCATGTACTTTTGGATCGGATGGGTGCATGCTGGCGGAGGTGCGGAGTGAAATGAAGATCGACGCCGATTGCGTGTGTACGCCAAGTGAACTGCCACTCCAAGTTTGCCACCAAGGAGAGACCACGTGACCGTAGCGCACCTGGATTGCTGAATGCTGACAGTACTATCGCGTTCACTTCCCGACGTCCACTCCACCTCAGCATACCTACACTCGTCATCTCGGCCTCGCTTGTGCGCCCGCTGTTTACACGTGCACCAGCGCTCTCGGCCGTCGTCTGCGCGTTGCCTGGACCGACCATTCACTTCACACTTGACGCGCCGCTCGGTGGGAACTTGTAAACAAACAGACATGATGACGGCCGAGGGCCCTTCCTCGGCCGGGAGCTCGCGTCCGACGTCTCCACGCAGCCCATTATTTGTTCCCAACGGAGCAGAAGCAGGCCCCGGCCCCGCGACACAGGAGGCGAGACGCGCACGCAGCCCGTCCCGCCGCTCCCGCTCTCTCCCCAAGCTCTCATCAGCGAGCGAGGCGTCAAATGACGACGAGGACGACTGTAAGTTTGTTGAGCTGCAGACAGCTGACGCCAGACGAGCGCCAGCGCCTGAAGCGCATGCAGGAGAACCAGTCGCTGCTCGCGGAGCTGGATATCTTCGGCGCAGCCATCGCGGAGCCAGCCCCACGACCAGCGCCGCGTCGCCAGAAGCATGTCGAGCGCCGCGACCGGTATGGATACATTGTATCGCTCCCACCTCCGGGCAAACGGCATGTGCTAGCCGCGATTGAGGTGCGCACGGAGCGGGCTGTGCGCCGCGCGATCGACGCGGGCGAGTACATCGACTGCACGCATTGGGCAGCGGGAGAGGAGCGGCGATGGCGCTTCGGGTGGGGGAACGGGGTGCTGGAGGAGGGAGAAGAGGCCGTCGTGGACGGTATCGGGCCCGATTTTCGATGGAAGGAGGCTGTGGAAGATGAGTCGGAAGACGAACCGACCCCTACACCGGTGCCAGTCCAGGCCGGGTCCCCGCCTCAGGAGTCGGTCAAGAAGAAGTACTCGGACCTGCCGGAGGGCACGTGCCACCAGTGTCGCCGCAGGTCGGACAAGCCCAAGATGCGCTGCCGCAACATTGAGGGCGGATGCGAGAACCTGTTCTGCGAGACATGCTGTCGACGGTGCGTTACTGCTTAGAGATGCGCTGATGGCAGATACTACTACTTCGACTTTGACGAGGAGAGCCGTTCCTTCGTTTGCCCCGTGTGTCTCGACAAGTGTAATTGCAAACACCACCTCGAAGAGCAAGGGCTGGGACACCTTGCGGGCAAGGCATTCCGCGCTCCAGGGGAGGGTCTGCCGGGCGAGACGGTGCAGCACTACATCGAGCGGTACATCGAGAATAAGGGACGGGAGGAGCCGCCGTTCGACCGTGTCCGACTCGTCAACATGGACGAGGATATCGTCGCGCCACCATTGACGGCTGAGTGGAAGGAGTGGCTCGAGGATCAACGATGTGAGCGACTTGGAATCAAGCGCAAGAAACACGGAAGGAAGTCTAAGGCGGGTGGGAAAGGGAAGCGGAAAGCCAAGGCCCTCACCGAGGCAACGGGTGAGCTAGGAGGTAGCGAGGTCACTGGTGGCAAGGGGAAGGGCAAGGGCAAGAGCAAGCAGCCGCTGCTGCGTCCTGGGATGGGCGGGAAGGACGCTTCGCTAGTCAAGCAAATCAACGCCGCTGCGGCATCGAAGAAGAAGCGGAAGCGACGTGACTCGGCAGATGCTTCTGATGCCCAAGCGAACCAGGCCCAAACGTTCGACACACCAACTGAGTTGGGCGACACTGGCGCACCGATCCTCCTCCGCTTCCGCCCACCGCGCGTGCGTGAGATCGACTCGGATGGCGACAGCGTCCGCGGCTACTCGTCTGATGAGAGCGAGACGAGCAACTCGGGCCAGTTGACTACCAACGACTTCCTAGCCCGCATGGCGCAAGCCGTTGTGCCCACGCTCCCTAACTATCCGCTAGAGGGCACGGCATTGGGAGGGATTGAAATCGAGGGCATTCAAGCACTCGACACCAGCATGAATGTTGATCTGTCGGACGTCAACCTTGCATCTTCCCCTGGCCATCTTGCGCCGGTGTCCGGCTCCAGCTTGCACCACCTCCACATGAGCGGTGCCGAGCTCATGAATGGCGAATTCATGCATTTGCCTGGGCAAGGGAATGTACAGGCTCACACCCCGGAGCCCAGCGACCTTCGCCTCACCTTGGCGCCAGCCGCCTCCCTCGAGGCCCCGGCCGCCAACTTCGGAGTATCGCCAGCCACACCCAACAATCGACGCTTCGCATTCTCGGAGCTTTCGCCGCCCAGCTGTGATCCGCTACCGGCTCTGTACCCCGCATTTCCGGAGCTGCAGGCGACCTACTCCCCTGGACAGTATCCGCCGTACTCACCAGTGCTGCATCCGCCTCATTCCCCGGCCCTGCATCCGCCATAGTCGCCGCCCGCGTACTCAGCCCCGATGTACGCGCCCTACACGTTCTCGGCTGGACAGGAGAGGAGGGAGGAGAATGGCCAGCACGCCGACGCGGAACCGCCGCGCAAAAGACGCCCGCCACCACCTGCAGCACATATAGTGCGCGCCCCCAAGCACCTCAAGGACCAGGTCGACGCGCGGTGGCACCAGCGCGCCTAGTGCTACATGTACTCGCGTTTTGTGATGTACAGATGAAATCCTGTCGTGGAATGGGAGTGGTGTGCCCGATGCACAGACAGCGCTCATGTCGTGTTCGTCAGTGACGACCGTATGTCTGTGCGCCTTGCCGTTCAGATCAGTTCTCAAATTCCCAGCCCCAGCGTCATTGCATCCCCCGTCCACGCTCCTCCCAGATCCCATATGCACACGGTACTGAACGGTCGTAGCATGCACGCGTGCAGTGACGAGAGAGGCGGCCCGCCAGGGTGCCTGTCCAATGCCACGTCCGTTCCGCCCCCGATCCCTAGCTTGGCGATCGATGTCGATCACGCGTCACGGCCTCGGCCGCAGCCACAGTTCCCAACACCGCCTACTTCTCTTTCTTCTCTTCTCCTCATCTCTCATCCAGCATGGACGACTACAACAACGGTGCGTATCTCTCCCCCCTCCCCGTCGGAGTCGGAGCGGGCGCCGTGCATGCCTTCGGCAACTCACACACAGAGCGGCAGTCGTACAACCGCCCCCCGGGCGCGCCTCCTGGCCACGGGTACGGCCAGCAGGGCGGCCGCTATGAGCAGGAGGGTCACTACGAGCAGCAGCAGGGCTTTGGCCAGCACCAGCAGGGTGGCCGCTACGAGCAGGAGGGCTATGGCCAGCAGGGCAGCCACGGCGGCCGCTTCGAGCAGGGCTACGGCCAGCAACAGGGCGGGCGCTACGACCAGGAGCAGCAGTTCGGCGCTGGCGGCCACAGCGGCCAGCAGGGCACATTTGGGCAGCGCCCGCAGCAGGGCTTCGGCCAGCCGCAGGTGCACCAGGCCGCGCAGCCCGGCGTGCCGCGGCCGGCGGCCAACGACGCCGGCGACGACTTTGAGTCGTTCGCCAACTTCCGCCCCGGCGGCAGCGCGGACATGGGCGGCGTCGACCCCTCCATGCACCAGCAGCAGCTCGGCGGCGGCAACCACGCGGGTATCGGTCGCCCGAACTGGCGCCCGCCGACCGACTCGGCAGCCATGCACAAGCAGAAGTTCCAGTACTCGGCGTGCACGGGTCGCCGCCGCGCCCTGCTGATCGGCATCAACTACCGCGGGCAGAAGGGCGAGCTGCGCGGCTGCATCAACGACGTGATCAACCTGCGCAACTTCCTGCGTGAGTCGTGAAGAGGTAGACGAGCATGCTGACAGGCAGAGAAGCACGGCTACGACCACGACGTGACGGTCCTCACCGACGACCAGAACGACCCCAACATGCTCCCGACCAAGGCCAACATCCAGCGCTGGATGAGCTGGCTCGTCGAGGGCGCGCAGAAGGACGACGCGCTGTTCTTCCACTAGTGAGTCGAGCGCCGTGTTTTCATGAGCACACTGACGCCGGCTCGGGCCACGGCGTCCAGGTCCAAGTGGACAACCAGGCTGAGGCGGACGGTCTCGGCGAGGCCATCTGCCCCCTCGACCACGAGCAGGTGGGCATGATTCTCGACATGGAGATCTACCAGCGCCTCGTCAAGCCCCTCCCGGCCGGCTGCCGCCTCACGGCCATCTTTGATGCGTGCCACTCTGGCAGCGCGATGAACCTGCCCTACATGGTGAGTCCACCCTCCTCATGAGCCACCGCTCACGCCAGTACTCCACCAAGGGTACAGTCAAGGAGCCCAACTTTGCCGCGGACGGCGCCAAGGCCCTGCTCAAGGCTGGCATGGGCTACGCCAAGGACGGCAACACGGGTACGGCTATGAGCTCGCTCTTCGGGGCGGCCAAGTCGATGTTCAAGGAGAAGCAGGCGGGTGACCTTTTGCGCGAGCAGAACACGAGCGAGGCGGATGTCATCTCGTGGTCGGGATGCAAGGACGACCAGACGGTGAGTACGAGGTCGACACACAGGCCGAGGCTTGCCTCTCACCCATTGTATTGTGCTGACACCAGTCTGCCGACACGACCGAGGAGGGCCAGGCGACCGGCGCCATGTCGTACGCCTTCGTCAAGGCGCTCACCAACAAGCCTGAGCAGAGCTACATCGAGCTCCTGCAGGCTGTGCGCAAGGCCATGGTTGAGGGCGGATACACGCAGAAGCCGCAGCTGTCCGCGTGCCACCGTGAGTCAACAAGACGACTGGGAAACCGCAAGCTGACAGCAGCCATCGACACCGACCTCGACTTTGTTGCCTGATCCATAGTCCGAGCCCGTCAGTAGAAGTCTAGTAAACACGCGTCCATCCACAGTCCTAGTATCCGCTCCAGTCTAGCCAGCGCTCCACTTCCTGCCGTCAGCTGTGCATTTGCGCGGACTGACCATGCGCGTACCCTCGCCCCGCGGCCCGTCCTTCTGGAGCATGACGCTCACGCCGCGCCCGCCGGGCCGCTCGAGCGCCTCGCGTCCGAGGCGGGACGCGCGCACCGCAGCCTCGTTCTCGGCACTCGCCACGACGAGGACGGGGAAGCGCGGCTCGAAGCTGAACTTGGGCCACGCGTAAGGCTTGGCGGCTTCGCCGCCGGCCGCCTTCGCGCCGGCCGTCGCGACGCCGACGCCGCCGCGCGGATCCTCGTCCGGCGGCGGCTCGACCAACACGAGCCCGCTCGCGCGGTAGTCGGACACATACGCCTGCGCGACGAGACACGCGCTGCCAGACGCGACGATGACGGGCGCATACGGGATGGCGAGCAGGCGGAGCTGGTCGTTGAGCGCCGCCGCGGCCTGTTTCACGGGCCCCGAGATCGCCTTCTCCTCCCCCTCGCCGCCCGGAGCCGGGCTCAGGTGGCTGCTCGTCGTCACGCTCACGTCTACTTGCACAGTCGTGTATCCGCGCCTGGCGTCAGCTCGTCAGCACTCGCCGCGACGGACGTACATGGAAAACATGTCGGCCCAGACGCGCCACGTGTCCTCCGTCTCCTTGGGTTGCGAGGGGAAGGAGAGGCCCGGCGTGCGCAGCAGCACGAGGGGCGTGGGACACTCGCGCGGCGCCGAGGGGTGCGCGTCGCGCACGACCCAGCGCGAGCAGGTCGTTTGGATGCTGTTGTTGAACGAGGTCGAGGAGGTGCTGAAGCCCGAGAAGAGGGAGAGGCGGGCGGTGAGGAGCGCCGCAGCCGGCCGCAGGGCCGGGCGGAGAGCTTGCCAGGGCGCTTGCCAGGCCATGATGAGTAGTTGCGAGGAGAAGATGTGGAGTTGCGAGTTGGCCAAGTTATACCCGTCCTATTCCTGACGTCATGCTGAGATGCCGACTCCGCCCATGCACTCTGCACTACGACGCACACTCCGTACCCTCCGCACCCTCCGCACCCTCCGCACACTCAACTCTAATGCATATGGTACAACACCTACTCGTCGTCCTCGTCCATAGCCTCCGCACCCTCGGCCGCCGCCTCGCGCTTGCGCTCTTTGCGGCCAATCTTGAGACTCTTCATCTTGCGGCTCTGGAGCTTGCTCAGGTCCTGGGTGCCGACGTGGATGCGGCCGACCTTGTCGCCCATGTCGTCCGTCTCGATGTTCTTGCGCTTCTTGCCGAGACCCGACGTCTGGTCGGCCTTGGAGAGCTTGGGGCGGCGCATCGCGGCCTTGAGCGTCTCGGGGTCGGCCTCGGCGTGGCGCCGGATGCTCAGGTCGATCCGCGGCCCCATCTCCGTGAGCGCTACGCGCGGCACGCGGCTCCCCGACGCCAGCAGCTTGAGCGTGTACACCCGGATGTGGACTTTCGGGAGCACGGCGCCCTCGGCGTCCAGGTCGCCCGCTGCCGGGCCGCACGTTACGGAAATCACGTGCTCAAGCGCCATGAGCGGGATTCCGGGGTCGTGGTGCGCCTGGTACATGTCCAGCAGGAGGGACTTGAGCTGCGTGAAGCGCGGGTGAGTGTCGAACAGGTCGCCGTGGAATACCATGAGCGGGTGCACGCCCACACTCGCCTTGGAGCCGGGCACGTCGGACATGGAGGTGAACTCGTCGATACCCAGCTCGAGGTGCTCCAGTACTCGCCCGTCGAACATGCGCGTTACGATCAAATCGTGCGGGCGCTTCTTCGAGTGCAAGCCCGTGATGAGGAGCGCGGCGTCGTTCTTCTGTGCAAAGAACTCGAGCGATGATGCGTCTTCGAACGGATGAATGGCGTTCTTCTTCGAGAAGTTGATCGCCTTAGGGCGCTTGAGAGCGTACTGGGGTGAGCGATGTACGAGGGGAGTTTACAGGAGAGGGTTCTCCATCATCCTGGCACCTGGCAGCCGCGGGCGGCCAACATGCTGGCGCAGGACCAAACACCTCTGCACTTCGGCATGCTGGCAGCAGCACTCCGGAGTGTACGAGTCAACCACCTTCCTTCCGCACCTCGTCGCTCAACCACCATTCTAAACCGCCCAAGCCAGACTCCCTCCCCCTCGCAAACTCACAAGGTCGCCCATCACGCCGCGCACGCGGTCGCTCGTGTTCTGGCCGCGCACGAAGATCGCCGTCTTCTCGTTCTCCACGAGCTTGGGCTCGCGCGCCTCGAGCGCACGCTTGACGCGCGCGTTTTTCGGTTTCCTGTTGGGCCGCGAAAGTGTTTGGAGGAGGGGGATGTACGAGGGGGCCGATTGGGAGAGGAAGGGAGAGGAAGGGAGAGGAGGAGGGCGAAGAAGATGGTCGCGAGGGGAGTTGAATAGGTGTAAAAGGCGGAATCGCAAGGAGCACCAGCGTCGAGGAAACGGCGTCAGCATAATCTCCAGTGGTCACGAGCAATCCACTCACACTGTCCTAAGCATCGACATGGTTGCTTGTGCCGATGGGGTCGATGAGAGATGAGCTCGTCAGGCGATCGCGGATGGTTGTTGCTGTGAACGAGATTTTGAGCAACAATTTTGATTCCGGGTGGCAAGGTTGATATGGGAGATCAAAAGTCGGTGCCTGGAATGGCCGGGAGTCGATCCCGAGCTGGCCAGTCCGTAGCTCATCAAACATGGAATTGCCATCGCTCTTGATGGCGGTCATCCACCAGCCAACGCCCGCCGATACATACATGCATGTCTATACACCTTCACCCTTTGCCCACTCAGTCTATGGTATGGCTAATCGACAACGCGCAGCTCCCGTGTGCGCGTCTTGGCGTAGATGTCCTTGTACTTGTCCCAGATGCGCATCAATTCCTCAATGTACTGTGCGTGCACTTGCTGCACATACTCGTCCGATGGGTTGTGGCTCTTAACCACGTCAATAGGGCGGCCAACTGCGCGTCAGCTCACATCCTTTCCCCTTTCCACAACCACTCAGTACTCACTGACGGACACGATGGGGTGGCGGTACGGCATCAGACCCAAGCTGTAGTTGAAGATGCCGCGGCCGTGGAAGAGTGGAAGTGTAAACCCAAAGATCTTCTGAAAACCCTTCTGCAGCTTCCACACAGTCGTACCCTTCTCGTTCGAGAGCTGCTCGTAGATCTGTGGAGATTAGCTTGGACAGTCGACTCGCGGCGCAGCGTGACATACGTCGTTCTCGCCAAAGGAAAAAACCGGAACTAGCTGCGCGCCCTCACGAATCGCGACCTTGATAAAACCAAAGCGCTTCTTGAGTGTCAAGTCCTGCGTTCCCGGGTGCGCGGCGAGCGACTCGGCGGCACCGCCGACGACAATCGTGATAGCATTACCGGGACCCTTGCGAAGAATGTTTCTGCAGCTTCGCTTGCTCACTGAGCAAATGCCCTGGAACATCAATAGCTCGCGGTAGAAGGGAATGCCAAAGTTGGAGTCTGCCGTTAGCGATAGCAGCCAAAGCGGTAGCTCACCAAGAGTAAGCAGGTGGGACTTGATACCGGGGTAGTTTTCGGAGAAGCCGGTGTACTCGGTAGCAAAAGTCGCGACGGCGCCCATGCTGATGATGCCGTGCGGGTGATAGCCAAAGACGTACGTGCGGTCGGCGGGCAAGTCTGCCTCCTTGATCATGCTGAGGGTCAGCGGGGGCCGTGAGTCACCGGTGAGACGTGGCGTCTCCCCCGTTCATTCCGACTAAGCTCACCTGCATGGGTAGTATTCTGCTGTCAGCTTCGTGTTCAATGCGCCACACATCCCGTGCAGCAGATTACTCACGGCAAAAGTACTTCCACAGAGGGAAGCGACGCGCCCAACGTTTTGGGCGCCCACCCTTGAAAGGGGCCTTGTCGATTGCAAGCGCCCAGATTGTGTATGGCACAAGAACTGGCCAGAGTCCGGGAATGGACCTGCGTTGGTCAGTGATTTGAATTTAGGCATGCGGATGGTTCCCCGCTCGCAACCGCATCAGGACGCATGCGCCTGCGTGTGTCTGTGGTGCCTGCCCATGGGAACACGCGGTACTCACAAGAAGTAGAAGTACAGCATAAGGCAGAGGGGCATAAGAATCGCCCATGTGAGGATTGCAAACGTCTGCAACCGCCGGTGAGGAGGGATGTGAAGGGGCGCAAACCTGGTATCAGCTGACGTTGTTGGCGACGGAGGGCGCGCCGGTCTGTCGGGTCCGAAGCGCGGCGGCAGTTGAACTCGCGATGGTGACGCCTTCTTGCCCAATTGCCCAGCCGCTCTTGGCCTCTGCCCGCGCCTGTATGCCCGCCCGGTCCCCCGGACCTGACACACAGTCCGTGCGACTCATCGCACTGCGCCCCGGGGGGCCGGCATCTACTGCCCGCGTCCTGCACTCACTTGATCTGTACAGGCCTGGGAATGCTGATTTCGCTCAGCGGGGGCAACTTGAGCGCGTCCAGCAGGGGGCTCTTGTGACGGCTTAATTTCTTCTGGGGCTTCTTGAGGGTTTGAGTGGCTGCGCCGTTCGCGAGGGTTGTCATGGCCATGTTTGGAGAGGGGACCTTGCGCTGACGCATCTGGGGAGCATCTTCGGCGGGGTCTGGCGAGAACTCGAGCTCGCCTTCCTCTGTGCTTGGGGTTGTGGGGTCTGGGCTGGCTGGTAGGCTCGAATGGAGAGTAATGAGGGAGGGTGCTGGGCTAGGGCCGTCGACGCTGCGGATACGGCCACCGAAGGTGTCGAGCTTGACATTGAGGCCGAGCCCCGAGGGAGTACCTGGCTCGCTGTCGAGTGCAGAGTGGGTGGTGACTGGGGAGGTCCCAGGCGAGCTCGAGCTCGAGGACGCGGAGGAGGCGGAAGTAGACATGTTGGGGCGGGAGGGATGTGAGGGGAGGGGGGGGATAGTGAATGGGATGTTCTAGTGCACGGTTAAGTGTTGGGCACGATGCGATTGCGAGAGACGAAGGAGGGAGGGGGGAGGGGATGAGCTCGGAAGTGGAATTGTGAGTCACAGTGACAGAGTTGAGGAGGAGTAGCGAGTGTGTGGAGGTGTGGAAGAGTGAGGGAGAGGGAGAGAGAGAGAGGGAGAGAGAGAGAGATGTTAAAGAGGAGGAGGAGAGTGTCGCTTGAGAGGAGATGAGAAGAGATGAGAAGAGAAGAGAGAGAGAAAGAGAAAGAGAAAGAGGAGGAGGAGGAGGAACAAGATCGCCTCCACTGACGGGGTGATGAACGTTGGCTGTTCTCACGATCCACAGGATCCACAGGGCATCCCGCAGCTCCGTACTCCGCATTACACTCCCTTATCCTAATACCCCATTACCCTTGATTACCCCAGCCACCCCACGGGCAATTCTGACCCCTTGTAATCGGACCATATCGGGTCGAATGCCCCGCCCAGGCACGCCAATTCAAGCCAAACCTTTGCTTATCTCTCTCCGCGTCCTCCTGTCTCTCCTCAGCCGCCCACCACCTCACAATTCCGTCTCTTGTCCAGGCCGCTAGTTCTACAGCTTATCCTCCTACCCCCGACCTCAACTACCGCCAAGACCATTATGTCCATGATAACGTAACGTATATAGGTGTCTAGTACTCCATGTCCCCACCTCTACCGCCCAGACCACTTGCGCTCCATGTAGCGCAGCGGGATGAAGAGGATGAGCACAACCATAAAGCCCAGCTCGAAGCCAAGGTCGCCCCTGCGGCGTCAGATCGTGCAAACATTTCAGAGACGGGTGAGGTGTCACTTACGATCCCTCGATCTTGCGGGCAATCCAGCCCTTCCACCACGTCTGCGACATGCCAGCCGCGCAAACAGGGACAGCCTGCAAGTCAGCGAGTCTGCTCTAGCGCGTCCAATATCTCCAACGCCGTCCAAGACAAGACCAATTGGACGCGCACGAGGCACAGAGTGGAGGTGCCTCGCCAGCACGCCACAGGCCGTTCTGGACAGCTCAGTGGCGCAATTGGATGCGCGAATAGCGCGCGGGAACGTATCCCCTATATACCACGACGACATTCTCACGCAAAAAGGTTCAGAACCAAACACTCACACATGCGGCGGAGATAACGAACGCCAGGCCCCATGGCAGCTTGGACGGCTTGTTCCACGCATCGACGGGGTAGGTGATCGAGTTGACGGGGTTGCGGAACAGGATGGGCTCGACGAGCGCAGGCGGGAGGTACAGCGACGTCCAGTAGCCGAGGACGCCGAGGAAGTTGAGCATCATCGTGAAGAAGTGCGTGCTCCCGACAATCGCTACGGGGAGGTAGATGGCCGTGACGATGATGGCGAGGAAGTAGCGCGGCACGCGGACGAGGAATGGGAAAACGACCTGTCCAGAAAGGCCACAGCTGTAGATCGTCGGGGCGACGTTGGCGGTCACGCTGAAGCAGAAGAGGACCATGACGAACTTGGCAGGCCCGCCCGCGCCGAACATCGTGAAGACGAGGTTGGGCGCGCCGATCTGCGCGGCCGTGTCCCACGCCGGGATGGAGCGGGCGGCGAGCGCGCACGCCGCGCCGAAGATCTGGAGGACGATGATGGGCAGCGCGAGGCCAAAGTAGACGCAACAGAAGAGCGGGAGGCGCGGCGTGTTGGCTGGCAGAAGGGTGGACTGGCGTCAGTGCAGCTGGAGATGTCACTTACGAAGTCACTGGCCATGCCGGCGTACGAGGCGGTGAAGCCGATCTGAGTCGCGCCATACCCGAGGATACCCCAGGCCGTGACCTTGGAAGCAGCCTGAGCAGCGTCGTTGAGGGCAAAGTGCAGCTTGTCGCCGTTGACACCGACCAGGACCAAGTACACCAGGAAAATAACTGGGAGAGTGGTGAGAGAGAGGATGTGCAGGGCGCGGAGGCCGATGAAGGATAGCTGGCGTTAGCGCTTGACTATGAGGCAGCTGGGCACTGCAAGGCAACAACTGCGCCAGCCGTTTTGCAGGTCCAAGTAAACTCACGCAGACACAAATAACCGTGACGACCACAATGCCCACGGTCCACGACATGTCGGCCTCGCTAGCGATGGAAAGGCACTGCCCGCCAAGGATCGACTGGAGGGACAAGTATCCAACAAACGTAATGCAGTTCGCGAGACCGATGATGATAGTGGGGAAGTATCCCATCGCATAGCGCGCCTGCACCATCTGGCGCATGCCCGTCCGGGGCCCGTTGGTCGCGAGCCACGCCGCGGGAAGACACATGACAAACGTGAAGATGACAATGACGAGCACAGCCGACTTGAAATCGAGACGGAACTTGAGGATACCGATCATGCCCTCGGAGAACGTGAGGATGTTGGTGTTCATGGCGGCCCAGAACGCCAGCTGCGGCAGGTACGAGCGCCAGCCGAGGGGCTCGCGCTCGTCCTCGGGGCGGGGCTGAATGCCGCGCTCTTCGACGCCGTGCTCGACGAGAAAGTCCATCGTGCGGACCGCGCGGCCGCGCAGCCCGTCGTACTTCTTCGCGGCGTACGACGAGGGCGGCGAGGGCGAGGACGCCTCGAGCGGGAGTCCCTTCTCCATGTCGGCCGACGGGGTGGGGGTGAGGACGGCCATGGTGAGAAGCCGGGAGGAGAGGGAGAGGGGGAGAGGATGAGCGGCGCACGAAGAACTGGGGGAGTCGTCAACCGCGCGCGCTGAAGATGAGATGGTGAGTATAAGTGAGATGGGATGCATGCTCGCTCGAGTCGTATCAACACGGTCTGTGGGTGGGCAGCTCGAGTTAGGGCCCATCACACTTTTTCCAAGCGCGCCGACCTCCACCTCCACCCTCCCTCGGAACTCGCCGCGGTTCTGCGATCACACCATGCAGGGTGTCCCCGCCCAACCGCCACCCACTGTGCGGTCACCGTGCGGACATGCGACCTCGGAGAGCCCAACGCCCATATGCCGTTCCAATGCTTTTCCGACATCCTGGCCTCTCGTCATGCTCTTGGCGCGTAATTGGTTGTATTGGTGATGCAAATTTGGGCCCCGAGATCGAGTCAAAATCTGGCCTGGGTGAGTCACCCATAATCGGGGCAGCGAGTATTTGAATACGTAACCTGGTTCGTTGACGGAGCTGTGGCACTGATCTCGCCTCACTACTCGCAAAACTCGAGCTCACGTAAAAGTATATATCTCTGCAACCTCACGAACATCGCCGCCCTGAGCACGAATGTGTCCGTGCACTTGGGGAGTGTGCGATTCCATGCCGCTGTACCGAGCTGCCAGCATGACACCAACGTCGCCTGACTTGCGCCGATATGTGACTCTGTGAGCTGAAGCAAGTACACTAGCCACTGAGACGATCACGCAAAATCATTGCAAGTGCACCGTGATGGGCTAGTCACATCGCGAGCACCCTTCAGCCCTCTTCCATTGTTGCCATATGGTGCTGTTATTTGATGACAGGTTTGGCATGCTATGTGAAGTGACAGCGGGCATCTCCTTGCCAGCCCAAATAGTACTGGACAGGCTGAACAATGAAAGCGCGGTTCTGCAAGTACGCGCCGGTGAAAGGATGGCGTCAGCTGTGAGTCACAGTGGTCCTCCACGTCCCATTTCGCCCGGCGCAGTGTTCAGGCGTGCAACGGTCAGTACATCAACGCAGAGATGTGAGCCAAGAAGTCGTTCATACATATCCATCTTCACCCTTTCCCAGCCTACTGGACTAGCCGCCGGTATCCGCTCTCTCCAAGATCCTCTTACAGCCTTGCGGCACCCTTGGCCTTGCTCTCCGCCTGCCACTCCTTCGCCGCACGGTCTCGCAGGTGCTTGCGCAAAATCTTACCGGCCGGCGACTTGGGAATCTCGTCCACGACGACAACGCCGCCGCGCAGGCGCTTGTGCGACGCGACCTGCGACGCGAGCCAGTCCGCGACCTCGCGCCCGACCCCACGTTCGTCCTTGTAGTCGGGCGCGACGACAATGTACGCGCGCGGCAGCTCGGTCGCCTGGCTCTCGTCGTACACGGCGCAGAGCCCCACATCAATCACCTTGGGGTGCTTGAGCAGCAGGCCCTCGAGCTCGGCCGGCGCCACCTGGAACCCCTTGTACTTGATCAGCTCCTTAACGCGGTCAACGACCTTCCACCACCCGTCGTCGCGCCGCGTCAGCACGTCGCCGGTCTTGTACCACCCGCCGGGGGCCATGCTCTTCGCCGTCTCCTCCGGTCGGTTGTGGTACCCGAGCATGATGTTGGGTCCGCGGAGCCACAGCTCGCCGCGCTCGCCCGGCGCCGCGTCCAGCCCCGTGTTGTGGTCCACCAGCCGCGCTTGGAACGTCGGCAACATGCGCCCGCAGTAGCCCTCGTTCCCCTCCACCTCGTGCGCCGCCATCACGTGCGTTGCCGGCGAACACTCGGTCATCCCGTACCCCTGCATTAGCTTGATATCGGGGAACTTGGCGGCGAACGCCTCGGCTTGCAGCGCCGACAATGGCGCCGCGGCGCACACCATCGCGCGCATCGACGAGATGTCGTACTTGGCCAAGAGCTTCGAGTGGAGCAGCACCAGAAGGATTGGGGGAACTATGAGCCCGTATGTGATTTTGTACTGCGTCAGCAGTAACTTGGCGCAGACGTACCTTCTGAATGATGTGCAGGGTGGCTTCTTCGTCGAACCGTGGGAGGATGACAACAGGCACGCCCATCGTCGACGGCATCATGAGGATGTAGGCCAAGCCGTACACGTGAGACATCGGGAGGACGCCAAGAACAGCGTCGTGCCCGCTCTCGAGATGCTCGATGCCGAGCACGCCCGCCTGCAACTGACTCGTGAGGTTGAAATGCGACGTCATAACACCCTTCGGCAGGCCCGTCGTGCCGGATGAGTAGCAGAGCCAAGCCACCTCCTGCGCGTCCTTGCCGTTGAACTGCTCGGGCTCAGCAGGCTCCCCCAGAATCTCCGTGATCAGCTTGTACGGCGAGCCCGCCGGCTTGTCCTGCGGCTTGCAGAGCAAGACGATGCGCTCGTTTGGGAACGGAGCGTTGAGGTGAGGACGCGCCTTCTCGAACGCAGGGAGGAGGGCTGGCGCGATGAAGATGAACGTCGAGTTCGAGTCGTTGAGCTGATGCGCAACCTCGAGAGGTTGACTGGGGTCAGTCGCAACGTCTGAGCGCAAGGGGGAGGGGGTGTGTGGCGATCATCTGCCCAAGCAGGTGACTTCGACATCCTGCTAGCCGGCGACGATCGATCACCGGCTTCGGACTTGGCGACCGGGTGATTCCCACACTTCCAGTGACGGCTTCCCTCGTCCCATCACCACCTCCACAGCCAGCCATACACCTCCCCAACTGCCCGCCAACCGACCGTTGACACTCACTAGGCAGCATTCGCCGGGCTGGCGATCACGCCCGCGGCCATGAGCGCGTACCCGGCCTGGACGTACTCGAGGCTGTTGAAGCCCCAGATGCACGCCGTGTCGCCGCGCTTGACGCCCACCGCGCGGAGGCCCGAGGCAATGCGCAGCGCATTGTCGCGCAGCTCTCCGCGCGTGATCACACGTCCGTCGAGCCCATCGATGAACAGTGGTTGCGCAGGCGACCAGTCCGGGATGGGGCTCACCCCCGGCCCCGGCGGGAGGAGGAAGTCGAAGATCGACTGCTGCGGCAGGAAGGGGGCGGGGTAGTCCGAGTCGTAGATTGTGATGGGCATGGCCACCGAGTGAGAGATGGAGAGGAGACAACGAGCGATGGAGAGCGCTGGAAGAAGTGGCGGTGAACAGCAAGTGAGCGGGGGAGCTTAAACTCAATTTCGGGCCCCGCTCCACGGTGCCGGTTGGACCGGCGGCAACTGCCGCTCCCTCGGCCCACCCAACACGAATCCGCACTCATCCAGCTTGATCTTGGCATGCTTGAGAGCGGCCCACGCCGCGTTACGTCTAGGAAGTCCCTTCATGATGTAGTATACACAACGGCTATCGCTACAGTCCTGCGGGGTTACACAAGCTTGCCGAAGCCAATGGCTGGCGGATCGTGCTGGAAGGCAACGTACATGGTATGAAAGGCTGCGTCGCCGATGATCCACTTCTCCCTGGCCCAACCGAAGATGTTACCGAGGCACGTTTCCTCAGTGCTGCTTTGGTTGTGCTTGTTGCGATACTGCCACATGTCCTCGGGGCGGAGTGCGTACCGTGTGCCGCCAAAAGTCAAGTCGACCTCGGGCATACTGTCACACGGATAGCGGTAGTACTCGAGCTGCCCGGGGTGGCTGACCTTCTCGTCGATGAAGGATCCGGGGATGCGCGCGTACAGAGCCTTCACGGCCGCGAATGGGCCCATCAGACCGGCTGTGCCCGTGTCGAGGCTCGCTCGGGCTGGGATGGTGCGTCCGTTGTCCACCTTGAGGATACTCGCGCCGCCGACAACGAGATCGTCCATGAACACCTCCCATGCGTTTGGATTGCTGACAGGCAGCCACCTGAGCGCGCTCTCGCCGCCCATAATAGCCTCACTGTCGACGCCACCGAGCGTGAGCTCGCCTCCGTAAACAGCTTGCTGGTTCTTGCCGGCCTGCGCCACGCGCAGGGCAATTCCGAACATAGGCTTGGGCCATCTCGCCCCGCCCTTGCCCTCCAGCGCATGCACCCACCACGGCGTGGTGCTCGGGAACTTGTTATCGCTTTTGATGGGCCAGCCCATGCCCAGGATCCCGACTATGTCTGAGCCCTTGAAGCCCGTGCCCTTCACGTCGAGGGCGACACCGAACTCCTGCCCCGGGACGGTGTAGCCACCGAGGGTGATCGTGTCGGTCCCGACTTCGCCGTCGATGTGGGTCGCCACGTAGGAGGCGCGGAATCTGGCGCCGGTGGTGTTGTAGCTGGCGGATGCGCCACGGTCAAAGCCTCTGACGCGGGGGCACTCGTTCTGGCAGGCGCTGGTGTGCACCCACAGACCGTTGGAACCAGTGTCGAGCTGCACCTCGAACGACTGGGGCGGAGTACTGGCGTAAGCGGGGTGCGACTCTAGCTGCAAAATGGGGTGGGCCAAATCAGATGAGGTAATGCTTGGCTGGCAGGCGGGGCGCAGCCAAGCCACAAAGTACCACCCCGGGCGCGTCGCGCGGATCTTACTTACCCGATATCGATGGGCACCGTGTACATTGTGTTCCGGCGGTTGATGATATCCTGGGTGCCGACAGGCCCTGTCCCCACTGCAGCGTTCTGTCGGGGAGGGAGAGACCGTTTCCAGCTAGGCCGGCGCTCGGCCCAGTTAGGGCCATCTTGAAAACGGTGAGGGGTGTCGCTGGACTCGCCGCTCCTGCGAATGGGGATCCGGACGGGCGCTGCGAGCATCTTCTCGTCGGTGGAAGTGCCCACTGGCACTGCACGGGCCTGTACGAGCAGGAGGAGGGAGCTGAGGAGCTGGGTCAGGTGCATCTTGAATACACGTTGGGCGGAACACGAGGGACGGTGTAGGAGATATCTTGAGATAGTCTTGAAGCGGACGAACAAGCTGCTGATGATGAGGTATCGATATCTTGATGTGACGGGGAAATGAGCCACGCAAATGAATAGATATATCTGGTGCGGTGCAGGTGAGGTCACCCATCTGGAAGACTCGTCTTGATTTGGGGGAGGGCGCAAGGCGCGGGCACATTCTTCCACCCACGAAGGGAGGTTGCAGTTGTTCAGCCAAGAAGAAGAACAACTACCACAGAAGCAGCTTAGCTTGACCACCTTGACGCATTCCTGTTAGTGTCGGCGAGCGCGCCGGGGCATCTATTGATGTTACCCAGGCACAGTCAATGTCCGGACTCTGCCACCCTGCGCGGTCTCTGCCGTACATGAGCGATCTGGGGCAGCAGTCATGGTCGTGAGTAATGTTTGTGGCCATGTTGTGCTGTCTGATCAAGGTGGAAACCGACGCCACGGTAATGTCGGGGTTTGTCAGGCCCGGAGACAAAACAATCGCGTCAGTAACATCATCTGTCCCTGCCAGCCGTCTCATGCTGCCGCCATCACCACCTCATGTCAATGGACAGACGCGTAAAGATACCGTACCCAAGACATGCCCATCACCCGGTCTAGTTCGTGCATCACTTGCTCATCTGATCCGCGATCTCGATGCAGCGGGCCCAGCGCTCGTCCTCGACGACGGCGATCTTGCCGTCCCGCAACTCGCGGAAGCGCGTCTGGTCCTTCTGGCTCGGGACGAAGCCGTACCACTGTTCCGCGGCGGCCTTGTAGTCGCCCGCGATGAAAGGCACGACCGGGGCGAGCCAAGCGCGGATGACCTTATCCTCCTCCGCCGAGAATCCGAAGCGCGAGAGGTACCACCACGCCCACTGGTCGTCTGCGTGCGTGACGACGCCGGAGAAGATGGCGTTGTCCGCGAAGTACTTGGGCTTCCAGGCCAGGCGGAAGCGCAGCACGTTCTCCGGCGGGCAGTGTTGCAGGAGGGAGCGGACGAGCGCGCGCTCGCTCACGTACACTTGGCCATGCGCGACAATGTCCCCGAACATGCGCTTGACCGCGTCCACCTGTGCCTTCTCTGTGATCGGCTCGTCGGGTTTCAAGCCCTGCAGCGCGGACGGGAGGGGCCAGCACGCGACGAGCTGGCGCGCCGCCGCGGGGTTGTAATAGTTCTCCAGCTGGACGGCGATGTCATTCAGCGAGCGCGGCGGGTTGGTCGCGCCGTACATGACCTCCTCCTGCGGCGTTTCCCCAATGATGACGGCGAGTCCGCGCTCTCCGAAGCGGCGCGCAAAGTCGCCGTTGACCACGCGCGTGTACATCTCGGGGTGGACGAAAGCGCCGTCCGTAACGCCGCGGAACGTATGGATTTTGCTGCTGTCAGCATACTGATGTCCACTCGCAGAGTAAAAAGCGCCACTCACAGGTGCATGACCTTGTCAACAAGCTCCTGCATGGGCACTTTGCGGAGCGCGGCCATCTTCTCCTCCCCGCTGAGGTTGGCATCGACGCCGCAGGCCTCAGCCAAGCCGTCGAAGCCCGCCTGGCTCTCTTCGATCGTCTTGCACTGCGCCGGCAGCGCATTGGAGAACATCATCGCGCGCGAGATGAGTGGCTTTGCACCGCTGTTGAGCTCGTACGCCAGCTGCATCTGGACGCTATACGCGCCGGCCGACAGGCCGGCGATGGTGATGTTGGCGCCGTTGCCGCCGAAGTGGTGTGCGTTCTCGGCCGCCCACTCGATCGCCAAGCGCTGGCTGCACGTCAGCCCCGCGGATCGGCTCCGCCGTCCACTCACTCCCAGAAGCCGAAGTTGCCCGCCGTCCCGTCATCGTTCTCGGCCTGCACCTCCTTGCCGGCCAGGAAGCCGAACAAGCCCAGCCGGTATCCCGGGACGATGACGAGCGCGGGCATGGGCCCCGAGACGAGGTTTGCCGGGTCGTTCTTGTCCGTCATGGCTGGGTTGCCGATCTGCAGCCACCCGCCGTGCAGGAACACCCAGGTGGGCCAGCCGCCCTTCGGCGGCGTGCCGGCCGGCACCCACACATTGGCGGTAAGACAGTCCTCGTCGAGCACGGCGTTGGGCACGCCCATCGGATACAGGTCGCCTTTGTCGCTAATGTCAGCGCCAAGGCTTACGGAATAGCTCAGAGGCGCCAACTCACTTCCGGACCTGATACTCTGGCTGAGGGGCAAGCGCGCCAAACTCCTCGCCGCGCACCTCGGCCCACGAGTAGTCGGCGGGCAGAGGCTCTGGCTTGCGCCAGCGCCGCTCGCCGACGGGAGGGCGCGCAAAGGGAACCTGGCAGAAGCGGCGGGCTTTGACGCCGTTAGGCCCCACGATCTCGATGCCGCGCAGCGTGCCGTGTGCGCCGGCGTCGAGCGTCGTCGGACGGTCTGGCGTTAGCGATTCTCTCAGTACCATTGGGGAGGTTGAATGCGCGCACAGGAGTCTCCGGGTTGGGGTGCGACAGTCTGCCGTCAGCATCGTTTTGGTGAATACCCACGGCCATGATGATGAGAGCAGGGATTGTCTAGAGCACAGACGAGAGACGTGCGGTATATGGGTGCCCACAAGTGACATATCGGCTCCGTCGCGGGTCAACCGGCCATCAAGATGCCGTGGTGCTGTTGAGGCCCCGCAGTTCGGCACGTCTCGAGGCGTGCTTGGTGATGAGCGGAGATGACCGACGGAGGAATGAGTCTCCCTCCCGTGGCCGGTGGGCAGGTGGTGATTTCTGTACTTTAGCCTGTTCTGTAGTGGGGAAGAGCATGCCAACATTTCGATACGCTACAACGGGTAAACCACACTATGATGAACGGATCGGTCTCTTGAGGCGCTGCAGATCACTGACCAGCGCTGGTCCGGATGCTGGAAGTCTAGAAGGCGGATATCAATTTGTCACACTGTTCGCCCTACAGATTGGCGGCCGCGGTGCGCGCCTGTGCACGTCCATATGCCGCCGCAGCGCGCAGGTATATTGGGAGGAGGGGGACGAGAACGAGGGAGACTGGGAACAACGCAATTAGGAGGATGGTAGGAATGACTACGACGAGCGGCTTGATGAGGAGGAAGTAGGCGAGTGCCGCATACGAGTAGTGGTCGGTGAACTGGATCAGCTCATTGACGTTCGAAGTAGCTTACCATAGCCCACGAGTTAGCGAGGAAGCGTGTGTCCCGCTCAGCTTCAGCTCCACGCTCCACAAGAGGTGTGCTCTGCTCAGACAACGGCTCGCGGAGTCGATAGAACACGACACGTGGGCGCGGCATCGGTGCGTGTACTGCCTGCATCCGCAGCTCGAGAGTCGCGGCCCACCGAGCTAGCAGTAACGTGAGCCACCACACGACGGCCCCGAGCGGGAGTGTGAGAAGAAGGGCTGTGCCCGCCGCCGTGCCGACCAGTAATGGTGGCCAGAGAATCAACCCGAAAGGAAAGTTGAGAAGAAGAAGGTGTGGGAGGGGGCGCCAATGCTCCCGGTCTGTCAATGGCGCCCAGTATCGTCGCCATGCGCTTTCGTCAGTAGATGGGAGTGCGACGCCGCGGTCACCACACAAGATCGTGCGGAGAGTGGAGCCGACGCGCGCTGCCGTGGGAATCTCCTCTTCTTCTGCTTCTGGATCCAAAGTGAAGGTGCCGTATTGTCCTAGTGGCGAGGTCTGTCGCTCTTGTGACCGCGTGGGACGAGGCGATGACGATGATTCGGGCAATGCATACTGCTGCGCCAGCGAAGAGGCAGGCTCTGTAGCCGCCCGTGCTCGACCGCCATGCCCGATGGGGGCGTAGGGCGGTGGTTGCTCCGCCGCTGGTTTCGGGTCAAGACGATACACGCTCGAGCCGTCGGCGGCCAGCACGAAGACTGGGGGACGGCAACATGGGTGCGAGTGATCGGGCAGAAGGTCGTGGGCAGGAAGAGCAGAGAGCAGACCGAGGGAAGCGGAGGAATGAGAGCGGCGCTGTTCTGGCCTCGGCGTTGCGTCCGCCTGCTCGCCAGGTGAAGGTGGAGGCGGGGCGGTGGAGGAGATGGATGCGAGGGCGGGGTAGATGTCTGGGTCTAGCCTGGGAAAGACGAGCTCACTCGATGCTGCCATCGCGCAAGACGGGTCAAAAGGCGAGGATACTGGAGAGCGTGAGATGAACGATGGGGACGACAAAGCGAGCAGCGCGCATCGCACTCGAGATTGCGGAATGACGCCGGTTTATGATACAGGTGGCAAAATGCCACGAATTCGGGGTGTGTGCCTCCACCCGAAGTTGAACATCAGTTGTTGACATCTCCAATATCTCAAGAGATCGAGTCTACCGGCAAGATGGTGAGCTGAGGAGCTCTTGAACACTGACCTCCAGTCTGTTACGCTTCACACGTCTCTAGGCGACCTTAAAGTAAGCTGAGCATGTGGTCTGAGCTGACGATAGATCGAAGTATTCTGCGAAGCCGTACCCAAGACGGCGGAGGTGAGTGCTGTTCTCCAGCGACTATGAGGCTTCTCAACGAGCACCTCTTCACCCAACTTTGCCGCTGCTTTGATTGAACTCACCCAAGAACTTCCTTGCTCTCTGTGCGTCAGGGTATTATGACGGCTGCCTTTTCCATCGCAACATCAAGGGATTCATGGTGCAGACAGGTAGGCTCTCACTTGCGAGTGCGAGCTGACTCCAGGCGACCCAACGGGAACAGGGAAGGGCGGACAGAGCATCTGGGGCGCGCCGTTTGCAGACGAGGTGCGGTCGACGCTCAAGGTAAGCTTCTGCTTCGGCGGTAGCTGACTTAGTTCAATGCACGCGGCGTCGTGGCGATGGCCAACGCCGGGCCTGGGACCAACAAGTCACAGGTGAGTTCCTCAAGTTCAGTTAGCTCATATAGTTCTTCATTTCGTACGCCAAGCAGCCGTCGCTCGATGGGAAGTACACCATTTTCGGGCGCGTCATTGATGGGCAAGACAGCACGCTCGACATGATTGAACGGGTACCCGTCAGCGCCAAGAATCGGCCGGAGAAGGAGATCAAGCTTGAGCGCGTGACGATCCATGCTAACCCAATCGCAGACGCGCAGAAGTAGATTAGATTACTGTTACATATGTACACTACACATTATGCTCCGTACCAGCCTGTCGCAGATGGCCCTGCGGTGGCGATTGGTGCGCGGGTGGGGATGAGCGGTTCGCGAATATCGAAGATCTCGATGGCCTCGCGCCACGTCGCCATGTCCATTTCCATGACAGCCTGGTGGGAAAACGACTCGCCCTCCTCGTCCTCGTGCCGTGGCTCGCGCGCAAAGATCCTCACAAGGCCGTCGTCGGCGACGTCGATCCCAGCCCGCCCTTCACGTACGAGGAACGACACATAGAAGCAATTCTCGACCGTCTGGGAGAAGCTCTCGGGGTTGCACACGAAGGCGAAGAAGTTGACGCCTGCTCCATGCCTATCCAGTGAGTGCAGCGTCTTCGCCACCTTCCGTCAGCCTATTCCGGTGAGTGACTTACGCTCCGGACATTTGCGAGTGTGGGATCGGCGGATTTAGCCTTCCCCTGCGTCTCGACCTCGACGGGCCGCTGCTCCGGCGCGACAGCTTGCCGCACGCGCGCGCGCTTCTCCTTCCGCGTGTGCTCAACACCAAGCGGGCCATACCTGGCATCAGCACTCTTCGCACGACAACTCACAGAAAGTCTATCCCAGGCGCACGCCGGCTCATCTTGGCGGCCATCCACCCGATGGTCTCCCAGCTGCCTAGCTTGACGCGCCGTGGCTCTTCGTCGTCGCTCCCCGGCTCCTCCTCGTCCTCAATCTCCAGCACACGCTTCACCCTGACGTCAGCCCCCTCAAGCTTGGTCTCACTTGGCCAGCAGCTCGTCGACGTCGAACGACGCCCCGCCCAGCTTCTGCTTGCGCAGCAGCGCGGCGCTCATCTCTGCCGCCTCGCGCACCACGCGGGCATCCTGGTTCGCGATATCGGTATCACGGACGCGATATAATCTATTCGCGCCGTTCAAGATGTCGATGATGGCGCCGGGCTCGACATTCTCGAGGTTCGCGCGCATGTCTGCATCAGCGCAAGTCGGGGGTGGACGCACCGTCCGCGCGGCTCTGGAGCGCATTGAAGTCGCGCGAGATCTTGGCTTTCTCGCGCGGGTCCACTGCTGCGAAGACCTCGGAGCGGCGCACGTCGTCCATGTCGCTTGAGCGGCGGCGGCGCCGTTGGGTGCCGACCATGTTGATGTGAGAGTGGAGGAAGGGGAACGCGCGACGCGTCCAAACAGAGTGTAGTCATTAGCGGAAGCTTATCGCCGCTAATGTTCTCCCTGATTGTTTGGCGACCACCTCCACTTTGCAAGTCCACTTCTCTTCCTCACATCTCACATTCAACATGTCTGCCACAAGGCTCCTCGCCTCTGGTAAGTTGCGTGGACGGCTTGGAATCTGATATCAGGCATTCAGGCTGACGTGTATCTCACGCGCCGCGCCGCTCTCGTGGTGGTGAAGGTGGTCCACGCTCCAGCGGATGGCGATGACCCTCGGCTGCGTCCCCACAATGTTGCACGCGAGGCGCGTCTCCTCGGGCGTTTGAGGCACCCAAATGTAAGGCATTCAAGAAGAGATATAGCTAACGGGAGGTTGTCACTCTGCTCGACTACTCGTACACTACAGAGCACCGACTGACGCTGGAAGTGCTGCCCTTACCGCTCTTCGACATCGCCGTACCACTGGCCATGTCTGAAAGCGCATTCATGTTCGTGGCGCGCGGTCTATTCTCCGCCCTTGGCTTTCTGCACGCAGAGGGAGTTGCGCATCGGGACATCAAACCGGGAAACATCTGCATCTCGGCGGAGGGCGAGCCAAAGCTTATCGACCTTGCGACGGCGTGGGACGGGGGCGACGGTAAAGGAGACGATGGGGGAGGTGGCATGGTGTGCCAAGTCGGGACTGGGTGAGCGATGCGTGGGACGAAATTGACAGCAGCCCTTATCGCGCACCAGAACTCCTCTTCGGGCCTGTGACGTACGATGCGGCCGCTTTAGACCTGTGGGCGGCGGGTGCGACGCTCGCGGAGCTGTATCGCCATCTCACGGGATGGCGGCGTGCTCCGGGGTCTCGCAGTGATGGTGGTTCATCTCATGTCTCGAGTCTGTCGGGTAGTGAGAGCCCTCCCCTGTCCCTCGACGGCGGGGCTCGCTCCAGCGACGTTGCCCTGTTTGACGCGACCTACGGTGATCTCGGGCTGGCAGGCAGTATTTTCAGCGTGCTTGGGACGCCGACGGCTGAGTCGTCGCCTGTAAGCTTTCTCTCCGTCGAGACACAGGCTGACGGCAGTCCTTCTTCTCCTTGCCTGACGCAGGCAAGATCCACTTCAACCCGCAACCACAACAGGATCTCTCCACCCTCCTGGGCGCACCGGAAGGTCCCACACGCGTGCTGGAAGCCGTGCTGCGCCTCGAGCCGGCGCAGCGCGCGAGCGCACAGAGCGTGGTGCAGATGGTGAAGGAGGGGAAGGCGGACGGGTGGGACAGGGAAGTTCGGGCGGAGCTGCGGCGTCTCGCGCGAGAAAGGATGGGTGAGCTGGAGCGGTCTCTCGAGGGGGAGTTCGGGAGCGATGGTCAGGCGCCGTGATGACAGGCCACTGGCGCCCATTTCCCTAAATCGTGCGCGGTCCGACGTCGTCACCACAGATAACAGGCGACGCCCAAGTGGCCTTGAGAGGCCGTGTGCGCCTACAGCCCAACGAGGCGGATCGCCTGGCCTCGTCACGCGAAGCTTGGGGGTGGTGCCGGCCAGCGATGTGTGCTCTCATGCCCAGGTGGCGGATCGCGATACAGACGCAGCTATCCGCTCGAACTGGGTGGCAAATTCGTCGTGGCGCACTCTGTCTGCATGCCTGGGTCGTGGGCGAGCATCGCCTCCGACGACTCGACCATTGAGTCGATTCGGTGCCGTCAGCCAAGCCGGCATGTCATGTCGCCACCGAGCGCGTCGCGCTCTTTGCCCTGCCCCTCCCTCCACCTATCATCAGAGTCACTATCAGTCGCCACCGCCAACTCGCGTTAATACTTCATGCACGTAGCCACAGAACAATACAATCATACACTTGCGCCAGCTCTTGCCGCCCGATACGCCGGTGTGGCTCAGCTGGCGCTGGCGGGGCCTACTCGGCGGCCTCGAAGCCGAGGTCCCCAAACGTGTTCTCTGATGCGTACATGATGTACAGGAACCCGTCCTCGTCCCTGCCGTCAGCGCCGCACATCTGCATCTCACTTGTGCTCCTCGTAGATGGCGCTCATAAGCGCCGCGGTGGGCGGGAGGATGTCGTCGACGAAGATGAAGATGGCCTTCTCGGGCGACAGCTTGATCCGCTTCCTGCTGTCAGACGGGACGCGACGGGACGCGGCGCGACGCACCGGATGACATAGACGAACTGCCCGACGGTCAGGTCTGCGGGGACGAGGTACTTCTTCTTGTCGATGGTGGGGATGTCGCTTTTCTCGACCTTCTCGCAGATGACGGGGATGCGGTCCGAGTACTTCTGGCGGATGCGCTCGGCCTCGGCCTTGCGCTTGTCTGCAGGGGGGATAAGGCGGCGCGCGATGGGCGACGAGAGGAGGGGGGGGGGGAGCGATGCGGAGCGATGCGGCGTGCCGAGATGGCGAGGATAGCGTCAGCAGCAGAAGTACGCGCACGGCGCACGTACCGAACGGGTGCTCGTCCTTGAACTTGGAGCGGACCATGGTGGGTATACCTTGTGTTGGAAGTGGAGAGTGAAGAGGAGTGGAGTGGAAGATAGGGTGGCAAGCGTGACGCGGGACGAGTCAGCTGGATGGACGGGCGACAGGGCCGACTTACTGTCGGGGTCGGTCGGTGGTGGCAGCGATGGAATAAGTGTTGATGCAAGCGTGCGCGAGCTGTGGTCGGTGGCAACGCCGGCTGGCTGACTGCGACTGCTGACTGCTGACTGCTGGCTGGCGTGCCCCACCAGGCCACGGGGTGGCCCGTGCTCAGTATGTGCCTATTCGCTCACTCGCCATCCTAATGCAGTCACCATCCACAATTCAAACCAAACAATGGGTGGCAAACACGCGGCTTTGATGCCGCCGAGGAATGACGCGTCGCAGCACGTGGCCATCACGTGATGCGGCGATTCGGAGTCGGGGGTTGTGGCGGCCGTGGCCATGGCGGATAGGCGGGTTAGATGCCACATGGCTTGCCAGGCCTCGATCTGGCGATCTGGCGACAGCGAAGCCACAGCGATCGGAAGTGCATCAGTTTATCATGAGCTCTGCCGAACACTGGTGGCTGGAGATCATGACGAGAGCGATTCTTTATCTCTGGCTTTCGCTGATCTCATCGTTGAGGATTGACGGCCAGACGATGACAGAGGCCAAGCCCACACACGCCCACGTTCGTCAGATCGGCTTCCCATGCGCTCATCGCATTCCGGCGGGCACCAGCAGATGGCAGATGGCAGCGGCAGGCGGCAGGCGGCAGGCGAGCCCGGCCCAGCGTAGCGTTGCCGTGCTTGTCTCTGCCAAGACTGGGCCAGGCCCGGAGGCGGCCCATAGGCGCGGGTGTCGCCCGCCGCGCCGCCGTGTAAACTACACGAGAGCGACCAATTTGTTCCATGAGCAGATGTACATGCATGGCTGTGTTCTCGAGGATATTCAAGGCCAGTAGAGTGAGGGCTGACGGAGCGGAGTCGCCGGCGCAGCATGGTGACGAGAGGGATGCAAGGGATCGATAATTACATGCAGATGCATGCATGGCTGTGGGCTGTGGGATGTGAGCTGTGGGGAGTCGCTGATCGCCTGGGAGTGATTCGCCTGATCGCCCGGTGGCTGACTGCGCAGGCACATCGTCATGACGGGCGTCCGTTAGACGTACGAGGGATACGAGGACTTGCCGAGTGGGGTGGACAAGGTTTGGTGGATCGAGGGCCGCACAGCAGGTCTGCAGACCATGCAAACCAGCTATAAACCAGCGATTGCCGAATAGAGCTCAGCTCGAGTTGGAAACCGACGGAGAGACGGAGTATGCACTCGCACTCAGGTACTCAGAGTTAGAGTCGGCGTTTCTGGGTTTCTGACAGAGTGTAACCCCTGAAACATGAGCCTGAGGACTGAGGACTGCTTCTGAGCTGCTTACCCTCGGCCCTCGGCTGCGGCGGCATGGCGGGAGATGGAACGCATGGATTCTGGCGATCACACCAGCTGCGCAGTCAGGGGATTGAGGGGAAGTGGTATGGAGCTTTGGAGGCAATTGGTGGGGACGGTATGTTCACTTGGTAATTGCTTCACTTTGACAGGGCGGTACCAGCGGTGCGGGGGGGCAGCGGGGCATCCGGCAGCCGGGGCAGACGACCAGCGCGACCAGAGAGAGAGAGAGTGACGTTATGCCGTATCGTATACGTTCATATCCCCTGGTGCCCAACCGTGCCGTGTCCTGTTTCCGGCGGGCAGTCTCTATTACTTTTGTCCTGCCTGACGGAGAGATCCCCCTTCTCGGCCTTCTCACGGCCTCGAGGCCGCAGTGATCAGCGATCAGCAGCGGCAGTGACAGCGACGATGACTGGATGGCATGGATGGAGTACTTCTCTGATCTCTGAACGAGGTACCTGGGAGCTGGGAGTGGCCGGAATGGAGGATGCTACGAGCTACGAGCAACGAGCTACGAGAGCGACGGGGGCCAAAGGGATGGGAAATGCAACCCACTTTTCAAGATGCCCTGGTTTGATAGATCGTTCAGTCAAGGCGGCAGGAGGCAGGAGGCAGAAGAGGAGAGGAGTTGGGGGTGGGTGTCTCATGCCTCATCAGAGTCTGTAGCTGTAGCTCCTCACCTGCTACGCACAGAGTCGACCATGCTGCATGCGAGCGATGATGCAGTCATCATCCAGCAAATAAGGCGCATCACCCAAACCCTCCTAGTCCTCCTAGTCCTCCTAGTCGTCCTCTCAACTTTAGTCTCGACAGCTCGACAACTATTGCTCTCCCCTCCCCTCCCCACCCACCCCATTACTACGTACCACCCACTCTTCTCCTTCCAACACCACCACAAGTCTCTTCCACAACGCTCACTCCCCTCCTCCGTCCACCACTCTACGACCTCACTGCCCCACCACAACTTCCCCCTCAGACGTCACCAAAAGCGATATCGGCTTCCCCTTCAGCTCTCCCATCGCTCCCCTCTTCCCCACCTCCCCTCCCCTCCCCTCCCCCTTAGCACTTTTCGCCAAGAATACCTTTTCGTCTCTGCGTGCCACAGCCCACTCGGTGTAACGGTCGCCGTCGTCGCGTTCCCTGGCCAAGGTCCATCCATCAAGAAGACTCTTGCAACATCCACAACACTGTCTCTGGCATTCTGGCAACTGGCAGCTTGGCCCTCTTGGATTCACTCCTATCCACCCCGTCCAAGGTTGCTTGTGACGCTCCCCGCATATCACCCATCGTTTCCGATTCCTCCATTGCACTCTCCGACTCTCCTTGATCCTTGATCCTCCCAGGCCCCGCCGCCAGTCGCCGCCGCCTGGCACATTTGGATACATCACGCTTGTTCTTCCACCTCCCCAGGCCTCGTCGCTCAACATTACCGCACGACACGCTCCAGAGGCTTCCTTGATCTCTAGCTTTCTTCCAAGCTTACACTTCGATCCTCCTCGGCCCCCGACCAGCACGCCGAGCCCGCCGAGCACTTCGTGCACGTTCCTCGGCCTTTAAATACACCACAACGGCATCTGTGCCCCGCACGACCCTTCGACGTCGCCAGCTGCGCCCGCCAAGTGTCATTTCGCACAGGTTTCGCCCCACCTCTGTTCCCACCACGACGTTGCGACGTCAGTCTCCGATCTATCACAGTTCCAGCACAACTGATCTCTCCACGCTCCTGTAAAAGCGCGCTTTCCCATCCTCCTTCCATCTCCACTCTCCCTCCCCTTCCCACCCGCCATGCCTCTCTCCTTGCGCCGCAAGGGCAGCATTAGCTCCCTCCTCAGCGGCAAAGGACATCGCCGGTCTTCTTCCGAGTCTTCCCTCTCTGCCATCAAGCCCGAAGTAACAGCAAACACCCACGCTAGAAAACCAAGCAGCGGCTTGCTAGGTCTTACCCCATTGCAAGAAGGAGACCGGGCCCCGTCCAGAGTTCGTCCACCACCTTCCGCATTCCGTGGTGTCCGCCCAGCACCCCCGAGCCCCAGCCCCAAGGGAAAGGAACCCGCGCCAGTGGCACCCCTGCAGTCTCGCCCCGGCCGAGCGCACTGGGTTGTCGACTCGCTCGAGACCCACCGTGGCAATGAGATCTGGTCTCAGCAGAACCGTGTAATTCTGGTCGTTGGCGGTGAGTTGGTGCTTTCTCTACTGAACCCGAGATTGCTAGCGAAAGTGATGCTGACGCTGCCTCTCCTCTTCTATCATTCTGGCTGCCGTCACGACGCGTCTAAACATCATCACACTCTGATCAATCGCACGCACACAGAGCCGAGCCGCGCCGCTCTAGCGCCCCTCCTTTACTCTCCAGCCTTTGCGGACACACTCGTTCTGGTGGGATCGCTGGAACCCATCCCTGAAATCGAGCTTCTCAACTCGCCCTCACACCTTCTCCACTCCGAAACCATTTATCCTACTGTTCAGCCATTCCAACCACCCGCAGCAGCCATCGCAGATGCCACGCACCCAGTCACTGTTGTTCTCCAATATGGAACAGCACTGGCTGAAGCCCACCGGCGGGACACGGCTGTTTCTCAGGTTTTGACACGACCAGGCAGCTTTGGGCCTCGATCCCGCCGCGGATCGTCCACATCCCTCAGCGGTTCCCATACCCCACCGGGGACTCCCCCACCCCCGACGGCGCGCCGGAGACTGTGGTCATTTGGCTCCAACTCCCCGGCTGAAGAATCCTCACCCGCTGTCTCGCGGCAAGGATCGGCGCTCGATCTTACGCGCTTCGTCTCGGAAAGCAACCGGAGCCGTACTCCGTCGATTGCTGGCGACAAGGAGCGCAAGACTTTGCATAAGAGAGCGTCGTCGTTGTTCAAGAAGGATCAGGTGGTCTCTGATGGCTCGCCCATTGACGCGATAATCAACTTTATTCCCTTCGCCGACCCTCGGCTGGACCAGCAACGCGTGCTACAGGCAATGCTCCAGAACACTGTTGTTTTGACAACTGCGGCCTTGCCCATTCTTGCGACGGCAGTCACGACCTCGAGTGCTCAGGCTCAAGTTGCCATCACTGAGCTTTCGCCCCTGTCGCTAATTCACATCGTGCCTGTGGACGCTCCCCTTCAGCTCCCAACCGTCATTGAGCGGTTCCTCCTTCCGTTGCTTCCGACCATGGCGGGCAGAGTTCGACGGCCTCTCTTTGGTTGCGTCACGGGCTACGGCGCCTGGCTGTCGCCCATGACTGATCCTGTCAACGGTGGCGCTTCTGGAGCCGAGACGCTGCTGTTTGGTGGTGTTAGATGCCCCAACCACATTGCTGAAGCCGAGGGTGTCAAACCTCAGGCCATGCTTGCTGGTTGGGATCACTGCGCCTCGTCGCCGGGCCTGCTCACAGAAACGGTCGAGAACATGAAGACGCCACCGACCTTCTCCCGCCAGGCGTCGCACATGGCGCTTTCCGAGCTTCGTACGCAGCCTACCCGACCGAGTGCGATGAGCAGCAGCCAGTCGATGATGTCTGTGGGGACCCCCGGGTCTCCTGCATCGTTGTCACCACCGAGCTCGCCCAGCATTGCATCCGGCCGCAGCCTACCTCCCGGTGCCGCTCCTGCCCGAAGCACTTCCCCGACTGCCGCACTTAGAGGCGCGCCAACTGCCAGACCCGAAAGCAAGAGTCCCGCCCCAGTCCAGCACCAGCCCACTCGGCAGGCTCGGACGCAGACGCCGTCACCGCCCCCCAAGATCAGAGAGCCCCTCCCTCCCAAGGAGATCCCGACATTGCGTGCGAAGCCTCAGATGCCCCGGCCCACATCTGACCCGTACCGGAGCAAGACACCGACGCCCGCCGAGTATGTGCGCCCAGAAAGTGTGACCCCTAGGGGCACGAGCACACCCACGTCATCAATCCCGTTCACTTCCAGATTCGACCCGCGGTATAGAGAGTTGGAGGCCAAGCGCGAGAAGGAGGCCGACGCGACGCTTCGCGCCCAGGCCAAGGAGGCGCTCAGAGCGACTCTGTCTCCGTCCATTGCACCTCGTAGCGCGCCCCTGCCGAATGGCGCTGCGCCCCCGGCCGAGTTTGGCGGCTACGACCGGCGTGCGCGCGGCCCCTCTGGCCTCCGCAACGCGGTCACGGTGCCACAGAACAACCTGCAGCCGTCTCCGCCCACACCCGAGCTCGACCCAAGCTCTTCCTCGTGCTCGAGCAGCTCGGTGCTTGAGCCCAGCTGGTCGGAGGACCGCAGTGGCAGCAGTGCGCGGAGTAGCAAGCGGTCGTCGGCGACGCCGCAGGCGACGCTGTCGAAGCCGATTTCGGGGAGTGTGAGCCGCAAGGGTTTATCGGGCTTCACGAGCATCTTCAAGCGCCGCAGCGTTAAGGCGTAGGCTAGTCCAGGCGTAGACAATCAAGGCGTAGGCAGCATCTGCAAGAATAGAGAGTGCATGAGTGGCCATGGCCGGTGGCCGACGGACCCTAGTTGTGTCAGTAGTAACATTGATAGCATCGCGACACACGGCGATGGCCATAATTTTGTATATGCATCGATGACATTTGGTGCGGGGTGGTATTGGTGTGGGAAGACGGGAGGTGGATGAGGGTGACATCATGGTGGTCGTCTGACCTGATCGAGAGCTGCGGCAGCTCGGCAGCTGGAGCCCAGCGGTTCACCCCAAAATGCCGTACGAGACGGGCGGGGATCGGGGCATACGTAGCACAGCGTTGCAGATCGAAGGCTACGGAATGTCGGCATCACTTGAGTCGTGCATGCTTATGGCTTATGGCTCAAATGGAAAGGAAAGGCAGCGACGTCATAAAAATAGGCAAGCAACCGCGTGGCTCCCACGATCCCTTCAGGCGCCCGACCACGTTACGCTGATATGAGAATTAGGCGCGTGAACACGATGGGGCTGCGCGCGTCCGGAACCCGGAAGTAGGGGACGCTGCGTGGTTGGCTTCAGGCCCCAACGGTCAACGGGCCAACGCGGCCTCCACTGGCCGTACGCAGCGTGTACTTAACCTCCACCTCACTCCTCCTTCTCGTCTTCGTCTTCCTCCCCATCCTCTTCAACCCCTCCAACACCATGTCCGCAGCATTCGACAAGGCCGTCGCGATCGTCAAGGGCCTCCCGGCCGACGGGCCGACCAAGCCCACCCAGGACCAGCAGCTCGAGTTCTACGGGCTGTTCAAGCAGGCCAACGAGGGCGACTGCACTGGTCCTGCGCCTGGTGAGTTAGGTGCTCTGTAGAGCAAGTGCGGCGTAGTAGGACCGAGTGCGACTACAAGAGCCACGGTGAGCGGTAGGCGTGGAGGAGGACGGCCGTTTGTGGCAGAGCAGGACGCCGGAAGCAGTGATATGCGCCGCGAAGCTCCGCTTCATTTTCTCACCGCTCTCCGTCACCCGTCTCATCTGCGCCTACGCGCGGCGCTCGCTTCACTGCTTCACCTTCGCACGCCGCTCGCCGCCCGCCGCCGCTTGCTTCGCTCCCTGGCTCCCGCTAACCCCAGGCGCGTTCAACTTCACCGCCAAGTACAAGTACAACGCGTGGAAGAAGCTCGAGGGCACCTCGAAGGAGAAGGCCCAGGCCGACTACGTGGCCCTCCTCAAGTCTGTGAGTGGTTGCCATGGCTGGGCCGTGGAAGCTGGGTAGAAGGCGCCCCACGAATCGGGCGCGATTTGAGACGGGACCCCCCACTCGGGCGCACGGGCGCACGGACCCACGCCCTCTCCCATGCTAGAGGCCTCGCATACCTAACGATCTGACGAGGACCCGCTGACACCAGATGCTTGAGAAGGCCGACGACGAGAACTCGAAGAAGGCTCTTGCGGAGCTCAACGGTGGGTGCGGGCGAGAATTCACTGACGCCAGCCGCTGCGTAGATATGAGATGTCAGATGATTTGATATGGTCTGGTTGGCATCGCTGGAGATGGGGCACTGGGGCACTGGGACACTGACGGCGATCGGCGACTGACTGATGACGCTCCAGGGCGCACGCTGACGCAGTGGGAGACAGAGAATGGAGATCACAAGGACGTGGACAACGCCCCGGCGGCCCTCCGCCCCAAGCGCAACCTGTACGGCGTACGCGGCGGCCCATGTCCAGCCGTCGATCCGAACCACGAGCATCATTCCCGCGCCCCGGCATCGGGCGAGCATCTCATCGGGCTTTGGCGCTTCGGTCAGGAGCGCTCTCTTCCACGTGTCCGCCTGCCGACGCCACGACCATCCCGGCCGCCCGACACGCCTCCGCGCCTCCGCCTCCGCGTCACAGCGCACGGACCACGGGTAACGGCATGCCTTCGGCGTAGTCGCATCGACATCATGACTCGACGTAAGCCAGCCGTAGCGATGTATTATGATTGAGCTATTGCAGGTCCCGAAGCTCACCGTTCCGCTTAGTACCCGGCTGCACCCACCTCCCCCGTCCCTCCCCTCCCTCCTTCCCTCTCTTAGCCCTCCCCATACGCTCTCACTCCCTCCCCTCTCCGTCTCCGCCCCCGCCCTCTCCCCTCTCCCAACCACGCCCGCTCGTCCTCACTCGTGACCTACCCCACACATCGCGATGGGGTGCGGAGACAGGCACGACAGGCCCCGCCGGGCCTACCCCCGCGCAATACGCCTAACCAATCGGACCCCTTCGGCTATTGTCGTCGGCGTGTATCGGATCTCCTCCATCTCCTCACTGCGCTCACTGCGCGCACCGCGGGCTCCTCGCGCGTCCTCTGCCCGAGTCCACGACTGCCATGCATATGCATGCTGCTAGGCTACAGGTGCACCCTACTTCTTGCCCTCGAGGATGGAGGAGATGGACGCCCAGACGAGCTTGGGGCTCTGCGCGGCGTCCACGGGCGCCCACACGCCCGTCTTCTGGTAGTGGCCCACAACCGGGCCCGTCTGCTGGTGGTACGTCGCGAGGCGCTTCTTGAGCGTCTCGGCGTTGTCGTCCGAGCGCTGGATGAGCGGCTCGCCCGTCACGTCGTCCGTCATGGCCTTCTTGGGGGGGTTGACTGGGGTCAATGGTGGATAGGCAGGCGGGGCGGGGCGAGGCCAGGCGAGGCCAGGCGAAAGACTCGTTGTCTCCCTGCCTTGCCCAACCGCACTGCTGCGCAGTGCGTGTCACACTCACACTCTCTGTGGTACGAGCGGCCCGAGGCGGGGTGGATCAGGCGGCCGGTAATGCGCGAGATGAGGAGCGCGTCGTCAATCTTGAGCTCGATCGCGTGGTCGATTCTCTTGCCCTTGCCCGCGAGCATGTCGTCGAGCTTCTCGGCCTGCGGCACCGTCCGCGGGAACCCGTCGAGGATGAAGCCGTCCTTGCACTCCTTGTTGTTCTCGAGCTCGCTCTTGATCATGTTGACCATGATCTCGTCCGACACGAGGCCGCCGGCGTCCATGATCTTCTTGGCCTCCTTGCCGAGCTCGGTCTGCGCGGCCACCTGGCTGCGCAGCATGTCGCCCGTCGCGAGGTGGCACACGCAGTACTTGTCCGCGATCGCGGGCGCCTGCGTGCCCTTGCCTGATGTCAGCGGATCGGTGACGCGCGGGCGCGATGGGGCAAGCAAGCTGCCGGCCCCATCACCAGCTCTCGCCGATACCGCGCGGCGGCCACTCACCAGCACCGGGAGGGCCCATGAGCACAAGCTTGGGGCTCGTCTTGCCGCCGACGATGCCGTCGACGGCAGACTTGACGGCGCTGCCCGCCTTGCCCTCGAGCTCGGTGATCTTGGCCTGGAGCTGGATGTCAGTGTTCTGGAGCAGGGGGCGGCAGCAAAGGGGTGCGCGGCCGGCACGCACACCCTAAACCCACCTTCGAGACGAGGCTCTTGAGGTGCTCGATGTCGTTGGACTTGTCGGACATGGTGTGGCTTTTGCGTAGAGAGTGGAGAGCAAACAGATGTCGGAGCGGCTTCTTGAGGCTGGGGGAGAAGGGATGGAGGGGCGTCACCACCAATGAGGGCGGCTATTGGTCGGCCAATAAGCATTCTTTACCGAATGTGACGGGCTTTAGTCGGCACTGCTTCGCGTGGGCATCGCGTGTTGTCTTGATTAGGTAATGACGCGTGGGCGACTCGGCCGGGCACGCCATGACGTAATGCCTGATGGAGATCTGGTCCACCCCGGTCATCCACCCAGCTGGCCGTCGGTCACGGTCTCCGCCGCCGTGCCGAACTTGTCCACCATCGGCCACCGATCATGCCGCAGTTGCGCGCAGTAAAGCCCTCATCACAAATATTTATAACTCAATCATCCACTTCCACGACCCCATCACTCTCACGATCTCACTCCACGCACTGACTACACGAGCTGACCGCTCGCCCTTCACGATACTGCTCTCCCGCGCCGCCCGCGCAGCTCGCCCATCACACTTCGCCACCGCCTCCACCGTCTTTGCCGCAGCGCGATACTCCGCCATGGCGACCGCTTACGCTGAGGTGAGCACCTCATTCCCGCCGCACCTCTTCCTCTTGACTGACGCCAGCCTGTCCACTCCGTTTCCGCCCCCGTGTCCACCAAGGGCTCGCCCACGCCTTCCTTCTCCGAACCACCCCCTTCCCGCGCCATCCCCACCGACTTCCGCTCCTCCCTCGCAGCATGGTGGGCGTCGAGCGGATATCGTGACGCGCGCGTCGCCGAGGACCGCCTCCTCCGCCGCTTGTCGTACTACCACCCGCCGGCGCCCGAGCCCTCGCGCTCCTGGTTCTCGTGGAACCACCAGCCTGCATCGTCGGCCCCGCCGCCAGTTCCTGTACCCACCAACGGGCTCCTCGCCACGCTCCGCACCGTCTTCATCCCCACTCCTGACCCCACCCTCGCGCCGCCAAGACCGGACATGCGGATTGAGGAGGACTCGAGCATCTCGTCGGATGACACAACCAAGAGCAAGAAGCACAAGCACGCCCGCTCGCTTCACTGCCACCACGCGGAAGGCCTGACAGATTACATCAACACGCTCGAGTTCTCCTCCCCCGCCACAAAGGACAGCAAGGAGGCTGTCGTCGTCGTGCATGGATATGCCGCCGCGCTCGGCTTCTTCTTCCGGAACTGGGACGCCGTTGCGCGCGCCGCCGACGCCACCGGCCGCCGCACGTTCTTCCTCGACTGGCTCGGGATGGGCCTTTCCTCGCGCCCAAATCCGAGCCTCCTCGCCGCGCCCGCCGGCTCAGCAGTGGAAGCGCGCGTCGCGCGCGCCGAGCACTTCTTCCTCTCCTCTCTCGAAGCGTGGCGCGCCGCCGAAGGCATCGAGCGCATGGTCCTCGTCGGCCACAGTCTCGGCGGATATCTCTCGTCAGCCTATGCGCTCAAGTATCCTGAGCGCGTGTCGTCCCTCATCCTCGTCTCGCCAGCCGGCATCCCGCACGGCCAGCTGAACGATAAGCCACCGGCCCCGCCCCCCACAAGACAGCCGAAGCCGCGGCCTGTGAGCGACGGCGCCTCGCTCGACGCAGCCGCCGACGCCGCCGAGGCGGAAATGCACGATCCCGCAGCGTCGGCCGCCGAGGCGGAAGCCGCTGCCCACCCCCAGCAGAGCGCGACGCGGCGCGGCGTCACAAAGTTCCTCCTGTGGGGATGGGAAAAGGGCCTCTCCCCCTTCTCAATCCTCCGCGGCATGGGCCCGTGGGGTCCCCTCCTCGTTGGCAAGTACTCGAGCCGCCGGTTCGCGTCGCAGAGCGCCGACGACGTCCGCGACCTCCACGCCTACATCTACGGCACGAGCGTGATGCGCGGCTCGGGCGAGTTCTGTATCTCCCACATCCTCGCGCCGGGCGCGTATGCGCGCATGCCCATCGTTGACCGCATCAGCCCCCTCAAGGTCCCCGTTACGTTCATGTACGGCGACAGCGATTGGATGGACGTTGAGGGCGGCCGCGCCGCCAAGGCCGTGCTTACCGAGGCCGGCAACCGCAACGTCGATGTGCATGTGGTCAAGAATGCCGGGCACCACCTTTACCTCGACAACCCCGACGACTCGAATGCCATCATCGAGGCGGCGATCCGCGCCGCGCCCAAGGTCGAGGCGAACTAATTACGATAAGAGCCATTAGAGTTGTATATTAGAATATTAGATGCAGCATATTCGGACGAGGACAGCTCGAAAACAGGCGTCTCTATCATACACTACAGTCTCAGTCTGGCACTACACCCCTCTACTGCGGCGTCAAGGCCCGCGGAGTGCTCGCCAGCGTGCCTCCGACCGGCAGGAGTTTCGGCAGCGGGGTCGGCGCCGCGCTCGCGCTTCGGCTCGTTGCGGCCGACGCGGCGCTGGATGGCGGCGGCGGGATGTCAGTTTTGAGCACGCGCGTCGCCTTCTTCTTCGGGTTCGGTGCATTCTGGTTCTCGCTCATGTAAAACCGGCGAAGCAGCATTATCGCTTCTTCGCGATAATACCCGCCCACGGCCTCAAACGCGGGGTTGGTATCGAGCATGTGGCTGGTGAGCATATCCCTACGCCAACGCACCTCGTAGACACGTCGAGCACGCTCCCGCACCCGCCAAACCGGTCGTTCCCGCACCCGTACACCACGCGCCCGATGCCCACCTGCCGCAGCGCGCTCGCGCACATCACACACGGCTCGACGGTGACGTACAGCGTGATTGCGGAGAGCGGGGGCGCGTTGAAGGGGAGCAGGTGGTCGATCGCCTCGAGCTCGGCGTGCAGCGTGGCCTGGTGTCAGTCATGGGTCGGAGCCAGCCAGGTATCTGGGGAGAGCGACGGGACACTCACATTGCGCCACTCGTTCGTTCTGTTGCGCGCGCGCGCGATCGCCTGTCCTTCCTTGACGAACACGCAGCCGACGGGCACCTCGCCGTTCTGCAGCGCCTCCTCGGCCTGCTGTTAGTGTGCAACCAAGACAAAACGCACCATATACAGCGCCTCGCGCATCCAGCGGAGGTCGTCGGGCGCCTGGTCCTCGGGGGCGATGTAGGTCTGGTGTGAGCTGCCGCAACGCTGGACGGGAAGGGGGGGTGTCCAGTCGCAGCGACGCAGGCGGACGGGCCCGCCAGACCAAGCGCAGGCGCTCAGAGCAATCAGAGTCGGTAGCGCAGGACTACCCCCCGACCCCCGTACGCCACTCACAGCCTTGTTCATGTCGCCTGATGTCTTGACAAGATGTTGTTGTCGAAAACTACTCAAAAGTTGAAGTGGAGGTCCCCGGATTCAGGCACGGTTGTGGGGAAGACATCTGCATATGTGTACGACTAAGCGTCAAGCCCTCTGCCTATGCATGGCGCTCGTGGTCTCTGAGCTTGCGAGTATGTATTAGAGTGGATGCAGGAGAAATAAAGCACAGCATAAAAACGGCGCGCTGGGGTCGAACCCCCGCGGAAGTGTGTGACCATATGCCTGGTGGGCAGTCCGAAGACCAACAGTTGTGCTACGCCGCTTCGAGATTCCTCGCGCGAGGGAGAGGTAGGATGGGGCGCAGGGCAAGCGGCAAGGTGTTGGCTCGTGCACTAAAATCGCCTCGAAATCCTCGTCCAGGAGACTCTGATCAAATGGCCAAGGCGGCAGTGAGCTCCTCACATTGGGCCAGCACTGCCGCCACAGATCAGAATGCGCCACCTTTTGCAACTATCGACGATGCCTGTCAAGCCTTGGGCATGGGCAACTGTCACCAGTGCCGCTTTCAGTCGGAGAACTAGCGGACTGTCTCCACCTGGGGCTGGCTGGTGACGACACATCGGCCATCTCCTAGTCAGGCGACCGGCATCTCACGGCAGACTCGCGCCTGGCATCGCGCCGGTCCGGCATCTCACTGCATCCTGCCCACCGCTTGGCCATTGACCATGTATGCATTTAAGACGCGCCAGTGCCACGCACTCACTCACGCTTCACGCCTCACGTCCTCACGCCCTCACCATGCCCCCCGTCATCTACGAGGCGCCCTACCCCGCGCCCTTCTTCCCGCAGCAAAGCGTGTTCCAGTACCTCTTCCCCGAGGCGCCGGGCATCTCGCCGCTGCCGGCCTTCGATGACCAGCTCCCAGCCTTCATCGACGGCAAGAGCGGGCGCACGCTGACGCGCGCCGAGCTGCGCTCCCTCGCGCTCCGCCTCGCTGCCGCGATGCGTGCCATTGGCGGAGCGGAAGCGCCCGGCGTCGCGTGCATCTGGGGCTTCAACAGCCTCGAGTGGGTCGTCGCAGCGTACGCGTGCATGGCGGCCGGCGTGACCCTCAGCCCCGCGAATGCCGGATAGTAAGTCGCTGGTGGGCGGAGCTGACACCAGCACGCCCTCGGAGCTCGCGCACCAGATCAACGACTCGGGGGCTGAGCTCGTCTTCCTCGCCCCGTCGCATATCGCCATGTTCGACGAGGCGCGCCCGCTCCTCAAGCGATCGTTCCCGCCCGAGCGTGTCGTGATCCTCGCCGAGTCTGCGGATGCGCCGTACAAGACCATGTACGATATCCTGCCCCAGGGCGAGTTCACCGCGCAGCGCTTCGACCGCGCCGACGCACAAGCTACCGCTTGGTTATGCTACTCGTCCGGCACAACGGGCTTGCCGAAGGGCGTCATGACGTCGCACTTCAACATTACGAGCCAGATTCAGGCCGGCAACATTGGGTTCCAGCGCATGCGGCCCGGAGACGCCGTGATCGCCTTCATCCCGTACTCGCACATCTACGGCGCAGTAATCGGGCTGCTGCAGCCCATTTCGCAGGGATCCGCTGTCGTCGTCCTCCCGCGCTTCGAGGAGGTGCCGGTGCTCCAGGCTATTGAGCGGGTACGTTGTCACCTCGTTCGAGATATCTGATCCCAGTTCAAAGTCACACTTGGGCTGTTCGTGCCGCCCGTCTTCATCGTCCTTCTCAACTCGCCCCACGTGAGAAAGTACGACCTCTCCAGCCTCAAAACGATCATGTCGGGCGCTGCGCCCCTTTCCGCCGAGCTGCTGCAAGCCTTCACTGCACTCATACCCCAATGCCGGATTATTCAGGCGTACGGAATGACGGAGACCTCGCCCAACATCGCCAACATGCACCGCGGCATCTCCGTTGGGCGAGAATACTCGGTGGGGCGGCTGTTGCCGGGCTTCCAAGCGAGGCTAGTGAAGGATGACGGGGAGGACGCCGACACAACGCGCGGAGAAGCGGGCGAACTCTGGGTGCGCGGACCATGCGTCATGAAGGGGTACCACAACAACCCAGCCGCGACGGACGCGACCATCGCGCCGGGCGGATGGCTGAAGACGGGGGACGTCGTGACGCGTGACGCGGAAGGCTGGCTTTCCGTCGTGGACAGGAAGAAGGAGCTTATCAAGTACAAGGGCTTCCAGGTCGCGCCGGCGGAGATGGAGGGCCTGCTGATCCAGCACGACGACGTGCTTGACGTCGGTGTGGTGGGGGTGTACGACCCGAAGCAGGCAACGGAGCTTGTGCGGGCATACCTTGTGTTGAAGGGCGATAACAAGGAGAGCGTGGCGGAGCAGGTCGCGGCCTGGGTTGCGCAGCGCGCGGCACGCGCAAAACATCTGTCTGGCGGGATCGTGGTCGTCGATGCCATCCCTAAGAGTCCCAGCGGGAAGATTCTGCGCAAGCTTCTCCGCGAGCGAGCAAAGGCGGACGCAGACCCCGTTGTCGCGATGCCGAGGGGCGCCAAGTTGTAGTCTTAGAGTGTTAGAATGCAGAAGTGTGTTCTCACGACGGAGGCTTTGATGGGCGTAGCTGCTTCCAGTCGGGTGTGAAGAGAGTGAGTGATGGAGAAACGACAGGCGATGGGGATGCAAGAAGGAGGTATCGCTAAATGACGCCCCGCCGATCTGCGCGATTAACTTCTCATCCACCATGCGCGCGATGCGCGATGCGACCACTCCCGGCCGCCTCTCCATGCTCCCCATCTTCACCTCGCTCCTCAACATCTCCTCATCTTCACACTTTCATCGTCCTATCCTCCGACCTCGATTCTTCTTCGCCCACCTCACTGACTCTGCGCCCGCCTCAGCGTACAGTCATCATGACCCCGTCCAAGGCGTTGTCTCAATCTGTCGGCCCATCGAGTAGTATGTCGTCCTGCTCCTTCCAACCCCAACTCACCCAGCCAAACCCGCACCCGACCGCCGCTCGTCCGATCCGCCTCTCGAGCCGCACGACCTCCTACATATACCGGACAAGAAGACGATCGTCCGCAAGGCACATCTGCACGCGCCATCACCCCTCGTCCTCCCTCCAGCCGTCACGTCCGAGGACCTCGTCAGCCCCATGTTCCGCACGCCATCGCCACCCCCGCTCGTCCTCGTCGCTGCGGCGCCGTCTAACCACGCCTCCGTGTTTATGACGGCGCCCAAGCTCCAGATCGACACGTCGGCGCCTGCAAAGCTTTGCAGTGCTGCGTCCCAGCCTGTCGACGCGTCCATCGCGGACTCGTCAACCTCCAAGATCATTGAGGTGCAGGCCATCGCAGAGGAGGACGCGCACGCCGACCTCCTCCAAGCTGATGGCTCGCCTACTTCGCCCGCGCCAACGGCCACGCCCCCTCCCACACCCGCCACCGGGACGGCGAACATCTCGATCGGCTCGTCACTCTCCATGGCCGCCTCTGCCCCGGCGCAGGGGCTCGATGCGCGCCGGCACTCATTCCCATCCACTCCGGCTGCACCCGCGCCTCCTGAGCCGGTACGCCCTTGATGCCCTTTCTCCTGCGCCCTCAGTGATAGGTCTATGCATACTTAGATTTGGCTAGAGCTCGTGCTTGGGCTCGGCGGGGCGTGCGCCCCCGTTCTTCGCCATGGCCTCCTCGACCTTGTCGAACAGCAGGTCCGTCGCATACTCGACGGGGTGATCGAACAGGTAGGGCAAGAAGGGGACGATGCCAATACCGACCGCACTCGGCAGCCAGCGCTTGGTGAATGCGCTCGGCGAGTTCTTGACGGCCTTGGCGGTCTGCGCGACGGCCGTGTGGATCGTGAAGGCCGGCAGTGCCATCGACGCCAAGCCTTGGAACACGGACCGCTTAACGGCGATCATGGAGAGACGCGTGGGCTCGGAGAAGTTGGCGGCCTCCCACGCCGTCGGGCCCTGCTCCTTGGCCTTGTAGGTGGTGAAGGAGACATCGCCGATGAGGTAGGCCCACGAAATACCGTACGCCGCGGTGACTGGTGTCAGCGGGCCTGAGCTTGGGTAACGGAGGCGCAGACATAAGTCTGGGTTTTCTGTCCGGACAGAGGCGGCGCCACATGCCCACAACAATTGTCCTTCCTCCACCGTCATCTTGCATCTGCGCCTCCGTTCTCGAACACAATCACTCACCAACCCAGGGAGGCACGACGGGACGGAACGCCTCGCCGACATCAGACGCTGTCGTCAGCCAGCCCATCTCCATCCGTCGACCCACTGTATGCGGTGTATCGCGATCCGGCGCGCACGACGTCGCGGATACGGCGGAGATACGCGGCTGCTGTCAGCCACATCGACAGGCGGCACACCATAGCGGACGTTCGAGTCGGTCGAGTCAGCGTCCTGGTGCACGAGGACGTCGAGCTGCTTGTCGGCCTGCTTCTCGACGGCGTGCGCCGTCTCCTCGACCTTGTCGGTGACAGACTTTGCCATCACGGTGTGTCAGATGTGGGGATGAGTAGGATGGGTCAAGATGAGAAAAGCAAATGCAAGGTGCAGGATGGTATCGATGGTCCGAGGAGCCCGAGCATCAGCCCGAGCGGTGGCTGTGGTGCGTCGGTGACATGCCGAGAATGGCATCAGCGTCATCCAAGCCAATAATCGTCGATCATTCCGGCCCTGGCTCAACTCACGTGGGCCCGGCCCAGCCCACGTGGTTAAGCAGGGGGATGTGATACGACATCACCTCTCCCCCATTGAGATCAGGCGAGTTCCGAGCTCACCCCATCCCATCGGTATACCGGTAATAGCTCACCTTTGAATCAGTTGCTCGTCCATCTTCCATCTGTTCCTCATCACCATCGACACCATCGCGATCGTCACGCCTGTCATCACAATCATCGTGTCTGTCCATCTTACCCTACGCCCACTCCTTCTATCCCTTCATCGCCATGTCCACGGGTCGCTACGTACCACCCCACTTGCGAAACCGCGGTGCCGCTCCTTCCACCTCCCCATCCTCCACCTCCACCTCACCGCGATCCCGCCAGACGCCGTCGTCCAACGCCCACCCCCCATCAGGCGCCTCGAGTCCACGCGGGAATCCGCGCTATGCCTCGTCTAACGGGGATCAACCGCCTGCCGGCGCTGACATCAACCGCGCCGACCGTGCCGACTCACACAACCCAAGAGCACCGGCTCCAACATTGCACGTCTTCGGGGACTCTTTCGCCGGCCCCTTCAAACTTCTCGACTCGGGCTCAGCGCGTGTGCGCTCGTTCAAAGGCGCAAGTGCCAAGGGGCTCAACAACCCCAGGTCAATCAAGCAGGTCTCGAACGACTTGCTGCCTCTCCTCAACCAGTTCCTCGCGCCACCACCATACGCTTTCATCCCAGCAGCCGGGCGGTACGCCTTGCTGCTATTTGGAAATGTACGTCTCTTTCTTTTCTCTGCTCTTCAGCTGTGCTGATCCCTAGGTTGATCTCCAAATCAATTACCTCTGGCAATTGCAACACAAACCCATTGTCCCGGCGACATGGGACGAACACAGCGAGTACACCGAGGAGCCCAGCGCTGTTTCCACACCCGCCGAGGGCGTCCTCGCGAGGGCCACGGAAACCTCGGGGCGCGGGCCAGCTCTGGGTCCTGAGCGCTTTGTGGATAACGTTGCTAAGGCATACACGGCCTGGCTCGAGCGCGAGATTGTGAACGGGCCCATTGGGAGGAGGGCAGCCGAGGTGGCGGCCCAGAGCAACGGCGAAGCTCGGGGCATCCGGAGACTCTCCCCCACCAAGGTGCTCGTTGGCGCTGCCCTCCCGCCCCTCGTGCAGGACGAGACTCTGCCGCGTATACCGGAGAAGTACGTGGAGCGCTTGGAGGAGGACCATGCCAAGATGGAGCGCGCGCTCGAGCGCGACCTGCTGGGCGAGCGCGTGTCTCGCACCCCATGGGCCAAGGCCAGCGCGTCGCCCAGGCTCGGGGTGGAGAATGAATTTGACAAGCTGTCCTTGAACGGCACCGGCGCAGCATCGCCGATGCCGGAAGCCCCTCCCAAGATGTCAATCATGGACCTGTTGGCACACGACCCGCCTCTGTGCACGAAACCCGTGCGCATCGAGATGACGAAGCGCTTCAACGCGGCGCTGCGCGACTTTTGCGTCAAGCACCCCACCGTGCTCGAGTTCGTAGACATCTCCGAGGACATGCTCGCGGCCGACGCGGCGGAGCGCCAGAGCACGGGCGACAGCGCCCCCGCCATACCCGGCGAAGTGGACCGGGCGGCGTGGGCGTGCCCCGTCGACCTGAGCAACATCCATCCGCTGTGGGAGCCGACGCTGCCGCTGTGGCTCAAGAAACTTGAGCCCATCGGCGTGCCCACGAGCAGCTTTGCGTACGCCGCCGACGCCGAGGAGACGATGCGCGCGTATGAGGAAGACAAGAAGCAGCGTACGCATAATCGCAACCACGAGTACAGGTGGGAGGATATGTCGCGTATCAAGTTGCGCGACGAGTAGTGCTTTTGTATTCTGTCACTGCGAATGCACTGCGCACCGGTACATGTGCAACACATGCTCCGTCACGAAGAGAGACTGGGAGACTGCTGCTGTCACTGATCGTCGCAGCCACAGCCGCTAAGCTCAAAGATGACTCGAGTCGCTGACAGTAGTGTGCGTAAACATTAGTGTCAGTCCGGATTCAAAACGTCATAAGCCACACCGGCGGCACCGCGACGAACAGTCAGCATGTTTGCCGCCTTGATATGCATGGCCCATACACATACACGCATGGGCACAAGCACGGATACGCGCGAGAACAAGACAACCCGAGCTAGTCGTCCCAACAGCGGCAAAGTACGGAGCACGCATGGGGTGGGTGGGCATAGGATGGTGAGGGTGACGCGTGACCCTCGCGCCTGCCCGTGTTCCTTGTGACGGGTCGAAACACGCCCTTGCACGCACTCCAATTGTTCGCCACCGACAACCACAGGCTCCCATACGCCTGCGCGCATGCATGGATAGTCCCAGAGCGTGCAGAAGCATCAGAAGGGGAGATGCGCCGGCGACGATGGCACTTGGGAGTGTAGGTGATGGATAGAAGTAGTTGCTCGTGGAGTGAAATTGAGAGGAGATTTAGGATTTGGGACGAGGCCGACGAGCAAGGGGACGGCGCGTTGTTGCCGGCGTGCAGCGTGCGGGGTGCCGGTTTCCTCACCTTGTCCTCGCACCTTCCCCCCCACCTCCTCCTCCTCTTTCTCTCAACACCACTCTCTTTCTCTTCGTCTTTCTCTCTCATCTCTCTTCACGTTCTTCCACAGTCATTGCACTGAGCGAGCGGTTGTCTCGCGCATTGCACCTCCTCATTCGATCATTCACAGTCTTCACGCGAATCGCGCACCGCGCACACCCCCTCGCGCGCTCGGACACGACGCGCTGCGTCGCTGCGTACGCGCTCACGCGACCGACCACGCCAAACGTTTCCTCCCTCCTTGCTCTCCCCTCGACCTCCATTCCCCCTTCTACCCCCCTCCCTCTTCATTCCTTCTAAGCTCGACCGCTGCCTCTCCCCCGCACGCCCCACTACTCATCAGCTATGGACCGCCGCGGCTCAGCCAGCAATCCTGGCTCGGCCTTGCGCGGCGCACGGCCGCCGTCGATCATCTCGACGCGCCGCGGCACTCACCCCACCACCCATTCGCGCGGCCAGTCGAGCGACGAGCCAAGGTGTGTACACGAGTCTCCCAGCCCTCAGACAAGGCGCCGGCGCTGCTCCACGCGAATGTGGCCCTGCGCCTCGTCCGTCGTACCATCCCCCGCTAACGATAGCCAACCACCCTCGCCCATGACATACTTTCCCAACCCGTCGACGTTCACCTCAGAGCCGCCATCGTCGCAGTACGTTCCCGCCAGCATTCAGACATCTCCGAGCCTCGCCAGCGTCCGCCAGCCCGGCTCGGTCTCGCAGTCTTCCCTCTCCCTCAGCTCCGAGTACGATACCGACCCTGTTGCACGGACCCCTCGCCTGAACCCCACTCCTGGCGTCGGCGACCTCCAGTCCCAGCAGGCCATGCCCATACAGGCGCAGTACCACCCCACGCCGAGCAGCCACCGTGGCGACTCGGTGCCCATACTGGGCACCAGCCCTCGACTTGGCAGCTCGCGGCGGAGTGCGAGCGTCGCGAGTGCACGTCCTGTTAACATGCCGACCTACGGCGCGACAGGCCACCTTGGTCCCCCCTTGGCAGGGAGTCTAGGCGGCCTCGGACTTGGGCCCGACTCGGCTCTCGGCCTAGGCGGTGGCGACTCACGACGCATCGCGTCAATGGCAGCGGGGAGCTCGACTGGTCGGCGCGGCGAGAGCCCCAAGCTGCCTTCCCTTGCCCTGCCAAGCTCGGGGTATACAACGAGCAGGCAGCAGCCTGCTACCGCTCATGGAACACCTCGCCTGCGCAAGGAGGAGAACGCAGGCTTCGGCAGCGCTTCGCGTGGTGGCCGCTCGTCGTCGCGACCTGCCCACCGCCGGGGCATCAGCGTCTCGTCCAATCTCTCACCCGTGCAACAGATTCAGTCGCCTTCATCACCCAGTGGCTCTGTCTTCCGCAAGCTCAAGAGTGTGTCGAGCAATCTTGGCCTCACTCTCCACCGCACGCAGACTGCATACGATGATGGCTCAGAGTATGACGACGATGGCGAGGACGAGGGCAAGCTCGCAAACGGCACGCGCGTGTGGTACTCATCATACGTGACCATTGACTGGCTCCACGACGCCATCAAGGAGTCCTCGCGTATCCGCCGGCTTCGCCACTTGAAAAATCGCTCAGTGCGCGGCGCAATCGCCAACGCCTGGGACCGCTTCCAGGGCTGGCTGATCGTGACGGTCGTCGGCGTTCTCACGGCTCTCGTCGCGTTCCTCATCATCCGCTCCGAAATGGCCTTCTTCGATTTGAAAGAAGGGTACTGCGCCAGATCCTGGGGCACCGCCAAGCGCTTCTGTTGTGCGCCCCGTCGTGGCACTCATCCCGACCCATCGAGTGGCGACGAAGAGGAGTGTGGCGACTGGATAGAGTGGGGTCTGTTCTTTGGTGGCAGTGATGAGGCTGAGGCTGCGTTTTGGAGCCAACCCGAGTTCATGGCCTACTTCTGCGTCGCGGTCACCATCGCTTGTCTCTCTTCCGCCCTTACATACTACCTCACTTCCTCGGCCAACCACGTCACGTCGAAGGACTCGGCGTTCCTTGGCCCCTCGGTCGAGGCTCGAGGGGCGCAGCTAGCGCCTCCGCTCAAGCTGCCCACTGAGCGCGAGCCACTCCTCACGCCTGGGTCAGACGCCAGCTTGGAAGCTCCACCCCAACCTCCCCGCCCCGTTATCTACATGGCTGCCGGCAGTGGTATTCCCGAGATTAAGACGATCCTCTCCGGATTCGTGATTCACGGCTACCTGGGCATGTCGACGCTCGTCGTCAAGAGTGTGGGACTAGCGCTATCGGTCGGCTCGGGCCTTTCTCTCGGCAAGGAAGGTCCTTTTGTTCACATCGCGTCCGCCATCGCCAACATTGTCTCCCGCGCATTCGCAAAGTACGACCACAATGAGCTGAAGCGACGTGAGATTCTTTCAGCTGCCTGCGCTGCCGGTGTGGCCGTGTCCTTCGGCGCCCCGATCGGTGGTGTCCTTTTCTCCCTCGAGGAGGTGTCGTACTACTTCCCTCCAAAGGTCATGTGGCGCGCCTTCTGGTGTGCAGCTGTCGCGGCGATCACGCTGCGCGCCCTCAATCCGTACGGCAACGGCTCGATCGTCCTCTTTGCCGTAACGTATACCAAGGAGTACCACTATTGGGAGTTTGCCGTGTTCATCCTCCTCGGTGTCTTTGGTGGGTTGTACGGCGCACTGTTCTCGCGACTCAACATTATCTGGAGCCGGGAAGTGCGCAAGGGCACGTGGCTCGCACGCCACCCCATCTTTGAGGTGTTCCTTGTGACTGCCCTCACGACGGTCGTCTCGTTCTTGAACCCATTGGCGCGCCTCGGCGGCACAGAGCTCGTCGCGAAGCTCTTTGCAGAGTGCTCGGTGGACTCGACGTCGGCGCTGTGTGTCGACAGCGGCTTCAAGGTTGGCTCCATCATTAGTGTGATTGGCTGGGCGCTGCTCATCAAGGCATCTCTGACGATCATTACCTTCGGCGTCGTGCTGCCTGCGGGTATATTTATCCCCTCACTTGTTATTGGCGCGTGCTTCGGCCGCATCGTCGGCGTTCTCCTCGAGCTCTTCGAGCATGACCACCCCAGCTTCCCCATATTCGACGGGTGCCGCGCGGGCGCGAGTCCGTGCATTGTGCCAGGCATCTACGCTATGGTGGGCGCGGCTGCGACGCTTGCGGGAGTGACGCGCACGACCGTGTCCCTTGCGGTCATCATGTTCGAGCTTACCGGCACTCTCAACTACGTTGCGCCGGTCATGCTCGCTGTGCTAGTGGCCAAGACGGTCGCCGACGGGCTCGAGAAGCGCGGCATCTACGAGCTCGTCATTGAGCTCAAGAAGCTGCCGTACCTCAGCAACAAGGAAGAATACCTTTGGGGTGGGAGACTTGTGTCTGAAGTGGTGAGCTTCTGATAAGATGCTCGAGCTAACAACAGATGGACCGCGACGCACCCACGCTTCGCGCTGACAAGGTGCACACTGTGCGCGAGCTCACAGGACGCTTGCTTGAGCTCGTGCGTCTCGGGTATGCGGACGCCGGTTTCCCAGTATTGGTCAAGGAACCGGCAGCGGATCGTGAGGGACGCACATTCCCTACATTGCGTATCCTCGGCTTCCTCGGCATCAACGAACTGGAGCACGCACTCAATGAGCTCGCAGACGAACCGGATGCCGAGGTCAACCTGATCCCCGACGACAGCTTGATGCGCTCATCGCGCATGAGCATCTTCAGCTTCTCGGAGAGCCACGAGGGGAGACACAACCCCTACGACCTGAGCCAGTACATCGACAGAGTGAGTGGACGGGTGTGGGTGGGTGAATGTCAAGCTAACAACAGGCGCCCATCACTGTACAGGCGTACTCGCCGCTGGAGCTAGTGCAGCAGATGTTTGTCAAGCTTGGGGCACGCCAGATTCTGGTGACAGATTCGAGGGGAACATATCGGGGTGCGCTGTACAAGAAGCAGTGGATAGCGTTCCTCGACGACTTGGAGCTGTTGGAGCGGTAGGGGTAATGTAGTCGCCATTAGTGATGAACTTGACGAGCCAAGGTTGAGGAGGGAGGAGCACGGAGGCCGCTGACAAGCAGACATGCTGACAAGCTGACACGTCAACGAGTTGGACGAAAGAGCGTGGAGTTAGAACTCGTCACAGAGACTGGGACTAGCTGACATGTTAATAACGAGGAAACAACTCGACCCATGACATTTCCACGGAGGACCCTCGTTGTCCGCGCCGCGTCATGGGAGTTTATCATTGATATCTGACGCAGACGAGACGACCAGCGGTCAACGTGTGGGGCTGAGACATGGAGAACCACGCAATCAAGATTCCCACATAATTTCGCTCAACGCTCGATGATAACTCTTCAGCGCTCGGACGAGGGGAGAGAGAGAAAGAGAACACGTGTGCTCGATGATGACGTTTCGGGGCAAAGTCAGAAGTGGCCGTGCGGTGTGCGTTCTGTGTGGCAGCATTTTCAGGATTTTAAAGGAGAATGCGGGGATTTTTGGCATGACCCAGGAGACGGGGTCTGTTCCCAGCTTCCCAGGCACAATGGGTGGATGAGAGGTTGATTACACACCGGCGGCCCGAAGACGTGCAGTGTGCAGATATTCTGGTATCTGGTGCGTGGCGAGCGATGGACGGCGCGTGTATCCGAGCTGGAGTCTGCTTGGAGCACAGCGAACCATCAAGCCATCAGGAGGTCGCTGACACTGACACTGACACTGCCGCTGCCGCGTCTCTGTCCGTGCCGTGCACAAGAGGCACACTGTGGCGCGTGACCTCTATCTGCGCTTCGACCTCTTCGCTCAATCAACCTCGACCTATCCCCGTTGCATTCTCATCGTGCTCGACACCTTCCGTCTCCACCTCCATCCCCATCTCCTTCATTCTTAGCTGTTCTCGTGTCAACGCGATAAAAGAGTCGCGACTGAATTGAGGCCCTCCCTGCCCGCCGCTGCCCGACCGCCTGACGCGTCGATCCGCGATCGGCTGCTTGGACCCTTATTCACCCCGTGGAGCGTGACAGCGACGCGGCAAACATCCCTTGTACCATTCGCCACCTTCCTTGTCCATCTCTGTCTCTTCTCCATCTCTTCTCCATCTCTTTCTTGTCTCTTGTCTTCGTCGTTGTCATCTCTCCTCTTTCTTCTTGGTCCCCATCGCCATCGCCGCCCACCCCCGACGCCCACCCGCTTCGCCGTCCCCATCCCCCACCCGCGCCCGCGCCCGCGCCCAAACCCCACCCCCCACACCTTCGGATCGCCAACTCCGCCCACGACCGCCCTCACCCCCAGCCCGCACACAAACGAGCGATCTGACGATACTGTACACCGCGTCAGCTACACGAAGCTCGTACACTCCACGTTCTCCCTCTCTCCTCTGTCCTCCCCAACCCCGCACACGGCCGCGCCCATCACCTTGAAAAGATTCAAGAGACACGCTCTCTAGATCTCGCATCGCACGGCCCCGCATCTCTCTTCCCCCCCCCTTCCTCCCCCTACCCCAGCCTCAGCCCTCAACGGCTTCCCACAGCGTCCTCCTAGGCGCAGCGCGCACCTAACTCTCTTTGATGCGTGCTTGGAGATAGAGCATGCCCTCAACAACAGGCGACACCGTCGCTACGCCGCGTGTCTACGGCCCGGCTCGGCCTTCTCGTCCTCTCTCCCTCCCCGCCGCATCCCATGTTGCGCGCGGAGCCACAGCTCCGACTTCGACAGCGCTCATACACCGCGCGCAGCATGAAGCAGCTACCGTCTTCCCCGCCTCCATAGCAAACCTCATTAGCGCCCTCGCCACTAGCGCCCGCCTCAGCTTGCGCGTCACGGCATTCTTCATCGAGGTCATCCTGGAGGGATCGCAGTATAGCACGCGCGTGGGGCTTGGCTACACTCGCCGGGTGCTCATCTCCGCCATTTCGAGCGCGCGCCGTGTCTACCTCGCCTCTAATGCTGCGCTAGATGGCGATCTTCTGGCTGCCGTCGGGCTGGCTGACAACACGGGCAAAGGCCCAAGCACAGACGCCTTCCTCAACGTCCTCGACCGCTGGACCAACCTCGGCATCTATGTCATTCACCACACGTTCACCCTCGCAGAGTTGTTCGCCATGAGCGGCTTTTACCTCACCGCCAACACCGTGCAGGGAGCAAGCTTCGCCGCGCACGAAAGTGTGACCTTGTTTGACAGCCTATTCGGTTCCAACGAGAGCTCGCGCGCGCTCAGCAGTATCATCACACTTGTCCGCCGCGAACTGCTCGAGGACCCTCGCTTCAAAGCTGCCGAGCACGGCAAGGTCGCCACTCTGACTGCCCTCACAAAGGCCCTGACCGCCTTTGCGTGCTTGCAAAACGCAACCTGGCACAGCACGGCCAAGAGACTCAAGATGAAAGTGTGAGTAGCTCTTGAGCAGGCAGATGCGCACCAGAAGCGCAGCTGGAAGCCTTCTGCCTCCGAGTTCCGAACCCGCCGGGATTCCGCTTACACCCCTAGTCTTTACGACTGCACTGTGTTGATGTCGTCAGACGAGTCCTTCTCGGCGGCGAAGCAGGAACCCCTGCCCCTGCCCGAGATTGACGCCCCTGGTCCGACAGCAACACTTTCGCGCCGCTCGACACGCCAGCAGTTGCCGCCGGCCATTGAAGAGGCGCATGATGCCGACGGGGATGTCAACATGAACCATGTGCCCAATGTTGGTGCACCAGCCCCTGTCAGGTCCCGCATGTCACGCTCCTCTCGCACCACCGCCCGGTCCCTCGGCCCGACCCCGGACGACAACAAAGGAGCTGATCTCGAACTCCTCCTTCAGCTAGAGGGATTGGCCAGCGCAGACGAAGGCGATGACGATGAGCCACCGGCACCGGTCAAGCCGAAGACTCCCATGGACTCGCCTGAGAAGTCTCGTCGCCGCCAGCTCAAGCGCGTCCACACTGATACGTACGAGATCACCGACGAATTCTCCGAGTCTATGGTGGTCACCCAAACGCTGGAGCGTCTGGCCCCCAGCCCGCCAGAGCGCGAGCGTCTGCTCCCGCGCAGCAGCACGGTTAACATTCCCGACGTGCTGGTCGAGGCTGTCGATGAGGATGTCGAGATGTCGGACCAGTCGGACAACTTCCGGCCTCCAGCGACCCCCATGCAGACGCCGGTTGTCGAGGAAGACGAGACTGAGTGGATAGAGGTGGACCACCTGCTCGACGAGCCCAACTCGGCCACTTCGGCCCTCGTCCCCTCTGTCCCTTCGGACCAGAGTGGCTTCTCGGAAGGGCCGTCGCCGAGTGGCAGTTCGGATCGCATCCAGCTTGTGCTGCGTACCATGACCAACAAGCTGCTGCAGCATCGCCGCACCGTGCGGCGCGTGAAGAGAATGTCGCCGTCCCAGTCGCCTTCGCCACCGCCCGGCAAGCGCGAGCGCGAGCGCGAGAGAAGTCACTCGCCTTTTGCCTCGGCCGCCGCTGAGCCTGTCGTTGCACCTATTGCCGTGACGCGGGATAACAGTAGAGCCGACGTGCGCAGCATAGACTGGGGCCGCGCTGCTGAAGCCGGCCCAAGTAGTGGCAGATCAAGCACGCCGCGCGGCTCGCCCCAGAAGCGTCGCGCGGACGCCACGCCGCCACCGCCTCCGTCTAGTCCCGAGAAGAGGTCTGCCTCGCTGTCCAAAGGCAAGGGCAAGGCCAAGATGGGGCGTCGCTCGCTGGCAGCCCTGCGCGATGCCGCAAACTTCCGTGCCACGGTGCGCAACAAGAAGCCTCAACCGTTCCCTGAGCGCGAGGAGGAGGCTGGTCCATCGGAACCCATTAGTATCTCGGTCCGTCAGACGCTCCGCCCGGCTACGACGGTTGAGTCGCCTCCGCCGTCTCCGACAACTGTTCGCGGACCGGCACCTCCGCCGTCCACGCCGTTTGGGCCGCGTAGAATCAACCGCGGCTCGATGCACGGGTCGATGCGCACGCGGTCCAGCCGTATCCAGGCGTCGAGCTCGCAGATCTTCTCCATCGGTCAGCGCGACACAGCCGCCAACCTCTTCCCGCACGAGCCGCTCATCAAGAACATTCACCGCTTCATGCGCTACTCGTCGGCTGCGTACGGGCAGAACTTCCTGCGCATCTTCGGGCTTGGCAATGCCGATTTCAACTTCCCCACGACGGGACGACACCATGCCAACAGTTGGGCTTTCGCTCAGCATACAAACATTCAAATCGACGCGCTGTTGCTGTCTTCGTTCACCGAGTCGGAGGCGTACTCGCCGGCATTCGCGCAGGAGAAGGCGCCACCTCTGGTGCACTACGTCGCTGCTGAGCACGAGCTGCAGGCGATTGTGCTCACGTGTCGCGGGACGCTCGGGCTGTCGGACGTGCTCGTTGATCTTACGTGCGACTACCGCGAGATCAGTGTCGAGGGTGGCGACCCGGACGGCGCATACTTTGTCCACTCTGGCATGTATGACTCGGCGGTCAAGCTCACCGACAAGCACAGCAGAGTGCACCAGACGCTGCTGGATGCGCTCGAGCAGTATCCAACGTACGGCCTCGTGCTGTGCGGACACTCGCTCGGTGGTGGCGTTGCTGCCCTCCTCGCTATCAATTCGGCTGTGCCTGCCGAGACTTTCATGGCTCAGAATGCTGCGCGCGAACGACCTGTGCGCCACCCGCGCATCACTACGCCGTTCGTGACTGGCTTCTCGTCCGGCCTTCCCCCTGGCCGTCCGATTCATTGCTATGCGTACGGCATTCCCGCGGTGGCTTCGCCCGATCTGGCGCGCCACTCGGAGGGCCTCATCACGAGCATCATCCAGAACGCGGACGTCGTCCCGACTCTCTCCCTCGGTGTGCTGCGCGACCTGCGCAACATTGCCGTCACGCTGTTTGAGGAGCGCGGCGTGGCGGAGGAGATTGTCGCGCGCGTCATGGGTCTGAAGCGCGGCGCGTCCGATGAGGCGCAGGCCGACTGGCTCATGTCGCTCATCAAGACGATGCGTGCCGACATGGACAACGACAAACTGTACCCGCCCGGCAGCGTGTACATCATGGAATACTTTGACGTGTTCGTCACGGTTGACCAGGCGGGCCCCGCAAGCCACTCGAGCAGCAAGCAGCAGGCGCAGAGAGTGATCCTGCGGCAGTGCGACAGCGTCGAGGAGCGCTTCCGCGAGCCGCTGTTCTCGAAGACGATGCTCAATGATCATCTGCCGAGCCACTACGAGCGGAGCACGCAGCTGCTGTACGAAGGGCTTGGGCAGGGGCTGCTTTAGTTTAGCTTCCGCAAAATACCGGTCAGCCGACCACCAGACAACCCAAAACAAGACGAGGAATGAACGGGGCACATACATGTTGTGGAGGGAAGCGCGCGAGGAGTGTTGTTGCATCATGTTGTAGACGATATGCATTGCTTTCGACCGACCGAGCGCCAAGCTGTGCGCGGCTCGCTGCTTCTCTCCTCGGGTGCGGCTCACGCCGAGGCTTCTCACTCGCACTCTTTCGGGCGGTGTCAGCTCAGACCGCCTGTACTTGTGGAGCCGATCTCACCGCTCCCGTCCTACATACCATCCGTGGCGAAGATAGATAATAAGCCGGCGTGTATGTGCCTCCTCACCACTCGCCAGACTTTAGCTGCTATAACAGTACGCCAAGCCAACCACGCCAGCGTCATCCGCTCCATCGACTTCACTACACATCTCCACAACCTTAACTTCCAACTCGACGTCAATCCCCACCCCCACCTAACCCCCACCTACCCATCCCAAAACCCATCCCACCTACCCACCCACCCACAATGCGCGCGGCGTTCTTCCTCTCCATCCTCTTCGCGGCCCCGGTCCTCTCGGTCCCCGCCCCCGCGCCGAACCCCGCGCCCATTCCTGCGCCCGTCCCCGTCGACGATGCCTCTCCTGCCCCCGCCGTTCCCTCCGTACGTCTCCCCCTCGTCCGTCCTCTCCCCTCACTTGCCCCGGCCCCTGCCCCCCTCCCCCCGCTGATCCCAGACACCTATCCCTGTCCAAGATTTCAAGGGCAAGATCAAGTGGAAAGGCTCCAAAGGCAACACAGGCAGCGGGAGCGACGGAAACAGCACGAGCGCCGCGCTGCCCGTGTCCCCAGGACTCGGCGCCGCCGCCGCCGCCGCGGTCGTGTATGTCCTCGTCTAGCCTCAGCCTGGCCATTATTGTAGATCCCGTTGCAGTATAATAGTGTAGCATATGACCGTCGATGACTCGCCACCGAGGGACGCGATGCCCCGCCGTTGACTGCACGTGCCAATCACACGCCGTGATCGACGGGACCAGCATGCTTATCCCGCTATGCTTGTCACGCGCACTCCTTGTCTCCAGGCACGCACCGCATATGACGTTGGCGTCGTCGACGCGAAGCGGTGCGGATGTCGGTATCCACGTCTGTCAGACACACACGTGCACTCCATCACTACCGTCGTCGGCAGCGCCTGCCCTGCCCGGACCGCGCGCCACGCCGGCGCGTAACCTCTGAGCGTCCGAGGTGGCGGTGGCAGTATCCGTGCCGAGCACCTGGCCCCCGTGCCGCACTGTGCTGGACACCCACCCACGCCTCGGACCTCGGACACGTAGCTGTCCGCCGGCGCCACTCGCCGACGCCGAAGGCACCAGTGGTGCAGATGGTGCCTGTGCGTCGCTAATCCTCCGCTATCAGGGCTTGGCAACTGCAGCGCTCTACACAGCTATAAGACCCACACCAATCCGCCACTCATCGCCGCAATCACCACCATGCGCCCCACCTTCCTACTCTTCATCGCGCTCGCCAGCGCACTCCCCCACGACCCCGTACGTTGCCTCCGCAACGAAGCTGACGCCAGACGCCCTCGGCGCCCGCCCTCGTCGCGCTCACACCTGACTCTAACGACACCTCCAGCACTCCGGACACCGGCGCCGAGCCCGACTCCCAGTCCTTCCGGGGCGGCGGCGGGGGTGGCAGCGGCGGCAGCGGCGGCGGCGGCGGAGGCGGCGGCGGCGGAGGCGGCGGCGGCGGCGGGAAAGGCGGAGGATCTAGCGGATCTGGTGGCTCTCGTGGCTCCAGTGGCTCCCGCGGAGGCAGAGCCGGTGGGTCGAGAGGCTCCGGCTCCCGCTCGGGCAGCTCTGGCTCGGGCAGCTCATCGGGAGGCAGCTCGGGTGCGGGCGTGGGGGGCAACACCCGGGCCCGCAGCGCCGCTCGCCGAGTCGCAACGAATACTGCGGGTGTTGCGGCTGTCGTCGCGGCCGTGTACACGCTGGTGTAGGAGACAGGTCGATGTATCTATAGCCCAGCAGTCCCATGTATCAAGCCCAGTGTATCAAGTCCATTGTATTGCAGGTAAGCTGGCGGACAGCACGAGGTCTGCGATCGCAGCTACCTACTCGTTAAGTCGCATGCGCCGGGGGAAGGATGATGCCCCGGTTGATTGCGGATGCATAGCGGAGGCGTGTCAAGCTTAATTCAGAGGTATACGGGTTGGCAGAGTGAATATGCTGTCTGCAAGGTAATCTACGCCCATGCCTGAGCCTGAAAGTCCCATCGCCCTAAAGCGCGCGACCGGCCTAGTTCGTACCCTACGCAATTCAGACTGAGAAAGAGCCAAGACTTTGAGTTTACCTCGTCTCCCACAATCAGCGCCTCTTTCCGTTCACATCAACCACGCGCCCTTTGAATATTTTTCACTCATATTGCTAAACCCAGCAGCAGGCTACGCCCTCAGGAAGAGGACGGGCAAGGATCCCGGGATATTTGAGTAATTCGAGGAAAATATTCTCCTCGCACAGCAGACTTTCCTCCTTCACGCTTTCCGTCTTCCGGTTGTTGCTGCGCACAGACGCTACGACACTCTCAGGTCTCAGAATCCAAAAGCTATGCGTTTGCAGGCGACTTGTTCCCCACCAGGGAGTTGAACCCTGCTCTTTCGCGGTAATACCGAGACTCTCGTCGCCGGCGCTCTCAACTGAGAGGCGAATATACTAACCGATATACTAGTGAGGAGACGATGCCTCTTCTTCTATTCTCGGCTTAATCGGGCGGCTTTTCCACTTCAAACGTTCGATTCTCTTTATAACCGCGCACAGCAGCAAGTATACATTATCCCAATGAGTTACGGCTCTACGTAGGAGGCCTTCTCGCATAATCGTGAGCCGATGGGCTTCAGTGTCCTCCAAAATCCGACGACGTCTATCACTCACAACCACGGCGGCGTGCGTGAGAACCAGGACGAGGCATGAGGTTAGTAACTCGAAGGAAAGGGGGTCAACATCTCCACCATGGGCGAGCCCATTGAGGCCTGCTGCAATCCTGGAGGACCACAAAGGCCGTCCTCAAAGGCCTAGGATGCGCTTGTGTAGAGCCACAGCCTTCAAGGTACGAAGCAGAACTCCAGAAACGCGGCAGGAGGGCATCATGCAGCAAGTTGTAATGCATATCTCACGCTGTACTTCCGATACTCTCAACAAGGATTGTCCGACCTAACGATACATCAGTTAGACCATGCCGCCTGCTTCAACGCGGCCAGGCTTCCCGACGCCCGCGGCTGCACGGGCAGATCGCGCTGCTCGGTGCTCGGAACCTCACCAGCCTTTCCATACCCACCGCCGCCTGGCGTCTGAATGATGATGCGGTCGCCCGCCGCCATGGTGCATTGGTTGCTTCCGCCCAGGTTGATGATGGTGTACTTTTTCTTTCGCTTCCCGTTGCTCTTGCCATCCTCATCCTCGGCGGGAACCAAGCGCGCCCAATGGTTGATACCGCAAGTGCCGGGCTCACCTCCAGCCATGCCGTATGGCGGGATAACTCGACGCTGTGACAAAATAGCCACGTCCAGCGACTCCGTGAACTCAATGTCGCGGATGCACCCATCACCGCCACGGTGCTGGCCAGCGCCGCCAGAGTTCGCACGGCGGCTGAACTCCCGGATAATTACGGGGTAGACGCGCTCGGTGAGCTCAACATCACCGATAGCGGTCTGAGGCGGTCAGCTTTACCGTGGGTTGGAACTCACATTAGTCATGTGGACGTGAACACAGCTCTGGCCCTCCCACGTAGGACCGGCGCCAGCTCCACCTCTTTTGGGTCAGCCCCCCCGCGCACGCCGACACTTACGCAATTGTCTCGTAGTAGCCGAAGCCGTTGGCTGTCTTTCCGTCCACCTCCTTTGGCCCAATACCGAACGTGAGGTTGTTACAACCACCCTGTCCCGCGGCGCAGGCTTGGAAGGCCTTGATGATGACGTCCGTCACACGTTGAGAGCTTTCCACATTACCAGCACAAACAGCGACGTTCTCCGTGGGGGCGAGCACTGACTCAGGAGGGACGATGACCTGAATAGGATTGAGACATCCCTGATTGAGTGGCAGTTCGCTGACGATCAAGGAGCGCAGAACGTAGATAATGGCAGAGTAGAGGATGGCCGTCGGCGTGTTCAGATTCTGAAGTCAGTAACGAGCTGTATCGCCGGCTCACGTTGTACGTCTGAGGGCTGGTTCCGGTGAAGTCGAAGACGGCGTCGCCTTTCTCGCTGTCGATCGAAATCTTAAGCTGCAGCTTCGTGCCATCGTCCAAGAAATCAACAGCTTCGAGCGGCTGGCCCCCGAACTTCTTGTTGACCTCACGGAGAAGATCCCGCACGGCCTTCTCGGCTGTGTACATGATTGCGCGCATGTAGAACTGCACCGTTTCCAGCGATTGTTCGTTAATGAGCTGGTTGATGAGTACGACGCCGCGGTGGCAAGCAGCCACCTGAGCGTGAAGATCTGAAATATTCTGCTGTTAGAATCGTGAGGGAACAACGTGGCGAGACTCACGTCTCCGAGAGTGCGCGTGGGGCTGCTGCCAGGATACTTGCCCGGCGCATTCAAAGCTTCCGTCAAACCCTCCTCGTCGAACTTGCCGGCCTTGACCAGCTTGAAGGACTTGAACTGCGCGCCCTCTTCCCAAAGCTCCTTTGAAAAAGGTGGCATTGAACCGGCACGAATACCACCGATGTCCGCGTGGTGGGCACGGGCGGCTGTCCAGAAGACAATCTTTCCTTCGTGGAATGCTGGCATGATGACTGTGAGATCGGGAAGGTGAGAGCCGCCAGCCACAGGGTGGTTGGACAGCAGAATGTCACCCTCCTTGAGAGTGTCGCCATGGACTTGGGCTTGGTAGCGGACAGCGTGCGACATTGCACCCAAATGGATGGGAATGTGAGGGGCATTAGCCACAAGGCCGCCATCTACGTTGAAGATTGCGCATGAACTAGATAGAGTTAGCACGTCATGACGGAAGGGTGCGGACGCACTAGTCGAGGCGCTCCTTGATGTTCAGCGAAATCGAGATTTTGCGCAGGATGTTGCCCATCTGTGATCAGTGGTTACGCGGCCGTCATCAGCTTACCTGCTCGGCTATCCCCATAAGGCGATGACCATACACGGAAAGCTGAACGGGATCAACCTGCTCGAGGTCGTTCAAGTTGGCCTCCTTCTTCTCGATCTTCTCATCGACCAAGTCGAGAACAACGTGCTCAGGCAGAGACGTAGCGATATGGTTTGGCTCAACGAGAATGGTCTGAGTCTTGTCGAATATGATAGCAGGGCCCTGAGGATTAGCAGTGTTCCGAAGCAGATCAGCTACGCACGTGAACCTGTTCGCCTTCCTTGAGGGCGAGAAGAGGAACAACCTTGGTCTCAAGCCAGCCCTGGTCCTCAAAGTACACCTTCTTAGACTCAAACGATGAGGCATTGAACTCGCGCTTGTTGGCGCTGTCAAAGTCGGCGTAAGGACTGCGGGTGGTCGAACCGACACTTTGGCCGATAGCACGCACACGGACGTCGTCAACCAAAATATCGCGGTCAAGGTTGAACCCGAACTCGCGACGATGTTCGTCAACAAATCGACGCTGTATGTCACCATCCTCTGGAAGCTCGATCATGAGCTGAGTGGACGACCCGTGGTAGCGACAGTTGAGGTAGCGCTCGCACTGAATGCGATCCAACGAAAAGCCCTCCTTCTTCAGCGAAGCTTGTGCGCGATCCACAAGGTGCGCCATGCGATCGCCGATCTTCTTCACGTCGCGGTTGTCGGTGATAATGTACGCAGACGGTTCAGATACCTCTTGCACAACGTCAGCGAGCGCCATGCCGTACGCTGAGAGCAGAGACGAGAGACGCGGCACAATGATGCGCTTGATCTTCAAGGTGTTGGCAATGCTACAGCCATGCTGGCCTCCGGCACCGCCAAACATGACGAGGTGGTGTGCGGAGCTCTCGAAACCACGAGCCTCAGTCAGCCTAAGGGGTCAGTAGATGCTCGTATGCAGGTCTGCTTACGTTCGGATGGGGCGACACATGGTCTCGTTAGCTACCCGAAGGAAGCCAGCCGCAACCTGCTCCATCGTGAGCTTCTCGTTCTTGCCCTGATTGATCTCCTCCGTGAGAGCGCTAAAGAGCTTCTGGCTGGCCTCGATGTCAAGAGGCTCGTCCTCGTTGGGGCCGAAGATCTTAGGGCTGAATAGGTCAACTATGATAAAGTAGAATAACCCACAAGTGTTCCGGCAGAAGGCGACCGAGAATGAGATTGGCGTCGGTGACGGCAAGCGGGCCTCCCTTGCGATAACAGGCAGGGCCAGGGTGGGCAGTAGCGGACTATGGTGAGTAATTATAGAGGGGAGGAGGCTTACCTCTGGTCCAACAACGAACATGCCGTGGCGGTAGAACAAACGGCTACCACCTCCGGCGGCAACGGTGTTAATGTCAAGCTGAGGCGCCTGGATGATTACTGCCGGTCAGAATTTTCGCAAGACACACTCCTACCCTCAGCGGTGGTAGTCTCGAAGACATGTTCCAGCTTGCCATCGAAGCGGGAGACATCGGTGCTGGTGCCTGGACGTCAGCTTGAGAACGAATGTCAATGTAATGTTACACACCGCCCATGTCGACCGCAATCAAGGGGCTTCCCCGCTCCTCATCGTAGCAGGTCTTAGAGTAGCCAACGACACCACCCGCGGGGCCACTGAGAATTGCGCGCAGACCGGAGAAGCCGTGCCATGGGCACAGTCCACCGTCCGACTGCATGAAAAGAAGCTTGGAACCGAAAGCGTCGAGACCGCCCTCGAAGCCGGAGCCAAAGCCTTCGATGTACCTTCTCGTCACGGGTGTGAGGTACGCGTCGGCAATGGCTGAGTTGGCACGCGACACCAACTTGATCATAGGCTGCAGCTGGCTGGAGACGCTGACTTGGAAGCCCATGTCGCGGGCAATATTGGCAACCAGCTCTTCGTGCTCGCCCCACAGGTAGCTGTGCACGAAGGCGACCGCGATACTTTTTGTGCCCTTGTCCCACAGTGTTTGGAGCTTAGCCTTGACATCTGCCGGGTCGGGGCGGGCAAGAACGCGCACGGTTTCACCTGTCGTCGTCTCAGTGACAATAGTATCGTCGTTCATGGGAATTGGGACCTTTGGCCGAACCAGGGACTGAAGAGGGGTAATCCGCTCGTCAATCTGCGTGTTAGAAAAGCCGGTGAGGACGATGAGTGGGTAAACGGCGGGTCCGTGATTTCTCATCGCAGGTCGCGGAAGTGCGGGCCGCTGGGCTCACACCCGGTCGGGGAGATGGGCAGGAGCGCAAGCAAGAGATGCCCGCGTGAGCCAAGGTGGCCTTGCTCGCCCACTTGGAAGCCACCTAGATTCACGGCGTGGAGGAGCGTTTGGCCCACAAGGAGACGAGGAATATGCGGAGAAGTTCCATAGTCTGCGGAAAGCGGGCGGCAGGGCCCGCCGCGATTCCGCGCGCCACCCCAAGCTGACCAACCACCTCAACGGATCGCAATCCCCCGCCCGCAACATTCGAGGCGGAGCGACTCACCTCAACGACCTCGTCGTAGAGAAATGCGAGCTTGTGAATGCTCAGGTCGAAGATGTCTGGACGAGCTGAGGGTGAGTGAAATGTAGTGACGTTGCCCACCTTGCATGCCGATCAAGAGCACATCCTTCCAACCCTTGCTTGTGATAAGAGCACACTTCTCACCCCGGCGCTCGAGGAGCGCGTTGGTAGAGACAGTGGTTCCCATGCGGACGCTTTCGATCTTATCGAGGCTCAGCTTGGTGCCCTTGGGTATCTCACGTCCTTCGAGCTCGCTGAGGATGCGGCGGATGCTGACTGTCAGCTGCGAGCAGGCCTATGTAGCCTACGCTTCAGTGGGCGCATCTGGGTAGTTGGCAGGGTCAACCGAGAGGAGCTGTTGGTCAGCGCGTAGTCGAGGTCTTCGGAGAAGGTCAACCTGCCTTGAGCACGATGTCGTCGTGACCTCTACGGGAGCAGATCGCGTCAGTGAAAGTGCCGCCACGGTCGATGGCGATGCGCGCCAAGGACTGGCCGCTACCATTGGAAACGCTAGAGGCGGCCATGATAGCTGGCGGAAGTGATGGATGGTGCAAGGCAGAGATGTACGCCGGAAGTTGAGCCGCAGCCGGAATACGGACAGCGCCGGTGGAGGTCGAGGGATTCCGGGTGCGGGCTTATCAGGTATGTGACGTGTAGTAGCCCCGTGGGGCTGTTTCTGTGCCTCAGTGGCCGGAGGGGGTTCCTCTTGGCCCGTCATGGACGATGGGCGATGGGCGATCGATGAGCAGGCTTGCAACAACAATCCAACTTTCTCTTCTCAATCTTTGCTCCTCTTCGCTCCCATCACTGCATCACCAATACAGTCAATCTGTCAACCCCATCCTTAGTACTTCGTAAATCGCCCCAAGGCACTCCGTCCTCCCTCCTTCTTCAACTTTGTCGCACGGCTACCGCGCTCCTTCCACACTCGCAGCGGCCACCCGTTACTTCACGCCTCCGCCTCCTCGTCCGGTAGGCTGCTGCAGGGGTCAGGCGACCGCCGTTATTCACGATGTCCACCTCCTCCCCAGCTGTCACGTCGTCCCCAACTGCGCCAGCAACAAGCTCGGCATCGCACAAGCCCAACCAGTCTATGGGCCCCGTGCTCTGCCCTTTCTGTGACAAGGAATTGCCAGAGAGCCTGATCTGCCCAGCAAGAGCCCCACCAGAGGTCAATGGGTCAGCTTCGGATGCTGACGTGTCGACGTCCGCGCTCATGAACTCGGAGGGCGATGCGGACCGAGCAGATACCATGGCGTCCAAAGCTGCGATCAGCGATGACGATATTCAACGCTGGTCACTTGTGGCCGGCGTGACGGTTGCCGCCCCATCAAAGCCTGCGCCCCTTGCTATGTCCGCAGTCAGCGATGACGCCAAGCCAGTGCCCCTGTTACCACCACCACCACCGGCAAGAGCATCCCCTAAGCCTACCAAAACGCGCTTTGGGTTCTTCGCCAAGAATAAGTCTGTGGCATCAGCGGCCGAGGACGAGGACAGTGATTCAGACGGTATCATCTCCGGATACGCACGATTAGGCGCCCCTGGCTCCGATGAGGAGGGCGATGATGACTACGAAAGTGACAAGGAGATTTCGTTCAAGCCTCGACCTCGAAATGTGACGCAGTCGGAGAGTGCGCCTTCGCGGCCCGAAACCCCAGCTCTGGCTCCTCCAATCGCCCTCAAAGAAAGCACCGGTGCTGGAGATGCAGAGCTCAAGTCCGTGCTGCGCGAGGTGCTGAGCCGCGTGCATGCATTGGTGAGCACATCCCACGGGCCAGCTGACCGCAGTCCCAATCGCATGCCGAGTTGCAGTCGTCACACACGACGTTGCTCACATCGCTCAAGATCGCGCGCTCAAACCTCGTGATGGCTGAAGCCAACACCGAGATGCTAGAGGCCGAATTACGGCGGGCAAAGGCCACTGCGGCCAACGCCGCTCGGACCAGCACGCCCCTGGCTAGATCTTCGGGTGACGCCGCACGGCCCTCGATCGACACCAGAGCCTCTGGGTCGGGCAAAACGTGGTTCGGGCGTGCGAAGCCCGCGTCACCTACCGAGCCTACGACACGCATCTCGGGCGAAGCGGGGAGGTCGAGCGAGTCAGACGAGTTGAGGAGGTTACGGGACCAACTGGACTCGCAGAATCACGAGCTTGAGGCGCTCAAGAAGGGCAAGAAAGAAATCGAAGCTGAGCTCGAGGGCTTGTCGCAGGCATTGTTCGAGGAGGCGAACAAAATGGTCGCGGACGAGCGCAAGAAGCGCGCTGAGCTCGAGGACACCCTTAACGAGGTCAAGGGTGAGCGGGCAGCCCTGCGTGAGACGGTCAAGGTCCTTGGAGGGCGCATCCAGACCCCACCGCCTATTCCCACCCCGCAGGAGGTCATGGACGAATCACCCAACCTCGATATGCACTACGCCGCATTACGGAAGAGCATTCACCATGTCGTCGATGGGCCGACACCCGCTGTCAGCGAGCCCGGGACACCTCCCGAGGCCGAAGAACCGCGCGACAGCTTGGACAGCGGGCTCAAGCCGACGCCGCCCACTGCACCAGACGTCATGCCCGGCGCCTTCAACACCGTGGCCCCAGCGTCGCTGGAGACTGAGCCCAACCCTTGGGCTACTACGCCCCCAATCCCGACTGCTTGATAGGGCCCTCTAATGTGTATTTTGTTACAGCCATGATTGTGCAAGTAGAGTGAGCGTGGTGGCTGCAACAGAGGCTGGGACCAAACAACATTGGGTTGCTTGGCAGACGCGGAAGGCCAGGCACCGATGTGGGAGATTACACAATCCCGCCAGCCATCTCGGTTGACATCGGCATCGTTCGACCTCTTCAGCTATATATGCACGTCAGATCGCCCATCGTGTGCTTATCTCGTTCGTTCCATCACTGCCCTTATCCTTATCACTATCATGGTCTCCTCCGACACATGGAAACTTTTGGGCCTCTCCGTCGCTGGCGGCTACGCGACCTTGGGCACATGGGCCCTCGTCGCTCCACGGCACGGTGCTGAGACGTTCTTCTCTCCCCGACCATCCTCGGCCGAGTCACTGCACGCCGGCGACATCGAGCGCTACATGCGTCTTTTGGGTGCACGCGACCTGAGCATAGCAGCGGCGATGGCGTGGTTCGCAAACAGTGGCGATTGGCGTGCAATGGGCCAGATGACCCTCACGGGCCTGTTTCTCTGTGCAGCCGATGCGGTGGCGGCGACGCAAGCCAAAGGCACGAGGCTGTGAGTTATATAGGCTATATTGGTTGAGCCGGGAAGACGAGCGGAGAGAGGAACCTGACGCCAGTGGGCTTCTGCTGACGGCCGGCTCGGCCGTGTGGGGAGTTATCGGCTATGCGCTCGTGTACTGGGTCTAGAGCGGGAGCGGGGCAACAATAAGGTCTGCCTGCGTGCGTATGTTGAAAGAATGCTGTACTTTGCGCAATCTATTAGTTGTAGCAGCAAATGGCGCTACATTCCCCGGGGCGAGATGTATCCGGACCTGACGTTGTCAGCTGTCAGCAGCAAGCCAGCTCTCCACATGTCGCATCCGAGCTTTAACCGTCCCAGCTTCTGAATTCCGTCACGAGGACTACGCCAGCTGGCCGGCATTCCCACATTCACGGCACGCCACTGATGATATAAAGGCGAGAGCAGGTCGCACGACTACGCCACTGAGCGGCCCGCCTCGCCCAAGACCCCTTTGCCACTGAGCATCGCAGTCGTACGCAGACTGGCCACCCACTCGCCCTGCGATGCCCCACCCAGACGCCGTACTTCCGCGTGAGCGCGCGCGCGCTCTCTCCTTCAACGCATTCACCTCTCGCCCTGACCATTGGGACATGAGCATCCTCTGCGCGCGCACAATCCACGACACGTACATCGAGCAGGCGCGGCGGGGGACCACGGTCGTCCGCAGCGAGGAGTTCACGCTCACGCCCGCGCTCATAGCCGACCTCGAGGCCCAGGCCCGGCTGCGAGCTAGCATCAGCGCCGTGGGTAGCGAGGCAAGCGGCAGCGGCGAGAGCGACGGCGTCGGTGTGGTTGTGGAGGAGCCGGAGGCTCAAGGTGGGAAAGGAGGACGGCGGCTGAGCGAAGACGAGGCGTTCGCGCTGATCAACGCCTGGCGATACGACCCTGCCAACCCCGCTCAGGCTTGAGTAGGCATGCTCATGTACTGTACAAGTATGAGGCCGCTAATGAGTGCGCCTACAATGGCGGTGTTTCAGCTGCGCGATGTCTTTTGGTGTTCCGCCACATGAGGATGCCGATCCTTCACAGAAAATAACCCTATCTAACGTGGCTCACATGTGTGTGGCAGTGTCTCACGTCAGCAAAGTCATGCAAACAGATATGCTCAGCACATCGTTGACAGCGTTTAAGCGCTCACTGGGAGGATGTGTTTACGCGACAGCGGACCGTCAAGCCACCGAGGCCGGGTGTGGTATCTGTACGTCTTCTGCTGTCGCTTCTACCAATCACCGCAGGGGCGTCGTATAGCTGCACTTTCGATGAAAACAGCCCATGCAATCTTCGCCCGAAGCTGCAAGAGAGCCCTACCCAATATAACTTGTCGGCCAGATTCCGCCGTTGTCCGTTGCTGATCCGGTTTTCCGTCCGCACGGCCACATCCCACGTGGGGCCCTCTTTCGGACGCGGATGACTCGCCTCAGAAGCGCTGATCCAGTGCTCGCCCCAAGCGCCAAGATTAAGTGAGTGCGTTGTGTGAGGCTGGCTGAGTGGTCGCAGGATATCCACCTGGGCCAACCAGCTCGGCGCGTTAGCCATTATCCGCCTGACATTCGTCAGCCAGGCCCCGGAGATACTACCCGAGTACATGCTGTATATTTGGGATGGGTGGTGCGCGATAAATCAAGCACCAGTAAGAACAAAATGTTGCTGAAACTAGCCAAGCATTGAGGGCTCAAAGGAGAAGCCCAGGCCCAAATTGCCCGTCAAGTTGTCCCTGCACAACTTTCCGCACCTTCTGCCGTTCCGCACCTCGATCGACTTTTCGGCGGCGATGCGGAATTATGAACTCCGAGGGGCCTGGCTGCTAGCCTAGAATGCATTTGCCCATTGCATAGGCTGCTGATTTATCCTGTGGATGGCCGAGCGGTGGCACAAAGATTTTTGACGGCTTGGCAGCAACCAGACACCGGAAACCGGATGTACAGTGTCAGGCACTCTTCCGCACCACGTCCCCAAACGACGCTTGGTTTGTCCGCTCGGAGAGTCCTCTGTCAGCCTCGGATTGACGGAGTCTGACGTTAAGGTCCAGCATGTGCATGCCAAGTCTTATCGGGCCCGATATGGCTCGCATCAAGTAGAATGTGTTTGTTTCTGGTTTCACTCATCACACGTTCTGGCTAAGCACCACTTGGCGTGCTTGGCCGCCGATGTGTAACCGCTAACACCATCAGCACCGTTTCCAACACTAGGCAAGGTTCGTGGCGCTTGTGAGCTGCATGAGGACAGCGCGGTCGTTGTTCGGACGGCGGCGCTCGTTGGTTGTGTCCTCACGACAGCCCCACAAGTGGAGCTGACACGGTCTCTCGACATAGTGACATGCAGCATGCAGAGAAGGATATAAAGCAGTTCGACAACGGTTGAGCGCTCGACACACGACAAAATGGCCACCTCCCAGCCGCAAGTGCCACTCAGTGAGAAGAACGAGGGACGCTATGGGCGCCCTGCGTCGCCCCGCACCCCCGAGACCCCGGACTCGGAAGCGGAGAAGAAGCAGATGACGTTCGACACGCTTGGAGACGAGGCGCTCGTCGATGAGGACGCCCCGCCCGCTATTATCATTCCCCTAAAGTACCGTATCACGGCTATTGTTCTTATTATCCTCTTCGGCACTGGCAACACGTACGCCGGCTTCGTCCTTGGGCCCCTCAAGACTCGCCTCGTTCGCGAGCTTAAAATCACCAGTACGCCTCACTCTCTATTGCTTCACTGACCTCAGACGCGCAGTACTCTGTCGTTTCGTCCGCCTCGTCCCTCATCAACACTCTGTTGCCGATTATCGGTGGCTCCATTATTGACCGTTATGGAGGCTCGCGCATTGCTCTCGGCTCGTCCGTTCTCTGCGTCGCTGGCGCCGTCCTCAGTGCTTGCGTACGTGAATGATTCCGGCGCACGCTAACCGTTAGTCCTCAATCGACAACAGGTACACCCTGCTCGTCGGTGGTGAGATCATCCTCGGGTTCGGCTCGGCTATCCAGGACATCTGCCAGTACAAGCTGTACCCGCACTGGTTCGCCGGTTCGCACATGGGCCTGATCTTCGGTGTCAACGTCGCATGGTCGCGCATTATCCAGCTCGTGGCCCGTCTCTCCGCTGTGCCCATGGCCGACATTGGCCCCGGCCGCTACTGGGGCTGGGCCTTGTGGATTCCGACCATTACCACATTCGTCTCTGGCTTCTGCGTGTACGCGTACTACTTCTTCGAGAACCGCATCCTTCCCGCTGAGTACCGCCCGGCCAAGCCGGAGGTGCGCAACGACCAGACCCTCCTCAACGACTGGAAGGAGACGATCAAGAGCATTGTCCTCCTTCCTAAGTTCTACTGGATTATGAACGTGACGCAGATGCTGCAGGGTGGCGCAACCCGCGTGTGGCTCCGCAACGTCGCCGACATCCAGGTCAAGAGCCGTGGCACGTCGGAGCAGGCGGCAGGCTACAACGCCGCGCTTCAGACCGTCATTCCCATTGTCCTCACTCCCGCGACCGGCTTGTTCTTCGACAAGATTGGCTGGCGCATGGTCTTCGTTACCACCACTTCCCTCATCTGGCTCCTTGTGTGGGGCCTCGCGGGCTTCACCAAGATCAACTTCCTCGCGCCTGTCCTCATCTCCTCATTTGCCTACGTCACCAACCTCATCCCCTTCATGGCGACGGTGCCGATCCTCCTCCCTTCCAACGAACTGATGGGCACGGCCTTCGGCGTGTGGCAATCGTTCCAGAACGCCGGCACGCTCATCATGGACGTTGCGTCGGGAGCGATCCAGGACGGCACCCCCGGACAACAGTACGACCGTGTCTTTATTGTCATCATGGTGTTCAAGGCGTACGACGCGTTCCTCGGCCCATTCTACGACTGGCTTGATGGCCGCTGGCTCGGCCACCAGCTCCGTATGCCCGAGCGCAAGCGCCGCGACAAGCTCGTCCAGCTCGAGATCCGCGGGCAGACGTACGAGGGGCACCAGCGCAGCAAGTTCTGGATCTGGACCGGTTGCTCCATCCTCTCCGCCATGGTCGTCACTGGTTGGGCGCTGTACATCATTTACTCGATGCCGCGGTAGTAGGACAATACGCAGATGTATCTCGCTCGTTCACAAATATGACTATAATCCGGCATATGTTGCTATCGCTTCCAGCTTGTCCTCCACCTACTACCTGAGGACGAAGCGCTGGCTGACGTTGGAGTGTTCAGGGTGTACATTGCCCGTCCGCGAGCAGCCACCTTGACTCTTCTGCTGGCCTGCGCGGTGCTTGGTGTGGCTGATCAGCTGTTCGTTCGATGTGGCGCTTCCAGACCACGCCCGCAGCAACAGGAAGTCCAGGGAATCAATTTCAATGTCAATTGGGCTAACGAAAATATCCTCGGCGAGAGAGGACCCAGGACATTCAAATGTGCCTATTAAGCTTTTCCTCCGGATGCCTGACCCTGCTTCTTCGAAACCCGGGACCGTCTTCCGCGCGGCAGCCCGCGGGAGGAGCCTCTCGTTTCTACATGCCTCGCGACATTCCTGGACAGAGCCGAAGGGCATTCACTCAGTCGCCTGGGGAAATAGCGCTGCGCGATGTCTGACAACTGAATGGGCGTCGTATTCTCTGATGGATCTGGACGACCTGCGGGCAGCCTGATGTCTGCAGAGGATGGAGAACAGGCCCTTGAATCCTAAGGCGCCACGCAAAAGCGTAAGCCAGCTGTTGTCCACGACTCCGCGTAGTTTCCTAATCAGGGGATTGTTGAATGGTTCTCCTTTCGTCCACGCTTGCACATCACCGAGTGGCCCACAACGAGTCCCCTCGTGGAGCAGCCAGCTTCCCCTCGCTGTGGAGCAGCCAGCGTCCCCTCGCTGACAGATGCACTGCCAAGATCCAAGCTCAGTCTGTCTCGTTGCTCAGAGCTGATCTTGACACTTACCGTCCTATCTTCCTTCATTTTCGCGACCTCAAACCAGGCATCGATCGACGCCTTCCTCCGCTGCCTCTCCTCTTTACACCGCAGCGAAACGCTCCTGCTTCCAATCTTTATCTCTTGATACTGCTATTCGACGCAGACATGTTCGGACAGAGCGGATATCAGTCGCTCGATCCAGCGGCGAATCGATCGCGCCGCAAACGGCGCCTTCTCGCTGCCTCGATGGTTCTCTTCGGCCTCATCGCCTTAGGCTCGCTCTGGCACACCGCTCCGCAGGTGTAAGTCGCCGCCCCTTGTCCCATACTCACTCCAGCACAGCTCTCCTGCTCAAGCCAGACACATGCAACCCGTACGCGCTCCCGGGAATGCTCGCGTATGAGCCGAACGACCCGCATGCGAACAGGTGGCACCCATTCGCAGGGATGCGCGATGAGACCGACCCCGAGCTCCGAAGCGACGTCAAGGCGGACGCGTGTGCCCAACCAGCACCGGCGCTTGCGGCGGCGTTCGTGCGCGCATCTTGGTCCGCCGTGCCACCCTCGCTCCCCTCGAACGAAAGCGCGCTCGAGCCAGACTTCGCGTCCGCCGCACTGGGGCCAGACGGGCGGCCTTGGGAGGATGTCGAATTTGCGCGCAATCGCACAGTCGTGTTCCTCGGTGACAGCATCTCGCGCTTCACCACGAAGTACTTCTGTGATGTGAGTGCCTCAATGCATCGCCTCAAAGACACGCGAGGGCTAGGCTAAATGTCAGATGGTTGGGGAGCGTGTCATCGAGCTCAACTGGCAGCACCCATGGGCACCAGCCGAGATTCTCAAGGACGGGAGCACGCGCGAGGAGCCGGAGCGCGACGACGCCCACCTCGACCCGTTCGGGTGGCACCTCCTCCCTCCCGCCGACCCCGGAAGCCATCTCGCGCACTACTGCTATGCGCCGGGAATGGACTTCTTGCTCATCCACCTGCACGCGTACGGGCTCGATGAAGAAGATTTCTGGAAGTCCAAGCCCTCGTACATCCCGCCATACACGTTCGAAGACCGCGTGCATCGTCTCGTGAGGCCATACCTCAACCGCATCCGGGCGACGACCGGGCGTGGCGCGAGCGCCCCGGAGCTGGTATACGTCAACAGTGGGATGTGGGATGTGATGCGCTTTGCGCACGAGGACATTGCGGCAGACAAGAGCATCGCATCAACGCTCGGGAGGTGAGTGTCTCGCGAGAGGAGGGCTGACGGAAGCACCCGCCTTGCATGGTATCGCCGCCGCGTACGCGACGCGCTCACCTTTGTCGTCAGGGAGTTCCCCCAGGCGGCCGTGTACTGGTCCGCCTCGCACTACCGTGAGTAATGAGTATCGCCCAGCTGACGCCAGCCATTAAGGCATCCAACGGGTGGTTCTTTGGAGACATCAAGCCCAAGCACCGGCCTGACATCAAGCTGCTGCGGCTCGCAGAGATGCACGGTGCCGCGATGTCCGCATTCGAAGACACCGCGGATGCCTCGCCCGAGGACAAGGCCGCCCTCGACCGGGTGGAGCTTGGGCGCTGGGGCCTCGCGATGACTGGGCAGGAGGACCACCAGATCGACGAGTAAGTAAGTTAGTGGGTGATGCTGACGATAGCCTGCACCCAACATTCCTGCCGGGTGGGTATCTGTGGGCCGACATGGCGTTGTGGGACTTGCGCCACGAGGTGCGCCGACGGGGATTGTAGAGCTCGAGTTCGGGGAGTGAGAGTTGTAGAGTGTGCTTGTTAGATTTTGTTTGGGCACCGTCGGCTGGTCACGATGAGCGCTCGACGCTGAGCGCGACGGCTTGGATATTGATGTGTGTCAGGGAGCGAAGAGCGCTCAATCCGTCAGCTCCCCAGCTGGCGACGGGGCCCCCGTGAAGTACAGCAGAGATGCGTTTTGGATCAGAGGAGTACGGATCTCAGCAACGGCATGTCGACGGGATTCCGTGGGAGATCTCGCCCGGTATCACCTATCACGGTGTTCTGCATTGGTACTTACGAGCTTTTATCTCAACCCTCTACTGTACGTCAGCAACGCCGCGGGTAAGCTCGGCTGCATCCGAAGTGACTCGGTCGCCAACGCCTCGCAGCGTCTCGAGGGATCGATGCGGCGTCCCCTTCTCATGTCCGGGCTCGGAGCTTGGTGAACACGCGACTGGACCTTGCCGGCAAGGGCCGTCAGGCCCCAGCTTGCCCACCGCGGGCTAAGCTCGGCTTGAGCCGAACCATGGGTGTGTTGCTACATAACCAGCCCTCGCTTCAACAACAGAGTTCATCAACTTCCCATTCATCATGACTGACGCCCCCCTCATTCCTCTTGCGCAGTACATCATCGAGCGCTTCAAGCAGCAGGGCGTGAAGCATGTATGTACATCTAATGAGCGCGCTGACCACAGCTCTTCGGAGTGCCGGGAGACTACCAGCTCGAGCTGCTCGACTACTTTGAGCGTGACCCCGAAATCGAGTGGGTCGGCAATGCGAACGAGCTCGGTGCTGTGAGTCCACATTGGCCTCGGCGATGGTGACGGGCGCGAGGAGGCGAGCGGGCGAGCTCGCGAGCGAGCTGGCTGGCACCACCGGCTACTCGGTCCCGCCGGCATATTTCGGGCCATGCCCGATCGGCCTCCTCCGCCCCACTATTCGCCGGTATCTCTGTTCACTTGGCTGATCCCAGGCATACGCGGCGGACGGGTATGCGCGCGTGCGCAACGGTATGGCTGTGTGCGTGACCACCTTTGGCGTGGGCGAGCTCAGCGCGCTGGGCGGTATCGCTGGTGCGACGGCCGAGCGCCTCCCAGTCGTTCACCTCGTGGGCTCGCCCCGCTCGCCGCTCCAGAAGGCCGACGCCCTCGTCCACCACACTATGAACCTCCCCGGCGGGCAGTACGGGCGGTTTTACAAGATGAGCGAGCAGATCTCAGCGGCGACCGTTGTGCTCATCAACGAGCCCGACGAGGGGCTGACGGACGCCGTGGACCGCGCGATCCGCACCTGCGTCGTCGAGGGCCGCCCCGTCTACCTCGACGTGCCGCTCGACTACAACCACCGTGAGGTGAGCGCTGCGCCGCTGTCTACGCCGCTCCCCAAGCTCGGTGAGCCCAAAGACTTCGCCGCCATCCCCCGCACCCTCATGCTGCCGCCACTGGACAGCATCACGGCGCAGGTGACGGACGCGATCGTCGCCGCCTTCGAGAAAGCCCAGAACCCCGTCATCTTGGCGGACCTGTACGCCGAGCGGTACGGCCTGCGGAAGGAGGTGCGTGCGCTCGTCAAGGCCGCGAACGTGCGCGCGTTCTGCACGCCCACGTCCAAGTCGCTCCTCGACGAGCAAGACCCCAGCTTCGGCGGCGCGTACGGTGGCAACATGAGCGTGGACGCGTGCGCAGCCGAGTTTGAGGCCGCCGACTTCGTCCTCTGGATCGGTGCCATGAAGAGCGACACCAACACGGGCCGCTTCTCTATGCGCGTCCCGGCCTGCAGCGTCGAAATGTACGTCGACAACACCAAGATCGGCGCCGCCGAGTACCCTGGCACGGACATGCGTCGCATTGTGCCTGAGCTCGTCAAGCGCCTCGGCGGCGTGGCCAAGACGGCCGCGCTCAAGCCCAACCCCGACGTCTCCCTCCCCGTGACGACCAAGGCGCAGGGCGACGCGATCATCTCGCAGGACTGGATGTGGAGCCGTTTCGGCGCATGGCTGCAGGACACAGACGTCGTCCTCGGCGAGATGGGCACGTCGGCGTTCGGCCTCGTGCCCATCGCCCTCCCCTCCAACGCCCAGTACCACAGCCAGTGCATGTGGGGCGCAATCGGGTGGAGTGTGGGCGCGGCACTGGGCGCGGCGCTTGCTGCCCGCGAAGCCGACCCGGCTACGCGCACGGTCCTCTTCGTCGGCGACGGCTCGCTCCAGCTCACGGTGCAGGAGATCGGGACGATGGTGCGCCGCGGCTTGACGCCATACATCTTCGTGCTCAACAACGACGGGTACGAAATCGAGCGCATCATCCACGGCCCAGAGATGAAGTACAACGACATCGCCAACTGGGATTACACGATGATGCTGCCGCTGTTTGCGGGGCGCACAGGCATCAAGCATGAGACGCACAGCGTCAAGACCCAGGGCGAGCTGCAGTCGTTGCTCGAGAGCAAGGAGTTCGCCACGCCCGACCGCATTCGCGTCATCGAATTGTTCGTGCCCAAGGGCGACGCCCCACCTGCCCTCGCGCGCATTCTTCAGCGCAAGATCTAGCTGTGTACGTTTTGTTGTCTGTGATATTAAGGGAACCTCTATGGATTAAATGGATATGATATGGGGGAGGGATTAGCCTAACTGGGTGTTTGAGGGATTGACAGCGAAATGGTCACTGATTATCCTGCGGTTCCGGTGTAAGAATCAGGAGCGAGCCGTCCAGGGATGACTGGAAGTTGCAAAAATGAATTGTAAGGTCACGACGGGGGTCGAACCCGCGATCTCCTGATAGAAACGATGCTTAATCGTAGTCAGACGCGATGCCATTTCGCCACGCGACCTTGATATTTGCAAACGTTTGACATGTAATATACCAGATATAGAACTATTTGCAGGGGCTCATCCCCCCTTCTGCCATCCCCTCCTTCCGAGTCTGCCTCCTGTTGGCCCGATGGACGAATACGCCACGCGTGTGACCGAAAGAGATTGCGGTGAGTTGCAGTGAGCCATGGACGAAGACAGGCAGGCGTGACGGGCGAACGCCTTGGTGCCTTCACCTACACCCTCCTCGCGTTTAAGCTCTCGGCACCCCGCCTCTCCGCTTCACCGCCCCACACGCGGGGTCATCTGGTCTGGTCAGATGCAACTGACGGCTGTGCCATCATTGCACAGTAAATTATGCTTGACAGCCGATGATGGACGCTGAGGCAGAAGGCTGCCATATCTTGGCCCGTACTTTGCCCCCACATATCGCCCGTCACACCGCCAAGTCAGGCTCTGCCATTGCTCTCCCTTTGATCTGCAGATGCACAGAACAGAGCCGACATGTTCGGCGGCTCGGTGGATTGATTTTGTCGCATTCCATCAGCAGACGACTTGGCTGACGACTCGCTCATGCCTCGCCTCGGCATTTGTCGGGCCACGCACGCCCTCAAGTCACCTGCCTGTCCCACCTGGACCAGCATGCCACCGCCCACCCTGGTTGAAACTGTTCAGCCGGAGCCCACGGAGGCGATGCCTGCGTGCCGTGAAGAGGCATGCACAGCTGTCAATGCATGTTTGATGGTGCGATGCAGTCGCGGGCACGCCGTGCGACCCGCTGTCGTACCACGGCGGCCCTCTGTGACGATCCTATCTTCCTCGTGGTGCCAGTCCACAGATGCACGCGATCGCACACATCCGACCGCGGCCGACCGATCGTGGCCGAACGACGCACAGACTGTGACATTCTCAGCAAGGCGCAGACACTGTGAACGTTGAGGAGTTGCTCGCATAGCCCATGGGCGCAGCGGAGCACTGACCGGTTGCAGGATTGGTGTCTCGGTACCGACGATGGCGACGAGATCTCTGCGCTTGGGCGTTTTGGCTGCTGGCTGCTGGCGTGGGACGCCTCGGCCATGTCCAATCTCGGCCCTCCCTTTTGCCTTTTCGGCTCCCATTAGGACTCGGGCTGGAACTCGATTTGGCCCACATTACGCAGCGCGGCATGTGATGATCTCCGTGGTCGCTCGCTTTTGCGTCTCGCCTGTCCCAAGTGCGAGAGATTGGGAAGGAGGATGTTGCTGTGCATGAGAGTGTGCACTCCGGTAATCGGCGTTGAGTACTACTGAACAGAGCCAGACGGAAATAAGCTTGAGTGGAGCAGGCTGAAAGACGCTTGTCACAAGCAAAGGCACCTCAGGGATGACGGAGCAAGGCGGTGGGGGGGGAGGAAAGGGACTGACATTCAGGCAGGAGGTCATGTTTATTGGATAATAGCGACGGAACGCGGGTGCCTAACGTAAAGGTAAACGACCACAGAGTTGAGGTGGTGCGAGTTGGCGAAGCTGTACAGCCGTAGATGCACCGAGGCATGATACACCTGCAGTACTGCAGAGAACGACGAGAGGTGCAATCCAACCCGAACAAGACGGGAGGGGCAAAGCAACTGTACGTACAGCATCCGTCAGGGTTTATCAGGGAAGGAGAGTACTGTCCAGGCCAAGTGACCACTTTCGAGCATCGTTTATCCTTCTCCTCCTCCTCCTCCTCCTCCTCCTCCTCCTCCTCCTCCTCTTCTCCCCTCCCACCCTCTTGCGTCTGTTGGACATGTATGCCTGATGGCCTCTGATTGCTGCACGCTGCTGCTGGTGAGACATTGCAGACATTGAACACAGCCCCATACTGCAGCCGTCCTCCCGATCGACTGGGCTGTTCACATCGCCCCTTGTCCCACACTCAGTGTCGTGCGTCTCACTGTCGTCTATCCACTTGTCCATCAACTTCACATCGACACCCACACTTCACAAGTTCTCTCGCTCGGATCATCAAGACATTCTTCGCTTCTTTCACATCGCCTCTCTGATTCCTTTCAGTCTCACTCCATCTCTGGCTTCCACCCACTCCATCCTATCTGTCTCTCTTTCGATACGCGGCTCTTCCCAGCACCCTCGGCACCCTCAACACACAGCCCGGCCTGCATCATGCTGCTGCTCGCCGTCGCCGCGCTGCTGGCTGCAGCCACCCCAGCAATGGCGATCACGTCAAACTGCTTCTTCAATGTCTCCATGCAGGACACCTCGCCACTCATCCGATACAACCCGCCCAGCGCCTTCAGGACGATCTTTGTCAACTCGCCCGCCAGCACCTGGCAGCCGGGTATCATAGGCCAAGGTATATCGACGCACTCGACGTACGGGCTCGAGCCCTACATCATCGTCGAGTTCCCCGGCACGGTTGCATGGGCCAAGGGCGGCGTCGCCAATGTGTCAAACACTCCCATCCGCTTCACGATCGACGATCGGCAGCAGCCGTACCCCGTGGTCGACGAGAATGTATTCCTCTCTACCAGCACGGATCTTGCGATGGGGCCACACACCGCCAGGCTACAGATTGATCCGAGCTCGACTGATCCGCTTGCATGGATGGCCCTCTTCGTTTTCCAGACTCTGACTGGCGTCGCCGCCGAGAGGTGGGTGTCGACCTTGTCATTCATAGCTGACGATAGTAACGACCCCGAGAAGGTCAACTGCCACGTAGTAGAATTTGCCAAGCACCTGACCAACAACCAGGTCATCATGCATGGCAACAATTGGGAGCCGCACCAGACGTATGGCGGCGTGGGCGGGCAGCCGCAGTTTGATTACTCATCCATCATTTCGAACAACACCGCCTCCGTGTCATTGTACCCTCCCAAGGGATCCAACTACTTCTACCTCAATGGCACAGTAGGAAACGCCTATGGCTTGTACACCGTCCTTATCGACCCTGCTCCGCCCTACCCGCGCAACGACAACACATTCAATGCCTCCAACTCGTGGGACGTGCTCGGCGAGCTTCTCTACTTCACGCCGCTTGACCCCGATGTTGAGTACAAGATCACGGTGACAGGGGACGAGGATGTCAACAAGTATCTCGGCCTGAACAGCTGGATGTACTGTGACTATTCGCTCAAGTAAGTCTTGGACCGCTGCAGCGTGACGCTTGCTGACATGCAGCGGCAACAAGCCCAACGGCACCACCCCCACCAGGCCCGACAAGTCCGGTACTGATGTCCCCTCGAATGAGAAGAAGACCAACGTGGGCGCAATCGCTGGCGGTGTGGTCGGAGGAGTCGCCGCTGCTGCAGCCATCGGCGCTCTCATCTTTTTCCTCTGCCGCCGCAACCGCAAAAAGGACAACATGGACGCGTGAGTACTCGACTCCCTTTGCCTCGCAGCTGACGCCAGCGACCCCGCCATGTTCACTGTTGACGACACGGTCGACGCCACGACGCCGTACCGCGCCCCCTCGACGAGCGGCACCAAGCTCGCCCAAAATGAGCAGGCGTACGGCGGCTACCCGCAGTACGGCCAGACGCTGTACCAGGAGCCCAACATGGCCGAGACGGGCTATGGGGTTGGCGCCGCGCCCCTCCTCGCACACTACGGCAGCGACGGCCAGCAGAGCCGCCACACCTCGATGCAGTCTGGCGGACCCTTCGGCGACAGCCGGCAAGGCTCGGGCCCCTGGCCTGGCAGCGAGAACTCGTACCCGCTCGGCAGCGACGGGCGGCAATCGTTCAGTGCCGCGTCCCCAGGCATGGGCATGGCGGGCTACGCGTCCCCGGGCTCGGGATATGGGTCGTCGTCGCATGGCGGGTATATGACGGGCCCGTCGGCAAGCGAGAAGAGCGTGCCGGCGCACCAGCGCATGCATCGCGTCGAGCACGAGCAGGACGCCGGTGGCCTCCCCATGCCGCCAGAGGACGTCGAGCGCCTCCCGCCCTCGTACAACCCGCACTGGCTCGATGTACGCTCTTCCCAGCCTGGCGCGTCCACCGCCTCCGCTTCACCCGTGCCGCCGCCCGTAGGCGATGGCAAGCACTCCGTGCCCACGCCGCAAACCTCCATGTCGAGCGATACGGGATACCCTTCTGCTGCCGGCTCATCCCAGCACGGTATGCCCGGTATGTTCCACCCTCCAGTCGAAAAGCGCTAGGTTTGGCAGTTATAAGGCATCTTAGGTTGCCAATCAATATCTTGTACCTGATGAATATTTCTGTGCCCAATTGCTTGCTTGCGCTTGGGATGTGAGGATGTATGCACATGTCTCCTCTGTGAGTCGTGCCGCCGCGAATAACTCAATTGCACTGATCACTGCAACCGCAGTCTTCAGTTCAACTCCAGTTCAGCTCCAGTTCAACGTTCCTGCTGCCCCAGTCGCCACGCAACGTAGTCAGCGGGCAGGATACCGCCCCACCGCTTCCCTGGCTCGTGCGCGACCTGGCCGAGCGATACCAGCTCGATACCGCGCCGTGGCGTGAACCGCAATCGGAAGAGGTGTGCCGGAGGTAGCCCATCTGTTCCCTCTGCAGCTCCGGTGGCCATCGGATCCGTGGGGAGCACCTCGCGCACAAGCATGGACAGCACCGCGTGCAGGAAGTGTAGGCAGGGGGCTGGGTCCCATCGTGCGCCGCCTCGCGCTGCGATGGCCGGGATGGTGGCTGTGTCGAACTCGTGCCGGCTCACGAGGATGCCCGAGTCGGTCCGGAAGCCGACATCGACGGTCTGGCGTTAGCTCTGCACATGTCCAAGCCCTATTCCCACCGGCACACCCAGCAGAAAACTCTGCGCCCAGTGCTTCAAGAGCTTTTTTAGGAAGATCGCGTCAGCACGCTCAGAGTCGATGACCTTGTTTGTCTTGAGCTCGACCGTTGCGTCCAGGCCTGGATTTGGCTCGCCGACGGGCGCGCGTACACAGTCGACCTCACCCCCAAGGAATAGTGGTACCTCACCAATCGCGGATCGCACCACGCTGTGGTCAGTCAAATGTCGAGGTCCGTTTCCCTTCTCCCGAATGAGGACGATGGGACAGAGAAGCTTACTTGCACCACTGCTGTTAGTTTTGACATCTTCGCCAACTCACTTGCACGTTCGTGTTGACCGTCCCGGACCATCCTTCGGGCCCTTCCTCCGCCTCAGGCAGTGTGGCGTAAGCCTCGTACGCATATCCCATGTAACTCTGCAGCTCCCACTGCGCATTATCCTTCGCTCTGACGTTGGCTCCAGTCTCGAGGCGGCTGCAACCCACCGATAGCTATACTGCACGTTGTCCTTATTCTCGTATTGTTCGAGGTACACACTCCCGTCGAGTGCGAGAGCGCTCATCTCCCACCCCTCGCGGTCCTCGAACGGCGCCGTCATGATTCTGATATCAGCTTGATTCCGTTAACCCCGTCCGCCAGCTCCCATACCCACCTCGTCATCATCCCGCGCCAGCTGACGACACCGCCGCGCCGCTCCCCGCCGCCGCGCAGGGCCCAGCACATACCGTCGAGGTGTTCTTCCAGCGCCTCGTCTCGCTCGATGCGCTCGGAGAAGCCGTATGTAAGGTCTGCACCCGGAGGTGCACCTCCGGGGCGGAAGTACGCCATGCTCGCGTCGCCAGAGACCAGGCGGCGGTCGGGAAGGTGGCTGTACGTCGTCACCAGCACCGGCTTGCGATAGGGTGGGGGCGGGGGCAGATGCGCAGGCGGTAGCCCGAGTGCAGCGACTTGCATGACGGGAGGGGGGAGGGAGGAGGGGGGGGGGAGGGGCTGCTAAGAAAGTTAGAGGAAGAAGAAGTCCAGCGGGGAGTCTGAAGATGAAAAGGGGACAGCAGATCGTGGAAAGAAGTGCTGATGCGAGGATCATTCGAGGAAGGGTGAGCAATTGGCGTAAACATACCTCCACCGGAAAACCCGGTGGAGGTGAGACTAACGGTCCTCATCACCGGCCACCTAGCAGTACATCACAACGCTACATGTACAAGGGTTCTCTCTGGGTATCTTAGAGTGAGATATGCACTTCGCAGCGCATCAAATGTCCTCGCGCTCCTGGGTGTTGTTGTTGGTCAGCTGGTCGAGCAGCTCATCGACGTTGAAATCGCCGTCATCAAAGGTGCCCTCGGACGGCAGCGACGTATCCTGATGATACCCAGTGTTGTTACCGGAGCCATGCGCGCCGCCATTGGGCAGGTCGAGGCCCATGCTGCGCACCAGGCTGTCGAAACTGTCCTGCAGCTTCTCGACGTCACCGCCGACCCCTGCGGCTTTGTGGTACGCGCCAAGAAGATGGTTGTTGTTGTTGACGAGCTCAGGGGGAAGGGGCGAGAAGAGCGCGAGCGTCGGGTCATTGACATTAGGTCCAGCGACGGGCGGAGAGGGGGGAACCTTAGACGGCGTGGAGAGGCTTTGGCCCTGCACGCTCGCGTTGAGGGTATTGAGGAACATTTGGGCAGCAGCGGGCGATTGCAGCAGAGAGCCGATAGTCGTCTGCAGGAGATTGGGGTCCAGGTTGAGGCCCGACGGGTCAGCACCCTCAAGGACATGACCGGCAGAGTATGGCGCAAGCTGGCTCGACTGATGTCCAAGCGGGTTGTGATGCCCCACGTTGGAGTTCCCAGCGTTCCCAGTGCTGGACTGCGTTCCGGAAGGTCCCCCGTTCGTCCGAGCATCCGTGTCGTACAGCGAGTCGATCTTACTGATCGAGTTCGAGCGAGATTGCGTCGCCGTGTGCGGTGAGACGCCGTCCTCGTCCGTAGGCAAGGCGGTGAAACGAGGCTCAGATGACTGCCAGGGTTCAGTAGATGACCGACCCGAATTACTAGCCGTCTCCACTATGGGCTCTGAAAACATCAGCGACGTCACCAGGCACTATGCCATGCTACACTCCCACGCATCACTCACCTTGAATCTCAACGAGACGTGGGTGCGGGGAGTCATCCTTCTTGCTATCGCTACCACCGAGGCCAGACGCGCGCCCGTCCTCAATCATGAGACGGCGGCGCTTGGCGGCGGCTGAGTCCTCTGATCCGCTGTCCTCACGCGCGCGCGCGTTTCGGTGTGTGCCGACGCCCCCACGTCTCATAGCTTCCTTGAGACCCTTGAGACCTTCCCCCTCCGTGCCGAACAGCCTCTCAAGAAACGACACGATGAGGTCTATCGTCTCCTCATGCTTCTGCTGGCGTTCGCGCGACTCGAGGGCCTCACGCCACAAGTGCTCGTTGGAAGCCTGCAGCGCCTTGAGGTCTGCACCAATGGCGGCCTGTGTCTGCCGAATCGCCTGAATGCCACTTTGAATCGCATGCAGATCCGCCAGCTGCGCATGCGGACCTATGAGCGGCCCGGCTTCGCCCTCAGTCGTGCCATCCGTGAGCAGGTGCACGCCGGGGTAGCCAGTGCCTATCTGGGCATTCGCTGCTGCTTGCCGAGCCGATGACCGAGTACCGGTCGATCCCTGAGACGGTGCCGCTACTGCCGGGCGGTTGTTCTTGCGCATAACTCGAGAAAGCAGCTGCGGCTGATCCCGTTTGAAGAAGGGGTTGACGAACTCCCACAGTTCCGTCGGCGACTCGTTCTTGAGCACGCCTGATTGCAAGTGCGGCACCTTGTGAAACCCGTACATGTTGAGCTGGCGCACAAAGGAAGAAAAGTTGCGGTGCTTGAAGAAGCGTGGAAGCAACTCCTCCGCGAGGCGCTCATGATTGGGAACTGCGATTAGCGCTGTAGCGGATGGTGTGCGGACCCGGCACTACGAAAGCGCTTGTGACATCCGCCATCGTAAGCCACTTACCAAAGAAGGAGTCGCCGGACTTGGCCCAGTATATCAAGTTGTCCGTCTCGGGCTCTGATACCATGCTGGACGTCAGCGCGCGCACAGATGCAATTGCCGTGCATGCGCAACGCACCTGAAGAGCTTGTTGAGGAAGGCGGGGACCTTTATGACCTCACCATTCTCGCCGACGCTGAGACCAGGTTTGGAGACGGACACGGTGGAACGCAACTCGTCGGGGGGAGAGTTTGCTCCGGACGCAGTGGGGGAAGTTTGTTCAGATTTGGGTCGCTGTCTGCTGGGCCCGGCGACGGCTGCGAGGTTTGTCGTCATGCTGAATGAGGCGAGCGGGGAGTGTTGAGGGTGTGATGTGGATGGCCAGGAAAGAAGATATGAGACAAGTAGTGCAGTCTGTGTTGATTGAGCGAGAGAGTGTGCGGATGCACTCCACCGTGGATGAGTGGCATCTCTCTCATACCGAGGTCCCAGGGTTGCTTCTCACCTGACGAACTGAAAATCGCGAGCGTGGGTGGCGTTTCTGCGGGCCTATTTGCCTATTCAAAGTGTGAGATGCCTAAAAATGACCTGGTTGCCATCAAGACTGCAAATAAAATGCACTGGGTGAGAGTCGATCGCGCGTCACGTTGACACAAGCCAAAACTTGCGGAAGCTGAATAGTAAACTAGTGTGCGCGCATCCCCACCGTCGCTGCCCCACGCTCCCCACACGACCCGCGACGGCCGCGGCGAGTTGCCACGATATCGTGCGTCAGTGCGCTCCCTGCACCTGCCGCAAGTCACAGTCACTCCCCATCCCCTCACTCCCGCTCATGCCTCTCATCCCTCCATCGCCATCTCCATCAATCGACGTTGACATCGACACCGACATCGACATCAGCATCTTTGGCATCAACACCTTAGACTGGCCCTCACCTCATTCTTTCTCCGGCTTTCCCCTAATTCTCACCAACGCCACAGCTCGCCTGCGCAAGCGATCGACTCCCCCTTCCCCCTTCCCCCTCTCCACGTCGTCGCCCCGTCATGGGTGGTGACAAGGATAACTCAAAGCCCAGCTCTGGGGCTGGATCTAACGCTTCAGCAGGTCCCCCGGCATCTCCGCCTCCATCTTATGCTCCTTCCTCACCACCAGCCGAGCAGGCCGAGCCTGCTGAGAGCACCACCCCCGAGCCTGCTGAAGCCGACGACAGGCCTGATACTCCAACAGCTCAAACGCAACCTGACGCGGCTGATGCGGCATCCCCAAGCGCCGGCGCTTCGTCCAATCCCTCTTCGCCTCAGGCAACTCCCTCATCCCACCCCTCTCCGTCGCCTGTCCCCGAGGCGTCTGATGCTCCTGCACCGCGCCGCCCAAAACCTCCCGCCAGGGGCATTCTCAAGCCTCCCCCACCGCCCGTCAAGCCCACGTTCGGAAATCGCCTCCGCGACATTGTCGGCTCCGTGACCGGTGAGGTCCCGGGTCCGGCGGCGCCGCACGCTCACCAAGCCGTCGACGCAGCCATGGGCACCTTCAACGCGCTTTCCGGGCGGTTGTTGGGTCGCTTCGGGCGTGGCGGAGGTGACGGCCCACCAACACCTCCCAAGAGGCAAGGTGTGCCGCCACGTACTACGTCGCTTGCAGACCCACCGCGCCCCCCTCCTCCAGCCGCGCCATCGCCGCCATCTGAGCGCGCACGGCAAAAGCAGCCGCTCAAACGCGCAGCGTTCGTGCTTCCTTCCATCAGCATCACGTATCCCATCAGCTCGATCGCTGAGCCCTGGAGCAAGAAGGTCCTCGAAGATCGCGACAAGGTGGGTGCTGTGCGGAACTGGCTGACATCAGGTGGAGACTCGTCAAAGGCAGCTGTTGTCCACTGCCAGCGGTGCCGAATATTGGTCGTCGATGCGCCTCATCAAGCTCTACGAAAGCGCGTGCAGAGGTCGCGAGGAGAAACCGCGACTGGGCATCGTGCGTGCCCTCCAAGCTATTCCTGCGCATCCCAAGCCTCGGCTCGTGCATCTCGTCCTTCACGACACGCCCAGAGAGTCGCCCTCACACCCGGCACCGTATCCCCTTGAGCACCCACTCAATCGCTATGCCGCGGAGGCCCTAGCCGACTTGCTCGCGGTCGAGTGGTCCCTGGGAGATCTGCGGCTTGAGCGCGGTGTTATCGAAAGTGAGGATGCTCTCAAGCCTATTCTTCACGCTCTGCTCGTGAGCGGGACACTGCCTTCTTTGAGCCTCGCTGGCAACAAGAAGATCAAGGCGGGAGGATGGCAGCTTGTGGCCGTTTTCTTGAAACGAGTGAGTTTTTATCCCATGAGAGGGCCTTGCTGACCATAGGCGCGCTCTCTGAAGTACATCGATCTCTCCGAAACAAGTTGGGACAAGCGCGGGATAGACTACCTTGTGCAGGCGTTCAACTCTAGTGAAGTGCAGGGAGACAGGAAACCGAATGAGTCGCGCGCGCCGACGCCCCAGCCTGATGAGGAGACAACGGAGAGCGACACCCCCAACCAGTATGGGCCCTTCCTCCCTCCTGCGCCATTACTGAAGGACGTGGACGTCGATGTCTTACCATCGGCTGTCCTGAGCTTGCGACTGGACAACTGTTACATGCGATCAGGCGTGCTTGACGCACTGGCGAGCGGCATACGCTCGTCCGAACTTAGGCATATCTCGTTGCGCAATAACCGGATCGGACCCCTTGGCGCAGTGTCCCTCGCCGTGATGATCCGTGACTACCCTGACACCGGTGCGTTTGGGGCGCTTTCTGGATCGGGCGCAGAACTCCCGTACGCAGCCAGGCAGCGCAAGGCTCTGCCAGAGCTGCCACCCGACGACCCGAACCTGCCTCCCGTGCCGGCACTGTCGTCGACTGGCGGCGTCACCACTCGCGTTGACCCGGAGGGCTACAAGCCGCCACCAGCGCCCAAGCACCCCCTCGTCATGCCCGGAGGTGGGTACAGCGCCATGCAGGAGAGCGCCAGCTTCTCCGTCAACTCATCTGCGGTCGAGGGCAAACTTTCGACACCTGAGTTTGGAGGTGCGAGCTTGGCATTGCAGCGCAGTGTGCGTGCACTAGATGGCGTGGAGCGCATCGGGCGCCTCGTGACTCTGGACCTGAAGAGCAACGACATCCGCAACGGTGTGACGTACATTGCACAAGTCTTGAAGCGGAATCGCACATTGCGTGTTTTGAATGTCAGCGACAACAAGCTTGACGCGTCGGGTCTTGTTGCGCTCGCAGAGGCCCTCAAGTACAACTCGACCCTCGAGACGCTCGACATGAGCTCTAACCCGTGCTGCGGTCCCAGCTTAGCTGGCATAGCGGCGCTGCGCACATCCTTCACGGTGAACAGCAGCCTCAAGCGCCTCTTCCTGCAGGATACGGGCCTCACGACCGAGGGTGCAATCGACCTTGCCGAGTTCATCCCGGAGAACCGCTCACTGTTGCACCTGGACGTGACCGCGAACCCGGCAATTGGCACTGCGGGATTGCTGGCGCTCGCGTCGGGCCTCAAATCGAACAAGATAGTGCGATGCCTCGACGTTAGCATTCCCCCCAACGACCCGAACCTAGCCGAGCTGTCGCAGAGCATCCTCCAAAGCTGTATTCGGAACACGGAGCTTGCGGCGACTGCGGCCGCTGACTCCGCCAAGGGCAAAGCAGTGCGGGGAGCGAAGGAAGCGATATGGGGTCCGATCAAGAAGAGTGCGCTCGTGCGCTCCGTCAAGGAAGCGGACGAGTTCCGCGCTCTGCGCGAGCGCGAGACAGTCGCGAACAGTGTCGAGGGACAAGCCCGCGAGTTTGTGTACCGGCTCAAGCCGGAGCAGCTTCTTACTGCAGCGGAGGACACAGTGCGCGGTCTCGAGTCGTGGTATGCGGCCGGATCCAATGCACGTCGCGGCCCACACGCCACGTGGGAGGGCACACAGATGCCCAAGGATGATTTCAGACCACTGGTAGAGCGCGCACGCGCGCTGTCGGAACGCATTGCGACGGCGCTTGGCGCGGCAGGCGAGGAAGGCGCAGCCGCCTCGGACCCGGCGCACCTCGAGCGCCTCCTGGGGTTGAACGACAAGCTGACCGCACTCGCGGGCAATGCGCGTGGCTTCATGCCACCCCCGCGCATCCTCTTACCCTCACAGATCGCGTTCTCGGCCCCCGCGCCGCCCGTCGTCACCGCCCCGCAGGGCACGCACCTCTCAACGCCGCGCCGGCGCCACCAGCACTCCACGAGTCTGGAGATCTCCTCGCCCAACTTCAGCATCGGGGACAGCGATGCTGAGAGCGACGCAGAGGAGCTCGACGCGGTGACGCTCGCGCCGAGTCTGACGCGCGGCATACTCGCGCAGAGCATGGACAAGATGCGCGCGGACAGGCGCAAGCGGGGCTCGACGTCCGGGGCGGGACTCGGACCGGCGCTCAGCATCGTCACTAACGGCGAGCGGCCCGCTGAGGCCGCGCCTGCGCCACCGAAAAGCACTCCCGATCCCGAGGAGGTCAAAAATGCCGAGCGTCTCGTCGAAGCCGAACTGGCACAGGGCTTGCTCAGCAGCCCGGTAGAGCACGCGTCGCGCCGCTGGGTCGAGGAGGAGGCAGAGATTTTCCGGCGCGGGTCGCGCCTTGGTGTCGTCGACTCTGACGAAGACGAGGCGGCAGACGGCAAGAAGCGTGTCGCACCGCCCGGGTTGAAGGGCGACACTTCGAGCTTGTCGGGCGAGGAGCTCCGCAAGGAGATCATGAATGTGGACGTTCCGCGGAGCCCACCGCGGCGCGTTGTTGCCGAGCTCAACGACGATTCTGATGAGTCCAACGATGAGCCACGTGGAGAATAGTTAGACTGCCGTTGTTAATCGTTGGGAACGCGGATTGTCAATAATTCATTTACTTCTGCGGAACGCTTAGGGCGTGGCGAGCAAGATAGCGCTATGGATTGTGTGGGCTACGGAGAGCGTGTATGGCAGCACCAGCACCGGCAGGTATTATCCATGCTTACTTCTTCTTGCCGTCCTTGCCACTGCTGCCGTCCTTGCCTTCCACCTTGTCAAGGCGGGTGTTGATCTTGCCAACCTGCTTAAGGATGATAGCCGCAGTGCTCGTCGTCGTGTCAGGGAATTTACTGACGAGCTCTTCGAACGACTTCCTGCAGATGACGCCGTTGGGGTCGTCGGTCTGGGGGTCGATGACCTTGGGGTCGTCGTCGTCCTCGGGAATCGGGTCGGCGAAGTAGTCGTGCAGCAGGCCGCGGCGGGAGTGCACAACCCCAGACTCGTAAAGGGCAATCAGGGTGAGGGGGACAATGAATATGACCGTCATCACGACGCGATTGATCTTTACGTATGTCTTGCGCGAAACGAAGGGCTCGAAGGGGGTCACGAGGAAGATCTCGATGAGGTTGAAGGGGGCGGGGTAAACGAACTGGTCAGGGGCACGGACTGGTGTAAGCTGGTCCCTGGGCCTGAGCGGTACTCACTCATGTTGATGGTCTTGGCGGCGAAGAAGGCGAGGAACTCGTCGGTGGCATTGTCGTAGATGACACTGTAGGCCGTCCCGAACAGCGCAATGAGGATGTTCAGGAGAATAATAGCCGTGAGGAAGTTCCAGAAGTAGTAGATGATAGTGCCAAAGGGAGGTCCAAATCGCTCGGCAGCTGTATCGAAGTCTGGGTCTCCCATGATGGAGCGGAGGAGATTGTTAATGAGCGACCATATGCCGTACTCCTCGTCAATGTCCTGGTCGGCCGCGTCAAGCGCGTACATCGATTGGATAAAGCCCATGGCGAGGACGGCGAGCAGGATGAAGAAGATGGCCGACTCGCGCAGCATGCGGAACACGACAACTTGCAGCACTCCGACGGTCTTGAAGCCCTCAAAGACGGTAATGAGACGCAGCCAGATGAGAGGGGCAACGCACGCCAGGACCTGGAAGGAACGGTAGTGGAGGTTCTTACGCTCCTCGCTGTCCGAGTCCAGGCGAATGCCGGCGACACGGAGGGAGAAGGCCGTAATCACGAGCGCATCCGTAAGGAACGCAATGATGGTCCAGAAGCTCTGCGATGTCAGCTGTCACACGGAGACTTGAAGCTCACAAAGACGGCCAAGATGCCGGTCGAAATGCCAATGGTCTGGGCGTCAGATATCGCTCGTCAGTCCAGCTCACCTTGACAACGCGGCGAATCTCGTCCAGGAAGTAGGCAAAGGTCATCACGTAAAGGGTAATCTCCCAGCCGTCAAACTCGTGAAGGGGGTCAATGGCGTCGAGGGGACTGGCGTTAGTTCTCTGGCGTAACTAGACTGAGCGCACCTCTGTACTGCCTGGGAGTAAACGAAGAGATAAATGAGCCACATGACAACCTTGAAGTAGTTCTGGTAGCGCGGAACAGCCAGACGGTTCGGGTTGAAGTGGTCCCAGAAGCCACCAGTGTCGGGGTCGACGTGGTACTCGACATAATCAATGTCGGCGTCCTCGTTGTTGCGCTGGACCCACTCGCCCTTCCAAAGTGACATGATGACGGTCTGGGCTTCATTAGAGCTGAGGAAAAGCTGGAGTTAGTTTCAGGAGATTGAGACAAACTAACAGTGCAGTGCTGGTCGATAGCGGTCTCGAGGGCGCTGAGGGCCGGAGAGACATCTCCATCAGGCTCGATGTAGCGGAAACGCGTGCTCATGATGCTAGGAAGGCGGTGACGCGACACCATGTGGGTGATGCGACGGGCGATCATCTCGCACGCCGTGGCGCGACAAAGGTTCTCTTCATAGTCGGCCTGGTTGGTGTTTCCCTCCCTGATAAACATTTGGCGTGCGCGCAAGAGACTGTCTCATCAGCTTGGTCTTCATGCTGAAGCAGCCGTGGTACTGACCAGAAGGGCACGGCCTCCCTGAAGTCACCGCCGGCCTCGTAGAAAGCCTGGACCACCTCTGGGGTGACAATCGCGGACGTGGGCGAGGTAATGTCATCCAACTCGACCTGGAGGGGGAGGAGGCGGTTGGCCATGGCCTTGAGACGCTTGATGAGTTCTGGGTGTCAGAGGCTTTGAGGGGGGGGGAGCGGGGGGGGAGGGGAAGGAAGGCGGGTGCGCGTACGGGTGATGGTGTTGGCCTCTGGAAGGATGGAGGCAGCGCTCATGAAAGAACGCTGGTCCTCGGTGTCCTGGCAAGTCAGCAGTGGTACGAGAAGAGATGTGCTCACCTCATGATTGTTGTTACTCATGGTGGTGGGGACACTATGAGTAGTGAGCAGAGGTGAGGTGGTGGTGAGGAGGAGGGGTTGAGGAGAAGAGAGCAACGGGAAGGAGGGTGTGGGAGAAAGGCGAGGCGGAGAGAGGGGATCTGAGGGATTTGGGTGAAGCGGGCGATCCGACAAGGGAAGACGACGATGGGATGTGACGTCGTTACGTGTTGTAATGGCCCTAGCATCAAACGTTAATCAAATCCTAATGAAGAGATCATTAGCAGAGCAGAGGCTGGCATTTCTCAAGTGGCATACCTCGGATAACTGCGGCCGTTGCCACGATCATTTGGATCACCCGATCACCATTTGCCCCTTGCCGCTCCATCGCCCAATCATATTCCACGCCCCTTCACGCCTCTAAGCGCCAGCCGCGTTTCAAAATGTCGACAGACGTCATTCTCGACATTTCGCGACACGCGACTGACACGCGCGAGAAACCACGCGCTGGCCTCGGAGCTGCGTAGCGCCGAGCAGTGACGACTGCGCCATGAGCGGTGCTCCATCTATCGCGCCCTCCGCAGCAGCTACAAGAACCATGCAGCCCCCATCATAGCTTGCTTGCACTTTTTTCACACTCTTCCATCTCAACATGGGCTTTCTCGATAAACTCAAAGACATCTCCAAGCCCACTTCTTCGGGCCAGCAGCACTTCCAGCCCGCCCCCAGCGCCCTGCCCCTCGAGCAATCGATCAAGCGCTACCGGAAACAGCGCGGGGTCAACCTCGGCTCATGGTTCACCACCGAGGACTGGCTCGCCACCGAGCTGTACAAACATGCCCTTGAGCCCCGGGGCAGCGACTATGACCTGGCACGCGCGCCCAATGCCAAGGCGTTGATGGAGCATCACTGGGACACATGGATCACTGATGCCGACTGGGAGTGGATCAGGAGTAGGGGCTTCAACAGCGTTCGCCTTCCGGTAGGTATACGCACGCTCGACGCCGCTTCTGAGACCAGATTGGATACTACCACCTCGCCGGGGTGTGCCCGGATGTTCTGAAGGGGACGGACTATGCGCCCTACGCAGCCGTGTATGAAGGCGCTTGGCCGAGGATCCTCAATGCCATCGAGACAGCTGGGCGGTACGGGCTTGGTGTGCTTGTCGACTTGCACGCCGCTGCGGGCGCCCAGAACACAGACGGTGCGTCTATCATCAAACTCACTGACACCAGGCCACTCGGGAATGTCAAAGGGCAAGGTCAATTTCTGGGACAAGTCGAATCTGAAATCCACAGCGCTCGCGCTGCGATTCCTCGCCTCGACGCTCGCCCCCAACCCCAACGTAATCGGGCTCGAGCTTCTCAACGAGCCCAAGAACGATAACCGGCTACAGGGGTGGTATGAGCGGACGCTAGACGAGCTGCGCCCTCTCACCGGGCCCGACTTTCCGATCTACGTGAGCGATGCGTGGGACACGAACTGGTACTCGCAGTGGGCGGGGCGGCGGGGCGACTTTATTGTTGTCGATCACCATCTCTACCGCTGTTTCACACCCGAAGACAAAGCGATCGATGGGCGCAGCCACGCTGCCAAGCTCGCGCACGAGTTTGCGCCCCAATTCCTCCAGTGGTGCGGGCAGGCGCCTGTAGTTGTGGGCGAGTGGAGTGCGGGGCTCGACGACAGCTGCCTCCCGCCTGATACGCCGGCGGGGGAGCGGGACGCGCAGAAGCGCGCGTGGGTCGCTGCTCAGATGGACCTGTACGAGCGCTCGGCGGGATACTGGTTCTGGACGCTCAAGACGGACCGGCCATGGGACGCGGGCTGGTCGGCCTACAATGCCGCGCAGGCTGAGATCCTGCCCGCATCCATGGTGCGCCGGCACGTGCGCCAGCCAGGCGACCGCAACGCTGCTTGCCAGCAGGCATGTGGTGAGTTTCCTTAGGGACAGGCTGACGCAGACGCCCACTGTGGATACTGGGGTTCGCATGGGGGCAACCCGAACGCGCATGTGTTCAGCGCGGCATTCTGCAGGGGGTGGGACGACGCCCTCATGTTCCTCCAGAGCGAGGGGCAGGCCGAGCTCGGCTTTGTAGGGCACTGGAGCCGACGGCGGCGCGACGAGTTTGCGCAGAGCGGGCAGCTTGGCGACGCTGCCTGGCAGTGGGACCATGGGTTTGCGCAGGGCGTGCAGGCTCTGACTTTGCAAGCACTGGGGTGATCTGACGCCGGGCGGGCCGATAGAAATGAATCGGATGCAACTGTGATCTGGAGAGGACCAAGCGAGTGACAGTGGCCCGGAACCTACGCCGGAGCGACCGGAGCGGCCGGAACGAAGGATACGTTGGTATACGTTGGTCAGGTAATATTCTGGGTGCGCATGGGTGCTAGGGCGAGAGCCTTGCGATGGAGATTAGCAGGAGCGCTCGAGGAGGAGTGGGAGAACACGGAAGAGTGCGGGCAATTGACACTATTCTGTTCCTTCCCAGACATTCCGTCCCTGATCCAAGAGATCCAAGATCAAGAGGTTCTCATCTCTCTCATGCTCCCATGCTCTCATGCATCTCCGTCTTGGCCATGTCGCCAAGGCTCTCTCCGCCCCTATCTAGCCCACCGCGCTCATCTCCCCCACCCTCCAGCTCGTCGCCCGCCTCTGATTCCAGGACGCCGCTCCAAGCTGCGCAGTGAAACATGCGGCATGCCTGAACCCCGGGGGCGGCAGGCAGCATGCCGACTGCGGGCCTACGCTGGAACGCTGGAATGAGCTGGTCGAGCTGGCGGCCGCGCATCACGGGGAGCGCCCGTGCGCCCTGCTCATCACCCGGCCGCCCGGCATACCTTCTTCCATCTTCGTCTCAGTCGCACTTCACTCGCAGATTAGTATATCAGTATAAAGCCCCCCCGCCGCATCATCCTCTGTGCACTGTACACACCATGCTTTCGCGCACTCTCGCGCCGCTTGCGCGGCCGCTCGCCCGCGCCTTCTCTACGGCAAGAGGTATCACCACCCGCCTCGCGCCGCCACTCGCGACCACCCGTACGTTCCACCACCCCCTGTTGGCTGACACCAGCGGCGCAGCAGGCGCGCATGGTCGATGTGCTCACGGACGCGTTCTTGTCTTGTGCGTAGCATGGGAGCATGGCTCACCCAGTTCCCGAGCACACCGTGTTGTGGGGGCACGACCGCACGCTGAGCCACACCCTAATGCAAGCGACGGTGGCGCACACGCTCGCAAAGCACCGCGTGTGGGTCGCTGAGTCTGAGGAGGGGGGCGACATCCTCGGCGTCGGGCTGTGGACAGACCCCGGCGCGGCGTGGTTCACAGAGTATGCGGAGCGTCGGCGGCGCTGACGGAAGGGAAGATGTGCCCGCCGTGTTTGGGAGCGTGATGGCCATGCTCGACCCCACCAGCCTCGCGTTCATGCTGGGCGAAATGCTGCCGCGCCAGGCCGAGATCGAGGAGGCGTACGCGCCCGGATGCTCTGCGGACTGGTATTTCGGCGCTATGCTCGGCGTGGATCCGCGCGCGCAGGGCCGCGGCGTCGGCGGTAACATCGTGGATGCGATCGTCAGGCGCGCGGGCGATGTGCCCGTTGCGTTCCACACACAGGGCGCCAAGAATGTGAGTGATCGTGTGAGGGTCGTGGGCGTCAGCGCTGGGTTAGTGGCTTGGTGATACGGCGAGCGGAGGTCCCGTGGAATGGCGATGGCCTTGGCTATCATGAGTGGGGACAAGCGGGGCGCAGAAAGTGTACGCATGTGGCAGATGGGGTTGGCTGGCTGTCGGGCGTCCATGGAGTCTCCGTGTCGACATCGAACGCGGAATGGACGACTGATCCTAGGTGTCCTTCTACGGCAAACATGGATTCAAGGTCGCCGCAGAGCGCGAGTTCGTGCTCCCGAACGGGGAGAAGTGGTGTGACAAGCTGATGGTCCGTCGGCCAGACGGATCGGTGTAGGCGACATGTTGTTGGGCCGAGCACACGAGTGGGCCCCGCGTAGTTGTTGGGCCGAGCATACGAGTGGCCGCGCGTGGTTTCATGATACACGAGAACAATAGGCGTGGGAAGATGCCAGCATTACACACGTTGCGTTAAGAGCTAACGATCATGTCGTCACCCCCCGTCGTCTCGCCAACGGCGGATGTCGTCGACAGCTGACAGCTGGACTGGCTCAGCGTCCCAACTTAGACCTCGGGGAGAGGATCTGACATGTTTGCTCTGGTCTCAAGGCCACTGGTCTCGACCAGGCCTACTTGATGCGATCATGGCTAACCGAGCTCGATCGCCTCCACACCGGTCTCCGGGGTGGAGGTGGAGGCAGTCGGTGACGGCATATGCTGCGCTCACCGTCCCGCTTGTCTGCTGGAAGTACGAAGCTGCATAGCTATAAGAGTTTGGGAGCTCGCATGCACCTGCTGAACTCATCCAGACCTACTTTGAGACCTCAAGTACTCGCAATGTCCGACCTTAAGGGAAAGAATGTGATCATCACCGGCGGTGGAAAGGTACGATTACGGCTTGGCCCGCTATTCTTAGCGGCAGACGACTGACGGCAGAACCTCGGCGCGCTCATCGCCGAGACGCTCGCGGCGAAGGGCGCCAACGTCGCGATCCACTACAACTCGCCCGGCTCCAAAGATGAAACGGAGGCGACGCTGGCCAAGCTCAAGCAGGCGGGGGTAAAGGCCGTGGCGATCCAAGCGAACATGGAGTCGGCGGGCGCCGTGCAGAAGTAGGCCATTCTGCGAGCAGCGAAAGAGACTAACGCCAGGCTGTTCAAGGACGCGCTGGCTGGCCTCGGCGTGTCCAAGTTCGACATCGCGATCAACACTGTCGGCAAAGTGCTCAAGAAGCCGCTGCTGGAAATCAGCGAGGCCGAGTACGACTCGATGTTCGCGATCAACGCCAAAGCCAACTTCTTCTTCATCCAAGAGGCGGCCAAGGCGCTGAACGACGGCGGCGCGATCATCAGCATCGTCACGTCCCTCCTCGGCGCCTTCACGGGTTTCTACAGCACGTACCAGGGCTCCAAGGCGCCCGTGGAGTGGTTCACCAAGGCGGCGGCGAAGGAGTGAGGCGCAGGCGAGCCCGAAACGTGTGCTCACACCAGACTTATGCCGCGCGGGATCCGCGTGAATGCCATCGCACCGGGGCCCATGGACACGCCCTTTTTCTACCCCCAAGGTGAGTCATGCTTATGCGCGGCGTCGGCCAGCCTAACGCTGTAGAGGAGGACGCGGCGGTCGAGTATCACAAGTCGCAGGCGCTCGAAGGCCGCCTGACGGACATCAAGGACATTGCCAAGCTCGTCGCGTTCATGGCTGAGGATCGGTGGATCAACGGGCAGGTCATCTTCTGTGAGTGAGAGTGGTGGGGATATGGATGAGGAGACTTGAGGGGATATCTCCGCGGCGAAACGAGGCAGAGGAAGCGCACCGAAGCGAGCTGGCAAGCGGCAACGAACGCCTTGGCACAAGAAGATTGTGAATACGGCTTGGTGCGGAGAAAGCCGATGCCGACTTTCGGGTGCCCTGGGAATAGTTGCCGAGAATCGACCCCACGCTGCAGATCATGTCTCATGTCTCATCACCCCACTACCCCACCCCCGCACGCTCTAATCTCACACTAGCAAACGGCGGCTACACCACCCGCTGAGCCTCGACTGTAGCCACCCAGTCGATCTGGCAGAACTTGTAGGAGAAGAAATGGAATATCCAGTGCCATCTGCGCAGGCGACAGAGTCGAGTGCTCGGGCACGGGCAGCATTGAGCGTGCCTCGTCGATAAACGGCCTCTTGACCCCGCCAGCACGGCCTCATCTCGCCCTCCCGCGGAACCCACGGCACGGCTTCGCTCGGCTCGGCCGCCGGTAAGCCACCGGTCCAGCACACGTGACGTTGCTTCTTGACGCATGTCCCGTCATAAATACGCTGAGCTGCGTGGTACATCGCTCCCCATCGCCCACCATGTCGTCGACGTTCGATGTCGCCCTCGGACCGCTCAAGCTCGCCGCGCTGCGGCCATACTGGCCCGCGCTGGCGGCGGCCGCGTTCCTCGCGCTGTGCCTGCGCATCCTTGTGCCCATGGTCTTCCGCGACCACTTCGGCGCATGGCGCAACTTCCCCGGCCCCCGCCCCACGCACTGGTTCTGGGGCAACATCCACGAGGTGATGCAGACGTCGCCGCAGCAGTGCCACCAGCGCTGGCTGGACAAGTACGGCCGCGTCGTGCGCGTGCACGACGTCGGCGGGCGCGCCAAGCTCGTCTGCTCAGACCCCGTCGCGACGCAGTACCTCCTCCTGCACCCCGATGCGTTCATCAAGCCTGCCGGCCCCAACCGCATCCTCACGGACGCGCTCGACAAAGGCCTCGTGACGGTCGAAGGGCGCGCGCACCGGCGGCAGCGCCGCGTGCTGAACCCCGCCTTTGGTTGGGTCCAGATACAGGGCCTCGCGCCCATGATCATGGACAAGGTCGGCGAGATGCGGGACAAGTTTGCGCGCTTGATCGAAGAGGAGATGGCGGGGACGGGGCGTGTCGGCCGCCGCATGGACGTGCTGCACTACATGAGCGAGACGGCGCTCGACATCATTGGCGAAGCTGGGTTCGGGTACGACTTCAACGCGATCGGCGACGCCAACTCGCCGCTGCGTAACGCGTACACGTCTGCGGTGCAGCACGCGTTCGAGTTCGACGCGACCGTCATGCTCACGGTCATGGACGCGCGCTTCGGCGCCATCCCGACAAGCCGCGTGCGCAACATGCACGCGGCGCGCTCCGCCGCACAGGTTATCGGCCGCGAAATCGTCGCCGAGAAGAAGAAGCAGGTCATCAACTACAACAAGGGTCTGGACAAGGAGTCGCTCGGTAAAGACGTCCTCAGCCTCATGATCCGCGCCAACATGGACCCGGCGCTGCGCCCGGACCAGCGCCTGACCGACGACGAAGTCGTCGCGCAGATCGCGACGGTGCTTTTCGCCGGTCACGAGACAACCTCCACCGCCCTCATGTGGTGCCTGTACCACCTGTCGCTGCACCAAGACATGCAGCAGCGGCTGCGCGACGAGCTGCTCGAAGTACCTGACGAGCGGCCGGACTTGTGAGTTTTTTCAGAGTTATCTGACCCCAGCGACACGCTCATGAACCTCCCATACCTCGACAAGGTGGTGCACGAGTCGCTGCGCCTCGAGTCCCCCGTGCCGAACATCAGCCGCGTGGCGACGCAGGACGGCGTGGTCCCCCTCAGCGCGCCCGTGACCGGCCGCGACGGGCGCCCGATCGAGGCCATCCGCGTCCGCAAGGGCGAGGTCATCGAGGTGCCGCTCACGTACATGAACACGCTCGCCGAGGTGTGGGGGCCGGACGCGCGCGAGTTCAACCCCGACAGGCGCGACACGGGCGTGCCGACGCAGCAGCTGCCGGGCGTGTGGGGCGGCATCATGAGCTTCATCGGCGGCCCGCGCAACTGTATCGGCCACCGCCTCACCATCCTCGAGATGAAGGCTGTGCTGTTCGCCCTCCTCCGCAGCTTTGTCTTCGAGCAGCTCCCGGATCCGCCAAAGATCAAGCGCACGTACATGGTCATCCAGCGCGCTGTTGTGGTCGGCGAGGAGGAGTATGGGCCCCAGATGCCCCTGCTTGTGCGCCCCTACGTCGAGACGTAGAGCAGTGTAAGGGGTGGGGGCCAAGGGAGGGGGTGTGGGGTGAGTTGGGTATGGAGACGACGAGGCATTAGACGATCGAGCGCGCAAGAGTCGACGAGTGACACGAATTGTATGCAAGAGGTTTCGTCGAGATGTGGACTGGAATCGTGCTGCTTGGTTCTGGGGGCGCAGATCATCGTGGCCAAGATGTTGCGAGGCTGGAGGCTGAGCAAGCTCGAGGTGGGGTGAGGTGCCTCCCCCGGCGGCGAGGGTATGTTGCGCTCTGAAAGCATAAGGGTCTCCTCACCCCACAATTTGCCTATACTGTGTCCCTCTCCTTGCAGCTCATCAGCACATCACATCAGTCACCCCCATCACCCCGCGTGTCCAAGTCATGCATGTCGTACACGGCCTACTGTACACGTGCTCCGGTCGTATCGTTATTGCTCGTCGCGCTGCTGTCCCTGTCCTTGCGTTTGTCCCTGCCCCTGCCCCTTCTTGCCCGGGGAGCGGGGCACGCGGTTCTTACGTTGTCCCCGCCGGCCCGTTGTGCCGCGCGGCGACACGGCGAGCTGCTCCCGCCCATTGTCTGGGCGCGCCTGCAGCTCGGAGCGCGGCGACGTGCCCAGCGTGCTCGTCGGCGGGGGTGTCGGGATGGAGAGCGCCGGCGTCTTCGGCGACGTCGACTGCTCGGTCTCCTCCACGGCTAGAGTCTCGCTTGGCGCTGGCGATGCAGCCTCTTCAGGCGCCGCCGGCTCGAGGACAGACGGAGCGGACGCGGGCGAGCTTGTCACTGCCGCGTCTGTGATGGCGTCAGAGGTCGTCTCGGAATGCACGTCTTCGTCCTCCCCGTCCTTGCCGACGTAGACGACGCTCTCGACACTTTCCTTGCGCGCCATACCGATGCCAGGTGACGTCGGGAGAGGAGGCACCTCCTCCCCCTCGGCCTCCTTCTCCGCAGCCCAGACGTTGGCCGCGCGAGGCGCCTTGCCGCGGCTTAGTGTGCCGCGCTTGTTTGTGCTAGCCTTGGGCAGTGGTTTCTCGTCCTCAAAGTTGTCTAGCGTCGCACGGGTGCTTGGTGGACTGAGTGACTCAGACGTGTGTGCCGGCGCTGGCTTGCCCTTGGTAGCGGGCTGAACAGGGGAAGTCGCCCACTTGCCTGGGCTCGCGTACCTCCCAAGACTAGGTCTCAAGGCCGAGTCAGCGGGCGGAGACGAAGCGTCGGTTCGCCTCTCCTCATCGGTCTTGTCTTCCGGGCGAGGCGATGTGGGCTCCTCGGTTGGCTTCTCCTCGTGGTCGTTGTCCTTGTCCTCTTCTTTGGCCTGCTCCTCGTCAACCTTCTCGCCTTCCTCTTCCTCGTCCTCGGCCTTGTCCTCGTCGTCGTCGCCCCACCCGTCATCGTCCATGACAGTCACTTCGTATCCGCTCTGAGGAATGATGAGGAGCGTGGATGATACGAGCTCATACTTCTCGCAAAGCGCGACGAAGCGCGCGTAAAGGCTCGTCTCAGCCTCAGCTGTCGCGAAGGCCTCGCCGTGATGAAAATACGCGTGAGAGAAGATGCGCGACAACCGGCGGAAGAGGGACGGAAAGTGTGCGAGGGACGCGTGTGGGATCTGTAGCCTGGAGGGGAAGTAGTTTGAGGAATTCAGGAGCGCGGTGGTGGAGTCCACGCTGCCGTCAGACACTTGTCGCCCACCTGTATGGCTTACGTGTGGAGAATATAGTCGATGGCGCAGCATGTGTCGGTGCTGTCGCCGCCATGGGCGACACAGAGGTACTGCCACTCGGCGGCCTTCATCTCGGGGCAAGTGTCACGCGAGCACAGCTGAAGGAGCTGTGTGATGAGTGGAGTCGCGTCGATCGGTATCCGCCTGTGGTCAGCCGCGCGCGCTCTTTCAGCGTGTGTACCTCAGATGCTCGTAGATCCACTGGTCGTCAGCACAAGCACACTCCCAGCTGAAAGCCCTCTAGACCCACCACATGCTTGTCGGCCGCCTTGGCGTTGTCCGAGGGCACATCGACGAGCCCCCGGATGTCGTGCGGGTCGGCGCGCACTTTGAGGCTGAGGTACTCTGCAAGCTGGAAGGGGCCGTCAAACGACGAGAGCGGCGGGACCGTCGCGTCGGGTTGCACGGGTGCAAAGTCCTGGCGGCTGTCAGTGCTTTGGTCTGAGGTGTGCAGGAAAGCATGGGCTTGCTGTGGACCGGTGCTGGTGGTGTAAACTCACGGCAAGCTTTGTGCCGCGCTTGAAGCGGTAGTCTTGCTCTGCGGGGACATCCATTGTCTCTGGGGGTATAATCATGTTGGTGGAGTGAAGGAGGGCCCGCGCGCTGCGAGGGCGGTGAAAGGAGCGTGGGGCGGTCGGAGTGCAAATGGGGGCACGGGGGGATGAGAGCTGAGGAGATGTGGAGAGATGCAAAAGGAGAAGAGAGATGACAAGAAGAAGAAAGTGCGAGGATGTACTGTCGATGATGTGAACCGAGGTATTGGGCCAGGAGTTGCAGGAGAGTGGCTGCAGTGGCTGCTGCTCACACGCTCAACCCGTGGAATGACGAGCCACGCGCCATGCGGTCTGGGTGCACGTGGCATTTCGTCAACAACATTTCCTCGCATTTTGTCCCGCTGCCGCTCAGCTTGAACAGCTTTATGTACCCCCTCTCGTATGATCGCATACATGTAGGAAGGGCATATGCATCCTTCACCTCGGACGCTACAACGGACACTCAAAGTACGCGACCGTCTTGCCGTTGTCCAACCTCGCCCTCCCGACCTCCCGGAATCCCATTTTAGAATGGAACGCAACACTCCCCGGATTCGGCGGGTCGACGTTGATCTCACACACCAGGCGCTGTTGTCCCGCCGCGGCCGCCGTCTCGCCCAGCTCATCATACAGCGCCCGCGCATACCCCTTCCCTGCCGCAGAAGCGGCAACTACTACGCGGTCGATGTACACGAACGTGGAGAATCGCGCCTTGAGCCAGCGGAAGTTGTCGTTGTCGTATGCTGCCGACTGGTCGAACGCAACGAGGAGCGCCGCCGGCGCACCCTCCGGCCCGATGGTGCGCGTGTGGAACGCTGTGCCGAGCAGCGTGTCGAACTGCCCCGGCTCTTGCCACGACAGCGCTTGCGCGTGCTCGTTGTTCAGCGCCAGGAGGGGCGCGACGTCCGCGGGCGCGAGGGGGCGTGGCGCGTCCATGTTGGTGGTGTGTTCAGATGAGCAAGGCAAATGACGGGATTTGAAGGAGCCCCAGCTCGGCACCGGCTCCGGGCCGAAATGGGCCGGCGCCGTGCGCCGATTGCGCCGATGCCGATACTATCGCCCAAGAAGGTGCAAAGGGCGGCGCCCATCTCCTGTTTCTTCACACTCCTGCATACCATGTCCGCCCCGGTCTTCGACGCGCACGTCGTCCTCGCGTGCCAGAACACGCTCGGCGAAGGTGAGTTGGGAGCTTCGGCCAGACTTTGTTCCGGCCACCTCCACTTTCAGACGCTAACCCAAGGAATCACTTGGGACGACCGCACACAGCGCCTGCACTGGGTCGACATCGACCGCGCCGAGGTGCACACTCTATCGGAGGGCACGCACGCCGTCGCGCACTACGGCGAAAGCGAGTTCGTGAGCGCGCTCGCGCCGCGTGTAAATGGCCCGGGTTTGGTGGCTGCGACGGAGGCGGCGGTCGTGCTCATCGACCCGCCTGCAGCAGGTACGAGCGCGCAGCGCTCGACGCATACCGTCGCGGCGCCGCTCGATGCTGCGCACGTGCGCGACAAGCTCGTGCGGTTCAATGACGGGGCGTGTGATGCGCGCGGGCGTCTATGGATCGGCAGTATGACGCGGCCGGAGAAGCGGGATGGTGCACCGCGCGGCGAGCTCTGGCGCATCGATCCCGACGGCACGGCGACGCGCTTCCTCGGTAGTGTGGGGACGAGTAATGGCATCGACTGGAGTCCAGACAACAAGCTCATGTGTGCGTGCTCTGGTCCTGCACTGTGCGAGAGACCCGCTCACACCAGATTATATCGACTCGAACGAAAATCGAGTCACAGTGTTCGATTATGATGTCGAAGCTGGCGTTCCCTCCAATCGCCGCTTGTTTGCAGACACCCAGCCTGAGTCCGGCGACGGCGTGCGAGGCGTGTATGACGGCCTCGTGGTCGACGGTGTTGGTAACATCTGGGTCGCACTCTGGGGAGATTCCCGCATCGTCGTCTTCTCTCCAGAAGGCAAGGTACTTGCGAATGTTCGCACACCCGGCGCCCGCTCTCCTACCATCCCTTGCTTTGGCGGCGCAGATTTGCGCACACTTTACATCGCCACAGCACATGCCAACCTCGCGGGCCAAGGCGATATCCAGGCCCAGTACCCACACTCAGGCGATGTGTATGCTCTCGACTGCGGCTCCATGACTAGCGTCCTCGGGCCGCAGTGGAAGGGGCGGGTGCGCCACCGCTTCGGCGGATAGATCAATAGACAGGAAAACCAAATGACATACAAACGAAACCATGCTATGCTCGCATCTAGATCCACTGCGACTTGTCCCACGACGGGTCTGCGGGGTTAGTTGGCCACAGCATGAGGCAATCGATGGAGCTCACCCTGGAGGAACGCGCAGAGAACCTTGCTTCCAGTCTGCAGAAGTGGGTGGCCGGCAACAATCTCGAGGAAGCGCTGCAGACCCTCGCGGCGCTGCTCGATGACATCGTCCGTAAAGCGGTTGGTGAACACCTTGCCAGGGAGAGGTGGGATATTAACGCGTGTGCTCTCGCGCTCAAGGATGTCGCGGAATGCCTCAAAGTCAGAGTATCGCCTGCGCACAATCGAGTGCTGCACCTTGAACGCGGGAATGTTGGTCTATCATCAGCTCAGCTTGGCGAGAGGCGCAATGCAGGAGGGGCACACACCATGCACACTATCTCGTAATCAGTGAACATGCGCCGCCCGACGCCTCAAGGTTAGCTCGCGTGACACTGATGACGCACCGTGTGTGAGTGGGTTGCGAACCTCGATCTCGAGGAAGGATTCTGGGACTGCGTACATCTCCTCGAACTGAGGTTAGGCGAGGCTCAATTTGCCACCCACCGTCTGCGGGCGGCCGGCGATGCGCGCCATCTCCGAAAACGTGAGATGCTCGGAAGACTCGGCGCGCGCGAATGGCGAGTGCGTAGCGTCGACTAATGTCAGCTGTGGATATCGAGTGTGTGAGATGACATACCAGATGGCTGGGGTACCGGTGGTTGCTGCATCGCTGAGTGTAAGTTTAGGTCCGAGAACAACAGAAGGACGTGACGGCAAAGGTCTGAGCGCGAGATTGGGACGCGCACAGTCTTAATGATACTGCGAATGCGATGACACTGAAGCGGCGGGATGTGATCGCTCTAGCTCGCCAAGCGTTCGCTATGACTATGTTGCACAACGAGGAGCCCAGGACGGTCATGCGGGCGCCGTGCCCACCACACCTTCCCTCTGGACTAGTGTCGGAGGCGCATTCGCAACAACAATCAATATGCTAGCGCAGGTGATGGTCGGTCGGAGAAGGAGCCTAGCAAGACAACAGGTTGCGACTTACCTGAAACAAAAGACGGCTTGTTTGATTGGGAGAGGAAGATGAGAAGGTGCTTCAGCGACGTTGATGACGAAGGCGGAGACAGTGGCGGCGACGTCTTTGATGGTGGGGGTGGTGGCGCATGGCGCGTGATTTGATTCCGCTAATGTTGCCACGTGGTGAATTGGATGCATTACGGGGTGCAAGGGTTATTGGGAGATTGTCGGATGGTCATCTTCTTGCGATCTGGGCTGCGGCTCAGGGACGCGAGTGGGTGGCGGGCATGGCGGGGTACTCCGGGCAACGCGCGTCAAGGGGCGGAGAGGGACACAGAGGGAGGGAGACAGGAGTTTCAGGCGCGGATGTGCCTTGTTCCACTGCAAAGTGTTGCCGTGGCGCGCCGTGGCCTGATGGGTCACTCGACCATGCACCATCACGTTAACCGTCGTCGTCGTTCGTCTTTTGTTCACTCCTCCGCCCTCCGCCCTCCGCCCTCCGCCCTCCGCCCTCCGCCCTCCGCCCTCCGCCTCCATCTCCGCATCTCCCTCTCTTCACCTGCACGCTTAACTGCGCGTCGACTGAGATCGTTCCTCGTCCGACGAGCATTCCTTGCGACTAAACCGACATCTCGGATCTCCCCTCTCCCCCCCTCTCTCATCTCGGCCCTCGCTCGCCCACGCGGATCCACCACCCTCCCTCCAGCCTCCGCGACCCCCCTAATTGTGCAATTGTGCAATTGTGCAGAGCGACAGAGCGGTGGTCGTGCGCGCAGTCAAGAAGAGATCCAGGCCATCGTCGCTCATCCTCGGAAGCTTGTCACCCTCCACCCTCTCATTACCCTCATACACACTCACCCATACAACCACGCTTGCACCACGCAACCACGCACGCAACCATCACCGAACGCAGTTGGCCACCATCAAAGGACTAGTTTGCACACACGCTCTGAACGTGTGTTGCATCCACTCTCATCATCATGGTACATATCTCTCACTCCCCCATCCCCACACCACTCTCCCCTCCGCCACGCTCCCCACGCACCCCCCGATCCCCTTCCTTCCCCTCCTCCTCTACTCCACTCCGCACCACACCCCGGTCCTCACGGTCCGGCGGCGCATCCACCTCCCACTCCCAACGTCGTCGTGATCAGTCCTCACCTTTCCAGTCTGGCAAAAACGAGAATGCTGTCCCAACAAATCTCATCACATACAAAGGTAGGCCCACAACGTCTCATACCGTTGATTCTCTAACAACAACAGGACGCCGCATTCCGGCCCGAATCGATCCCGATGCAGTGAGTCCGGCCGGTCTAACACTCTCCGAGCCAGGCCCAACTGCGAGCGAGGCGGTTGTCGAGAGAAGGCGATAGGAGTTTGTCTTGCTAGGCCAAACTGACCCGCAGAGCATCCTTAGAGTCGTGGAGATCATGGCCAAGAGCTTCAATGCGGCCGAGCATCACATTACTCTCGCCCTCCGGGATGAGAATGACGTCCTAGTGACGCAGCAGAACATTGCAGCCATGGTTTCGCAGAAGGATACACTAAAGTGAGTGGCAACCGGATACCATTGACCTTCCCTCCAGGCTTGTTCCCGCTCCTGTGACCGAGGCTCTCGCCGTCGTCGCATCCCTCCACACAGCCAGAGGCAAGGAAGCAAACGGTGAAGACCCCAATGGCACCACTGCCATTGTCCTGCCCAACAAGGTCGAGGTGCTGCCGCTCAAGCTCGCCCTCTTCAATCTGCAAAAGTACATCAAGGAGGACGACTTTGCAGTAGAGTTCATGCTCAAAGGAGGTGTCAATCTCCTTGTAGAACTCGTGGAGAAGGACGACTCCAAGACTGCGCTCACGGGCAACTCGCTTGCTTACGCCTTGCAGGGCATTCGCGGCGTGATGGACTACGACAACGGCTGGGGGGAGTTCAGTGACGACTTCATTGACCGCGTCTTGATTATCCTTGCATCTAGCAGCGCGCCCAACGTTGTTCGCCCAGCTACCGTCATCGTGCGCAAGCTCATCACCGCCTCGCCAAAAACCCACAGCGGCAAGGGCAAGCAGCGTGTGCAACAACGTGATGCTGTCAACAACTACGGCTTTGATCGCGTATTTGCCCGCATCCTCGCAATTGGCCACAAGGCGCCGGACGAGCATGGCAGTGGCCCCGCCGAGCAGATATTCCGGCCTATTGTCAAGCGTCTGGAGGGCACGCGTGACCTCGAACTCTCGGCCCAAAGTCTCGCGCTCGTCAATGCGTCACTTCGTTCCGCCCACCAGGAAGGGAGCAAGCGCTACTCTGACCTTATCACTGTCATCGAGGCACTCAACACGAGGAAATACGTTGCAGTAAGTGAAGCTGTTGGTTTGGTTTTAATGCTTCAGCGGTTGATGTCGACGAGCGCCAACAACATTGTGGAACCACGCATTCTTGACTTCCAGACGCGCTACGCCAATGTCCTGCGGTATCACTCGCTCCGTCCCGTGCGACCGCAGACCAACCCCACACATGAGCGCTACCTGCGCGAGATCTGGATGGCTGGCCGTCTGGATGAGGAGGACTCTGGAGAGATGACCTCGCCACGACCCAGCATGGCCGACTACCAGGCGTCCAACATCCCAAGAACCTGGGATGGATGGAGGCGCATGGGGCTGTCCATTGATTTTGTCGACAGTACCGACACATTAGTAGAGACAGAGCTCTTCCGGTCCGTCGGGGAGCTCGGCCTCCAGTGCTTGCACTACTACGCCACTCACGAGGATAACTTCCACAGCATTGTGCTCGAGCAGCAGGCACGTCCGGTGGATAGGCGATGCCCGATCGGGCGAGCGAGCGCCGAGTGCGTCAAGATCCTCAATGATCACTACAAGATCACTCAATCGTCGCAACGGAGTCCGACACACTTTACGCCGTTCATGCTCAACTTCCCGCGCCTACACACTCTCGTCATGAAGTTCTTCCTCCGCATGTGGCACGACTCAGAGTCGCGCCACGACGACTTTGACCGCCTGAGCTACCTCGTGGCAAGTCAGGTACGACAGACGCTTGCAGAGGAGCACACCAAGACGTGGCTCAATCTCGAGCGTGACTTCCTCGGCACCAACTACCGCAACATCCGCGAAGGGCAGATGGAGATGATCGAAAAGGAGGATGGTCTTCTCGAACGCGGAGCGGTTGTCGCTCTCCGTGGCAAAGTCGGAAAGGAGGCTACCGAGGTCATGTCGGACCAGCGCGTCATTTGCATGATGCGTGGAAGTTGGTTCAACGCTGTCAACGTGTTAACCCCGGGAATCGACCAGATGGCGCACTCCAGTGCGAGTCGGCCGCTCCGCTTTGTAATGCTGTCACCAGATAAGCGGACGCTAGCATGGAGCGCCTTCGCCGCGCGGCCGAAGGAGAACCCAACTTTCGTGAGCCTCAAGGAGCATATCGACATCTCGAACGTCACGTCAGTCAAGCTGCAGACAGGGTGTGCCGTTGGCTCACGCTCGCCGGACCAGGTGTCCAAGCTCAGCTTTTCGCTAATGAGTGGCAAGGAGGCGTCATTGCTTGACCTGGACGCGATACATGCCCAGCAGTTTGCCGAGTGGACCGACGGCCTGCGAGTTCTTAAGGCGCACCAGACAAAGTCCGCCGCTGCTGCACTTGCCGCCGCTGCTGCCGAGAATGGACAGCCAGTCCCCGAGGCTCCCGCCACGCCAGAGATGGGCGGTATGACCACGCAAGAGTCGGCAAACTACGTGCACATTCTGACTGAACTTGCGCTCAAGATACGCCTCCTCGACATCACGGGTGACGGTATCGAGATCCCGCACAAGGTTGGGATTGGAGCGGCGCCGCGGAGCACTGACTTCTGGTTTGCCAGCTAGCGCGGGCGCTACCTATGTCTTGGTATGATGTTATAATCTGTGCATGTGTACAACTGGGTGTGTGGTGGTGTCTGGTAGATGCCGTATGGTGTTACTGCTCCATGCTGTCGCCAACCTCGTCGCTGGCGACACTGCGGTCCATGTCGTTCATCAGCTCTATGTCGTCCGAGTCGTACTCCGTGCTACGGTCGAGGTCTTCTAGCGAGGCGTCGAGGTCGGGTGCGTCCTGATCCTCGATGCTTGCATCAAGGTCAACGTCCTCCATCGGCTCAGGCGAGGGGGTGAGGCCGCCCCGGTCTTCCTGCCTGTGGTCATGGTCGCTGGGCGTTGGCGACTGCCGTCAGCAGTTTCAATATTTGCAACTCACCGGCGCCGCCTCAGCCTCCATCTGCGTATTCCGTCTCCCAATGGGAATAAGAAAGCGTCTCCCGAAATTGTTCAGGTCTTCCCGCTCGTCGTCGAGCACGCCCTCTTCGTCGCTGAGGTCTGCCGCGAGGACATGGAGCGACGCGCCGGCGGGCGGGAGGCCGCGGAGCGCGCGGTGGCGCGGGCGGCGGAGGCGGCGGGCTTCAAGCACAAAGGAGGCGGGATTTGGCGAGGAGGTTTGCGCCCGAGTTCTAGGTCTGGAGGAGTCTGAGGATGTGGAGGCGTTGGATTGGGAGGAGGAGGGGAGGGGTTGCTGCGACGATGGGGAAGCCCAGCTCGTGCGCAGGCTTGCGTTGAGGCGCGAGCGGCTGGTCACTGGCCGGTGGGCGAAGGAGAAGAGCGTGTTCGGGGGTGTTGTGTATGATGGCAGCATTGTCGTTAGGAGAGAGGATGCGATGAGATGAGAGACGGGAGAGTTTGTCGAGATTGTTTGGCTCGAGAGATGGACGGGCGGGAGATTAGGATCCGTTCCTAGCTCTGGATTGTCGACGGTGTTAATCAATTCCTAATGCACTGAGAACCACGATATCGCCACCCATGACATCAGGCGCGTGGTCGCGCAGTCTCTTCCGCTCAACCACCTTCCCTTCCATTTCACCACCACACATCATTTCTCTCGCGGCATGGCAGAGTATCTCCTCGGACTCATGCTCGTCGCGCAGTCGTCGCGCGACCGCCACGTCTTCCGCTACCCGCCCGACCCGACGTCGCCGTCAGACCGCCTCAGCCAGCCGATATACAGCCGGGCGACTTATACCGCACAAGACAACACCGTCGACCGGACCGGGCACGCGTCGCGTCTGCTCGCACGACGCGATGGCAGCCGTGGGAGCGGGAGCCGCGCTCGCGGTCTCAGCGGGGGCGGGCTGAGCGGCTTCTCTGGCGGCCTGGAGGAAGGGAGTCTGGCGCGGAGCGCGCCGTCAGGTCGCAGCGGGAGTGTGCACTCACACATCACCGAGTATGGGACGCCGGTGGAGAGCAGTAGCTCGTCATCGGACGACTCGGACATTGATGCTATGTGGGGCGCGTCAAAGCATTCGCATAACCACTCGCACTCGTCCCACCACTCGTCGCATCACTCGTCTCATAGCCACGGTCCAAGACGGTACTCGAGCGAAAGCGAGGGCCGGAGCGGCCTCGCCAACTCCATCACTAAAGGGTTTACGGAGATCAACCCGAATCTCGACCGGCGTGGGAGCGTGATATCCACCGAGACGGTCAAGAAGAAGTTCAACACGACGCTCGAGCAGCAGTATAACTACAGCATGGGGTATCCGCTCGACTTCCTGTCCGACCTTCTGTCACCACCGCGGGCAGCGTGTAACCGCAAATTCGAGATTAGCGTCAACGAGCTCCTGTTCATCGGGCACCCAGTGTGCGCTGGATCGGACGGCAAGTGGGCGTATCCGTCCGGCGACAGCGACGACGAGGAGGACTCGAAGGCGCGCGGACGGCGGAAGGAGGCGGGACCGCTGCGCGCGGTAGCGGAACATCCCGAGAGAAGCGAGGACACGCCGGCGCGTAACGGGCGCAAAGACGAGGCCGAGCTGAGCATGTTCCACCTTGTGCTCATCCTCGACAAACCTGATCCCAAGCCTGATCAGCCATGGGCCGACTGCCTCGACGTCATCTACCGCGAGGTTGCGTTCAAGTGGGCGGCCGCGGCGTTTGCGCTGCAGGTGCGCGACAACTGGGTCGGTCGCGAGATTAAGCAGCTCATGGGCATCCGCGAGCGCGCCATGGCCGACGGCATCCCTGTCAACGAGTGCTTGCGGCAGTGCATTGAAAAGTCTGAGCTCGCGCACAGTTTGCATGAGCTATATGCTGCGCTGCACAAGATAAAGTCGCGCCCGCTGAACGGGCACTTTTCACATGTGTCTACGACCATGAAGGTCCGCGTTGGGAGTATACCCATCACGCTGGTGGTGCCACCCAAGACGACGGACGTCGAGGCGCTCATGGCGCTCGAAAGCGACTCGGACAGCGACAGCGACCTCGGGTGGGAGTTTGCGGGGCCTGACGGCGCGCTTATTGCCAAGCAGCCGGGTTTCCGCGTCGAGCCATGGAAGACCTTGCTATTGCTCGACGACGAGGCGCCTCGGCCGCGGAGACCACATGGGCGCGAGAGCAAGCAGGCAGAGGAGGAGGAGCTGGTCGACCAGCTTGTGGCCAACTGCGACGTCAGCAAGCCACTGCATGAAATCGCGCATCTCATGCGGTGTGACCTCGAGGGCGTTGTGATTCCACTCGCGAGGGAGCTCGTGCAGAACAAGCGTGCGGTGTTCATTGACGTGGTGAACATCCGGCTCCGGACTATCCTGATGCCCGCGACGATCGCGGACCACCTGTGAGTTTCGCAAGAGCAGTCAAGCTACCATCCGCAATGGTTTACTCGCCGCCCTTAGTTCAACACTCATGACAGCCGCTCACTCACGCAACACTCTGTTCGCTTCTCCGTCGCCTTCCCCAAGCTGCCTCCCCTCATCCCACTGATCACGATGATCTCCGCCGCCCCCGTGCCCTTCCGCGAGCTTCTTCCCGCCGATGCGCGTGACGAGCCGTCCAAGCGTGAGCCGTGGATGCGTGCCGTCGCCTGGCTTCTGCGCAACGACCTAGTGATCCAGGCGCACGTGCGTGCGCGCGTCATCGCCTCGGCGAGCGTAAAGGAGGCGGCGTGGCTCAAGCTGTGGCACAAGCGGCGGCGTCGGTGGCTGCGGGAGAGAAAGCTGAGCGTGACGAGCGGAGGCAGTGCGCGCTCGCGCCCAAGTTTCGGCGACGGCGGCGGCGGCGGAAGCGTGGGCTCCGGGAACGCGATCGCCGTCAACGCGGCCAAAGCGACGTCTCCGGATCGCGAATGGGCCGCGCGCGTGCCCAAGACGCCGCTTGCCGTCACGCGGACGCTGAGTGTGGGGGAGACGGCGGACGCGGAGAGCGAGTTCGACCTCGAGTCGGACGATGGGCTCGACGACGACGGGGACGGGGACGAGGAAGGTGGCGTCGCGGGCCGGTGGCGGATGCTGCGCCCGCCGCTGGGGCCGGGACTGGAGCGGTGCGCGGCGACGGCGGCATATAGCCTGGACGAGCCTGAGCCTGGCAAGACGCCGACGTTCAACGCGAGCTTCATTTTCCACCCGGCGCAGGCGCAGAAGGAGGAGGCGCGGTGGCTCCGGGTGGTGCGCGAGCGCACGCCCGACCCCGTGCTTCGCAGCCGGTTTGATCTCTGTGTGCAGTACTTTGACGGGGTGACGACATTCGAGGAGATTGTGTTCCGCACGGGTCTGACACGGCGCGAGTTGGACCGGATTGCCATGGTGTACCGTGACGACGTAGGTGGCTTGGCGGCGGAGCGTGCTGACACCAGCTCATGATCTCGATCCACCCCTGAGGCCGAGGCAGAGGAGGCGGTGGTGTTTACCGGTCGGTGTGCAGGGTGCGGCGGTGTATACTTGTTGGCCCGTGCGTGCTTCTCAACCATACATCCTCTGTCAGTATGAATGCTGTGGAGAACAGTACCGAGTTACAACTGCATGCTGGTGCTACAAACATCAATGCTGAGAGGTGCGAGGACGACGGAATGGAATCGTGACAACGGGGGATCGTGCTTGGGTCTTGATGGGCGGCCAGATCGATGCTGGGGTATCCATACGGGGTGCGTCGTGTACGGCCGCTTAGGCGCAGATGCTGTCGATCTCGGCGAGGGCCTTGCGGCTCATGTCGTCCTTGCCCTCGTAAGCCTGGGGTGAGCGCTGGGCGGGCATGAACAGAGGCAGAGGCGATACGTACGTAGCGGGCGTATGCGACGTAGACGTTCATGCAGTACTGCTTCGACTCTGCGGAGAAGCTTGCGCGGCGGGGAGTGAAGTCCTCCTCCTTCTCGCGAAGGTCTGGGGTCAGTTGTGCTCGGGGGAGCGGGGGGAAGCAGAGTGGAGTGCAAGGCGAGGATCGGATCGGTGTCCAAGATGGCGCTCAGCAACTCACCAAGCTCGCCCTGGGTGGCCTGGAACGCATAGTCGTTGAGCTGAGATCAGCGTATGCCCATCACCTTCTTGTGCTTGCGACGCTCGCCACTCACAATGTTGCTGAGGTGTCCCTTGGGGTGCAGCGCGGGAGTGCGGTGCGAGTCGACGATGGCGGCGACGCGGGCGAACTGCTCCTCGGTGATGTTGATGTTGATAGCGGAGGTCATGGGTGCGTGGGGGAGTGGGTGGTGAGGTACGAGTCGAGAGTGTAAGAAGAAGAGAAAGAGAGAGAGAGAGCGAGAGGCGACGTGGGTGGCAAGTACTTATATACTCTGGATGGGCATGTTGATGCTGACCCCTCGTCCACGATCCACCGGTGACTCGGTTCCGGCGACCTCGGCCATTCAGGAATCCTCTACAGCAGGGTATTAGGCACAGCCCCTGTTGCCAAGTGTCGAGTAGCACTGCCCCCTGTGCGCCCGTGCCCCCGTGCCCCCGTGCGCCCTGCACCTGGTCCGTGCCTGTGCCAGGTGATCCCTTGATCGCCCCCACGTCCCCACGTCGGACACTTATCAGCCACTCTCTTTCTCATCCACAGCCATCCAAAGCCGAGGCAGCGAACGTGCATCATACATCGGCCCACTCGCTCATGCGCTCACACGTTCGAGTCCGAGGCCATCATCGACAGTCGTCTCGGCTCATCCCTCCCGTGTCTTGTCGCATGTCTCAGTCATCTTGCCGTGCCTCCTCGGCCCGACTCAGCCAAGTCACCCGGCCTCTCCCCGCGCCCAACCAACCCACTCCTCATCCCTCGCAGTGTGCTCTTCCAAGTGACAAGGGCCGACGGGCAAGTACAGTAGATCGGGGCGTGTGCGTGACGGTGACGGTGACGGTGACTTGGACGGCGATAAGCTCTGTCGCGTCCCATCTGCAGTACAGTCCTGTGCGCGGTGCGGAACTACCCCACCCCCCACAGATCCAGGATCCGAGGCCCCAGGTATGTGTCCAGATTGGGGGGCCTGGTCGGTTCTGGCGATAACGCATCGCATATCAACTTATCATCATCACCCATGCATCCACACCTCCATGCCTCCATGCGCCACCTCCTTATCATTCCATCTACAGCACCGCTCAGGCGACAGCCGCGCGCACTCGCAGTGTACACGATAAGACACAAAGGCCACAACGGGCACTCTGCCCCGCTCTCCTCACCCTTGGTCCCACGCCTCGTCCACGCACTCAACGTCGCATCATCGTAGTCGACTACAGGACTACAGTACTACTACTAGCTACATCTCAAGCCACTTGTACTCGGACGTATCAATCCGCGGCACTTCAACACAGTCGAGCAATGCCCGTTTGACTCCTCCTCGCGTTGAACGACGCCGTGGAACGGCACGAATCTTCGGCAGAGGAGGTGCCCGCGCCTTGCCTTTGCCCTTGCTCTGCTTCGGCGGCATAGGCGAACCCTCATCATCAGAGACAATGATAGGCGATGCCACGGGGCCTGTCCGCCGCGCCCGCTGCGGCTGGTTGTAGTGTACCGGCTCAGACTTGATCTGCAATGTCTGCTGCGCCGCGACGCGCTGGCTCGACCGCGGCGTCGACTGGAGCGCCGTTCCACCTGTACGACGAGCCATGGTTCGCTTGTTCGCGACATTACCGGTCGAGGCACGCTTGCGCTTTTGTTTCTCCGGGGCGGGTGTCGCATCTGCGACCTCCATCGTCTCGAGGACAATCTCCTCGATCGAGGTCTGGGTCCCCACCTCGCTTTCCAATTCACTTTCGCCTTCCACTCCACTCTCTTCCTCAGGCTGCGCCGACCCCTCCCTCGTCGACCCTTCGCGGGCGGCGGCCAGGCTGTCGTCCTCATCCCCGATGGCTTCGAGCATGTGTGGCGGGTGCAGGATGTGGATCTCGGGATTCGGTGGGGCAATGCACATCTTCAAAACCTTGGCATGCGCCAGGTCCTGGAAACGTTCCAGTTTGTACGTCCTTCCCAGCGCCGGCTGAATCATGAGCTCGACAGTTGTTACGGTAGCGGGCAGCGGCTCCACGGCAGTCAGCGCCACCTCCGGCGCGATGTCGACCCGTGGCCGCGGCTCATCACCATCCTCATGGTTCCTCATGACGTGACGGTGTAAATGACCGATGGTCGACGACCGCAGGTCACATTCTGGTATCAGCTGCTAGTCGAACACCCCGTGCTTACGTTCGTAAGGACACACAATCTTCTCACAGACGTGCTTGGCGAGCATGTGCTGCTCGAGCTTGCCCGCTGAGCGGAAGCACGGCCGATCGCATCCACCCCAATGGCACTGATAAAGGACAAGGTCGCCAAAGTCAAACGCAGCTTGCCTCGCGTGGTTACGCGACTGCACGTGCCGCAAGAGTTTATTCTCGGATGCTAGCTCCGCTCCACAACCCTTCCACTGGCATGTGTAGACGCTGTCAACGCCGAGGCGGTTCAAAAGACTGTCCCTCGACAGTATGCTCTTGAAAGGCTCGCGCATCGGTGGCTCGGGTGGATATGCAAAGCGGTCCTTGATGGCCTCCGGTTCCCTGACACGCTGCTGATGTATGCCTGCCCCTTGGGGAACAGCGACCGTTATGACCTTTGTCACAGCGTGGGCAGCCCGTGGCCGACGGTTGACTCGCTCGCGCTCAAAGCTGTCGTCGGCATCGTCTCTGAACGGGTCTGAGATTAGCATAGATGCAATGCATTGACACCTCACTATACACGCCCCGCGTGATTAGTTCGGCGCGCCTCTTCCGCGACATGGGCACGACAAAAATCGCATGGTTAAACGGGCCCATCCTCTTCGGCGCCGCCTTCGCAGTGGGCTGCTGCTCAGGCGCCTCGGAAGGAGAAGGCGGCGCAGCAGCCATGTCGGATGTGTCGTCCTGCCCGCCACCGCTTTGCCGCGGGCCATTCTGCGCGCCACCTTTCCGCGAGGCGCCTCCCTGTGACGTGCCGTTTGTCGCGGTGCCATTCTGCGTAGCGCGGTTCTGCCCGGCGTCGTTCTGTGAGGCGCCAGTAATTGAGGCGGCGGCAGTTCGTGCGGTAACACTCTGAGAGGCAATGTTTCGCGAAGCAACGGTTGGTGAGACGGCGTCCAGCGAAGCGCTGTTCAGTCGCGCGCCGGCCAGTGATACAACGGTCGGCGACGGGCCAACCTGCGACGGGCCAACTTGCGGCACGCCACCCTGCGTCGGGCCAATCAGCGATGCGCCAGTCTGCAGTGCGCAAATCTTTGGCGCGCCCATTCGCGCGAGACCAGGCTGCAATGGGTTCCCTCCGATTGCTGGGCGCACATTAGGGCTAGGCGTACCTGCGGCTCTCGGTATCGCTGGCTTTGACAATGAAGGAGGCGGCGCAGCACTACGCACTGGACTCGAGAGATCGACAACGACTCTGTTCTTTGGCTGCAACTTCGTCCTCGGACGAGGAGAACTATTAACGGGCCGAGGTCGCTGTGGTTGTGTGGGAGTCGCAGAGGCAGGTCCCAGCGCGGCCCTCGCCAGCTGGTTAGCGCGGGCCTGCTGGGCAACGACGGCCTTTACCATCTCCGCATGGGTCATGGGCCCGTGGACTGGCAGGCCGGGAGGCTCTAGCGTCTGTCCAGGATTTGAGGAAGAAAGTCTAGCGGAGCGAGCGGCTTCCAGCATCCTAACATAGTCGTTGAATGTCATCGCTGCTGGTTGAGGTGGGCGCACACCTGTCTGAGAGAGGCCTCCAAACGCAGTGTGCGGGAACGTACGAGCAGAGGGGTGGTTGGCTGTAATCATTGGAATTGGTTGGTCAGCAGGACGCGCTGTTGGCTCCGCATCACAAGCTGGCCGCGAAGTGGCCTCCACGCGCGGGGCAGGTCCGGCCCGGTTAAGCACGCTGCCGCCTGCAACCTGAATGGCTGTCGCGATGACATCGGAAGTCAACTGAGCAGAAGGCAAGGTTCTTTTGGGTTGTTTGGGTTTGGCACGAGGCTTGGCTGTTGCAACCCCCTGGGGCGGAGTTTCAGAGGGAGGCGGCCCAGCCTCGGCGGCCGCCTCATATCCGTCGACGCCCTCTGAGATGAACGGACTGTCTGACAGCTTGCGACGAGGCGGCGGCTCAAACGACGCGCGCACTTCCTCGCTCACTGTGTCAGGATCCAACCCCGCGGCTATGATAGCGGCCCGTGTCCTCTGCACCTTGCCCGACCCAGGAGGGCGTCCCCGGCGTGGCGGTGGCGGGGTGAGACCCGAAGCCGGTGGCAGCGGTGGCTGGAAGGATGCCCAGACGTCGGGGGTAACGGTGTCGGGGTTGAGACCGGCTGTGAGGATTGCAGCGCGAGTCATACGCTCGCGAAGTAGCTTGGGTCCAGGAGGGCGCCCAGTCCCCCCTAGCTTACACTGAATACGCACTTCCAGGGGGATGGCATCGAAGTCGAGGCCGGCATCGATGAAAGCCGCTCGTGTAATCTCCTCACGCCCGCGCTCGCGCTGCTGCGATGGTGTAATGTTAGATTGCTCTTGGCTTTGGAGCGTTGCGTTGTTTGGCGCAGCTAGAGACGTCGAGGGCGTTTCAATAGCACCACTAGGGGCAGTGGGCTGTGACATGGGCGGTTGTAGTTGCTGCGATTGTGATATGGGCAGATGTGAGGAGGTGAACTGAGGGCCTCCTGGTTGGGAGCTGGTGAGTCGAAGATCGGCTGGGTTAACCGTTCTGGAGCTCGATGCAACAGGCTGTGGAGTAAGCATCGGGGTCGGAGACTTGCGGCGCCGTCGTTTAACTGCTGTCGCACTTGCCGCTGCCTTGAGTGCCGCCGCCAGAGTGATAGGATGCCTGTCCGGGTCGATTCCTTCTGAGAGCATGGCCGCGCGCACTGTCGCTTCACGCTCCCGGGCCGCCGCGGCTGCCGCCAGCTGCCGCTTGCCTGTGCCGCGTGGGCGGCCAGTACGGCGTGTTTCAGACACAGGAGTTGAGAGGTTGGCTGTGCTAGGTGCAAGCTGAGAGGACGCGGCGGTGGAGGTTGTTGGCATAGTCTGAGCTGTGACAGGCGTGGATGACGCAAGTTGAGACTGAGGTGGTCGGCCCGAGAGCAGTGATCGCGCATCTGCAGGCAGTGTGGCGCGGGATACTGGGGTTTGGGGTGACGAGGATGTGGTTGTCAAAGCAGCAGGTGCTTTAGCCGCTCCAACTGCGGGGCTACCGATGGCGCTCGGCGGTTGTGAAGTCGCACTAGAAGCAGCGCTGGCCGAACTTGCCGACACTGCTGGTAGTCGGGCAGAATCGACTTGTGGTCTCGTGACCACAGCTTGCAACGCTGTGCTTTGGAGCCGCAACGCTTGCGGATGTGAGCCTTGTCCGGGTGGAGCCCACGCTGTGGCAGAAGAAGTGCTTTTCCGAGCAGCTGCGCGCGACGCGTCAGTCGAGATGGAAGTTTGAGGAGACCGCTGAGTGGGTGCCCGCGCAGAGGCCTTGGGAGGGGTTTGAGTCGACGCCGGCTCAGAGGTCTTGGAAGGACGTTGAGTCGAAGTCCGCGCCGAGGTCTGAGATGGACGCGGTACCAGCGACAATGCTTGAGGGGACACCGTCCCTTGGGGCGGTTGCGGCTGCGCATTTGGCGACGAGCAGGCCGCAGGCACAAGCTGCCTGCTCCACCGCTGTTGAACGGGGTGCACTAAAGGCGCATTGGCTGGTGGAGCGGGAACAGTCTGCGGCGGCTCAGTTCTCGGTAGAGTGGGCGACCCGCGCAATCCCCCATACGTCTGCTCGGTTACGGAGGATCTTGCCTGGGAGGAGCTGGAGCTTTCAGATAGCTGTACTGGACTCCTTCCGTGCTCCACCCTACGTGGGCCATCATGGTGCTGCCCGTGCTGCTTCTGGCTGGTCTGCTGAGAAGTTGCTGATCCGCTCCCAAAATCCGTCTCAAACTTCTGTGCAAACATGCGCAATTGGGAAAACGACTGCTGCGGGGCCTCAAGCAAGGAAGATCGGGTTTGCGACGTGGGCGAGCGGAGAACGGAATGGGTCGACATGGATGCGTTAACGGGGTCGGGGACTGAAGCGGCGCTCAGAGTCGGGGACGGGAAGGTTGCAGGACCGGTGGGAGGGTACGCCGACTGCTGCGTCAACGTGTGCACGTTGTGCGGCCGGTGCGATGACTGCTGTTGAGAGCTCGGCGACTGGTCGTGTTGGTGATGCTGCGGCCGGTGCGATGGCTGCTGTTGAGAGCTCTGCGGCTGGTCGTGCTGGTGATGCGTCTGCTGCTGGCTCTGCGAGTGATGCGTCTGTGGTACGTTTTGCGATTGGTAGCTATCGGAGTGATACCCGTGTTGTTGGGAACTCTGTCGAAGATTGAAGGCGGCGTGGCCCGACCCCTCAGCCTGGGAGTTTCCACCATACGCGCCTTGGTGTTCGAGCGCAGATGAAGGATAGTACGCGTCCGTGATAGCCGTGATGGGCGGCAGCGTTTCGGCCTGCGCCGACTGCATATTCAGCGAGGTTGATGGTAGACTGCCGCCAAAGGCCAATGCGAATCTGCCAGGTCGATGGGCTTGGTACTGCGCAAACTGAGTTGAGCTGCGAGTGTCCGCGCGCCTCTGTAACTGCACATAAGAGACGGTGGTTGACTGCGCTGAGAACGCGTATGGCTCGTCTGCCGGCGAGCTATTCCCAGTACCTCTTGCATGGTGCTGCCCGGGCTGGCGAGCTTCGAGGGAGTCCGACGCGCGGTCTATCGAGAACCCCATCGGCTCTGAATATGTCTGGTCAAAGTAGTTCCTCGCAGGAGCATCGTAAAGCGGGTGAGGATAGCGCCCATCACTGAGGTCAATGAAGTCCACCTCAGGATACCAACGGATAGCCTGGTGCGTCAGACATTACGCTCGCCATCGAGGGGTGGGCGAGTAGGAGCCGCGCCAGGGGTGGTGAACTGACGAGTGTGGAGTTGTAATAATCAAACAGTTGAGGATGAGACGGATGGAACGAGCGACGAGATTGTTATGCCGTCGCAAGCCGCCGTTCACGATAGACCTTCCCTCCACACACAGGCGGACGAGTTGGACAAGCGTCATAACTTCACGTGAGTATCACGTGTAAATGCCCCCGCTTGGGTGTACTCTAAATCATGCAATGCTATTAGGAAACTGGATTAGAAACCAGTCTGGGTGAAGCAATGGATGACGATTAGGAAGTTTCCAATTCGAGTGGGGCTTTTCCAACGACGGAAAGCCGAGACCCGCCCGGCGCTTGCCTTTTGCCCCTCGGCCTGCGGATTGCACGCTTGGCCCACCTCCACTCCGCCTGCCAATGTGGGGTCGTCGCCGCAGCACCTCTTCCCCCTCTCCTCTTTCATCTTTGTCACTCTCCACTCTCTCCATTCTCTCCACTCTCTCCACTCACTCACTAACATGCTCCTCACCTCCGCCATCGACTCGGTCCGCACGGCCTCTGCTCGCCGTATCATCGCACGCGCCGTGAGTAACATCTCTGCCGACCTCTCTCTGACCTCAGGCCACCGCTAGCTCATCGCGATGCCTCGCAACCGCTTCAGAGGCCGCTCCAGAGGTCAAGCCCAAGCGGCGGTTCCCCAAGCTGGATGATGGGTTGACGTTCGATGACTTTGTCTCCGGGGAGCCGCTGCCAGACGCTTCTGAGCGTGTCGTTCTCGGCAACACCTCGCAGTGAGTGTCTTGACCATAGCCCTTCAAGTGGCGAGCTCTGATCCCAGGCCGCGCCTGCCCACCTTCCTCAAGCACCCTATCCCGCGCGGCAAGTCATACACGGCCATCAAGAAGGACTTGCGTGGTCTTGGCTTGCACACAGTGTGCGAGGAGGCCAAGTGCCCCAACATCGGCGAGTGCTGGGGTGGTGGCAAGGGCACCGCGACTGCGACCATTATGGTGAGCTAGCCTATCGTACTGAGCCCGCTGACTCCAGCTCATGGGCGACACCTGCACGCGTGGATGCCGCTTCTGCTCGATCAAGACGTCGCGAAAGCCACCTCCTCTCGATATTCACGAGCCGGAGAACACAGCCGAGGCCATCTCTCGCTGGGGACTGGGATACATTGTCCTGACATCGGTTGACCGTGATGACCTCGTCGACGGCGGTGCGGCTCACATCGCGAGCACCATCAGCAAGATCAAGCACAAGGCGCCCAAGATTCTTGTCGAGGCGCTTACACCCGACTTTGCAGGGAAGGGTGAGGAGACCATCGCGATGGTCGCGACATCCGGGTTGGACGTCTTTGCACACAATGTCGAGACGGTTGAGCGGTGTACACCGTTTGTGCGCGACCGCCGCGCCAACTTCCAGCAGTCTCTCGACGTGCTCATGACCGCCAAGCGCGCCGCCAAAGCTGCCAACAAGGAGATTCTCACCAAAACGTCGATTATGCTCGGCGTTGGCGAGCACCCGGACGAGATCACTGAGGCACTTCAGCGTCTTCGTGACGCCGAGGTTGATGTCGTCACGTTTGGCCAGTACATGCGCCCAACCAAGCGCCACATGAAGGTCGACCGCTATGTCGAGCCTGAGGAGTTCGCCAAGTGGAAGGCGGTCGCCGAAGACATGGGCTTCTTGTACGTCGCGTCGGGCCCGCTTGTTCGCTCGTCCTACAAGGCTGGAGAGTTCTTCATCGAGAATGTGCTCAAGAAGCGTCGTGCCGAGGCTGCCAAGCGGGCCACGGCCGAACTCGCTGCCGCTGGAGCTAAGGCCGACGAGGTTTCAGTCTAGACGGACCTGCCTTCGGACTCCTGGCCAATCTCGCCTGATTCAACTCCATATTTGCATGTAGACCACTGTACACTAGGACTCGATGCAGCCATATTTCGCATACCCACACCGACCTGTTTGCCCAACAAGGGTGGGCGACCAGTTCATTTGCTTCCGCTGATTATGGCTCTGAAACCAACCTCCATCAGTTGCTGTGATCTAGTCTCTGCTATTCGCATCCTCTCATCATCCATCCATCCGTGAGACGTGCATCCGCACGCGCGTCAGAATGCCCGCTCCAAGTTTCATGGGCATTTACCCCGCAGACTCGGTGCAAGTGAGCCCGCCGGATGGCAGCACGAGCTAACAAGCAGGAGGTGCACTCGTCGCTGCCTCTTGACCCCTTGGGTCCAGGTGCGGCGGATCTCCTAGCTGGGGACGTCGAGTTCCGCCTGCACTATCTACTGCAGGAAGCGAAGAAGTTCATGGTCCACGGAAAGCGCACGACCCTCATGCCTGAGGACATTGAACACGCAATGGAGGCGCTGAACATTGAGGTGAGCGGATGCTCTCCGACCTGGCGACCGAAGCTGATTTCAGCCCGTCATTGTGCCGCCACGCCCGCTGCCGCAGGCGCCCTTCCTGGCCGTTCCAGTGCCATCAGGAACCAGCGGAGCGCAGCAGCAGCTTTACACGGTCGTCGACGACGAGATTGACTTTGCAACCTACCTCAAGGAGCCACTACCGCCCGCCCTCGCCAACAGCGCAGGTGTCAAGTGGAAGGCGCACTGGCTCGCCGTTGAGGGTGTGCAGCCCGCCATACCTGAAAATCCCGCTCCTAGCTCCCGCGCCGGCCGTAAGCTTGAAGAGGGGTGCGAACTGACGACAGCCTCGCGCCTGCCCGCACCTACGACGGGCGCCGCGTCTCTTCGGCCTTCAGCAAAGCAGCATCTGACTACGGAGCTGCAGCTCTACTTCTCGCGGCTGACCGCCGCGCTCATTCCCACTCTTGCGCAGCTGCCCAACCTCCCCGGCAACTCCACACCGAGCGCGCCGCAGTACTCGTTCCCCGACGCCGAGCGACACCGTCTCGCCGCGCTCGCGAGCGTTCGGTCGGACGCGGCTGTGGCGGGCATCCTCGCGTACCTCGTCCGCTGGGTGGCGGAGAGCATTAACAAGACGCTCATGGGTGCGACCGGCACGATTGGGTGTCTCGTCGACGTTGTCGAGGCGATTCTCGACAACGACGTGCTATTCGTTGAGCCCTACGTGAGCTGCTCCTATGTGGTCCCTCTGACAGCAGTTGCACCAATTCCTGGGCCCGCTCCTCTCCATCCTCCTGACCGTGCCACTGGGCCCACATCCTCCGCCATCCGGGATGACGCCTACAACTATCGAGCTGCGCACGCGTGCAGCCGACGTGCTCGCCAAGCTCGTCACCCTATACGCGAATGGCTACCCCGGCCTGGTCCCGCGCCTTCTCTCGACCTTCAAGAAGGCTCTGACATCCAGTCCCTTCCCCTCCCCCCTCGGCTCAGACTATCCCCCGGCTGGGCGCTACGAAGGTGCGGTGCTCGGCATCGGAGCCTGCGGGGCACACGCGGTGCGCGAAGCTATCTGGGGCACCAACGGCGACGGACTGCGCTCGATCAACGACCTCATCGGTCTCCTATATCCGGGCGAGGGACGGAGAAACAAGGCGCCTCTCGTGCGTGCGACGATGCGTGCCCTCCAACAGCTTACCACGCCGAAGCCGGAAGGCGCGACGGTGCCCCCGCCCGACTCGGCGGAAGTCGCGGAGGTGTTTGGACCGCACTTTGTGCGCGCGTTTGAGAAGCGGCCGTGGCAGGCACAGGAGCTCATGCGCCTCCGCAAGGGCAGTAATGGGGACGCTGCGGCCGTTCAGGCCGACGCTGCGGGCGAGGAGGACGAGGAGATGGAGGAGGTGCAGGCGTAAGCCTGTCGTATTATTCTACCACGACATGTATTAGTGTCCAAATTCTGAGAGGCTCCCACACTCCTGCCCGCGCTGCCTCTATACCCTTACATGATCTATGCAAGCCCAGGATCTGATGGCGCGCGCTCACGCCCAAAGTTGGCGCAAAAGTCGTAGATACCGAGGAACACGGCTCCTCCGGCGCCGATCGCGATGGTCCTCGGCACCCATCCACGGAAAAGGGCGCCGACGCCCTCTGCCGAAGCGATCCCCACCAGCCGCGACGGAAAGCTGAGCACACTAGGACTGCGCTCGGCGCCCGCCCCGCGCGCCTCGAGCATAACGCGGGTCTTGACGACGTCGAGCGGCGTCGTCAGCGCCGCCGCGACGCCGCCCGCGATGCTCCCGCACACAGCGGCTTCGGCCGAGTTCGGGCGCGCGCCACCGAGATACCGCCGCGACAGGGTGCGCTTGAGCCACTCGTACAGCGGGAACTGGATGGACGTGAAGGGGATCTCGCGGGCGATGGTGATCCCAAAGCCGCGGTAAAAGCCGCGCACGCCGTCGTGGCGCAGCACGCTGAGTGCGGTCGTGAGCGACGACGACGAGCCGTACGCCGACGTCTGTGTGCGGCTCTTCACCACCTCGGTCGGCACGCGGATGAGGCAGGACACGAACTCGCCGCCGCTCGCGGAGATCATGTGGTTCAGACCCGGCGTGTCGGCGGGGAGCAGGGCGGGGACGTGTTTCTTCAGCTCTTCGTAGGTAACGAAGAAGGCCGCAGCTGCCGTTAGAGCAGATGCGGGTCGACTCACCGCCTGGCGCGGACCCCAGCCCCACGCTCCCCACACCGCTGTACACGCCACGGAAGCCGCCCGAGGCCCAGAACCCCTTGGCGCTCTGGATGCGCGTCTTGACCGTGTCGAGCGGAAAGAACATGAGGTCCACCGCGAGCCCGGAGGCCGCACCGGACTGGCGTTAGCGGGCCAGTGGGCAGCGGGGCTGTCGTCGTTGGGAGTCGGACACGCAAACAAAAGTTGGAGAAGAGCACGGCGGAAGACGACATGTGCTCGCCGTGTATCTCGCGTTAAGAGATACAAGGCCCAAGCAAGCCACTCACCAAGAGCGCCCGCTGGAAGGTCGGGCTGTGCGCCTCTGGCATGTTGATCTGGGCGATGGACTGGATGAGTGTCCGACGCAGTCGCGCATTCGAAGATCGGGCGAGCGCCCGAAACTATCTCGTCCAGGCACGGGTCGTCACCATCGCGCTGCGGTGGGCACCGGAGGTGGAGGTCCGCACTCTGCCGCAGATGATCCGCTCCGCTGTATTTCCAAGCCCTCTAGACACATGCATGGCCGCATAATAGTACAGACAGAACGACACAGATCAGAACTGCACACGACGCTTGCGCGCAGTGTACTTGGAGTCTCGAGGCACACTGGAGTCAGCTTGGTCGAGCGCTTCCTGCTGCTATGCTGCGCAACGTACGCCTCCTTGCCGCGGGTGCGGTACAGCTCCTTCTTCTTGAGCACCCATTCCTTGCCGGTGAGCCCCTTTGTCCCCTTCGCCTTCTTGCGAGACGCCTCGCGCTTCCGGCGCCGCTCGTTCTGGATCGATTTGCGCCTCGCGCTCGAATCGACCTCGTGTTCCGCCTCGATGCCCTTGGGGATCTCCTGCTGCCCAACCATGAGACAGAGGTACATCTTGCGTGCCTTCTTCGAGTTAGGGTAGTCGACGACGATGCCACCTCCGAAACCGGCGCGCTGTGCGCACTGCGTGATGAGCTGCACCTGGTCGTCGGAGTTGGGGTAGAACTGGAACACTGCGCGCGACGGATTCTTCAAGGCCGAGTGCAGCGTTGTGAAGAAGCGCGTAAGTCGCTGAGGCGGAGAGTGCGTGTTCGTGTCTGCGTTTAGGAGCCACTGCAGCACCGAGATGGAGATCGCGCCGTCAAAGGTTCCTGGGCGGAAGCCGAAGCCTTGCCCAATGTCCTGGAGGAACAGGTCACCCTCGACCTCACGCTCAACAGCCACCTCTGGAACGTCAGCAAGGACTTCAAGCAACATGAACGCACCAAGCATGCTGGGCGAAATATCGACGCCAACCCAAATGTGCCCGTCCTCGTCCAAAATCTCGCCGCTCAGACCGCTTCCGCACCCAATGTCGAGGAGAAACTGCGACTCTCCGGGGGGAAGCTGAAGGAGTTCGAGTGCACGATCGGTCATTCGCGCCTGGATGTCCTTCACGCGGGTGCTGCGGTCAGTGGCTGCGTGGTGAGGGGGAGGAAGGGGACCTCGGACTGATGTGCCTCGAAGCATTCAGAGGCTATACCCAACCTGCTGGCATGACCAGCAAGGGACGCCGCCTTTGCGAGATGACTTACTTGCCCGTGTACTTCTTAGCCTCAACATCGCCGTAAAACTGCTGTCAGTTGTCGTATGAACCGTCCAACTCACCACCTCGGGCGGCGCGATCTCCTCAGGACGTGACATGGTTACGCTCTCGTTCTACTGTTGATGCTAGTGCAGTCGTCCCCGTAGTCGCTATCCTTTTTCTCGGCGTGTCCGAGAGCTTGGGCTAGACTTTAGCTGTGCCGAGGATGCAGAGAGCGTCAATGTGATGAAGTATTGGTTGGGCGGCAAATTCAGTGGTCGTGCAGTGGTCGTGCTCCCAAAATCCACAACACCCCCACGTGGCCGTCACGCGAGATCGTCATGCCACCTTAAGTGACCCCCACCGTTGCCCGACGCGCAACCGTCAACGCTGACGACAATCGATGAACTCACCTCGTCTGGTCCCTCATCACCAACAACACTCCCACTCCCATCTCCTCCTCCCTCCCACCTTGCAGCCATGGAGTGCTCATTTGGCATCAGCGGTGAGTGTAGCTGCGCATGTCGAGGTGCATTGTGCTGATGCGCGCTTCTGTGGGCTTCATTCCAACGCCGGCACTTCACCGCACTCTTGACTCACCGACCCGTCCTTCGCCTTCCATCGCTCTATCTGCTTCTCCGCTTACCTCCGCCCCGTGATTTACACTCCAGGCAAGGACTTTGTCCTCCTCGCATCGGACATGACGGCGGGCCGTTCAATCCTGCAGTTCAAGTCGGATGAGAACAAGATCAAGGTCCTCGGGCCACACCTCGCCATGGCATATGGCGGTGAACCCGGCGACACGAACAACTTTGCCGACTTTATTGAGCGCAATGTGCGCCTCTACCACATCCGCCACAACTCTGCGCTTCTCCCGCACGCAGCCAGCGCGTGGATTCGCCGCTCGCTCGCAGACTCGCTGCGTTCCCGTAGACCGTACGCTGTCAACCTCCTCCTCGGCGGATACGACACCACGTCGGACGAGCCCCACCTCTACTGGATCGACTACCTTGGTACCAAGGCTGTTGTGCCGTACGCTGCACACGGATTCGGGCAGCTCGTTGCGCTGTCTACCATGGACAAGTGGTGGACCGAGGGGTGTGACCGTCACGAGGCGCTTGATGTGCTGAGGAAGTGCATCAACGAGGTGGCCATTCGTAAGTCGTCTGGGCGGGTTGCCGGCAATGCATCCTTCAGCGAACACAACTGACCCCAGGTTTGACTGTCAAGTTTGACTTCAACTGTATCATCATCGACAAGTCTGGCGTGCACAAGCTGGATCTCTCCTCGGAGGACCCGTTCGCTAAGATTGCGGCTGAGGACGCGGAGAAGGCCGCCGCCGAGGAGCAGCTGGCGACACCTCCGACGCAGACGCCTGCCGTGGCCGCGGCAGCCTAGAGTGATGTGTAGAGCAGGCAGCAGCAGCATGTACCAATTATCATGGCGCGAGTACAGGCGTTACAGATGTGGGGTGTTAGAGGTGCTCTCTAGTCGTGTAGAGGAATCAGAAGTCCTGGGGTCAGCTCTGCGGCACAGAGGCCAAGTTGTTCAGATGACTTCATGGGTACCGTTGGGGGACGTCACTCCAGCTCAAGCGCAGCGGAGGGCGTCTGGCCCTCGCTCGTCCGTCCTTTCAGGCCTCGGCAACGGCTGCGAAACCACCCCACCCGCCCTCTCCTCTCAGACTCACCGTAACGCGCCCTCCGAAAGCCCAGTCTTCCGACGTAGCCTGGAACGGATCGCGCTTCGGGCCCCCGACCTCGCCCGTCTGCGGGTTGGTGTCGCCCTCGAAAAGCGGCGCGGCGCCCCTCCGTAGGTCGCGGTGCGACAGCTCGTCCACGGCCTTGAGAAGCTCTTCAGGCGACGCGTCCTCGAGACCCGCGGGCACGGCGACCTCAGCGGCCTTCTGCAGGCGCTCAAACTCGGCCTGCTCGGCGGCGGGGAGGGCGGGGGGGCCGGGGCGGTTGAAATCACGCATGCGCGGGCCTGCCGTACTCAATGCCCGGGAGGGGAGGGGGCGGAGGCGAAGAGGAAGGGAGACCGAGGCGCGGAGGGTGCGGAGAGAGCGGAGGGCGAGCGAGAGAGGCATGGTGGGTGGCGATTGTGCAAAGTCGAGATGAGAGTTCGGTGGATCGGTGGATCAGTGGAGTCGGCTGAAATCGCCGATACATCACCGCCGGTCCGCTAATCTCTCGCCGCGCAAGCGCCGCGAGACTGACATCGTCCAGCGGCGGTGAATCGGCCAAGACTACAGAGAGTGGAAAGCATGCTCGTGACTGGGCTTTCAAGCTGTACTCCGAGATCCTTGCATTGTTCCAGCGTCAATGTACTGTTGCGCCCCTCCGAGAACGACCCCTCGCCGAAGCCGAGTCCGGCGCTTCTATCCCGCCCTCAGCCCTCGCGCTCACATCACACAAACACACACCGTAAGCATGCCTATGCATCCTGTTGTCTATTGCCTAGTGAAGCGACTTGACGAACGCCTGCTCGAGCTTAGAGACCTGCGCCTTGAAAGCGTCGACCTCGCGCCAGCAGTCGAGAGCGCGCTCGGGCTTGTTCCTGGGGTCAGCTGCAGCTCGGGACGGTCAGAGGACCTGCAAAGGCCACAGATGAGAATGCAGCGAGGCAGGGAGGATTGAGACTGTGTGGGACATCGCAGTGAACGCGCGCAGACCAACTCTGCAGACAGACCCGCGGCGTTGCGCAGCAGACTTCATCCGCCATCACCTCTCCATTCTTTCCCCCGCGATATCGTCTCCGGATCCTTCGCACTCCTTCAGCCTACTCCCTCGGCCTACTCCCTCGTCTTCCTCAACAATCCCCGCAGCGACCCGACCACCTTCGCCCCTACCATGTCCGCATCCTTCCCGCACCCCTCCCAGTGTCGAGCTCTGCCACTCGCCCACACCCCCGACTCACTTGTAGCAAGCCACGACGTCCGCCCGGGCAGCCGCCAACTCGGGCGTCTCGAGGTTCTTCTTGTCCTGCGCCATGCGCTCGATCTTCTCGCGCACTGCCTCGATGTCGTGGCCCAGCACCTCGGAGCTCATGCCAGGCTTCTCGCGGTCGAGGTTCTCCTTCTCGAGCGCGGCGGAGATCGAGCCCAAGATCTCGGCCTCCTTCTGCCGCAGCGCAGCGCTCTCGGCCGCCAAGCGCTGGCGCACAAGGTCGTCGGTGCTCGGTGCGGCGGCGCGCGGCGCCATAAGTCGTTGCAAGAGGGAGGGGGAGAACTGGGGTTAGCTGTGGGCGAACGGGCGCGAGTGTGGGCGCAGCGAGCTTGCGGATGCCTGAGAGCGGTTGATAGCGCGGGGAGCAAGGTGAAAGTCCGCGAGATTGAGACGGGGGATGGATGAGGCGGAGATAGGCCATGCGGGGCGTAAACAGAGTCGAGAAGCTCGCCGCGCGACTTCGCCCGCAACGCTGTTCCCCTCTCCACTGCCCTGTCTCAGACGTCACCACGCACCTCAACAGACGTCCCCTCCTCGGGGGCGCGGACGACCTGCTCCTGGGACTTGTCGGCCATTTTCGCAGTGGTGGGGAGGAGAGTGATGGTGACGAGCGGATGAGGGCGGATGTCAACTCCCACCGAAATTGCTCCCGTCGCGCTCCGGCACCAATGACGACCGGGGTGATGGCCGCGATGTCCGACGCACATGAGATGAGATGTATGCAATGCTACTATAATTCTATAATGCTACGCTACATGCAGTGCTCGATGCAGGTCAGCCGGGCCGCTGCGTGCTACTCCCACTCAGCCCATCGCTCGAGGCCCGTCACTGTCCCCTCGTCCAAGCTCTTCGCCACGAGATCAGCGCCGAGCACACAATCGTTTACGCTGACGCCACCGTATCCCGCCCCAACGACGCTAAGGCGGCCAGCCCACGGCCCAGTCCCAATCGCCTCGTGCAGCTCGCGCAGACGTGCGCCGTGGCCCGGCGCATACGTGGGAATGCAAGCGTGGTTGAGGTTGGCGACGGTGAGCAGGGGGTGCACGCCGTCGAGGTGCGGGAATGCGCGCTGGAGATGCGCCAACGCAAGGGGCACGAGCTCGTCGTCGTGCGCCGGCACGCGCACGCCGCCGTAGCTCGACCAGTGCGGGCCACCAAGCATGACGGTGAGCTTGGTGACGGCGCCCTCGAGCCCGCCCTCGTCGGTGCCCGGCAGCGCGGTGCTGTCGAAGATGACGCCGAGCGCGCCCTCGGGATTATGGCCGCCGCGAGGGATGAGATATCCGAATCCGTTGGGGTGCACGTCCTTCGGTGGCAGGGGGAGGACGACGTTGACGACGCCGACGGTCGTCGACGGGTTCGCGGAGAGGTGGGGGAGCGGCGCGGAGAGGACGCGCTGCAGCCGCGGCGGGGGGAGGGCCGCGACGACATGGTCGACGCGCAGCGGGCCGTAGCTCGTCTCGACGTTGACGCGCGAGTCGGGGGAGAGGCGGAGCACACGCGCCTTCCGGAACTCGACGCCGGCGTCCCGCGCCCGCGCCTCCAGTCCCGAGATGAGCTGCCCCATCCCCCCGCGCAGAGCGTACATGCTCCACCCCTCTCGCGCCTTGCCGAGGGGCCCGATGGCGGCCCACGCCGCCGTCTCCGCGTCGACCTCGGCCTTGGGCCGCGGGCCGCGGAGCATGCCGAGCACGACGCTGCCGGCCTTCTTCTCGGCCGCGTGCAGGATCCCGAACGCGGAGCGGAGGGAGAGATGCGCGGGGTCGGCGGCGTAGATCCCGTGCACGAACGCCGAGGCTGTGCGCGCGACGTCGGCGCCGAAGCGCCGTGTGAAGAACGAGGCGACGCTCTCGTCGCCCTTTGGCGGCCGCGAGCGGCGGAAGGGCTCCATTGCGAACGCGAGCATCAGCTGTCGCACCGCCGGAGCTGTACGGGGGTTGAACAGCGCCAAGGGCGAGGCGTGCACCGCCGACAGCGTCCCGCGGTCAGGATCGTACAAGTACCGGTTCTTAGCCGCGGGGTGGTCGTTGGGGATGGGCACGATGCGGTCATCGAGGCCGAGGTCGTGGATCTGGCGTCAGCGAACAAAGCGAGCGGGTCTCACAAGCTGCAGCATTGCCGGGGCGCCGGGACCGCCGCGCGGGCGGATCGAGCGGGGTCCGGCCTCGAGCGTCACCTCGCCTTTGTAATGTCGTCCGTCACGGTCGAAGGAGACAGGGTATGTCTGCGTCTGCGCCCACCCGCCGATGCGGGAGGGCTCGAGGAGCGTCACGCGCGCACCGCGCGATGCAAGACGGTACGCGGCGGTGAGGCCCGCGAGGCCACCGCCCACGACGGCGACGGAGCGGGGTGGCATGGTGGGTGATGCAAAGATGGTCGGGACCGTCGGGCCGGAAACGAAATTAGGTCGGCCAACGGCGCTCAGGACATTCCACTACGCCACCGCTCCAGCACCGTACCATCGCCCACGTCATGTCCATGACGCCGAGCCCATGCATGCAAGATTCTATGAGAGGAAAGTAGCATCACTCGCCTCGCGAGTCCATGTCCGCCACGACCTTGCGTGTGCCGCTCAGCGCACGGCTCGAAACCTCTTCCGGCGTTGCTGAAATATCGACGTCAACGACTCCCGGCTCCGCCGTCGGATCTTCCAGCGTCGCGAGCTGCGACGCAAGCATTTGTGGCTTCATGAAGTGCCCCTGGCGCGCAGCAATGCGCTCCGCAAGCAGTTCCGGCGATCCGTTGCAGTACACGAAAATGGTCTTCATCACAGGCTGGGGTGAGCGATGGCCTCGAGGCCCGGCTCCGATGCGGTATTTCCCGCAAACCGCCGCGCGCCGACTCACCTTGTCCTCCGGCCCCGTCTCAGTGTGCCCCCGCAGGATGTCGCGGTAGGACTTTTTGAGCGCCGAGCATGCGATGACACACGCCGGCCGGCCGAGCTTGCCCTCGGCCCTCTCTTGGTCCGGCACGCGGCCGTCCCCCTTCTCCCACGCTGCACGGCACTCGTGAATGCCTGTCGCCCGGATGATCTGGAGCCATGGAAGACGGTCGGCGTCGTTGAGCGGGTTGCCGGCGCTCATCTTGGCGACGTTGGCGGGCGGGTGGAGCGCATCGCCATCGATGAAAGCGATGCCGAGGTCGCGGGCGAGGTTGGCGCCGATCGTGGACTTGCCGCTGGTGTCAGCGGAAAGTGTAAGAGGCAGAAAGATGGCTCAGAAAGCCGGGTCTCCGCGAGAAACGCTCCTCCCAAGTCTTTGCTCTTTCAAGGTCATGGAGGCCAAAGAGTGCGGCTCCACTCACCAGGAGGCCGGTCCCTGCTGTCAGCTGCTGCTGCGAACTAGCACTCGCCATCACCACGATCAACAGCGGCTTGGTGCTCGCGTAGTCGTCCATCTTGGCTTGTCGTGTGAGAGATGAAAGCCAAGAATCGCTCGTTTCTTGATGTTGATGGGGAGGGCCTGAAGCATTGCCTGCAGTTGCCGCGGGGGACCGGTCCGGACTCCGGATAGCCGCACCGCGGATATCACGTGCATCGGATTTCGTCCACCGGGAATATTGCTAGGTGCGATCTCTCTCGGATCTCAAGAGTTGGAAGCGCCGACTGGAGTATACGCGTATGCTGGAGGGGTGAAGAGCATACACAGAGAGCCCCGGGCCAATGCTAATGCTGTGCATGATTCTAAATGGGTGGTTATGATCTAAGCAGGCCCGCGACGAGCGAGCACATCCCCAGCACCGCGACGCCCGCCACGGCGCCCAGCAACCCCGCCGCAGCGAGGTCGCGCTCGGCGCTCGGCGCAGCGACGTGGCTTAGCTGTGCCGCGGTCCACTGTAATGCGCGGGCAGGGTATGACTCGCCCTCCGCGACCTGTTCTAGCGGCGACGACGGGGCGAGCGGGACGTCGCCCTCCAACGCGTCCGCGAGGAGGCTGTTGACGAGGGCAGCGACCGCCTCAGCCTGCTGCGCCGACTCGCCGGCCAGCGCCGCCTCGCCCTCACCCACCGCCTCGCCGCCCGCACGAACGTCGACAACTGGTTCAAAGGGCGTGGCGGTCACGGCTGCGACTGCGGCCGCGGCGATCTTCGAGTCGAGCTCGCCCACCTTCTCCGCGAGTCCTTGGATCTCGCCCTCGACGCGCCCCATCATCCCGCTCACCCGCTCTTCGAGGCCCTGTACGAGACGCCGGCGCTTCCATGGCTCGATGAACGCGATTGCGCTCATGAACACAATCAAGTTCGCCACGAGGGCCGCGACCTGTGCCCAGGTGCTCACGGAGCGGATCTTGTCGCTCCACACCTGCTCCTCGTGGTACCGCTCCAGGATGGACTGCATGAGGCCGGTGAACGCCTTGTCGACGGCCAGCTCGGCGTTCTTGAGCGCGTCGTTGGTGCTTGCTACTGCGGCCCGCGAGGCGTGGTCCGAGCGCACGAGCTTGGTGAAGGTCGCCACATCCTGGTCACTCCAGCTGTGCTTTCTCTCCAGCAGCGCATTTACGCTCTGCTGCGTACTGGAGAGCGTCGCAACCGCCTCCTCATATGCCCTCTTGGCCTCGCGCACGCTCTCTCGTCCCTCCTTGATCTCCTGTTCTGCTGTCAGCGGCTGTAAGGCATGGTGTAACCCACCCCGGTCCTTGACGCTCTGTTTGAGCCGCTCGACCTCGCGGTAGCCTGTCACCTCGTTGACCTTCTGGCTAACGAGCGCAAGCGTCTCCCCCGTCTGCACCGCCAACTTCTTCATCCGCTCGTCCATCGCTGCACGCAGCTCTGCCATCTTCTTCTGGTACGCGGCCTGCAGCTCCTCATACTTGCGCTCCCACTCCTCCTTTGAGGGAGTTGTGGATTCCGGGGACGAGGCGGAGTCGGAAGGGGAGGAGGAGGCTTGGGGAGTTTCAGGGGTATCGGCGTCTGGGGAAGGAGGGGCGAGCCGGGGGACGGTTGCTGGCGGTGCGTCGGCGGACAAAAGGAGCGGTACTTCGGGCGGCCTGTCCTCGGCGCGCGGCGCGCCTTCCACCTTCACGCGGACGTCAGCAGGAGCAACCCCTTCATTGTCACGCTCGAGCTTTGGTGGGGGCTGATAGCGAGCGGTGTGAGGGGGGTAGGTGGGGGTGTCGTCCCGAGGTGGTTCGTGGCGTGGAACCTCGGGCAACGGAGCGCTGTAGCCTGGGGCGCTGTACCTTGGTGCATCAGGACGCGTCGCGTAACCGTTGGTGTATGAGTAAGCGGGCGGCGTTTCTGGTGGCGGGGGCGGAGGGGGTGGTGGGCCGCCGAGCGCAATGACCGGGCCATCCTCGTCCTTGTCGGGGTCCGAGGCGCGATCTGGTGAGGGGCCTGTCCGGATGTGGCGCGCCAGTGCACGCGAGGAAGAGGCCACGGAGGGGCGGCTCACTACTCCCAAGCCATGCCTGGGACGGAGGAGGGCCATGGCGAGGCGAGGGGGGGCAGAGAGAGAGAGTCGATGAACGAAGAGTGTTGGTTGTGGACATTTCGGGAGGAGACAGCCGAACCAAAGGCGCGTGCGTGCCTGGAATCCGACCGAAGCTTGCCACCGTGGGAGAGGAGAGCATGATATGATGACATCAGCCAGCACCTGAGAGCATGCACCAGTCGAGTTGATCGCATACGCAACAATCTACTGCACCTCGAACAAACGCAGCAATACTTATACATGACCCACAGCCCAAGTGCTAGACACAACTAATGAGATGGAGGGACGAGAGACACAAAACGACACAGCAGTCTAGTCTAGTTGGCAAAGGCAGCGATGCCAGTCATAGCCTTGCCGAGAATAAGGCCGTGGATGTCATAGGTACCCTCGTAAGTGTTGGTCACCTGCAGGTTGGCCTCGTGGCGGCCGACGTGGTACTCGTCCGAGCAGGCGTTGCCGCCGAAGATGTCGAGGAGGACACGGACCTGCTGCAGCGCGTTGCCGCAGTTGTTGCGCTTCATGAGCGAAATCATGTCGGGGCACCACTGGCCGTCCTGGTCCTTGAGGCGACCAAGCTGGAGCGCGCCGAGGAGGCCGAGGGTGGCGGTGGCGTGGGCGTCGACCAGCTTCTTCTGGACAAGCTGGAACGAGGCGAGGGGACGGCCGAACTGCTTGCGCTCGAGAGCGTAGTCGCGAGCACGGGCGATCGAGTCCTCAAGCGCACCCATCACACCCCACGAGATGCCGAAGCGGGCCGAGTTGAGGCACGAGAAAGGCGAGCCGAGACCGCCAGACTTGGGGAGAAGGGCGTCCTCACCGAGCTGAACGTTGTCCATAAAGATGGAGCCGGTGACCGAGGCGCGGAGGGCAAGCTTGTGCGCGATCTTGGGAGCCGAGAGACCCTCAGCGCCCTTCTCAAGGACGAAGCCACGGATCTTGCCCTTCTGCCCGTCCACGACCTCACGAGCCCAAACGACAAAGACGTCTGCGGCGGGCGCGTTGGAGATCCAGGTCTTGGAGCCGTTGAGAACCCACCCATCCTTGGTCTTGGTCGCGGTGGTCTCCATGCCCGCGGGGTCCGAGCCGTGGTTGGGCTCGGTGAGGCCGAAGGCGCCGACCCACTCGCCCTTAGCGAGCTTGGGCAGGTACTTTTCCTTCTGAGCCTCTGTACCGAACTCGTTGATGGGGTGCATGACGAGCGATGACTGCACCGACATCATGGAGCGGTAGCCCGAGTCGACGCGCTCGACCTCACGCGCGATGAGGCCGTAGGCGACGTTGGAGACACCGGCACACCCGTAGCCCTGGATGGTAGGGCCGAGGAGGCCGAGCTCGCCCATGCCAGTCATGATGTCCTTGTCAAAGGTCTCCTGCGAGCGTTAGCCATCTGCATCTGAAGCGAACACCGAGATCCCGATATACCGGTCACTGGTCGCGGGCCTGAGAGCCACTCACGTTGCGGTAGGCCTCAGTGACACGGGGGAGAAGCTCAGCCTGCGCGTAATTGCGGGCAGTCTCCCTGTGCCGTTAGCGTCTGCGATATCCGGGTAGGCCCTTCCACGCCCCACTACTGTAACTGTATATCGGATAAATCCCCATTCTACTCACTGGATGGCGAGCTCCTCGTCGGTAAGGAGCGAGTTCATGTTGAGAGGGTCCTAGATGTTAGACGTGACCACCGGCAGCATGGTTGCTGCTCACCTCCCAGTTGTAAGTCGCGAACTCTGGTGCTGTCAGCGGTGTTTCCGGGCCAAGCGGGGTAATAACCGGGGTACTCACTGGACGAGGAGGCCATGGTGCGGACGGCAGCGGTGCGGGCGACCGAAGCGCGGGCGAGGGGACGGAGAGCAGCGAGGGCAGACATGGCTGGAGAAGTTTAGAGAGGAGAGGAGAGGATGAGAGGCGAGAGCGAGAGAGAGAGAGAGAGAGAGAGAGAGTAAAGGTGCGGAAGTGGGCTATATAGATTGTGACGGTGTAAAGGGACGTGTGGGGCAAGGGGCCGGAGAGGAATTATCCTTTTGCAAGGGACTCGGGGACATGGCATATACCACACCGATTGGCGCGTTAAGCGGGGCAACCTTGTACTTGTCCACTCGTCTCTTTCATTGCATGCATGCGTTCATTCCATAGGCTCAAGAACAGAGTATGCTGGCTGGCGCTCTACTGATCTACTTACATAGGCGATTTGTAGCGAGGGCAATCGTTTACCGTCGGGGAGGCGAGGCTGGCGAGAATCGCGAGGCACCGCTCGTACGGGGGGGTCAAGAGAGTTCGGATCAACCTCCCGCGGATACACGGCCGCTAAGCAACGCCAATCGACAGCTCGATCTCGCCAACGCATGCCAATGACAGCGCCATGCATCGTCCCCAGCCATGCCAGCCAGCCCAACGCCGTCGTGCCTGTACGCAGCACCACAGCAAGCGCCAGGTCTCAGGATGGACGCGCAACGGGCCTCCATACGGCCGTGGAGCGATTTAATCGCTGCCCGTGGGGCCGAGCACCGCCGACGATGATCCTCTCATGTCGCGACAATACCGCCTCGGTGTTCGGGTTTGGATCCAGTGGCGGCGACTCTCCTTATTTCGTGCTAAAGACATATGAGTTGCCCTACAACACCTACTAACAAAACTACAGCACACACACATGTAACACGGTCAAACAAGTACCATCACGAATGTACTCGACACATGTGCCCGTATCAATAAACACTCCCCGGCCCATCAATCGCGGTAGGCTACTCGTGCCGTCCGAGATAAAAGTCGGCTACATTGGCCTCCGATTCCAGGGTCTCCGTCATCGCATCAGCGAAATCCACAAGACGGATCTTGCCGTCTGCAGCGCGCATCGTGTTCGCCATCCTCATGTCGCCGTGCGACACGCCCTTCTCGTGCAGCTTCCGGTATAGCGTGCGGATCGCCGTGCTGGTGTCAGTGGAGACTCGAGACTCGAGAAGAGTAAGCATTACTTACCGATCCTCAAGGGAGAACCAGCCCCATGCCATGTCCTCGTCGACTCCAATCGGCTCGCCGACGTACTCCATGACAGCAGCGAGGACTCTTCCGCTGTTCCAGACACCTTCGTAGAGCCCCACGAAATGGGGCACAACGTCGCCCTCGAGCTCGCGCAGCGGGCCCGCGTAAAAGCTTGTCTCGTGTCGCAATTCCTCTTGGGCCTCTTGAGCGTGGGCGACCTTGATGGCCGCAGGCACGTCCGCTAACAAACCAAAGAATGTTTCACCTGTGCGCCCTCGACCGAGACGCCTGCCAACGTGAACAACGGGCTCAGTGATCTCGCCTTCGGGTGGTGTCGTTGGGCCCGTGGACGACTCGCCAACCAGCCGGGGCCGTCGCAGTTGGGGGTTCAGAGTGGAGCCTGCGTCACTGTTGGTCATATCTGAGTCTGCCTTCATGCGGGCGAATCGGATTGGGCATGTATTGATGCTAAGAAGGGAGAAGTCGATGGCAAGGTGCGTTGGCTGTATGCCAGATCGCGTGAGCTCACATGTAACTCACAGAGTTAAAACACGACCAGTTAACTGGCGCGCCGGACCCGAGGCTGTCGCCGGCAGCGGACGGGGTGGTACTGTCCTGCCCTAAACTTGCCCCGGGGATTCCGTCCAACCCCATATTGTTATTGGGCGCAGAAGCCCCATGAATGGACGTCTCCGCTCGGTTCGATCTGCTCTCAATGAACCGAGACGCACGTAACGCCTGGCCTGTGGGTTCGTCACACATGAGTGCCACCATGACTCCCAGGAGAGGGAGTGACGCGCGGGCATTGGAGTCATGGCGAGCGACGGCGTCTCCAACGATGAGGTGGTTGCGCTCCCTCAACTCGTAAAGGACATAGGCGGAGTCGTCCACCGACATTAAGTAGTCCCAATGGTTCGCGTGCATCTCCCGAAAAATCTAGAGGGTCAACGACGACTCGCGACCAGACTCGCCTGCCCGATGCGCATCACCTGGTCCACAGAGAAAACAAGGGACGAGGGCAGCTTGCGCTCCGGCCTACCAGGCAAGGCCCGCGAGATAATGTTGATCTTCGCACTTGGCCAGGTTGGCGAAGCCTGTACGAGGGTCTCAATGATCAGTTGATTGAGCGAGCTGGTCTCCTTGCACTCCATGCCGGCACGGCCATCGAGCACTGCGAGATCCGCTGTGCCCGAACCAACAAGAGGTGCAGGACCCCACCGGCGCCGGCGCCGGCCAACCGCAGACTGCCCAGCATCACCCGCGGTCATGATAGCGTCGCAGTTAGCAATAGTGTTGCTAGGGGAGACAGGTGGGCAAGGACAGCCGCACAGAACAAAACCTCGGGCTGGTGTGATACCGGCTCGTTGGCAGGCTGTGTGGAGTGGCGCGCCATCAAATTCCACGCAGCAACGCAAACATGAGCGTCTGCGAGTGCTTCGGAGTAGGCTCCCACCGTGGCCGCTGGCCCAAGACGCCGCTCGAGAGCGGAGGCGACCTTTGCGTTGAGGTCAGGATCGTACGTCACCTGAAGTTCGGGAGGCTCGCACTGCGCCAGAAGAGCAACCATGGCACGATCGCCTGCGGTCGGCTCGCGGGAATTGCGGTCGGATGCCTTGCGCTTGTCTCCACGTCAGCCCGAGAACGTCCCGAGGTTGAGTGGGCCGCACATAACCTACTACTGCTGCTGTGATGTGGAGCTGGGCTCCGGAACAGGTTAGGGAAGAGGCGATGGGAGAACAGCGCGTCTTTGATGTTGCTCGGGCCCACGGGAACCACTATACTAATGTCGGTGCTAGCATAAAACTGGAGTTGTGCAGGAAGACGCGGCGGCTGAGGGCCTACAAACGGGGCCTACATTGTTATTAATGGGTTGACCAAGGGGTTGGTCGACGTATGGTTAGTGGGAAGCGGGAAGAATGAGGAAGGAGCAAGCGGCGTGGGGGGTTGCTAAGAGAGAAAGAGATCGAGAGGCCGCGGATCTGCAGCGGAGAGATGAGAAATGGTCAATGGGAAGAGAGATAATGAGAAGAAAAGAGAGAAAGAGAGACAGAGAGAGTTTCGAGAGAGAGATGTTGAAAGAGAGATGTTGAAAGAGAGATGTTGAGAGAGAGATGTTGAATTCAGAAGTGAGAGTTGGAGAAAGAATGAGAGATAAGACGAGCCAAACACCTTCTTCCCCAAGTCACATGATCTGTCCAAATCGCAATGCTTGACCATTCGTAGATCGCAATGCAGCCCAGCTTAACAGCCTTCTCATGACATGCACCTTGCGAGCCACGGAAATGCACACGGAGCTGCTCTTCTCGATAGCAAATACTCACATCAGAGACTCGTAGCTTTGGAGGGCCATGCCGTCACCGCCTGGCAAAACCCGTCGTATTTGCTGAATGGACACCTTCCGCCAGAGCGGCGGGTTAGGCCATCAGCAAGATGCAGGTCTGGAAACGCGCGGGCCGAGGCTCCTGCATCATTGTAAGTTAAGAGTAGTGAAGTGGTGCATCCTGTCGTAGTCCCCAGCGCCGCTTCTCGCCGATTTGGCAGTCTTGCTGCACGTCGCCGATCACCGACCGACTCTCAATGCGACAACGCCATCGCCTCTGGTTGGTCATGGACACTGTCGAAGTCCTGATGCCATGCTGCAAACTGTAGCTCTGTAGCTCTGCGAGAAGCGGGTACGGTCGAGTGCCACCGCTGGCTCCATGTAAACGGCGCCGATCGTTCGGCCTGACATTTCTCTTATTAGCTCTAACAACAACAAGGCAACTCACAAGCGCCTGCCTCTGCGAGATCGACGCCGTCCTCATCAGATTCGTCCTCCTCCTGCGCATCAAATGCGGCCTCAGCGGCCTTGTTCGCGGCCATCATGCGCGAAGCCTTGCCCTGCCCCTTGCCAACGTTCCCTGGGTTCTCCTTATGCTTCTCAGCATCGCCGACCGCGTCCTTCCACGCCGAGAACACCTCGTTGGCTTGTGCCTGCGCGCTCTTGAGCGCTGCCGACGCGGCGGTGTAGTACGCCTCGGTTGCGGAGCGTCCGGCGCCTGGAACAACGGGGAAGGAGTGTTTGGCAGCCTTGGGCTCGGCAGGGGCAGTGATGCCGGCAGGCGGCTCGAGGGCGTAGGAGAAGGAGACGGCGGCCATGGTGGATGACTCGTACGGAGTCCGAGAATCCGAGGTGGAAGAGTGGAGGCGGAGGTGATGACGGAATGCAGTTGGTTGAGGCGGCGGCAACTTTTCGACCACGCTGTGAGCGCTGCGAGAGCCACGGTCGGCACTTGCTCCTCGCGCCGAGCATCCACTCGGTATTCCGTCTCTCGTCTTTCTGTTCCTCTTCAACATCAACTACTCATTCATCCCTCTCACATCGCCCGAGCTTGGCCCCGCAGCCCTCGCTACGCTATTCTCTAGACGCAAGTGTATCAGTGTATGTCTTCCTCCCAATCCCCTTCCCACCCATTCTCAATGATGTCGTCAATCACGATATGTTAGACTTCTCGAGGAGCTTAAGACCCTCCGCAGCAGACAACTACTTTGACCTGAGAGATCATCCCAGCCAGTGCACTTTGACAGAGGCTGACTATCAGAGTGTAATCATGGCGCCAGTCGCCGTCCCTAAGATGGAAGACCTTAAGATTGAAGACAAGGAGGAGGACAAGAAGCCTGACGAGGTCGAAGACGACGACGGCGAGGACGACGACGAGGATGGGGCAAATGGAGCGGCAGGAGGTGAGTGGCCAGTCCGTCAAGGTCGCTCAACTAACATCCAGATGCGCAAAAGAAGAAGAAGAAGAAGAAAAAGCGTGAGCTTCAATGATATCGTCTGCTGCGGCATAAGTCTAACCCTCAGCCAAAAAGAAGAAGGTCGCTATGGTCCAATCTGAGCCCCCCCGCGTTGGCTTGAGCAAGATCTTCCGCAACGGCGTGTACCCTGTCGGCGAGGAGGTCGAGTACAAGAACGAGTGAGCTTTGGCTGGCCGATTACCAACTGACACTAGCACCACATCCCGTATTACATCCGAAGAAATGCGCGAGAAGGAGCGCCTGGCGCAGGAGGACCCCACGGACACATATCAGAATATCCGCAAGGCGGCCGAGGTTCACCGGCAAGTACGACAGTATGCGGCGCGCAACATCAAGCCAGGCATGACCATGATTGAGATTGCCGACATGATCGAGAACGGCACTCGTGCATTGGTCGAGGAGAATGGGTTCGAGGCGGGCATTGGCTTCCCAACAGGTTTGAGCACGAACGAGGTTGCGGCGCACTACTCGCCCAACCCCGGGGACACCAAGGTGCTGCAGAAAAGCGACGTGCTGAAGGTCGACTTTGGTGTCCACGTCAAGGGGCGAATCGTCGACTCGGCGTTTACCCTCAACTGGGAGCCGACGTGGGACAAGCTGCTTGAGGCGGTCAAGGACGCGACGAACACCGGTATCGCTGCGGCGGGGATTGATGTGCGACTGTGTGACATCGGCGAGCAGATCCAGGAGGTCATGGAGAGCTACGAGGTCGAGGTCAACGGCAAGGTGTACCCCGTCAAGTCGATCCGCAACCTGAACGGACACAGCATCGTCCCCTACACTATCCACGGCGGGCACGACGGCATTCCCGGTAAGAGTGTGCCGATTGTCAAGCAGTTTGGCGCAGCAAAGGACACGACTCGCATGGAGGAGGGCGAGTACTTTGCGATTGAGACGTTCGGAAGCACGGGCAACGGCCGTGTCGACGAGGACGGCACGTGCAGCCACTACGCGCTCTCACCGCAGCAGCCGGCAAACTACACCCTGCGTCACCAGTCGGCCAAGAACCTCCTTAAGAGCATCAAAGCCAACTTCGGCACCCTCCCCTTCTGCCGCCGCTACCTCGAGCACGTCGGCGAGAAGAACTACCTGCTCGGCCTAAACACGCTTGTGCGCGAGGGCATTCTCTCCGACTATCCCCCGCTTGTTGATCACGCACCCGGGGCGCAGACGGCTCAGTTTGAGCACACCATTCTCCTCCGCCCGACGTGCAAGGAGGTCGTTTCGCGTGGTGACGACTACTAGTGTCGCTGTTGTAGCATGTAGAGTTGTGCAGATGTAGTGCGTCGTATGGAAGCAGCTGCCCGTACCACATCGCGGCGAGTGTGCATTACATTGCACTAATGTTGTACACCTCTATGAGTGCTCGCTCACCTCGGTGTGCTGATTGTCCTCGTATGCTCCTCGTACTCCTACCAACCCACTCCTACCACTACCAACCGAACAAGTACCAAATGAGTACGAGAACGCAGAAAGCTACGACGCCGCCGAGGATGAACGTGTCGCGGCGCCGCCGCGTCGAGATCATGCTAATGAGGCGATTGATCCCCGGCATCTGCTGCACGACGCCGCCCATCCGCGCATCGATGGAGGCGAGCATGCCGCGCTGCTGAGCGAAATCCTCGCGCGTCGCATACGCCTGGTTGAGCGTCTCGTCGAGCATGCGGTGGCTCGAGTCGATGCGCCCGCGGTCCGCGAGCAGCGCGTCCGTCTGCGACGACAGGCCCGACTTGTAGTCGCTGGCGTGAGCGTGTCCGGCGCCGCACTCACTCAATGTCCTTCCGCACACTGCCGAGCAAGTTGCTGCGCGCGAGCGCGGCCTCGACGCCGGCGCGCACGCGGCCAAACTCGCGCCGGTAGTCGTCGAGGTTGTCGCGGTGCCGCTGTGCCGCGTGCTGCATCGACGCGGACGGCGCCTGGCTCGGCGAGTTCATCTGGGCTGCGAGGTCGTCGATTGCTTGTTCCAGCTGGTGTCAGCAGTGGCGGCTGGGCGGCTCATGAGCGACGCCGCAGAAGTGAGCAGAGCAAAGCAAGCTCGTCGAAGGAGCGGCAAGATGAGAGGAGCGGGCGCAGATCAGGAAGCATATCCTCACCTTCTCCAGCAACTCCTCGACCTCCTCCTCGACGAGCCGGTGTCCGCCGACGCCCTCCTCTTCCTGCGCAAGCACGTCACGGCTGGGCCCGCCGAAACGGCCGCCGCCTGCAATGTCGGCCGCGAGGCGCGAATAAGATGCGAGCTTGGTGTCGAGCGCCGACTCGAGGGCGCGCGCATGTCGCCGTGCGTTATCCCACGACATGGTCGATGTGGGTATGTGGACGTGGTGGATGGCGATGCAGTCGATTGCTGCAGATGTCATCGATGCGGAATGGGGGGGCCGATTAAGGAGCGGTTGTGTCGGGTTCGGGAACCAAACAAGGCGGAGGGCAGCTGCAATGCAAGCAATGCATAGACTCTGGACACTCTGACAGCAGAGATACACAGTGCCCGAAGGCTTGAGGCGGAGAGCTAAAGCTCTGAAGATTACTGATGGCGAGACGGTGTCTACTTGGCATTGTGTCTGAAATCCCCCATCACGGTCGTCACATTCACAGAGCAATGATACATCTACACCTGCACTCTAATACACTACTCTACGACGACCGTCTTCCCCACAGGCACAGTGCTGAAGGCGTCCTCGCTCACGCCATACTTCTCGCGCGCCTTGGCAAGGTCGATCGGTGGCATATTATACGCCTCGTCCGACATGATCCACGTGCCCCAGTGCACGCCGATGCTCTTCTTGGCGCCGAGGTTAAGCGCCATACGCACCGCGCCCTCGGGATCCGTGTGCTGAAGGTGCATGTGCCACCTCGGCTCGTACGAGCCTATCGGGATGGCCGCTAGGTCGACTGGCCCGAGGACGCGACCTACAGCCTCGTAGAGTGTAGGTGAGTAGCCGGTGTCGCCGAGGTGGATGAAGGAACGAGGTTTCTCAGTGTCACTCTTGACGTGGAAAGCAGACCATAGAGTTGCGTTGGTATCCGCTGGCGAGCGCGCCGACCAGTGCTGCTGTTGGCGAAACGCTCCAAGAACAAATGCCGGAAAGGTGGAACTCACCATCACAGGAACAGCAGTAATCGTGTACGTCCGGTCTTTCTCTCCGGGACGCTGCAGGGTGTGCTTCTTCTCCTGCCACCAGTCGAGCTCCGTCACGCGGGTGACGCCCAGCTCGCGCAAGAAGTCCCCGGCGCCCATTGGCACGACCCATTCGCATGAGTCACCGAGTTCGACGACAGCCTGAGGGTCGAGGTGGTCGTAATGGCTGGAGTCAGCAAACAGTGTTGAGTCCCATACTCACTTGTGAGAAACAAGAACCAGGTCGACGCGCTTCAAGTCCTCGTATGTACATGGCGCTGGACGAATGCGTTGCGGTGCCAGTGTCGAGGGGATCGTGCGGTCCTGCAGTGCGGGGTCGGTGAGAATGGCCAGTTTGTCTAGTGTAACATAGGAAGTAGACTGGCCCATCTATCGTTAGTGAATATGGCCCAGGAAGGGTTAAGACTGCAACCCCACTTCCGGGTCCAGCAGGCTCGAGTGGCAAATGAAGTTTTCCACATGTGAAGCCACCCCCATGCCACTGGGACTCACCCAGGTAATCGTAAGCTTGTCTGTGATGTCAATGTCGGCGCCGCCGCGGTGGGTACGGTGACGCATTGTCTGCGCTGGAGGAAGGGCGTGTCGATATGCGTGCCCATCGGCGTGGTTTGCATGTCCGTTTGCGTGCCCATTGGCATGTCCGTTGGTCTGAGCGGTTCCGTTTGCATGCCCATTTGCGTGCTCGTTGGCGTAGCCATTGCCGTGCACATTCTCCTTCTCCCCCTCGTCGGTCGAGACCGGGATGTGGACCCGCGCGTCTTTGCCGTACAGCAGGGCGAAGTCAGGCGTTTCAACAGGCAGATCGGGAATGGGCCGCTCGGCAGGCAGGTCGCCATCAAAGTAGAACAGCTTGCCATTGAGCGTGGACAGGATGACCTTCCACCACGCCCATTCCTTCCGTCAGCCCAGTCGCTCCCCCTTCTCCGGTCTCCGGCCCTACTACTCACCCAAGCGCCCTGCTCGCGCCATTCGACATATGGATTCCAGTACCGCCCGGCAAAGCGGAGGCTCGAGAAGCGCTTCTTGATCGCCTCCTTCTCCTCCTCGCTCGCCGGAGCCCGTCTGTCAACCCCAAGCGTAGAGAGCGCCGAGTCAAGCTCTTTGTTCCGCGAGCGGATGTGCGAGCGCCGCAGCGTATCTGTGTATGCTGCGGTCAGCGGTGGACAAGGCACGGTGACTCACCGTAGTATCCTAGCCAGACGCCAGTCCAGGCGATTGGGAGGACGACGGCCGCGCGCCGCAGCATCGCCATCATGTTGCGCCTTACCGAGTGCGAGTGCTGAGAGGTAGAGAGAAGTCGTGAAGAAGGTTCGCGGGGCGGAAATTGCCAAGCACGTGCCGTGGAGCCAAAAACAAAAATACGACGGATCGATCCGGTGAAATGTCCGAGATGACGAGGCAAGTCTCCGACGCCGAGGTATCCTGCTCACCAGCGGACTCGATGAAACAGCGGGACGAGGAAGTCGAGGCCACACTTTTTATTCTTTCAAACAGTGTGGTTGAGTGGTCCTCCTACAATTGTGGTCGCGTCGCGTCGTGGTCTCGCATCTCGCGCCCTCCGCACACACCCTGTGCCTTCCCTCAGCTCTCAGCCCACGTCGCCACCATCTCCCTCTTGCAACATCACTACCATCGATCTCAATCACGGCCAGATGCGTCCCAGTCTCGTCGACGAGCTCGTCCCATTTCCCCAGCCCGGCGATCGCGGCGGCCTCGCCGCACTTACCAGCTCTCTCCGCCGCTCCGGCTCTGTTGCCATCATCCTCGTCTTCCTCCTCGCCACCGTGTTCTACATCCTCACCGAACCAGAGCATGGCTCGCGGGCGGAGGCAGCGCACATGCTGCGCAGATGGCTATGGAAGGGCAACGAAGTCACGATCACGATGAGCGCGGACCGATAGCGCCCAAGCAACCGTGGCGCGACCGGGTTCACTACCGCCCTCCACATCTCACATCTCCCCGGCGCGTACCCGCCAGTTCGTTGCACCCCATCACATCTGCCAATACGCAACCCGCTCATCGGGGACACTGGCGCCGACAACGAGGTCGGAGTCCTTCCACGGCGCACTGGCCGCCGCTCGTCTCAAGACGCGCACACAGCGCGCGACGCTCCGAGCGGTCGACAGGTGATAGAGGACGCACGTTTCAGCCATCGACCTGAGCCTAAAACTGCCGCCCCTCTGCCGCCTCCTTGAGCACATTATCTCAAAGCATACCAGCACACTAGAGCGGATCTTCCGCGCGCTACGCACATGACTGCGGATTGTAGCTCTGCTGAGTCGTTTCGTTAGCTTGTCGCTGCACTCCCGAGCTCGCTCCTCCTGTGCAACGGTGATATGCATATGCTGTAGAGCTCTACTCCTGCTCGCTGCCCACGCCGAACATGCCCTTGACACTGTCCCAGAGCTTGTCGTCACCCTGTGTCCGCAGCCTCTCCTCAACCTCTTCACGCGTGAGCCACGCCCAGTTCGAGTAGCCCGACTCCTTTGTGGGCTTGGGCTCGCCAGCAAGAATGTGCGAGCGGAGGAAGAAGTTCTGGTGTTAGCGGAACGAGTTCGTCTTCACTTCATGCAGCATCGGACTCACCCTCTCCTCGCCGTTCCGCACAACGCCAACGGGCTTGCGCGTCACGAGCCAAGTGTCCATCCCCTGCCCATTGAGCTGACCCTTCACACCCGTGATGCGCGAGGTCACGGCCTCGTCCAGCCCTTCTCCAGCCTGCAGCGATGTGCTAGGGAACGTCCACTTGCCGTTCGCCTGCACTAGGCAGAACACCTCCTCCTCCGGGAAGCGCTCGAGGGAGCGCTCGCCGCGGCTCGCGTCCGCCTTCTCCCAGTGATCGCGCGCCTTCTCCTCGAGCGGTGGCTCTGGCTGCACCTCGCCGAGCTCGGGCTTTGGTCCAGCGACCTTTGTGCCGTAGAACTTCTCCTCGGTTGCGTGCTCCGACTCCAAGAAACGCCGCAGCGCAAGCGAGCCAGGCTTGAAGTAAAAGTCGGTGGGAACGGGGTTGGACAGCGCGTGTCGCAGCTTCGTCTGGTACTCGTAGTACGCCTTGGCGAGGGGCTTGGGCGTCGGCGTCAGGAGCGCGTGGCGCGACAGGAGGACGGAGGCGGTGATGGGAGGCGGGGTGGTGGTGGCCGTCGCAAGACCCCGGCGGAGAACTACATTTAGTAAAGTATACCAAAAAACGCGTGCTGCGCACCTTGCCTAGAGGGTCCTGACCTGGACGAAGCGAACATGGTATTGCGGGGTGAGACGGGGTTGCAAACGACCTCGGAGGTGAAGATGGACGGAGGTTCACACTTTTGGCGTCGGAGACGATGCAGCGGAAGCTTTTGGGCAGAAAGTGGAGGCCTTTACATAACAACACGTTATTCGCCACCAAAGATTTGGAGGTTGCACTCCGGTGGAGGGCGACTTACGAACACCGCGCTCGTCACCATTCCCATCGTACTCAACGCTTCTGTTCTACACTTCCCCTCGACCTCTTCACCATCACCCCACGCTCGTCTCCTATAAGGGGAAGTGAAGTGCTGCGGTCGTTGGCTCCTAAAGTCGCGAAATCATCCTCCTTCCCCTCCCGCAAGGCACCTCCTACTATACCGTTCGGTCTCCGGCACTTTCCTCGCGCATCACCCTCACCGCCGCCTCGCGAACTGATATCCACGTCTACCTCAACATCCACTTGCGAGCTTTCAGAGCTTCCGGCTGGCTCACAAAGGATACCCTCCAAGAAATTCACTCGCAATCTCTGGTACAAATCTGACTGCTGCGCTCCACAACCCCCCTTACTCCCCACCACCATGGCGTCGAAGAAGGATGTCCCCGCCGAGTCGACGCGGCCGGCGAGGCATGTACCGTCTGAGTTTGCGACATTTGTCGATACAATGACAAAGGCGCTTGAAGCCAGCACGTCCCACGCCGCTGAATTTCCAGACAAATCGGACATGATGTTCCACCGCACTCTCGACCGCAAGTTTGCGAAGGGGATCGACGCGTCGGGTGATCGTGTCCTAAAGCTCGCGGACAGCCTCCTTCAACTCACAGTTGATAGCCAGCCTAAAGCCAACAAGGCGACGCGAGTCAAGGCACGACGCAAGCTCGCTGATGAGGACGATGTCGTTGACAGTTTCCAGTCGACAGTGGTGGACCACGTGGACTCGCTCCTTGAAGATGCTGATACGCACATTGATGAGGCCAACGGCGCGCGGAAAAAGGCGGCGATCGATGTCGCGCCCAATTCTCAGGCTATGAAGAACGTGAGTGCCACCAGGGGGACTGCTGACGTTAGCTCCCTGGGCCAGCCCATAACCAACACCTATCTATGAGCCTCCGTCTCGACCGCGATATCCAAAAGCCCCAGCTGCTGTTCGCGGACGGCGTCGACAACTCTGCCGACCTTCCTCCGTGGAAGCCCACGCTGAAGGAGAAACATCACGCGATGGTGCCTCTGGATTATGTCGTTGGGTCGGAGGAGGACGAGCCTATCGAGGATGATGGTACGCCGAGCTCGCGTCTTAGACGTGAGCGGCGGGAAAAAGCGCGCCAGCATCCCTATTACTACGAAACACGCCACCTTCCCTACCCTACCTCGATGTTCCTCGAGCGCGAGGCCATCATGCCCAAGTCATTCGAAGATACTCCCTTTGAGTTTGTCGATACGCCCGAGCGCCTGGCCGCTCTTACGGAGACGTTGCTCAAAGCCAAGGAGATTGCTTTCGATCTTGAACACCACCAGACTCGGTCGTACTACGGATTCACTTGTTTGATCCAAGTCAGCACGCGCGAGCAAGACTGGGTGATCGACGCTCTCACCCTCCGCTCGGAGCTTCGAGAGCACAAGCTGGGTGGGGTATTGGCTGATCCCTCAATCATCAAAGTCTTCCACGGAGCTGATTCGGACATTGTGTGGCTTCAGCAAGACTTCGATATCTACGTCGTTAACCTGTTCGACACCTTCCACGCCGCCAAGACCCTTGACTTCCCCAAGATGTCGCTGAGCAGCCTGCTTCAACTGTATTGTGACTTCCAGGCCGACAAGAAGTACCAGATGGCCGATTGGCGTATTCGCCCGCTTCCGAAGGAGATGTTGTTCTACGCGCGCGCCGACACGCACTTCCTCTTATACGTGTACGACCGCCTCAGAAACGCCCTCATCACCCGCTCGTCGAGAACGACTTCGCCTGCTGCAGAAGGGGCAGAGGGGAGCGATGGTGCTTCCACTCCCAAGCCCAACCCTCAAAGTGGTATCCGCCGTGTCCTTGACCTATCCGCTGAGACCGCCCTTAAGCTCTACGTCCGCGAAAGCTACAATGAACAAACGGGATCAGGACCGATGGGCTGGCAGAACATGGCGAAGAAGCTTGGCAAGGCCGATGCTATCAAGCAGAAGGCTGGATATATCCTTAAGCGTCTCCACCGCTGGCGTGACGCGCTTGCACGGGAGCTGGATGAGAGCCCTCAGTGCGTACCGGGTCAATCAAAGCTTACCTTAGTTACATCCTTCCTAACCATACCGTTATATTCCTCGCCCAGACGCCACCGACCCGGCCCGAGGTGCTTGCACGCGTTCTGGGCAAGCAGGCTCCCGCCCTCCTGCCTCAAGTGGACGAGATTCTCGGCGTCATTGCCGCTGGCATCCGAGACTATGAGGAGGCTTCAAAGCGCCCTGATAAAGGAATATCCGCATCGGGCCTCGAAGCCCAGTCGTCGCTGCCCTCCTCGGCCACGCACTCGATCGTGCAGAAGCCCTCTGGCTTGACGTCGGTGTCAACCGCGGCGAAGAAGGCAGAAGCCTCCAAGTTGGTGCCGGCGCCTAAGCGCCTGAAGCCTCACACGACTGTCGACGTTTGGGCTGATCTCATCGGCGGCAAGCAGGCTGTCCAGAAGACGGCGCCGACCTCGGTTCTGTTTGGCGCGACGCTTCAGACGCAGGCATCTCCGGCGTCAAGTCCGGCGTCCGCATCGGCGCCGTCCTCGTCACTGTTTGGGCGCACGCTTGACAAGGCGCCGAAGGCGGCATTGTTGCGTAACAAACGCGGGCAGTCGCCCGGTTTCGCCTCCGTGCAGTCTACAATTCATTCCGCTCTCCAAAAGTCACCGCCTGAGCTCCCCGCGATCAACCCAGCAGTGCCCACCCAAGGTGTCGAGCCCGAAACGGTCGCGTTTGTGCCGGCGGAAGAACGGAAGATTACGAAAGCCGACGAGACCTCCACCTCCGCGTCCATCGGCAAGAGCAAGAGCAAGAGCACAAGCAAAGGCAAGAGCGGGGCCACTGCCGCCGTTGGCGGAGATGCACCCGCCAAGTCGGCGCCCAAGGGAGGGCCGACTGTTGACGCCGATGGTGTGGTTGCTGTGCGCAAGCAGAAGAAGAGCAGGAAGGACAAGGTCAAGGTAGAATCACATTCCGGCCCTGAAACTGCCGAGGGTTCACCTGCACCCGAAAAGAAGGCGAAGAAAAAGATCAAGGCGGAGGATATTCCCGCGTTTGACTACGCTGCCGAGGGCAACTTGCTGGACCAGCCGACATCATCGTCTGCTGACAAGACAGCAAAGCGGGGCAAGAAGAAGGAGAAGCCCAAGGCCAAGAAGGGTGAGTGACATTCGGGCAGCATTTGGCACGATTATTGGAGGCATGCTGATAGGCAGCGGGGGCGGGAGCAGCAGCGTCATCCAAGACCTCGGGTAACCGTCGGCCACTTTCGAATCCGAGTGAGCCGAAGAGTGGCAACAAGTCTGGGACTTTTATGAACTAAGGCCGAGTTGCACCCGGTACCGAGAGGAGATACGTCTCTTGTATAGCACTGCACATGTGGACTCGAGCCAACGTGTGTGCAGAATCATGCATATTCATGAGTATGCGCTAGAGAAGTAAGTGGGGGGGGGGGGGACGCCAGGTGAGGGGAGAAGGAGGAATAGGAGAGGAGAGGGACCGGGCGAGTTGCTCCGTTATCCGAGATGGGTGAGGATGTGGGTGCGGGGTAGAGATAGCGGAGGAACGGAAGAGACGGAGGCGAGGAGCTCGGCAATGGGATGAAGTGAATGAATTGATTCCGTGTGTCAGGTCTGTGTATGGGGTGGAGGGAATTGAATGGAACCGGGGATCGGGGACCGACGAGGGAGCACGCGGGAGATCGGAGGAGAGGTCGGAGGAGGGAGGCCCAGAGGATCAGAGGAGCCAGCTAGCCAGAGGAGATGGCCCCAGAGTAGCCAGAGGAGATGGAGAGAGAGGAGAGAGGATGCGAGGGATGAAGAGAGCTTGGTGATTACTCCGATCAAAGACGGGGCTATACACCTAGGTATACAGGGCTTGTTAGACAGGAGAGATACGACCTCCACTGCGACTGTCCACCCCCGCCTCCCCCGCCTTCCCTTGCCCCCCCCCCTCGCCGGCGCCGACACATCCCCTCCCCCCTCCCCCCATCTTCCATCCACTCTCTCACTCTACACTACTTTGTCATCTGTCTCTCTCCTGTTCCCCCCATCGACCTCGTCACAATGGCCACAGAGGACGATGGCATGGTCGAAAGCGCACTTCAACATCTCGGAACCGTAGCCGAGAGTCTCGATCACTATGTTCTTCCAGCCGAGGGCCAACTCTCCAACCCAACAAGTTATGCCGTCCTCGACCCAAAACCATCCACATCTCCCATCACAGCCAAGAAGCGTCTCAAGGGCGATGGCACTGACCCCGACGAGAAGAAGCCCAAAAAGACACGACAAACGCGTGAGTGTGTGCAGAGATACATTTGGCACTACCACCCGATATTTGGACCGGGTTGTTGGGCATGTGGACATGACTGCTGACGCCAGAATCATGCGACGGTATGTCACTTCGCGTGTGCGGCACACGCCCACATCACACCACACCACGCCACACTACACCTGTGAATGCTGATGCCATCTCCCTTCTCCAGCATGCCGAGCACGAAAGTAAGTCGCCCCTTCGCCGCTCATCTGACGCCCAGAGTGAAATGTGATAGGCCACCACCCGGTTCCGTAAGCGCGAGCGATGCACCTACCAAGGATGTGTGCACGCACTGCCGTCAGCTCGGTATGGCCTGTAAGTGTACCGCAGAGATCAAACTAATCGGCAGGCACGTTCGAGTACAAGCCCAAGAAGCGGGGGCCGCCCAACATGTGCGACCGCGTGTGGCGGAGCTGACGCCAGGTACCTTAAGCGCATGCAGGCGCTCACGCACAAGGATGACCGGCCCATGTACTCACCGCCGTACGGAAACGGGCGGCACGACGACGACATGTTGGCCGGTCCGGGGCCTGGAACACTGGCGAGCCAGGACGCTTTGCGAACAGGAAGACGGGAGGATGATTGGGGAAGCTTGCGTGGGTTTACGTCGACCCCGCGCGACATCCTCGGCACGGGAGGAAACAACGGATACACGCTCTCGCCGAGCTTTCTGTCACCCCACGGCTCGCCAGAAGATCGTGCGCTGTACTCCCGTAATCCACCTTCCCTCCGAGATCCGCTGGCACCGTCTGTGCTGAATCCCATCGAGGCCGTCCTTCCCCGGCATCTCCTCTACGGCATTCTCGACGTGTACTTCGACTACGTGTACTGCCTCATCCCGTGCCTACACAAGCCGACGTTTATGCGTGACCTCGATGCGCGTCGCGAAGAGCAGCCGGGCGGAGAAGAGTTTGTCGCGCTGGTCTTCGCTGTCGTGGAGGCAACGCTTATGCAGATGCCGCGTCTGATTGTTGGTATGCCCAAAGAAGCGGCGCGAGCACTGTTTGAGGACGCCACTGCTATCGTCAAGCAGTACCTCGATCGCGAGTTCACTGAGCTTGGCGTTACCCGCTGCATCATATACTACTTTCACACCGTCGCAAACAACCACCTGCCCAACAAGTTGCCCAACTCGATCAACAACGGCGCCAACTACCTTCTTTCACTGCGGTTGCGGCTGCACGAGGAAGCAGGCTACAAGAACTGTAATCCAATCGAGCGTGAGCTGCGGAAGCGTGTCTTCTGGCTTCAATACGGCGCCGACAAGACACTCGCAGCCCTCGACCTGCGCATCTCCATCTGGCACGAGATCGACTGTGCCGACGTCACGCTCCCGTCTCCCCTGGACGATGAGTATCTGACAGAAGAGGGATATCTCGAGCAGCCCGAGAGTGAGACACCGGTCTTGGCTGGATTCTACTACATCTCTAAGCTGTTCCGCTTGCTTGGCCAGGTGCTGGACAAGCGGAAGCGCGACCGTGCCAAGCCCCCTTCCGGGCTCATGCTGCAGATGCGGATCAATGAGATCGAAGGGATTCTGCACCAGGTCATGTCGCTTATGGACCACTCGCCGGAGGCCTTGCGCCTGGACATGGGTGGTAGCCCCAGCGCGCGTATGGAGCGCATCGAGGAGCGGTGGGACTCGCACGTCAACGCCGATATACGGCAGCTGCTCCGCGATCCAAGCAGCGCCCGCCGGGCGATAAAAGACACGTTCCTTGTCCAGCAGGCAAACATCTACGTCACTCAGCAAATGGTCCGCTACATCATACTGCAGTACACCGAGGAATTGACGGCGATGCAGGACAAGGAGCACGCGCTGGAGGAACCTCCTGGAAGCGGAGCGCTGGGAGGGCCCACCCGCCGCCCGGTGTTCACCGAGACGGAGAAGGACCTGATCGTGAGCGACCTCCTCGTCATCCTATCCAAAATCCCGCTCGAGGTAATCGCCATCAATACTATCTCGCTCGTTGCAAAGGTTCGCTATGTGGCGAGCACACTGCTCGACGCGCTGCAGTCCGCTCCCCCAGACCCAAACGACATCCCGCAGCTCATGCGCTCCTCGCAGCGCGTTGCGCGCGCACAGGGCTACCTGTGGGATTTCCTGCGCATCCTCACGGACATTGAGAATTTGTACCAGATGGACGAGGACGTCAGTAAGACGGGTGAGATCGCGTAGTTTAATCATCTGTAGCAGCATGGATACAATCTTATATACAGTACAATCATGACTCAGCGTCGGAACAGCGGCTTGCGGGGCCGCAGGCCGGTCGACGAGCGTTCTGCTCCTGTTCCTCGCGGCGCGCCCATCAACCCTTGTTCCTGCAGCCGCACCCGCGCCATCTGCAGGTGGTAAGGCTGCAGCGGGCCTGTCGGGTGTGCCGTGTGCGGCTGGAGCTCGCGGGCGGTCTCGACAACGTCAGCGACGAAGATCTTGAGCAGACCGGCGAGGACCGGCGCGAGATTCTTCGGCACGTGCTGGTCGAACATGTCGCGGTTGAGCTAGTGTGAGCTGCGCCCATGCGATGGCATACCTTGTTGACAGCGCCACGCGGGAGGACGGTGCCGCGGAACGCATCATACCGCCGCGCCTGCTCCTCGTCGAGGACGCCGCGGAGCAATCTAATGTTAGTTCTCCCGTGGGCAACAGACGAAACATCGGCCAGCTAGCTTACAATGTCTCGTCACGCCGCCGCTTCGCCGCCTGCTTGACGTCGACACCGACCTGTCCGGCGGGCTCGTCGTCCTCGTCCTCCTCCCCCTCACCCTCCTTGCGCGCGGCCTCGCCTTCAGCAGCGACCAGATCCTCCGCCGAGACCTCGAGCTCAGCCTCGCTGTCGTACTCCTTCTCCTTATCCTCCTTCTTATCCTTCTTTTCCTTGCGCTTCCGCTTCTTCTCCTTGCGCGGACTGTTGCTTGCGGTTACTGGCACGGCGAGCGCGGCCGCGCCGGATGGGAGGGCAAGCGCCATGGTGGATGGAGAGGAGACGACTTCGGGCAGGTTGTGACTGTCCATCGAGTTGCCACCCAACTGGAACAACCGTGGGAAAGTCGGTTGACGCGACTTGTTTTCGACGCGTCCTAAGTAATGTTGGTCATCCCACCTCCTTCATCTCATCTCACAATGGCGGGAGTTACCAAAGAGGAGATTGACGATATCCTCGCGAGCGTCGATGCCGCTGAGGCGGACAGAGCGCTCAACTCGTGCGACGAGGACGACTCCGACCTCGACGCACCCATGCCCCTTCCCCCGACCCAGCCGGTCCCGGCGCCAACGATCCGCCCCAGCGCCCCGGCGCTTTCCCGTGCTCCTTTGCGCGTTGCCCCGCCGAACCGCGTAGCCGATCCTGCGCGGGGACGCGTCGTATACGCCGCGCCCAAGGCCGCGGGCGACGCACACTACTACATGGTGCAATGGTGAGGCGCTCGCCGACGGAGCTGACAGCAGGCGCCGTCCACAAAACAAGAAGGTATGTCGCGCGGCAGTAGCGAGGCAGGATGCTGATGCGACTCTTACATGTGCAGCATAGTGAGTGGACTGATGATCTCCCCCACGCCTGCTAACGCCAGAAACATGGGACGGCGACGCTTTCATTAAAGTTGAGGGAAGCCGGGTGACGATGATCTCGGAGGAAGGCAAGCAGTGAGCTTGGACGAGGCGTGTCTGACACCAGCATGGCGACAACCTCGCTCATTGGCGGCTTGCCTGGACCGGGCTCGGAGATGCGTATCGGCCAGATGGACTGCGAAGTCGACCGCGCCGTGTCCTTCGACGAGTAGGCCGAGGTGGACGCCTAAACTGACACCAGATTCTCCCGTGCGACCTGCTGCCTTAACAATCCTGCGAACGCACCGCTCAACTCTCCTGTGTATCCATCTTCACGCCCTGGGGGTACACCGAAGCTGTTTAAGCCTCCCGTCGCGACTGGACGAAGCACGAGTACGCTGATCTCGCGCGCAACACCGTTGAACTCTCCACTACACCGTCCATTTGTTCCCGTCACTCCATCAGCTGGACCCTCTAGAAGGGCTGCCACACCAACTGCCGTCTCCGCCTCTACCGGTGCTGTGGTTGTGGAACAGCCTCCTCCACAGCCTGCAAGGTCATTCTATGGCCAGCCTGCCAAGCCCGCGAGGAAGATCTTCATCGGTGATAAGCTTGATAGAGAGCGCAAGGCATGGGGTGGCGCCCTGCACGACCCAAAAGCTCCAGGTGCACTGGTGCTGTCGCGACCACCGGAGTCGGAGGCGAAGCGCTTGTGAGTAGCCTTGGCAATTGGGGACCCTGCTGACGATGCCAGAGGCGTGACCATCAACGATGTAGTCGTCGACCCCTCCATCGCGGAGAAGCTGCGTGATCACCAGCGAGAAGGTGTTCAGGTAAATGCCCGTTTTCGCTGCGACCATTGACCCCAGTTCATGTACCGCTGCGTTATGGGCATGACAGGCGCGAATGGGACTGGGTGTATTCTCGCGGATGAGATGGGCCTAGGGAAAACGCTGCAGACCATCGCTCTAGTCCACACCCTTCTTAGTGGGTCGCCAATTTCAATCAGGCTGACGGCTCAGAGCAGTCACCATGGTCTAACGAGGCGAAAGTGTAAGTCTGACTCACTCCTTTGCCCCCCACGCTGACATGCAGGGTCAGCAAAGTCCTCATCGTCTGCCCGGTGTCGCTTGTGAACAACTGGGCGCAGGAGTTCAAGAAATGGTATGACTCTCAAGCAACCTCTGCTGACCACAAGGGCGAAGAGCGACATCACGGTCGTTCCCGTGGGAGATAAGGAGGACAACCGGACTCGGGCCTTCGTGAGTGGACGCGCGTGACGTGCTGACGACAGCCCAACAATGCGAGTCTTCAAGTTATGATCATTGGATATGAAAAGGTGAGTTATTCTTCTCTATGAGATCTGACAACTAGCTCCGCAAGTACATGTATGCCGCCCCTTTCGAATCAGCTGACGTCCCAGCAAGGTTCTTAAATCCTGTGTACCTCCCATTGGCCTGGTCGTCTGCGATGAAGGACATCGTCTCAAATCCAAGGACAACAAGACGACGAAGATGTTCGACCGACTTTCCTGCACGCGGCGCATTCGTTAGTGACCCGTGTGATTGTAACTCACTCCAGTTCTTACTGGCACCCCCGTCCAGAACGATTTGGGAGAGTATTGGGCAATGGCAAGTGCTCGCGAGCGGCTACTTGCTGACCAGAAGGCCGACTTCGCCTGCCCAGGGGTTTTCGGCAATTATTCCGCATTCGCGCGCCAATTCGAGAAACCCATTTTGAAGGCGCGTACACCTAATTGCAGTGCGAAGGATTCTGAGTTGGGTCTGGATCGCAGCGAGCAGGTGAGGCTAATTCGTGTGACCCTCACTGACGCTCAGCTCAAGGAATTGTCGCTGGAATTTGTGCTGCGTCGCACATCCGAGGTGCTTACCAACTTCCTGCCTCCGAAGAGTGAGTTGACGCGCGGACAAGTCTAACTTCAGCCGAGTACGTTCTCTTCGTCGCTCCCTCAAAGCTGCAGCTGGAGGTCTTCAAGCGCCTTCTGGGAGGGCCACGGGACGTGACGGCTATGCTCCGCGGCATGAGTAGCACGCAGAGCCTCGCGACGAGTAGGTGAAGCATTTGTGTGTGACTGACGACTCAGTTGATCTCCTGCGCAAAGTAGCCAACTCCCCTACGGTTTGTGAGGCCTTTGCCATTTCTGACGCGCAGCTTCTGCGCAAGAAGGAAGACGGCAGCCACGATGACGAAGCGCTCGACATACTGCAGTCTGCTCTTTCTGTCATTCCCCCAAAAACTAGAACGGTGGACGCGACCATCAGCGGTGAGTCCAACGTCGCGCGTATCTACTGATATCAAGGCAAGTTGACAGTTCTCGAAAACATCCTCCGCTCCGTTGCCTACGCGCGCGATGAGAAGATCGTAGTGGTTTCGAGCTGGACGACTACCCTCAACCTTATCCAGGATTTGTGCATCCGCCACCGCTACGATTTCCTTCGCCTGGACGGAAGTACGCCACAGAAGCAGCGACAGGAGCTTGTTGACAGGTTCAACCGCCGCCCCGTCCAGGACAGCATGGTCTTCCTTCTCAGCGCAAAGGCGGGTGGTGTAGGGCTTAACCTCATTGGGTATGTCTCCTCTCTGTTCAATGTCTGACCGTACAGAGCATCGCGTTTGGTACTCTTTGACAGCGACTGGTAGGCTGGCATCGCATCAGCAACAACTGACTGTCCAGGAACCCGTCGACCGATCTCCAAGCTATGGCCCGCATTCACCGGTGCGTATGAAGAAGCTTCCGCTGTAGAAGGCTGACCTTAGTGATGGACAAAAGAAGCCAGTTTTCATCTATCGACTGCTTACGGTGAATACCATCGACGAGAAGATCTACCAGCGACAGATCACGAAGATGGGTCTCTCCGACCAGATGTTGGGGGAGGGCAGTGGCAGCAAGACTACCAAGGACTGTAAGCTCATCCTGTGGTACAGCGGCTGACGTACAGCCTTCTCATTCGAAGAGCTCCGTGACATCTTCACCGTCAGTTTGGAAACGGACGGCTGTGGCACTCGTGAGAGCTCACTGGTGCGCAGCTTACGTCAGATGACCTACTTGGCTGCGACTGCGGCGGCAAAGGCGGCACGCAGTTGGACAGCGTAGAATCTGCTGCCGATACGCCGGAGATTGAGAACAGCGAGAGTAGCTCGGATGACGAGGCCTCAGCAGGCTTCATTAGTGCCTCCCAGTTCGACCCTGAGCCAGTGAGTGGCCGCAAAAGACGCGACTGACTCAAAGACGGCTAAGATGTTGCGAAAGGTAGATGGCCAGGATTGGTCACAACTGACAATAGGCAAACAGAGTGCAGGCCGAGAAGCTCGCTGCGCTTAAGGAATGGGCGCACATTGATGCCTTCGACACGCAATCGGTGGGGGGGATCAAGGACAACTTGCTTTACAATATCCTGCGCGATGCCCAGAAGGCGGATCAGTCCAAGGTGGGCAAGGCTGATGAGGACGAGCGGCCTACTAAGAGGCTTCGCGGCGGAGACAGCAGCTGTAGCAGCCGCACCACTTCGCCAGGTGGGGAGACCACCGCTACGTCGCCTTCGCCCAAGAGCGACAGCAGCGATGAAGACGACAGCGACGACGCTGTGCGCGTTCCGGCTCGCCGCAAGACGCGGCCTCGCAACAGCGGCGTCGGAGCTGTGGCTGACACGGGGGTCGACCGCGTCAAGAAGCACAACTTGCATACAATCGCGGAGAATGACGGCGTTGGTCGAGTCTTATACGTGTTTGAGAAGGAGGCGCGCGCGCGCATATAGAGTGTAGCATTAGCATAGTATCAGCATCGTCACAGCATGGCACATGAATCAGTATATAGGTCGAGTCAGAGTTTGTGAGCATATCTCCAGGACTGGAATCGGATGAGGAACGACGTTGGGAAATGATGAATGTCATGCTAATGCTACCTACCACTGCGCCTTCTTGATGAGCTCTTCAACCTTGGAGAGCTTGGCCGCCTCCTCCTCTTCTCTCCTCTTCGCCTTCGCCTTCTGCGCCGCGATCAGGTTGGCCGCGTTCTTGTTGGCGAGGCCGACATAGACGGACTTTTCGGGAAGGCCGGGGTAGTCTGGGCGGTTGTCAAGCGACTGGATAAAGTAGCTCTTGCGCTTCGAGAAGGGCTTGCCGTGGCGAATGACAACAACGTCGCCGAGCATAGAGGCTGGGGTCAGCCTGATCATAACAGGATGATGGTCGCATGGGGTGAGGCCAGGCGGGTTTTTGAGAGCCTTCTCCACACAGCCTACTCACTCTCATTCTCGTCGTGCACAAGCATCTTGGTCTCCTTGTGAATGCGCTTGAGCAGCTTGGCGTGCTCAAAGTACCGTGGCACGGAGACAGTAACTGTCTTGCTCATCGCGCCCGTCTTGGTGACGATGCCGTAGAGGCTGTGGGACATGGCGGAGGGCGGATATCGAGGGGGGATGGGGAGGGAAGTCTGGCAATTTGCCTTTTCGCAGTGCGCAGTGGTAGTTGTCGCGTGGGTCGTCGACGTCGGCGCGGAGTCGGAGCGGAGCAGATGTCGCGAGATTGAACGAAGTCGGAAAGGGCAAAAGTCCAGTCTGGAACGGACATCTCCCCCTCCCCGCCGGTTTGCTCCCGTTCGCCACCGACCACGCGTCCAGAGCCGCGGCATTTGCTCCCGTGGGGCCAGTCGTCACCCCATCTGCTGGATGCTGGCCGCTGGGGAGCTCGTCGACTGCCTGGGAGCGCATCGTCACTCACACCCTCGGCGACGACGACCCACACACTCGCCACCCCGTTCGGCAGATAACATCTACCGGCGTGGATTGAGTAAACACCAATTCCGGCACTCAATTAACGCGCCAAGTCGAGCCCTAGGCCGGCCACCTCGTGACCTCAAGCTCTGCGCCAGCCTCCGCGGCGCTATCTCCAGCCTCCCCAGCTTCTTGCTTCCTCGCGCGTCTCGCATCTCTCCATCATCCACTCTACTGTCGACGTCCCCATCTCGTCGCCATCCTCATCCTTATCCCCCCATTGCTCTTCGTTGAGCAAGCACACCCACCAACGCACCTCCCGTAACAAGGACGTCACGCCCCACACGCACCTGCGCTCCCGCACCGATCTCGCCACCGTTCCGGTCTGAGACCCGCTCACGCGTCCCAACCATCCGCGGCAGTCTCAACAAGACCCATCACTTACCTTACACGCAACACAATGACCGTGATTCCTCCAGGTGCCAGGCTGGGTACGTACGTCCGCTCTGACTCTTCCGTCCCCATTCTGGGGTGTTGTTCCGTGAGCAGGCCACCAGTTGCCGCCCGCGTCCGTGGGCGTGAGCTGTGAAGCTGCGGCCTGATTCTGCCCCTTCATCCCCATCACCTGTCGCTCGCAAGCGCCGCGCCCTCCTGGCACGCGAGCGCTTACCCACGCCCGACGCGTCTCGCGTTGCGCGCAGCCTCCCTCCGACTATCCTCCCCCTCCTCGATTCCGCCGCGCGCTCTTGATGAGCGCGTGGACTCTCACTCGCGACTTATCACACTTCGCTCCTTGCGCCACCCTCACATTCATTCCCACGTTCGCACCCGCTTACTCCAGCACCCGTGGACCTTCCGCCGCCGCCGCCTGCGGCAGATCCCCGCGAGCCGGAGGGCAGGCGTGTCTCGAGTAGAACTCCTGGCCGCGCCAAGTCGCCCTACAGCAGTCGCGCCAACTCGCCCACGCGCCCGCGCGCCGACTCTAACTCGCCACCGCCACTACCGCTGCTGGCGCCTAAGCCCCGGACCGCGTCGGGACAGGGCTCTCTTGGCAAGCACCATGGGCCCGTGCACCTCTCGCGGCCGAGCTCGCCGAGCAGCATCCACTCCAGCGGCAGCGCGATTTTTGAGCGCGATATTGAGATGCCCGCCGCGCAAAGCCTTAGTACGCTCAGCCACAAGGGGAGCCGCGTGTTCCACCACCCGCACGGCTCGACGCTGGAGCACACCGTGCCCGCCGTGCTCGACGATGCGGTTGAGGCCCTCACGGCCTCAGGGCCCGACAGCATAACCGGCCTTGAGATCGAGGCGCCCGCATCAACGACGGGCGCCGCGCGCTGCGGGTCGGCTTCGCTCTCTCCAGCACTGCGGTCTCGCGTCGCCTCCATGCCCTTCAGCGCCAGCCGTTCGCCCTCCCCCGACTCTAACCCACACTCGCCGCACGCGCCGCCTCTCTCGCTGGCTGCCGCCGCCCTTGCTCCCCTCACTGGCAACAAGAACTCGACCTCCATGTCGCCGACGTCCATCGACCTCTCGCAAGGCATGCCCGACTCCCCCACGCAGATGTACCACGGCAAGCACCGGCCCGCTCCGCTGCGGCATCTCTCGAGCGGTCCCCAGGTTCCTGGCGGGTGGGCGTTCACGGACGAGGACTCGCAGGGCGCGACGGCAGTGAGAAGTGAGAGCACGAGCGGCGCGGTGACCCCGGTGCCGTCTGCCCTGCCCTCGCATCTCACGCCGACGAAGGAGAAGCGTCGTGTCAGCTTCATCTCGTACAACGACCTGCTGCTCAGTGTGCCCACCGCCGTCACCTCCCTGGACGACATTACCACCGGCAACCATGCGCCGGACCATCTGCCCGGCACTGTGTCGCCGAGCGTGTCGTCTCGCTCCCCCGTCATGGCCGCAAGCCCCATCAGCCTTGCTGGCCCGTCCATGCCCGACGCTCTGCGCCCACTCAACAGCACCATGCTCGAGGGCGAGTGGCAACGCGAGGGCCTGGGCAAGGGTCTCGAGCAACGCCTCGAGGACCTCGTGTTCCATGACAAGCCTGTCACCGCAGAGCCCAAGGCCTAATGAATGACCATTTAGTAGCCATATACCCCTTCCGGCAGGGTGTCCGCACCATCAAATGTCTGGTATAATTAACGATCGCGTAGATGCTGTGAATGCAATGGATACAGTGGATAGTCTACAATTCTAGTCTAGTCTCGCCCAGTCTATGATCTAGACGTACTCGGGGGTCCGCGTGCGTGGGACGAGATGCTCGAGCTCATCGGGAGTGGCGGTACCATCGGTGCGCAGACTTCGTCTGCTTGCGATTCTCGACATGCGGCTGGATTGGCGGCGGATGCGCCGGACGGGTGTTGTGGGTTCCTCGTCTAGGCCAGCGACGGCGCGCGCGTTTGACAGCCGCACATCCTTGGTCAGGAAGAGGCACACGATGGGCGGGATGACAGCGATGGCAATGGCCCAGGACTGATGTCAGTGAGTTAAGGCGTTGAAGCAATTCAAAGTGAGCACTTACCACCAGCCGATGCATGACTGAGCGATATGCTTCGATCGCGCCAAGCCGGATAGGGTCGTCGATGGGATACTCGACAATATCGGTGATGCTCCCAAACAGCTCGTCCAGCAAGGTCTGGTTGGTCGTGGGCACATGCTCTGCGAGGTCGCGGGGCATGTACGTGTTCCAAATGCCCGTGGCGGCCGCGCTGCCCACCGAGTTGCCGACTTCGGACAGTAGCAGCGTCATTGCGGTAACGGTGGCGATGTCAGCCGTCCCGACTGCAGCCTGCGCGCCGACCTGTGTCGCGATGCCCGCGAAGCCGCCCCCGAGACCCTGTAGAACCTGGCAGAGCACGAGCTCGAATGTGCTGCCCTCGGCTGAGCGGGCGCGGAGCATGATGCCTACGCCGAGGAGACGCACGATCAGGCCCGCGAAGAGCATCCACTTGAACCGGCGCGTGGCGTACATGATCGCGCCGGCGACGATGCCGAACACCGTGATGCTGAACGCGTGCGTGTATACAAAATACGCGACGGTTTTGAGGCCCCAGTCTTCCGTCACGAGCACGAACGAGTACAGGTACGTGTATTGCAGGTAGAACGAGGTGAAATCGAAGAAGCCGATGAGGCAAGCGGAGAGGATCGGGGTGCGCCGGAGCCAGCGCATCGGAAAGACGGGGTGCGCCGGAACGCGCCACTCGTACGCGAGGAAGGCGGCGAAGAGAAGGAGGCCAATGAGGCCCATCCCGATCTGGGTCAGCTGCGATCGCGCGGGAACGTACCAGAGTGGTATGCTCCCAATTGTTGTTGTCGGCAGGCACAATGCCTAGGGGCACGAGAATGAGCGCCAGGCTCGCAGCGACGAGCACAAGCCCCACGAAGTCCATTTCAGCCGCAGCGGCGCGCAAAGCCGTCCCCAAGTTGTGCTGAGGCCGCAGGCGCTCGCGCTTCTGGGAGAGGAGGGCGATAATGAGTGGCGCGAGCATGAGGGGCACGACGAGGGCGAACTGCACGTACCCGCGGCGCCAATCGGGAAGCACTCGGCTAGCGATCTCGGCGCTCACGAAGATGTTGATAAGGAATGGGGCGCTGACGAGCCCGCCGACAAGCCCGCGCCACCGCAGAGAGGTCATGTCCGCAATCACGATCTGGAGGAGGATCTGAAGACCCGTGTAGCCGAAGGCATAGAAGACATTTCCAACGGCAATAGTCGATATGCTTCCGGCTGCGGCAATTGTAAGCTGAGGTGAGCTGTGCACGAGAAGAGAAGGCAAGTAAGAATGAGGCGAAGGAGCAAGCGGCGGCGACGTACATAGCCGATGAGGTAGAGCGTGGCTACGACGAGGAACGCCTCGCCCCGCCCGCAGACGTCCGCGATCTTGGCCATGAACGGCTTGCCGACTGCGATAATAATGGCCTGCACGGTGCCGATGGTGCCGGCACTCGAGTGATGGCGGACGGCCGAGGTTCTGTTGTCAGTCGGTGGCGCTGGGAAGGGTGGCGAGTGGCGCAGGCCAACTGGGGCTGCTGCAGCAATCAAGCACGGGCGCAGTCGAGCGGACTCACGCGAACGATAGATACTGGTACGTTGTCATGCCTGCAATCAGCTAAATCCGAGCGCCGGCTCACCGTCCAACGAGTATATGTAAGCGGCGAGGGCGATGCCAAGGAACACGAGCCACCCTCGTCTGGCCGGCGCCTCGTCGTCGCTCTCGTACTCGTCCTCGGAGTCGGAGTCGGACACATCGACAGGAGGATCTAGTAGAGGTGCGCGGCCCATGTTTGTGCAGTGGTGGATGTTGTGTTTGCTAAGTGTAACGGCGTGAGCAGCTCGCTTGCGTGGGCCGCAGTCGGGCATCTGACGACCACCATCTGGACCGGGTCAGCCCTGGTTATCTGATAATCGCCGCCTCTGCCCCACTTTTTGGACGGACATCATGCCCTCTCCGTGAGAATGTTGTGAACTTCCGCCTCTGGGAACGCCAACTCGTCAACACTCCTTCCCCATGGTCCGCTTCAAGTATCGCCACCTCCTCGTAGAGTTCCTCGACCCCGCGTCGCTATCGCCTCTTCCATCCCTCCCCGACAAGCTGCCAGATGCAGATGAGGTGGAAGGCGAAGAGTGGGAGGGGGAGGAGGAGTTAGCCCGCATCCCCGATATACCATTCGTCCTGCCGCTCAATCCCACACAACCGTTGTTGGGCGACGACGGCTCTAGTGCCGTGTATAAGGCCGTCAGGAGCATGTGTCAGAGCGTGTTTGGGGATGAAGGATGGGGGCGGGTGTCCAGTAGTTTCAAAGGTGAGTGCGAAAGCGGCGTGGTAGCTGCCTGGATCAAGCTCCAACGATGCTCGGATTGAATGCTGAGGCCAGTGTCATATCACTCGCCGCTTACCACTCTCACAATCCTGCGCGTTGCGCGTCCGCACTACCGCCTTCTTTGGGCGGCCATCACGCTCCTGACCTCCATCGGAGGGGTTGCAGTTCTTCCTCGCGTCGTCGCTGTTAGTGGGACGATCAAGAAGCTCCAGGCCGCTGCGATTGTGCACCACCGGCGCGTCACAGCTGCGGCAGTTGCGGCGCTGCTCAAAGAGGGTAAGTCTCGCTGGCCAGTCATACCTAAGTGAACGAAAGCTGACCAAAGGCGTCAAGGGCGAGGCGGACAGGGAGGCGCTAGAGAAGCGCTGGGTGGCTGAACGCGAAGAGGTGGCCCGCCTCGAAGCGCCGGAATAGTTGTATGCATACGGGACTAACAGTGTACAACAGATCCTATCCTACAGTCTATGTCATCGCTTGGTCGTACAATGCTCACTTCACCCTAACACTCTGCATGCAGAGTTCGACGTGCCGGAGCCGCTCCACGCGCGGATCCTGAGCGGCGCCGAGCCGGCCACTGGTCACGAGACCGACTCCGCGCGCATCACGCACAAGCTTGAGTGCGGCACATGTCTCATCGATTATGCCGTCTAATGTCAGCGGAGTCCACCGGCCGCAAAAAGAACTGACCGTAAGGCTCGCCCGCACGCCCCATTTTAGCAATGTCCAGTTCCAACTCGCGGGCGACCTTCTTCAACAGCTTGACACTGATGTCAGCTTGCCTGTAGTGCGACTAACCGTTTGTCTCCAACCTCGCTCCGCCCCCAGTGTTGGAGCACCTCCTCAGCAAGCGCCCCGCTCTCCAAGCTTAGCCGAAGTGCCTCGCCCAGCTTCTGAATCGCCGCCTGGCGACCCGATGGGTCTGGCACTGTGGAAACTGATGACGGCTCGGGTAGTCGCGCTGGTGGAGCGGTGTCTGTCTCCACAAACTGGCTGAACTGCGAAGGACCAGGTAAAAATAGTGGCTGCCGTGCTCGTGGAACTGGCTGTGCTGGTGTAGCCTGCGACGGGTCGCCGCGGAGGTGTGAAACCTGCGCGTTAAAGGCGGGTATGGCTTGAGGGGCAATGGGGGATGTGTCGATGAACGGCGTCTTGAACTGGGAACCAATCTTTACACGCTTCCGCGGGGCACCGCTGTTATAAAAGGAAAGCGGACCACCCTCTCTTGCCGGAGTAACGGCTTTGAACGCTTGTTCTCGCGCCATACGCTTGCGCTCAGCATACTCTGGCGTGCGTTCGTCGCCCAATATGACCACTGCGCTCCTCAAGCCCTCATCTGCGACCTCGTCCATCGTTTGTAATCGGCTTGGTGTGCGTATCTGAGCCTGAGGGGTAGCGTAGAGAGGACGGGGTGCTGCAGAAACGCCCACGCGAGGCAAAGGTGTGGTGAAGCGACTCCCCACCTGCAGCCTGGGCGTGGCATGGACGCTTCTACTCGAGAGCATGGGGGCTGGCGTCCGCAGCGGGGTTGGTAGCTCATTCCCCGCAAGCCATTGTTCTGTGAAGTCGTCGTCGAGATCTGGGTCGTGTGTGGAAGCCAAGTCCTGGACCGGTGAGAGGTTGGTGACGCGACTGGCGGGTAGCAGTGCGGACGAGGCATGCAGCCTGGCTAGAGAGTTCCTGACCTGACCACTCAAGACGAAATAGTCTGGCGACGGCTCCAGCGGGGCCGGTTGGATGATGGGCGACGCCACTTCGCACTCCTCGTTAAGTTGATTGGCACGCAAGTACACGCCACTTCGATTGGAGCAGATCTGGGAATCAGGTTGATCGGTGGTCTAACTCACATCGCACATCCCATCGCAGTACTTCTGCTTGACACCCGGCGTGGCCTCATCGATATCCTCTCCGAAAAATCGGCAGATGGCGATGTGCCGGCAGAGGGAGATCGACTCGGCATAGTGCTGTAGCTAGAAGTGTTGGTATTGCAGGCCCGCACGAATAGACCTACTGCTTTGAAGCTATTGACCATTCGTAGTTTCGCCCTTTCCATTGTGGTCTGGTCCACGCCGTTCTTCCTGCCACTCTCAGCCTCCTTGGCAATTAGGCTGCGCAAGTATCGAGCATCTTCCCGGGCTACGGATCAGAGCTGTTCTCATAAAGCTTTAGCTCACCGTAATAGAGAACACAGCGGGACATCTGGTGTCAGGCCTTCTGTGGTGGCTACTCACATGACCGTCTCGTCCTGCGCGGCCCGTTTCTTGATAGTATCCTAATTTCAGCTCTGCCAGCCAGATTACCCACCCTCAAACGACTTTGGCATATCGTAGTGCACAACATATCGAACGTGTGGCTGGTCCACGCCCATCCCAAACGCGATGGTGGCGACGATGCACTCGACCTTGCCCTCTTTCCAGTCATCGAGTGCCTGGTTGCGTTTGTGAGCTGACAGCTTGGCGTGGAACGGCATCGCCGAGATACCGGCGGTATTGAGGGCTTCGGCGACGACGTGACACTAAGGTCAGCTCAGCTTTCATATGATGAAGCCCACATTGGCAGTCATGCGACAGTATACCAGCCCCGAGATGCACGGCACTTCAACATTGTGACGCCTATTGATGCCCTCGGCCTCGCGCGAAAACGAGCGAATGAACTTGATGAGGTCATCGATGATGTCCGCCTGTCGATCCCATCCACCTTGGTGGCGCACCTCGTAGAAGAGATTCTTGCGGTTGAAGGGCTCTACCCACTGCGCAAGGCCCTGGTCTGAGGTTTTGGGCATATTGAGGATCGTGAGCATGTCGTTGCGCACCTCGCTAGTGGCGGACGCAGTGAGCGCGGTGATGGGAACAGAGGGGTAACGAAGGCGGAACTCGCCGAGCTTGCGGTACGTCTGAACGTCAGCTCAGTGAGAATGAATGGTTAAGAGAACTCACTGGTCGAAACGTAGAGCCCCATTCCTGCAATTAGCTACACCAGACGCAAAACGCACATCGATAACGTGGGCCTACAGGTCAGCACACCACAGGTGGAAGCCGGCTCACCTCGTCGACCACTAGCCGGGCAATCTGTGCTTGACGGTACGCCACATCAAAGTCAGCCGTGTATTTTGGGCTGAAAAGCGTTTCCGGTGTGACATAGAGGAGGCGCAACTGCGGGTGACCGAGCCGGAGTTGTCGTTTGATCTGTCCACGTCAGACTGGCATAAGACACAGTTTACCTCTCGAATCTCTGTGGGGTCGGTCTTCTCGCTGAGCTGAAACGCCTGAATACCCTTTGCACGCATGCTGGAGACCTGGTCACGCATGAGGGCTGAGACATTAGCAATTGCAGTTGGCCGAGACGGACCGAGAAGAGGCGACACCACAACTGTGATTCCGTATTCGCATGAAAGAGCAGGCACCTGAAAGCACACCCTGGTATGAGCTTCTCAATGTGATGTCGATTCACGATTTTCCCAATCCTGTTGGTGCGACTACAAGTACATCGCTCCCGCGAAGCGCCCACATGCAGATGTCAAGCTGCGGACCCCGGAAGTTGGCGTGACCCCAGTACTTCTGGAGTGTACGGCGCAGGGCAGCTTGGCTCTCAGTAGCTGACGGGATGCGCTTGAACTGTCGTGGGCGAAAGTTGTTTCGCTCGTGCTGGCGTCAGCCCCGCGCGGGGTGCGAACACGCCTGTGATCCGAGTTGGCAGGGGTATGTGCTGGGGAGCGGAGTGGCGGGTGGCAACGGAAAGTCGGTGAGCTTTAACAGCTCACCGTTGGCCCCGATCATGCCGAAATAAGAATGGAGATCAATACCGAGGTGTTACGACAGCAGTAGTGTGAAGATTGTCAAGGCGATGGAGAGAGTGGTTGAGCAGGATGAGCGGTTGACGCGACTTGTCAACAAGCAAGGAAGACAGTCACGAGGGGATTAGCGGGATCAAATATTGTATTGAGCATTGTGTATCCAGGGGGCACCCAGGAACAGAGCAGTCGCCACCCAAGGTCGATGACGACTGTCGTTGTGTGTGCGTACGGTGATGCCCCGCTTCCGCCTGGAGAGATCTCTTCCTTCCCTCACCCCTTCAACACGCGCGCGCCCCACTCACTCGCGCTCCCGTCTTTGTTATCATCTCTCCATCTCGCCCTCTCTTCATCTCTCCATCTCTCCATCTATCCATCTCCCAACCCCCCTCCATCATCACACCCTACCCTCTCGTCGCTGCCGCACAGTACCCGTGTGTCACATCACCACCGGATCCGCACCTCTCGTGCAGTGACTACGCAACCACGATAGGAACGCACCGCTTCCACCGCTTCCGCGCGACCCAATCGTCGCGTCCAGCTCACCGCAAGATCTACATAAGCCATGTCGCACAGGAATACTCAGGAGGAGCAGGACCCTCCAGCCGAGAGATCTTCTACAGCGACGCCACCGGAGCCATCAGGAGACTTGAGTGCAACGATGCCGCCAGTCCCGCCACCTCCGATAATGACGCCTGCCATGGAAGCGCAGAGTATCCCATCTGCCACGTTCGCGTCATCGTCCGTCAGCGATTCTGAGCAGGTGACCCAGCGTGACGCTTCGCCGACGACGCAGCCCAGTGATCCAGACTCCACTCCTATCGCACCCATTCCCGGAATGCGCTTCCCCCACTTCCCGACTCCTGAGCGACATGGTACTGCGCGCCCGCGCGACTATCGGCGCATAGCGACCGCAGACGAGGCTTCGCACGACCAGAAGCTTTCAGAAATGGGCTCAGTGAGACAGCGTCTCCCATATTCTCTGACGGTAGATTCGGATGGGCGCGTCCGCTCTCATCTCGGCTCTCTCGGCCTTGCCACGCGATGACGAGGAGTCGTCCCTTTCATCTGACGAGGAGGTGTCCTATGAGGTGGATGTGACGACCCACCTGCCCGTGCGCCCGAAGAGTGAGCCACCTTGGTACATGGTCTGCTAATCGCAGTGTCCCGCATGCACTCGTCCCTTCAGACACTGCGCCCAATGGCCTCAATGTCTGACCCGGATACTCACAACGCACATTCCCAACCCACATTCTTGCGGACTCCGCCACGCAGCGCCCACAGCCCGCCTCATCGCGCCCGCAGCCCGCTCGGGAGTGGTCGAAGCCGCCCTACAAGCCCCGAGTCCCATCATAAGCTCACCTTCCCGTACAAGGAGAATGTGATCACGCGGCGTGCCCGTGCACCTAGTCTCACTGAGCTACGGTACCAACATGCACCCGCAAGTCCTGAAGGAGCACATGAGCGGCTTCCATGGCAAATGCGCGTCGGATCCAGCTCTACGTTAAAGGAGATCGCGTCTGATTTGGTTGAGCCCTCTCAGGAAGTGGAAGAGGTCCAGGGATCTGCGCTCGGCAAGCCAGAGCGTGGTCACCTAGTTGTCGAGCGCGAGGACACGCCACGGATGCTTCAGCGGGTCTTTGGGCTCCAGGAGCAAGAGGAACTCATCGAGGAGATGCACTGTTGGCTGCTTCGCTCTGACAGTAAGATAGCATCCCATCTTCCAGCTCACAGCAGTGCTTCAAGGCTACATGTATCTCACGAGACGACACATCTGCTTCTTCGCAAAGGTTGGGCAGACTGAGAATGACAAGACGATCAAGAGTGGTCCGCTGTGGAAGAAGGCCAGTCGCACCAAGCTCAGTAACAGATATTGGGTGACCCTGCGGAATAATGTCTTGTCGTGGTACGAGAGTCCTAACGTGAGCTATACAGTTGCTGAAGAACCTGACAGTAGGATCCGTACTTTCCGAAGGGCAACGTGTCGTTGCAGTACGCGCTGAGCTGTGACCTGGTGGACGAGACGCGATTCAAGGTCAGACTCCCAGAGCGTAACTATACCTTCCAGTCTGACACCGCGAGCAACGCACAGGAATGGGTGCGCGTCATCCAAAAGTCCACCGTCAAGCTGCAGCATGAAGGGCAGGGCGTCAAGCTTATCATCCCATGGGAGGCTGTCTACGAAGTGGAGAGAAGCCCAACTCTGGAATTTGCGGAGACTATCGAGGTAAGCAGTGCAGCAGTAGCTAGCAGACTGACAGTCCAGATCAAGGTTATCGATTCGGAGGACTCCATGTCGCTCGACAGTTACTTCTTCGCCTCATTCCCAGACAATGATTACGCATACGAACTCCTCCAGACACTTCTTCGAGAGCGACCCGTCTCGGAACTTCCCCCGCCCGCCGCCCCCAGCCCCAAACCCGCCGAGAGGAAGCGCGATTCTGGCTCGAGGTTCAGTCTGACGAACTTGAGCGCGGCGCTGCCCATTCCCATTCCGAAATTCGGCAGCGATAAGGGGGACAGTAGTGAACGCGTGCCAATAGCTCCACCAATGGTCCTTGACCTACCTTACTCAGGGCATGATTCGTTTACGAGTCACAGCGAGGCGGACTCGGAAATGAGTGAGGACGACGAGGCTACTCGTCGCCGCAAAGAGTATCCGCCACGGCCGTCAGGCCCTCCTCCGCCAGGCATGGGTCCAGCGTCATCAGGGTGGGCCCCGGCGGACTGGATCCGCCGGGGTTCGGCGCAGCTGTTCGGCACATCTCCGGGGTCTCAACCTCCCCCTCCTCGGCGCCGCATCCACCGGCAAGGATCGGTGACCGAGGTGGTCGAGGGCTACAGTTTCGACAGCACCGACGAAAGCGAGAGCGAGCGGCGGCTCAGTGGTGCGAGGCAATCCTTCTCGAAACTTGCGAGCACAACTCCAGAGTCCCCACAACCGGCGCAAGAGGATGCGATAGCCATAAAGTTCCGCAAGACATTCGCGCTGCCGGAAACGGAGGTTCTCATTGATCGTGAGTGAACGTGTCTTGTTCATGATTGACGTGCAAGACATCTCGGGCAGCTTATACCGTGTCTTGCCAGTCTCGGGACGATTCTTCGTCTCCAGCAACTACTTCTGTTTCAGATCGTCAGGACTGCTCAACAAGACCAAGGTAAGCTGGGAACATGACATGTTAGCTCACGATAGATGATCGTGCCCATCCGTCAGCTTTACGGCATGACAGCGCAGAAGGCGTTCCGTTTCGGGCACCACGGCCTGATCGTTATCATTAAGGGGCACGAGGAGCTTTTCCTCGAGTTCCACTCCGCGAGTAGACGTGATGAGCTCATGGCGCTCCTCGAGGAGCGGATGGATGACGTGCGGGAAGCCAGCCAGGCCAACAAGGCCCTGGAGGCTGCCTTCCCCAACGCGCAGGGACCGTTTGTGAACGACATGAGCGACGCTCCGGAAACGGCGATCGGCTCAATGTTCAGTTCGACCACCAGTTCATTCTTGCAGTTCAAGCCTGAGCCGATGACCATCGTGTGCCTCACCATTGGCAGCCGTGGCGATGTGCAGCCGTATATCGCTCTGTGTAAGGGTTTGCAAGCCGAGGGCCATACGTGCCGTATCGCTACGCACGCCGAATACCAGGCCTGGGTGGAAGGAGTGAGTGTGGCGAGAGGTTGTGCTGACGGCAGCATGGTATTGGGTTTGCCCCGGTGGGCGGCGACCCCGCCAAGCTCATGGAGCTGTGCGTCGACAACGGCATGTTTACGATCTCCTTCTTGAAGGAGGGACTACAAATGGTGAGTGAGGATGGCGATAATGGCTGACAGCAGTTCCGAGGCTGGTTAGACGAGCTTCTGAATGAGTCGTGGTCAGCGTGCCAGGGCGCAGACTTGCTCATCGAGTCACCGAGCGCCATGGCCGGCATCCATATCGCGGAGGCACTACGCATTCCGTATTACCGCGCTTTCACGATGCCGTGGACGCGCACGCGTGCCTACCCCCAAGCGTTCGCCGTGCCCGAGCACAAACGCGGTGGGAGTTACAATTACATGACGTACGTCATGTTCGACAACGTTTTCTGGCGAGCGATCTCGGGGCAGGTCAACCACTGGCGCAAGACCGTGCTCAAGATTGAGTCGACGACATTCGACAAAATGGCGCAGGACAAGGTGCCATTCTTGTACAACTTTTCCCCTACTGTTGTGCCCCCGCCGCTGGACTGGACGGAGTGGATCCATGTCTCCGGCTACTGGTTCCTGGACAATGCGGACGGCAAGAAGGACTGGTCGCCGCCTGATGGCATTGTTGAGTTCATCGACAACGCTCACGCGCGAGGCAAGAAGGTCGTGTACATTGGCTTTGGGTCAATTGTCGTCTCCGATCCGCACGAGATGACGCGTTGTGTCGTGCAGGGCGTCGTAGACTCGGGCGTTTGCGCCATTCTCAGCAAGGGGTGGTCGGATCGTGGTAGTCGTGGAAAGAATGACCACCCAGAGCTGACCGCTATCACCTCGCACGGCGCGGACGGTATCGAGTTCCCGCCGGAGATATTCTCGGTCGACGCCATTGACCACTCCTGGCTCTTCCCCCGCATCGATGCGGCATGCCATCACGGAGGCGCGGGGACCACAGGTGCCTCCCTGCGCGCCGGCATCCCGACGATCATCAAACCGTTCTTTGGCGATCAGTTCTTCTGGGCAGAGCGCGTTGAGTCGCTCGGTATCGGCTCCAGCCTGAGACAGCTCACTTACGAGGGCCTCGCCACCGCACTCATCGAAGCAACGACGAACGAACGGCAGATTGCCAAGGCCAAGATTGTTGGCCAGACAATCCGCGCAGAGGATGGCGTCCAGCGCGCCATCGAGGCCATTTACCGAGACCTCGAGTACGCACGATCGCTCATTCGCCCGGAAGAGGAGAACTTGCCCAGTCGGTCGACGCTTTCGCTGTCGATGTCGAACTCGATGTCGCGCCAAGGTAGTGGATCGCACAGCCGTGGGCACAGCCGCGCGTCGAGCCTCGGCGATCTGCTCATTCACTCGCACACACGGACGCGGAGCACGGAGGGTGCGCGCTCCGACGAAAGCTGGAGCGTTGTGAGCGATGCGGGCGCCAGCCTGCCGTCGTCGCCGCGCCGTGAAGCGCACGAAAGCGACAGCGACGACCACCACCATCGTATCCCTGTTCTCGGCAGCCTGGTTAGCCACATTAGCTCGGCCATAACCCGCGAGTCCTCATCGCGCAAATAGACGCCATCACCATCTGTATCCACACCTGTAGCCAGCCGGACTCGCAGCACCTTGTCAAGGGTATCCGTATGCATGCTGCTGCTCTACTCGAGGGACTCGGCCGCCTCGCGCTTCTGCTTGACGAGCTCCTTCATGCGGCGCACGTAGCTGGCGTCAGCGCGGGAGAGATGGCCACTCACTCGTCGTACTGGCACTTCTCGTACGTGTGCCTCTCGTCCTCGCACTTCCATGGCAGGTAGTCGGTCTTGTGGCGGCAGATGTTGAGGGGGATGAGGAGGCTGGGGTCAGCAAGGGGCTGGTGAGACGGGCCGGGTGGGCGAGCTGCATCCGTCAAGAATGCTGGCTCTATCTAAAGTCCGCACGACTCTCGTCAAGCTCAGCTCGGCGTTGCGTCTATCCTCCTCCGCCGCAGGCGGGCGATCGCGCCGACACATCCTCGACCGCCAGAGCCAAGCGCAAACGCCACGGCATTGGGCTACACGCAGCCACAACACCGGTGCAGGACAGCAGGTGCACCAAGAGGGCCTCCGCTGGTCTGGGCACTGCCTGCGCGTCGCCGGGATGCAGCGCAGGCACGGGGTAGGCGGTACGCGGAGCGGCGCGATGCGAAGCGGGGAAGAGCGGGATGCCGAGGAGACTGGAGACGGTGTCGCGCCGAGAGATGCGCGGAGAGCAGAGGAAGCAGGGAAAGGTGGGAGGCGCTGAGGCGCCGCGACACGCACGAGGAGCACTGGTCGCGCCAGCCCAGGGGCAGGCGGTTCGCCTTCATCTCGGTCTCGGAGGCGGTGGTCGACGCGGCCATGGTGGTGTGGGGTGTCGGCGATGTCGAACTCGAACGTCCTGGTAGGCTGGCCGTTAGGTGGGATCGGCGAGATCAAGCGGGGAAGGGCGGAGGGCGGAGGCAGATGAGCGGTGTTAGGCGGTCCGGGATGTGTGGCGGTTGAATTCGCGGATGGCACTCCTTGATCAGGCTCATGATGCATGCATCACTCCACAAAGCATAGGAAGATGGTTGGATGCATGCGTGAGGTACTAATGGCTAGCGCACGTCCGGGCTGGTGGATGTAAGGAAAGAGCCAGCTCATAGTGTCCCCGCGACGCTCTATCTGATGCATTTCACATCGCCTCCGAGATTGCCTCTACTCCTTCGTACAAGACTCTAGATGGCTCAGAAAGCTGGCAAGTTGGATTGCTAGTGCGAGTGGCTGGAGCCCTCGTCGCCCTCAGCGACGTGGTCGAGGCGAGGGGTGCGAGGCTGGCTCGGGGGCGCGGTGGTGGGGCAGCACGTGTCGGCAGCGCACTGCTCAGGCGGGCAGCGGATGAGGCAGGTGTTGCCCTCGTCTCCAGAGTCCGAAACGGTCTCGGAACCGGTGTAAAACTCGGGCTGTATCGTGACACTGTGGATACCGTGCGAGTGCAGTTCCTGGCGGATGTTGCTTGCGACCTCCATGTAGTCCTTGTCAGGCTCGATCAGGACGTGGACGGAGGCGACGGTAGTGGTTTCGGAGAGCTGCCAGATGTGCAGATCGTGTACGCTCACCACACCATCGACGCTCTGAATCGACTCGCGGACTGCCTCGAGCGACACGTGCTCGGGCACACCCTGCATCAGAATCTTGGACGCTGACCGCACGAGCGGCATTGCCGAGCTGAAGATGATGCACGTGATGAGCAGCGACACGGCCGGGTCAAAGAGCAACGTCCAGCTTCCCTCAAAGCTGGAGTAAGAGGGGGTTGCGAGAAGGCGGGCGGACTCACAACCAGATGACGAGACCGGCCGAGATGACACCAACGTTTCCAAGGCTCGAGCGTTAGCTGGATCGGCCGAACGGTTACTCACGCATCACCCAGGACGTGAAGGAAGACACCACGCATGTTCATAGAGCCGTGCGAGTGGCCGCTGCTAGGTGTCTTTTTGCCATGCTTGTGGCCGTGGTCGTGTCCGTTGCCCCGCTCCGCAGCGTCGGCATCCGGTGCGTGCTTGGGCGAGGGAACAGTCTTAGGGGACACAGGCTCCTCGACTGCGGTGTTGTCAGTCGATGGAGTCGCTGCGGAGGCGACCGGCTCGCGCGGCTGAGGGGCTATGGTCTCGTTAGTGCCCGGCTGCGGAGCCTTGAGGGCAGCGAGAGGGCGCGAACGGCGTCTGCTAGCGTTTGACAGCATACGCTGGTGCGCGGGTCGGGGTGAGCCGGTGTAGCTCTCTGCCTCATAGGACGCGCCGAGCCGCGCGGCCTCGATGATCTGAGCGCGTGTCTCGGCTGGGTGCTGGTAAGGGAAGGTGAGGCTGTCAGAACGGCGGCGCGGAATGGGCTCCGCTTCGGGGTGGAGCGGCTCATCCTCGTCAGCCGGAAGCGAGATGGCGCCGTGGTCATGACCGTGGTCGTGTCCGTGACCGTGTCCATGGTCTGTCGTCAGAAAGGAAGGCGCGGACATCAACTCACCATGGAAGAGGAAGAGGCCAACAATGTTGCTAAGGAGGCCGGCGCTGCCGACGGCGACGATGAGCTTGGGGTTGGTGATCTCTGGCGCTATCAGCTTGACAGTTTATCGGTACGCACCAGGAGGCGAGATGAGACGCCCGACTGCCTCGACACCGATAGATGCACAAAGCGCGATGAGGAAAACACCGTTGATCAGTGCACCCAGAATTTCGGCACGCTGCCAGCCATACGAGTTGGCGGCGCTCGAAGGACTGGTGGCGAGCTTGATGGTGTAGAGCGCAACGATAAGGGAGAGGACATCGCTGGATGTCAGCAAGGATGGCAGCAGAAGGATGACATACTTGAGCATGTGGAACGAGTCGGCGACGAGAGCGAGCGAGCCGACGGCATATCCGACGATGAGCTCCTGTGTGTCAGCGTCGAAGAGCAAGATGAAATGACGTACAAGGAAGAAGAAGGCCGTGTCAATGACGAGGAGGGTTATAATCCTCGCCTCTCTGGAGAGACCCATGATGGCGGAGAGTGATGAGGGAGAGTGTGGAACGAAGATGAGGAGGGGAGGAGAGGGAAGGGGAGTTTATGCCTCGAACTGGACTTGAACCAATTCCCCAAAAACTTCAGTTTTGTGCTCTACCAGGTGAGCTATCGAGGCCTATTATCCCTAAATTTAATTTTTTCATATTTCCGGGTCGAGAAATAATCTAAAATTATTTTCCCTATATCTATTCCATATATGCAGAGAATTTTTATTAAGGAAATACCTAGATATATTCTTTCTTTTATATCACTATGTTTTTATACACTTATCCTCTCTCTCCTCAATTGCCTAAAGCACCTCATACTTCCAACCCGTAGATTATTATTTCATTAGACTATGTGGTGGTCGGACTACACCGGTCGGTGGGTGGCGGCAAATGGTCGGGGTGGAGATGTGATGGGAATGGGGAATGACCAGGAGATCAAGGAGAGGAAAGAGTAGCGGCTTGTGACTGCACTCGTCGGGAGGAGGGAGAGAGTGATGATGTGACGGAGAAGGCGGAGATGGTGTGCGGCCATGTGCGGTCAACGGTCACGGTACCACCACGGCGGTTGATCCAAAGTTGATGCGGGGCAGATGACGCCGCCCTCGCCCCGGCAGAGAGAGGCCAGCCAGTCAGTCGGACATGTCGCCATCGCCGCACAAGACAAGCCCGAGTATAATAATACACTCTTTGTATTCAGCTGTGTCTCATTTCCTATTCCAGTGTTCCTGAGCCTGAGCAATTCAGCATTATTACCCTGAGCTACCACGAATGTTATCACGTGACATGTTGAGCGTGTGAGAGTCACGTGGAGTGTGCCTGGATCTGCTGCGAGGAGAGGGGAGGATCAAGGATATCAAGGGAAGCAAAACGCGTCGACGACTTTGTTGCCTTTTGAGTTTGGGACAGGCGAGCGACAAGACGACGACTTACCGATCGACAGAGACAGTTCCCAGACTACTCTTCTTCTTCTTGTTCTTCTTCGCCATCGCTCTCTCTTCATCTCCATCTCTCCATCTCTCCATCTCTTTCTACCCCTCCAGCAACGCGCGCGCAACGACAGTACACACCCCATCTTCGCCCTCCATCTTCAGACTCGATCGCTGCCTGACAACAACCTCTCAACCTTCCTATCTCGTCCTCACCCAACTTTCCTCTTTCGCTCTTCCTTCAGCTTCCCTGCAATCCATCCAAGATGGAGCGCCTGCCCATCGCTTTTTGTCCAAGCGACATCCCACCCCTCCCCACCGAACCCCATCCACAGCCCTCCCCACTTCAGCAACTCGTCAGCCATACCGTCTCAACAACCGACTACGATGCCGTCTGTGTGCCTCTCGCCAACGGGCTCTGGCAGGACAGGTGGGAGCGTCTGTGTCTTCGTCCCGTCGGCATGGAGGAAGACGACGACAACGGCTCTCTCCAAGATCGCGCTGCTGAGATTGACCGCGAGGCGGATCTCTTCCGCCGCGAGCCAAGCATCTACCGCGATGAGTGCAACGTCACGCGACTAGAGGAGAGCCAGAACCTCATCGCCCTCGCGAGCGACTGGCTTGAACTCGACTCGCCAGATGAGGGCATTCGCTTTGACTCTGAACTGGTGCGTGATCGTGGCCGGGGGCTTGGGCGTAGGCGAGGCCGGCCCCCGGATTTGCGTCAACAGACAGCTGGGCTTGGACCCCGGCATCGCTTCCCGTCAAGGCCTTGACCGCTAACACACAGGGGCTCCGCGCCGAGATGCAGCATGCACTCTACCTCTCCCTTCCAGTGCTCGTCGTACCAGCACCAAATCTTGCCAACCGCGCCTTCCTCCCGTCGTATGCGCGCGTCATCTCCAATTTGCTTCGAATGGGCGGCTCTTCTGCGTACACACAAGTGTCGATTCGCATCCCAGTCTCCGATCCACTCGAGATCATAGGACAGGGGCCAGCGCCAGTCAACGGACACAGCGAGAGACACCACCGCCGTTCGCTTTCCCTGTCATCTCGACCTTCAAGCATGCACCAACACAATTTGAGCATTGGGCAATTGAGCGCGATCACCGCCGCCGGAAACGCAGCCGCGAACGGCACAGCACCAGCGAGCCGCGTCGTCAGCCAGGCGAGCTCGAACATGCCGCAGCGAACTGTGACGCATAGCGCGATCCAGGGCGACCCCAGTTCGACTTGGGAAATGTGGGACTGCATTCGCTCGCTGTGCGGTTACCACCCCCGCTTGAGTGTTAGTGAGTAACGCTGTCAACAAACGGCAGTGGCGTCGACTTGCGCCACCAGTGACAACGGACGTAGCCACTGACACAAGCCCTCGACCTCAGCAACCCCCTGCCACCTAGCCAAGGCGCCATCGCACGCTGGGCGGCCGAGCCGGTCAAACAAATCTGGCTACCAGCAGGCAGCTTCATTCCCAACGCCAAGGGATACCCCGTGCTGAGCAAGGCCACGCAGGCGTTCATCCGCGGGTTGAGCAAGCACCAGCCAACGTTCATGCTGTCTGGCACCACCGAGGGAAGACACCCCAGCGGAGGGCCGAACGCGTATTTGCAATATCTGCGGCATATCACGTCGCTGGCTGGCCCATCTGCGTACATATCACCACAGGGCCCCAGCGAGATCGCAGGTGGCTACGGAGACTATCTTCAGGCGCCACTACAGCCGCTCGCCGACGACCTGGGAAGCGCAACCTACGATATTTTCGAAAGCGACCCAGTCAAATACCACCAGTACGAGGAGGCTGTGTACCAATGCGTGATGGACGAGGAGCGACAGCCGCCAGAAGGAGAACCGTTCGTCATCGTCGTTGCTGGTGCTGGCCGAGGACCGCTAGTTGCCGCCACCCTGCGTGCGTTAGATCGGGCACAGCGCGACGCAAGGTTGTATGCTGTGGAGAAGAACGCCGCGGCGTTAACCACGCTTCAAGAACGCAAGGCGCTCGAGTGGGGTGACTCCGTCGAGATCCTTTTCGGGGACATGCGCACGCTGCCTGTCCCGGAACTAGCCGACATTCTGGTTTCGGAGCTGCTTGGAAGCTTTGGAGACAATGAGCTGAGCCCGGAGTGCATTGACGGTGCGACACGCTTCTTGAAACGTGAGTGGCAGATCCTAAAATTAACTGACATCAGCCGGAGCCGCCTCCATTCCCACGTCCTATACCGCGCACCTTGCACCCATCGCCAGCTCTAAGCTGCACCATGACGTGTCGTCACGCAGCACCACTGCAGCCGAAATTCCTTACGTCGTCATGATGCAACAGGCCAACATCCTGTCTGGTGAGACGCCGGGTATGAGCGGGCGTTGCGGCGAGCGCATCCAGCACTGTTGGCAGTGGGAGCACCCGCGATGGGACTTGATGCTCGACGAGTCCGGGCTCCCCCTTACCAACAGCCACAACACGCGGTCGGCGACCTGTACGTTCCACATTCCGCATGCCTCCCCGTGCCACGGCTTCGCGGGATACTTTGAGGCGCACCTGTACGGCAACGTCGGGCTGTCAATTCACCCAGACACCATTGCACGCGTCTCCCCGGACCTGTTCAGCTGGTTCCCCATCTTCTTCCCCCTGAAGACGCCTCTCTATCTGCCTTCAGGCGCCGAGCTTGAGGTCAACATCTGGCGCCTGACGGACCAGCGCGCCAAAAAGGTGTGGTACGAATGGAGCGCTGAGGCGTACCTTCCCACCGTGCCACAATTCGGTGGCACGCCCAGCAGCAGTATGCACATGGGGATGAGATACGGTTCGGGACATACCAACGCCACCTCGCCGACAATGGACGCACCGCACTCGCCCCACGTCCCGTTGCAGTACGGACAGGAGCTTGGCCGTGTCAAGATTGGTCAGACTGAGCTGCACAACAGTGGCGGACAGCACTACTCGATCGGACTGTAGTCCGGCACATAGCCTCGCTTCCTTATAGACACGCGTTGGGCCTTACGCCGCACAGCGAGGAGATCTGTACAATATGATGCATGGCCTGGCCATAGCTACAGGGTTTGCAGGTGATTGTGTGGCAGAAGGCGGACCCAAGGTGATGAGACGAGACTACGGTCCCAAGTGTGCCGAAGGCGATGTGCCTGGCTGACGTACATCATGTCGGTGACTATAAGAAAGAGTTGGTGCGCACAATGATGGCAGAGAGCCTTTGAAGTATATTGTCATTAGACGCGGAAGATGAGAAACGAAGGGATATGGGCGGTGGCGCACCGATGGCGCACGGACGAGGCACGGGTTAGCCTTTCGTGTGCGTCCAACGCGCTTGGCCCCCCGCAGCAGGGTACGGAGTGGAATGCGCGCGTCTCAAGCGAGTGCCGAGCTGGGGCGGCGGAGTCGGCTGGAGCCGGGGACACCAAGCCGCATAGGCGGGCACAGCCTGCGCGATGGACTGCTGGAGTCGCTCGGCGAGTGAAGCCTGAGGTGGCGAGACATCGATCCGCGTTGGAGGTCTGAAAGCTGGGCTAGTTAGATCGTCCGACATAAGATGCTTACGGGCAGCAACGTTGGCTCCCACTGACTTGGCCAGGCGCAGCGGGGGTGAGTTGTTGGATTGGTCATGCCCAGGCTGGGAGCCTCTCGGGTGGTCTGTGCGAGGGAGTTCGCTCCGAATGGCCATGGTGGAGGGCCGGGGGAGGTCGTGCGTCCTGCTGGGCGTCGAGCGCGACTGGTGGGTTTCCAACGGCGTAGATGGTGGCGGCTTGGAAAAGAAGTTGAGTGGGTGGCCATGCGAGACGTGTGGCTGTGTCAACCCAAAAATTGTAGCCGAGTTCAGGCGTGACGGCTCGTTGTTGCACCTCTCGGTATCGACAGGCTGGTGCTCCTCCAGCTCAACATCCGGCGAGCCCTTAGACGACGGGGAGGGCCGGCGGTCGGCTACCTGCAAGAGGTGAGCTGTCATGCCCAGGCCTGAGAGCCTGTCGGAAATACTGATCTCGCGTAGAGGCTGGCGCTGCGTTGATCGAATGGGCGTCTGGTTGTCCACGCTGAGCTGCGCGATGTCGTCGATGACAGCCGTTGGTGGAGCCATCGGTTGCTGCATCTCATGAAGAGCCTCTGTGACAAGGAAGCTTTCGATCTCGTCACGCGATACCCGTAGCTTCTCTCCGTTGTCGAGGTTGATAATCATGGAGTCCTTGTTGGGAGCATAGATGACCTCCACGGTGTCCGTGTCGGAACGTTCTTCTGGCTCAAAATCTTGAATGGGTTCCTGATCACCGCTCCAGAACTCGAAAGCTGGCCGGTCGTACTGCGTCTGGGACACGAGCTGGATGTCTTGACAGCCGACAGGCGATCGGGTAGTAGCGAAAAGGCAGCGACCTGTCGAGTTTTGGGTGAAACTCGAATTCTGGCCGCATGGGACGTCGTCATCTACTGCGCTTGAATGCTGATTTGCTGTGATTTCTACGGACGCTCGGCTGGTGTATGTTTCTGAGAGAGGCGGTGCGTCTGATGCGAACGGCAGCGGCGGGTACGAGACGCCTCTGGAAGCAGGGTTCCCGCGACCGGTGGCGCGGCCTCGGAAGGACTGAAGGGCCAGTCGACCAGGCGTACTATTACGAAACCGCTCAGCCGGTGTGCGGCGGACTTGAGCCGGGATCATCATGGTCACAGGCGTGCTCGTGTCAATGCCCTCCTGGGAGCAGCCACTGGGTTGATGGGCAGGCAGGTCACGGATGCCACAGACGCGGCTCCCCTTTGGCGCACGGCGCTTCTTGAATGTTCGCGAGAACAAAGCAGCGCGGTGGCCGGCACGCACTAACTGGGAGGAGACGGGGAAGGGCCTGGCCGCATTTAACAGGTACCGCTCCGGCAGATTCTGCACTGGTGTGCGCTCTATAATTCTGCGCGGTCCTAGGACCTGGTGCCACGGCGAGAAGACCCGGGTACGACGGAGGCGGCGGGCATCTCTCGTGGGCCTCTTGTTATTTCTCGCACTCAGGTCAATGGTAGCCGAAGTGGCACTCACACTCCGAAGCGGATCTCTTGATTAGTCTGGGTGAAGTTGAGTCGGTGGGGCTGGATATTGGCCCCGGCAACGTTGTCACTCGCGGTGCGATTGGGTAGAGCGTAGGTGAATTTCGTAGGGAGAACTGTGAGTGGCTGAAGATGGCGGATGTTGGGAGGGACCGGCGTGCAGCTTCTAAGCGCCCGTTGATATTGAAGTAAATTAGTAGCATCTGGGCATTGGAGCTGGCTCGTCTGGTGCTGGGGACGTTGCTCTGGGTTGGCTCCCGCAGCTGTGGACATGTCCTGATCGTCGGGCTCCTTAATATTGGGGTCGCAAGGCGTGATCGTCGGTTTCCCAGCGGCCGCAAGGTGTTTGTCGTTGGCAGCTGGCTCTTGAGCAGCGAGACTCGCTAAGGCTGGTCTCGACATACTCCGGTCCCGAGTCCGGGGCTGAGGCTGGTCGACAGAGGGCGGCAGCAGAAAGTATGAGTTGTAAACAGTCTGGCTGACGCGGGGTTCGTGTGGGCTGGCTTTGGTGTATGTGTGGCGCACGCGGGTCGAGTATGTCTGATTGCGGCGGCGGGAAGTGGCCAACGAGGCGGGGTTATGAGAAGCGGGAGAAGTGAGAGCTTGAAGTTCGCCGAGGACTGTGCGCGCACTGTTAACGTGTGCAGCGTCGGGGCCTGATGTGCTGTACGTGTGGTTGGGAGGGGGAAGGCAATTAAGGCTTGAAAGCGGGGCGACGCTGCCGGAGGAAGGAAGGCTGGCGTGGTCATGGCCCTTTGGAGTGCTCGAATTCTGATCATTATTATCGGAGTCGACGATGTTTGCAAGACAGGTGAGTGGCTGCGGCGTGCTCGGAATAAGGGTTACAGCCTGTGCGGACTGAGACGGGAGGTCGTCGACGTTGCCTTGGTTGGAGATGGAGTTGGTCGAGGCTGAAGCGAGGTGGAGCGGTGAGAACTGAAGGGCCGGCACCTCTGCGAACACGCGGAGAGACTGGGGCGACAGACTGCTGCGCACTGACGGGCGGGGAGGGCGGGAGGACGTGTGCTGGGGGAGGGGAGGTGGCGATGAGGGTGAGACTGGTGAGCTCGGCCGGCCTGACGGTTGGTGCATCCTCCCCGGCGTCGCCAGCGGTAAGAGCGCACTGCTGCCTGGTTTCCCGCTCCAGCCCTCCCCACTCGCGCCGGTGCGCGCTCCGTTGTCCGCTTCGTCATCCGCTCTGTTGTCCACCCCGCCTGCTTCCTGCCACACCCCTCTGTCCCAGTACCCTTCCTCGGGACGGTCGAGTATCCTGCGCATTTCCGGCTCCGTCGTCTTGTTAGCTCCGGCGCGGGCTTTGCGCGTGACGGCTTTGCGGGTGGACTTGGCCCTGCGCTTCTTGGGCTGAAGTCAGCTGACGGTGCGGAGGAAGCAGACCATGCTGGTGGCGAGGTGGGGAGTGAGTAGGGTCAGTGGGCGATGAGCGATGAGTGGGGGATGAGTGGGGAAGGAGTGAGAGTGAGATTTCAGAGAGACGTAAAGAGAGTGATGGAGTGATGAGGTGATGGAGAATGATGATGGAAGTGGAATACACGACGTGAGATGAGAGATGAGAGATGAGAGATGAGAAGAGGAGGGTGATGGAGAGTGACGATGCCGGCCGCCGGAGGCCCGAGGAAGGTGGACTGTGCGATTGCGATGGCTACAGTGTACATGTATCCTGGGTGAGTGGACCACCTCCACCTCACTCTACTGTAAACCCATCATGCCATCAAGTGCACTCGCATGTCTGTTGCGATTCAGCCACGTCCACGCGCTAGGCCGCAGCACCGGCCCCTTCCACCCCGCAGCCGCCGTCGCGCTCAATCGCCTCCAACAACAGAGTTTATGGGGTGTTGTCTGGGCCGCCGGAAGCCACACCGACACCCACCCACATCCATATACTGTACACAGCCTGGAGCCGGTCGCAGGCACGCGTTTCAGGCGAGTTCCAGCTGTGCCTCGCCCAGAAAGCCAGCTCTGCGCAGCGACAGTCACCATGCCGTCACGTCACGCTGCCGTGTGTGTGCCGTAAGACCCGTAAGCGCGTTTCGGCGTTGCGTTGATCCGAGGAGAGAGGAAACGGGAGGGGTGAGGGTTGGGGGTCAGTGGAGCCCAGCATGCCGAGAGCCCAATGTGCCGAGACGGCGCAGAGTTTAACGGGCGATCGCGGATGGCGATGGGAGGATTGTGAGATTGGGAAAGTGGGAAAGTGGGAAAGTGGGAAAGTGGGAGGCGATTCCGAGCGGGTCGCTTCTGAGCAACAGGGCCGAGATCGCGGAGACGAGGTGGCGGAGGCGGAGGTGAATGTGACACAAGTGCCGAGATGGAATGAAGATCGGCAGATCGGCGGTGGAAAGTGGATCAGGCTGATGTCTCACAACGACGGGGCACGCGAGGGGGTGGCATAGAGCCTAGGCTGTAACATGGGACGCCTACGTAGTCGCTCGCCAAGGACGCGAGACGCGAGGACCGAGATGCGACGGGAGGCCATAGTTGAACTTGCTGGCCGTGAGGGATGGAGGGCGAGGGATAGTGATCAGCAGCAGGACGCGCCCTTGAGCTTGTTGAGCTTGCAGCAGCAGGAACGCAGGAACGGAACCAACATGAACATGTGCATGAAGTAAGAAGCAGAAGGGCCGAAGATGTTGGCTGACCTGGCGAAAATTGCTCGACGGAAGATGGGAGCGGAGGGCGAAGGCAGGCTGCAGGGTGCGAAAGGGCCGAGGCCGAGGCCGAGGGCGAGACCGAGACTGCGGCCGCGGCGGGCGATATCGCCGAGAGATGCAGAAGGGACGGCGAGGGTGGATTTGGGGCGAGCCAATGATGCCGACAGATGCAGAGAGGTCGGGCTGCGCGTCGATCGACATGAGGCCATGATGCCATCATGCCCTGTACTTCATCCTCTCGCCTCAACGTATCCGTCAAATTGTCGAATTGTCACAGCGCAATCTATCCTGCAGGATCACAGGAGCATGCGCATCTAATAAATCTCATCAAGTTCATTACTTTTGCTCCACTTCGTACTCCTTCCTAGCCTTGGCATCGTGACTAAGTCTCGCACCGTCCCCTAACCCCCTCGACGCAGCAAACACTAGTAGTACATGTCTCCAATATAACTATGACAAATATCGTATGTATTTACGCTCCTCCGTATATGTTCTTAAGCTACAATCGTGTGGCGCGGCGCAATCGCCCGGGCCGCGGCCTTGGCCATGTATGCGGCCGCGGTGTCGTCAACGGCACTGGCCCCCGCGTCTACGAGGAGCGACGAAGAATAGCTCGCGCGAGCAGTCACGTACGAGCTCTGCTGCTGCTGCTGGTGCTCGGCTGAAGTGGACGATGTCGGCGTCGCAATCGGCGTCACGGACGTGCCCGCGCTCGTCTTGCACGTCGACCAGCTCGGCGCCTTGCGCAGGCGGCGAGAGCTGCCCGACCCGCTTGAGCCAGACTCGTCGCTCGCGTCGTCGCGCTCACGGCAGTAGTCGTGCGCCATACCGTCCTGCGGGGTGCGCAGCTGCTCGATCTGGTCTGGGTCCGGCGAGCTCAGGTCGCCCGAGCTCGAGGGAGGCAGAGGGAAGTTGACAGTCTGGTTGATGGGCAATGAGAGGCTGTCGCTCGAGTTGGTCAGATTGTCAATGTTGACGGGGATCGAGTTGCGGCCGCCGCGCGCGTTCATGGGGATTCCATGCAGGACAGCGGGCGGCTCGGCGGTCGGCGGCGCAGCGCTGCGGGCCGTAAGAGACGTGAGCGTGGCAGAGAGGGCGCGCTCCCGCTGCGTGCCGGGGCTAGTGCGACCGTCGTCGTACGTCGAGCGGCGCTTGGGTGACACGGGCGACTCCTGGATGTCGTCGAGCGACATGCCATTGTTGGGTGTAGAGCTAATGTCGAGCGCGAGGCTGAGTGTCGATCCCCCAAACTTGTGCAGCATCGGCGTCGAGTATGATCCGGGGAAAGCCCAGTGCAGCGACGGTGGCTGGTCAACCGAGTCGGGCGGGCGCGGGAACACAGACCCCAAGGCAGGGCGCTGCTTGCTCTGCGACTTGAATCTCCGCAAGCTCACGCGGCTCTGGCGGCGCTCAGCCTTTAGGTCGGAAGCATCGTCCTCGTCGCCCAAGCGCACGGACGCACCGCCGGGCGTCCACGATGTGCGGCGTGACGCGTTCGGGTTTGGCGATGGGTTGGTCGACGAAGTGGCGCTCGCGCGCCCAAAGGTGTCCGCGTTGCTGCTTGGAGACAGGTTGATCATGCTCTCGACGACATGCTTGGAGACGCGGTAGTTGCGCTTGTCCACGCCGGCCGACAGCTTGGACGACGCCTTAGTGGCAAGCCCAAGACCCTGGCCGCCGTCCTCGCCGCCGCGGCCCGCGAGGCTCCAAAGCCGCGAGCGACGGTGCGGGGGAGGTGCGACGCCCTGGTGACCGACGGACCGTGGCGGCGGAAGGAGAGATGCGCGTGTGGGCGTAGTCGGGAGAGGCTGCTCGGAGAGACAGCTGCGGGGCGACTCTGGTGCGGTCGACGCCGAGACGACTGAAGCAGCCTTGCGGCTAACTGCAGAGTTGTGCTTGCGACCCCGGCTAAGAGCATTCTTGATCCGGCCGAGGAGCGACGAATTGGTCTTGGCCGACTCGTGCGCCGAGTGGGATGACTCGTTGAAGGAGAGCGTACGCTGGGTCTCCTGTGGTGGCGAGCCCTGCACAGTGTCGAGGTCGGGAGGCTGCGAGACGACTGGAGCGGGACGGGCGGCTGGCTGAGCGTCCAGGGGCTTTGGGTCGTCGTCGCCAAAAGTGGCGGTACGTTTTAGCGTAGGGCGGGTCATGTCGTCCTCCTCGTCCTCTTCTTCGACCTCGACGAGTGTGGTTGGTGACATGACCGGAGGCCGCCAGGACGGCATGCTGGAGCCCTTCAAGGGTCCAGCGGCGTCGACGACAGGGCGCGGGGGCGGAATGCCGGGGGAAAATGGGACGGCGTTGCCTGCGAGGTGACTCTCCGATCGGGCGTACGACATCCTGAGCAAAGGGTGCTCGAGGCTGGGTGAAGGGAAGAAGGACGGTTGAGACGTTGAAGCGGAAGGGATGGCGGGTTGCGAAGAGGCTGCAGACCGGTCCTTTTGGTGGGACAGTTCGAGCGGGTGTGGAGGCGCCTTGCTCCGGACCAGTCCGCCCATGCTGTGTCGTGCAAACGTCTTTGCTGGCGTGTTTGCCGCCGCCCGGTCTGGACCAAAGAGGCCCGAGCTCACTGCCGCCGATGGGGTAGTCGTCGGAGGGCTGGTCGAGGTCGCATGGTGGGTGGTGGTGGTGGTGGTGGTGGTGTTGGTGGCTGCGGTGGAAGCCATTGCCTGAACTGACCCACTCATGCTTGGCTTGCGCTTGTCGTGCCGACCCAAGTCTACCATTGAACCAAAATGAAGCCTGCTGCGGTTGACCCAGCTTGGCCGATTGTTTTTTGCGGCTGGGCCAGCATTACTGGCGCGAGTTTCAGCCCAAGCCGGAGCATGCGACAAGGGCGAAGCGAGTGCAGCGGACCCTTCTGGGTGCGAGGCAATGTTCTTCTGTGACGTGAAAAGGTTTCGCCTGGAGCGCCACCACTTGGCGTTAGGGTCGTTTGCAGCCGCAGCGGCCGTCGTGGCAGTCACTGGTGACGCTGGGGCCGTCGGGGATGGCGGCACATTCCACAGCGCGAGCGGGTCGTCCTCGACGGGAGGCGACTGGCCAGCCTTGTTGCGCCGGAACCAACGCTTTTTTCGTGCTGGCGACGCGCCGCTGGCCCAGCCGTCGCCGAGTGCAACCACGCCGCGCATGGAGCGGAGCGTCGCGTCGACAGGCGCGCGGTGGCCGGACTGGTATGTGTCCATTTCGTGCTGGTCTGCATCTTGGTCCTCTTCTTCCGAATCGCCCTCGTCGACAATGTCGCGGACTACGGGCCAGTCTGGTCGCCCCGTGCCGCCGACAAAAGTTGGGAGACCAAGGCCAACGGGATGAGGCCCCCCTCCGACAAGCACAGGCTTTGGCTGGGGGTTTTTTGCCATGAATGGCTCTGCGGGTGGTGGGCGCTCTGCGTCGACGAGGGGGAGGGAGGCGGTGGAGGAGGAAGGTGTTGCGTCGAGATGAACGTCTTCACGGTCACTGTCGTCTGCAGGCAGAGCGTCCATGGAGACTCTGCTGCGGGATGCAGCTCCTCCCATGGCGATGGTGCGGATGGACGTGGAACGGGTGTAGTCGAACTGTGCTGGGGGAGGGGCGAGGAGAGTGTGGTCGCAACCTCGTCCAAATGAAGTTGGGCGGAGAGGATTTGCGCTTGGTGGACGGAGGGAAGTGGAGGAGGAGGAGGAAGGGGCGTTGTCGTCGTCGAGACCAGACCAGATGGGCTGGTTATTGTCGCTGACCCCTGCGAGTGTTAGTGGTCTGCACGTCGTTTGATCGTCTCAATGAGGATATGTGTGTGTGGGTGTGCGTGAGGAGACAACAAGGTGTAGCGTTGATGATGCAACAATGCTGCATCAACAGCAATGGATGGCGAGTGAATCGAGTGTGGCGGGTAGGGGAGGAGGAGACACGAGGTTGGACACCACCACCGCTACTTACAGGAACCGCCTCGCGAATGCCCGGACGACCTGCCACTGTTGTTGTTGCCCATCGTCGGCGTGTTGTGTCCTGGCTCGGCGAGCACGGTCAGAGACATTTTGTCGGCGGAACGGGAACGAGGGGATCTGGATGAGGGAGGGAGGGAGGACGAGGGGGCGTGAGGGGATAATGACGGCCGTGCACCAGTTGACGGATTGGCCGAATATTGCAGAGCTCGATTGATGGAGGAATGGGGTGTGGGGGGGGGGGGGGGGGGGGGGGGGGGGGCGACGAGTGGTCCTCTGTCGGTGTCGCGAGGAGAGTTGTGGTCGTCGGCGGGAGAGACTTTGTTGAGGGCGAGTGTTTGTGTGGTGGTGTGGGTGTTGGGATGAGAGTGTGAGATGACAAGATGGAGAGAGGATGTGAGTCGAGAGGGAGGGAGGAGGGAGGAGAGAGGAGGAGGAGAGAGGAGTAGAGGAGATGGAAGAGATGAGAGTGAGAAGAGATCGAAGAGACGACGGAGAGGACCAAAGACGACGGAGACGAGGACGAGGACGAGCAGGACGACGAGGATGAGGAGATGTGATCGCCGCCGGGGAGTAATCTCTCCAGGCAGTCTGTGCCCCCTCCCTTCCCTCCCTGACACCTCCCTCCTCTCAGGGTCCTGCGTCCCTCGTCCAGGGTTCACCTGATGGGAACGGGCTCAGGCAGGGAGGGGAGGAATTCAGGGCTCCTAGTCAAACTCTGGTGGCAGCTGTCGAGGGCGCTTAAAGGGGGGGACCAAACTGGCGATCGAATCAACAGAGGGCCAGAGGGGCCATCCAAAGTGGCGCTCTCCCTTATTTGGAGGCGTTTCCAGGCGTTTGCAGGCGTTTGCTGACCATGCTGCTCCCTCCAGATCGAGCTCGTTTCTTGCTCATGTCTCACTCACACTTGCAGTAGTCGCTCCGACCACCTTCCCGAATCCCCGGGTCCTCGGGCCACTCAATTGCACGGGATGCATATCTGCTGCTCCTCCCAATTCACCACCCATTTGTCGATCCCTCTCTCCAATCTACCCAAGGTGTGGCGGCGGCCACAGAACACTTTCAACACGTCATGCCCCCCCCTCATCATCCCGCCCAAGCCGTGTCTCAGCTTTTTGTTCGTTCTTTTACTGCTTGCTACTAGTTGCCTAGTCTATCCCTCCCCTTGTCCCACGTCCCATATCCCATGTCTCACTTCGGTACACCGACGCGTACAGTACGGCACATAAGCGGCTCGCGTTCACAAAAATGAGGTAATGAAGGGGAGTGCGAAGGGGGTTAGTGCCAAGTCAGTGCAGGTTTCTGTAAATTTCCGCAATCCGCAAGCGAGTTAGGCTGTCCCTTGGGCGGCTGGGGGGGCGTGCATGGGCATGGGCATGGCCATGGGCATGGTAGCAAGCGTGTGGGTGGTGGCCGGCTGGCGTCGATTTGGGTGTTTGGGCGTTTGGGCGTTTACCAGTTGATGCATACACCGCACGACGCAGCGCGGCGCGGCGCAGGTGCTGCGGAACACGTTGACGCGTCAAGCACGATGGCATGGCGGTCTGCGGCCTGCCGGCCTGGCGGCAGTGGCGTGCCAGCGTGATGGGCGTGATGGCGCGCGGCGCATCACGCTAATAATCTCATAATCCATGCCACGCGTAGCGCATGCCACGAGCACGTCCCCCGCCACATCGAGCAGCACTGCACCTTGCCGGGCAGTGGACAGTGCCCGTCATGGCACAGCGTGCGCGCGCCGTCTCACGCGCCGTCTCACGCAGTCCGTCAGTCGGCACGCGCGCGTGCCGTGGCGCCTGGCCGGCGGTGCCCCAGTCAGCAGTCGAGCACCTGTGCAGTACGCATGTGAGCATCAAACATGCATAGAGTTGGGACCTCGCTGCGTCTGTGTTGATCTGCGGGCCTGTCTTGGCATCTCGGCTTGAGCCTTGAGCTTGTGCCCATGGCCCATGGCCCATAGCCCGTGGCCCGTGGCCCGTGGCCCAACCGGCTGGGAATGCACCGACGCCCGACCGACGCAGGACGCGTCTGGCCTGCATCTATACGTACGAGTATCGCACACCCGCGCCCTGGACCCTTCTGCTCTCCACCCTGCATACCTATACCCCGCGGTACGGCACCGTCCCGCGCCACAAGGGTCGCGGCAGCCACCAGAGCCCGGGCGTGCCGCGGATGTGCGTTCTAGAACCCGCCCAGGCCGCCCAATTACTGTCTCATCTTTTTCCTGCTCCCCCTCTGGCCCTCTAGCCCGCTGGCTGGCGCTCTCTCTCTGGCCCTCTGACTCAACCTGGGCTTCTCAGAAGAAACAGTAGCTCAGTAGCTCGCCCGTCCGCCCGTTGCACCCGTGCGATCCGATTCGAATCATCGGGACCGAATTGACGGAGCGAAAATTACTTTCGCGCCCACCTCGTCTCCCCGCCCCCGCGCGAAATCACATTATCGAAGACAGACAGCAGACAGCAGAGAGGCGAGCGGGGCGTGCCTCGGACGAGGAACCTCGTTCCTCAAGGATCAAGGATTAAGCAGATGGTTGGGTTGGCAGGAACGGCGTCGTCGCCGCTTCGCACGCTCGGCGGTCCAGCGCTCATGCTTCTGGGCCTCGTCCTCCGATCCTCAGGACAGCATCAACCTTGACTTTAGTTTGCCGGCTTGGGATGCCACCATGCCACCATGCCACGGGTGCTGTAATGTGCTGCCGAGTCCGTTGGGATTCAGACGCAGGTGCCTGCTTCAGACATGAGACACCGCCGAGGCTGTGGGCGATATACAGCACACCAGTTTAGCGCACGTGCAGTGCCGGTCGCGCCGGTCGGCCCGAGATGTGCGGGGCACAGATGTGACGGGCGCAGCACAATAGAAGCGGAGCATGGCCGTGATCAAGAACAAGCGCATTCCCACACCTTCAGACATGTGAACAATCTGACGTGGCAGGACAATGGTCCTCTGCACTCACATTACGGACGCCTTCCGTACTGCTGTGCCGTGAACCGAATCGCGCCGTCCAGGTCGTCTCCGCCATCGCGGCCCAGCCAGCAGCCAGCACACCCACCCGCGGCCAATGGCCGCGTCTCTCCGCACGTCTTCTGTTCTCCGCATGCCGTGTTCCGTTTCATGGCTGTTCCAGTTCCAGCGATTTCGTGATCCATCTGATCGCGATCCGTGTCTGGCCCTCACGTTTCACCACCATTGCCCATTGCCCACTGCCCACTGCCCACTGTCCACCGCCTTCTTCTCGGCGCGTGGCGTGTGGCTGGTGTTGATCTGCACAGCTTCCGCATAGATCTCCCGACGATCTCGTCCGAGCATCGCACAGACCGCCGCCACTCTCTGCACATCCGCTTCAACCGCGGCGGGCACCAGTCACCGACACCGACACCCTGCACATCCCCCGGGCCTGCTCCGCCGCCACGCAGCCAGGAGTCGACTGCCAGCAGCCAGCAGCCGACAAGCCGACAGCTATCCTCAGTACAAGCCCTGACATCACGCCGTCACGCCGCGAGTTCTGGGCGGAGACAGCACAATGCCTCCGATTCCAGATGCGTCCCGCCCGAGGCAGCCAGGCAGCTGATGGCGGACGGCGTACGGCGAATGGCATGGGGCATGGGGCATGCACAAAGAGGCATACAGGAAGCTCGTTACTGCTTCCACTGTGACCGGTCACGTCGGGTGAAACGCGGCTACTGGCCGCAATAAGTAATAGGACGCACTGCTCTGTTCAGTCAGTCACTTCGAGTGCTTCCATGCCCATGCAGTGCCGCCACCAACGTCCTGCACGGTAAATTGCCCCACTCGCCTTCGTCGCGTCACGGCTGTCCAAATGTCCAACAAGTGATCGTACTCCCCCGCATGGCCGCCACTGTATTACATACGTCCCCGGCAGTCGGTTCATGCTGTGACCTGAGCCCAATCCCTACCCGAACTTAATCCATGACATGCGACCCCTGCTCCCGAAAACCACATACCTCCGACATGGCTTGCGTACATATCATCACACGCTACGACGCCATCTCGCAACGCCGCCCCAAATTGCTCATGCGCGCCTCATAACCTGAGATCGGCTCGCATTAAAAACGCGGGCCGGTGGATGTCCCCGGCTTCGCCAATGCCACCGTCCCAGCTGCTGCTACTCCAACACGTCGTATCGAACCACTCCCATTGCTGAACACGTACGCTTGCAGGTTGGAGAGTGTACTTCCGCCGACCCCGACCCCCCGCCCCAGTCTTCTTGCAGTGTTGGGCAACGACTGCGGCCTGCGCAAGTTGTTAGCGCCTTGCACTCGTACGCCTCGGTCAGCTACCGCGGTGCCGAAACAACCGATCGTAGCCGCATGGCAGAGATGTTTCCGCCACTTCCGCAATCCGCATCCCCCACTCACCGCCTGGCGGGAGCCGGAACATTCGGCGCTTCCTGAGCTCTGTGATCTTGCACGAAATTTGTGGTAACTCCAAGAATCTTGGTTCCATACAACTAATGTTAGCGAGAATGTTTCCGTCGCGTGGTGGGAGTGCGACGTGCATCTCCGCAGTCCACGTACGTCTGCATCCTTCCGCGACAAGCCCTCAACCTCGTACAGGGCTGGCATGTCTACTTGTTAGCGCAAGCTCAACGGGTAGGCCTTACTAGGCGGCATTATGGCGGCAATAGTTTGCAGAGTTTCGTCAGGCAGTAGCAGGGATTTCAGTGGGTTAGCACTAGGTGACAGCCCAGGTCACTTACCTTATTGCGAAGCTTGCGCAAGCCATCCAAGCACTGTTCCGATGCACTCTGTGCATTGACCGCTGAGCGCCGAGGCCGCTTTGGAGGACTGCTTATGTCCGCGACCGATTCATCATCTCTGTCGGTTGCCATTATCGGGTCCCAGTCCGGGTCTTCGTCGCTGCCATAGAAGCCCTGCCCTTCTTCCAGCACCTCCTGGCGGGACCGCTTCCGCGATAAAGCCGTCGTCGTCTTGGCCGCGGCTTTCTTTCTCTGCGCCAGCGGAACGATTGGTCCAGCTCCGTCCCCCGATGCTCGGCCGGCGCTGGATTTGGAAGCTTTAGTCTTCCTTGGAGACGCCTCACGAAAGTCCATCACGAGCTTCTTGCGCCCGTTCAGATAGGCATTAGCCTCCAAACCCAACTGCGAGTCGTCAGCTCTGGGGCATGCCCATACCGTGAAATCTTAAGCAACAGCCATTCACCCACCTTGAGGTAAGAGTTATTCCACCCTGCTCCATTCGTGGTGTGGAACTCGCCTAGCGCTTGGTTAATCAGGAGATTTTGGAGCAAGCGCTCAGCCTCTGAACGATCCCAGTCCTTGCCACAGCCAAAGTGAGGGTTCTGTCCGAAGCCTTTCTCCGAGTTGGCATTTGTTCCACGGAAGCAGTCGACGGCGTTGATGAGGGTAATCCTGTCCCTCGGCCCGAATGCCTTCACCATGTTGATGGCCATTTTGGCTGCGTCCGAGACGTCCCTAACCTGAATCTTGTTCTGGTCGAGATTGGCGCACACATCGCAGGCTTGCCCGCAATCTTCTCTCTTGAAGTCTTCGTTAAAGAACGCCAGGATCTGGCTGCGACGGCAATCGGTCTTGTTGGTACAGAACCGAAGGACCTCGCGCATGGCGTTCCTCTGCCGCTCCTTCTGGTTGCGGTCGAGGTTCGCATCGCGATCAATGAGCTGCATGACGATCTTTGAGTCGGCGTAACTGTAAACTGGCCGAGTCAGTGGCGGTGGCATGGGGTAACTCACAGAGGAGGCACGTTGATGCATGGCCATCACGTCCGGCGCGGCCTGTTTCCTGGTAGTAACCTTCCAGCGAGCGGGGAAGGGAGTGGTGAACGACATCTGATCCAGTAAGCCTTTCCGATTCATTGGGTACTCACATCGCACATCCGGCTTGTCGATGCCCATACCGAACGCGATCTGAACATCAGCTAACATTCTCCAGCCTTCCACACACCGTTGCAACAATAACTGAAAACTTGTGGTCCTGCCAACCCTCTTGCACCTTACGGCGATCACCTTTGGACATGCCAGCGTGATAGTGCCATGCCTGGATGTTGTGCTTGTCGCGCAACTCCTTGGCCAAGACTTCGCACTTCTCGCGCGACGAGCAGTAGATGATCCCACTTGCACCAGGGGGCTGCACACCGATGAAGTCGGCAATGTCGGTCATGACCTTCTTCAGCTTTGGCCGCACTTCGTAGTAGAGATTGGGTCGATTAAACGACTGCTGAATCATTACGCAGCCTTCAATGCCGAGGACCTTCTTGATGTCCGCCTGCACTTTCTCAGGCGCGGTGGCTGTCAGAGCCATGATTGGGATGCTGGGGTACTCTTTGCGCAGAAGTTCCAGCTTGATATCTAGATGTTAGCTATACAGGGAAGGTAAGGCTCACAATCGTCGCGGAACTGAGGTTAGCAGGTCTACTTCCAGATCGACTCACATCGTGACCCCACGCGCTGACACAGTGCGCCTCATCGACGACAAAGCGGGCAAGCCGGTTACGGCGAATCAAATCGCGAATGATCCCTTTGATGCGGCCTCCCATGCTCATCATTTCTGGCGTGACGTAGACAACCTTGGTATACGGCTCCGCTCGAGAGAGTTCGGCGTGCGCCAAGTTCTTGTCCGCCGCCGTCAGATCGCCCGTGTACGCAATGGCGGGCACGTTGCGTTTTATAAGGTGACGGGTCTGGTCGTTGATGAGTGAGATGAGAGGAGAGATTACAAATGTCACCCCCCTCGTCTTGCCAGACGTGCATATCGCTGGGAGCTGGTCTTCCGCGTCAGTGAGTCCCTCCAAGTCATCTCACAAGTCAAACTTTTGCCACCGCCAGTCGGCATGAGGACGAACACTGGTAGTCAGAGAGCGTGACACTCGAGCCCATGAACAAACATACCGTCCTTGCCTTCCATGGTCGCGTTGATGGCGTCTTCTTGGTTGGTGCGAAAGTCTGTAATCTTGAAAACTTGTCGCAGTTTATTTCGGATCTCCTTGGTCCAGCCGTACTGCACTCGCTGTTTGACGGCGGACGGGGGAGCAGGTTTCGGCCACGGCGCCTGCGATGGCATCGGGCCCTTGGGAGAGACGACGACTGCACTCTGCACAGATCGGGTTGCTGAAGCCTCGGATCTAATGGGGGGCTCTGGGGACCTCGGTGGAGAGGAGTTGAGCATGCTGACGTCGATATCTGCAAATTCGGCGAGTGCAGCCGTACGGTCGATCGCGGCACCCAACGGCGCCTTGCGCCGAGGCGCCGAGCGTGACGGAGGTGTCCGAGGCACGTCTTCGGACTCCACTTCCCACTCAAGAGTCTCTCTCGGCTCAATGTCTCTCCCTTCGGTGTCCTCCATGTCCTCGACATCTGGAGTTGGAGGCGGACTGCTGTCTGGCACTAGGGTGCGCGGGCGAGAAGGCCCAGCCTCTGGCTGAATATGGGGCCGCAAAGGCTGCGGACGGGCGGCGTGGTGAGATGCCAAAACAGCAGGACTGCGGGGTTGATGTGTGGGCGTGTCCATGTGTGACCGACTCGTGTTGCTGCTGGACGGAGCTTGTGACTCGCGCGCTGCGATAGCACTCTTTACCTCCGCAATGCGCGAGGTTAACAGGTTACTGCGCATTAGTGGGATAGTCCGTCAAGACTACTTACATCTGCGCTTTGAGAAGATCAGCGTCTTCCCCAAAGAGCTCGGGATCACTGTCGCCTTCTAGGATTCGCTCGCGCTTCTCCATGAGCGCCATCTTGGTCTCCATCTGCTTGACAAGCATGGCCTTCACGGTCTCGATAGGAAGCGCGTCCAGCTTGGGGCTATACTTGCCCGATGCGGGGGAAGGTGCGCTGCTCTGAGACGTGCTGGCGGCCAATCTAGAGGGCGCCGAGGCGGCGGCGAAGGGGGAAGGTTGCCGCGACGTAGGTCTCACGGGGGCGGACAGCGGAGGGATCTTGACGGCTGTGGTTAGCACAGCCCGTGCAGCCGACGCACCCTCACCCATCCTCATGCCCGACATGTCTGGAGGCCGTGCGAGCTTGAAAGCGGGCTGGTGTCAGCTAGTGTCCGATGATGAAGCGCCTACCTTGGTGCTTCCGGCGACAACTGGGGAGGGCGCATACGCGGACATCCTCTTACCCAAGCTGTCGAGGTTGTGCTTTGGGGCGAGTGGCGCCATTGTCTGTCTCGGAAGAGATGAGAAGGGGCGGATTGATGGCCGTTGTCGCCGCTAGACGTCCATTAGGCCACGGGATAATGTTGAATTGTAAAGTCAAGGGAGACTAAGCGGCCGACGCGTTGGGTGGCAAGTCGAGGTTACTGGACTCGGAACCAAACATCGCGCAGGGTGAGCGCCAGGGTGGCGGCGTTATGCGGTGTGGCGGCGGCTCATCACGGTTGTCACCGAGATGCAAAGACGCCGTATGCCGAGTGATGCATCACACTCCGCCTCATGACATTCTCGCGCCGGGCACTGCGCGTCGCCGCGCGCGCACGCATACCAGCGCCAACAATAGCACCCGCTGCGCGGGCTGCGATCGCGGTGCGCGCGTACGCGTCCGCGCCGAAGCCTCCGACGCCAAAGGGCAAGGACAAGAAGGACACACCCGTGTACAACTTCAACACTTCGTTGACATTCGATGCGGTGGCTGACCCCGAGGTGCGCCGGGTGCGGACGAGCTGATTCCAGGTGGCAAAGTACCGCAAAGTGACGGCGGCGGACTTGGCAAACTACCGCGAGCCACCGACACGCGTCAAGATGCTCGTGCGCGACTTTATCGACGACAGCCTGTACAACGTGCGTAGCTGCTCATGTTATCCGTTGCTTGCTCTTCACTGACGCCAGCCACACTACGGATACTTCAGCAAAAACGTTTCGATCTTCACACCGCCTGATGAGAAGGGGTACGACTTCCGCTCGTTCCGCGACCAGAACGAGTTCCAAGAGCGCGTGGCGGAGCGGTACGAGAGCGAGTACGGGGCAGTGGGGTCTGGGCTGGGGCGGCAGGTGTGGCACACGCCGACCGAGCTCTTCAAGCCACACTATGCGCGCGCGCTCACCGCCGCCATGGTCGGGCAGTACAAGCTCAACCACTACCCGCAAGACTTTGTGATCTACGAGGTCGGCGCGGGCAACGGCACCTTCATGGTTGACGCGCTCACATACCTGAAAGAGGAGTACCCGGAGATCCTGGCGCGGACAAAGTACCGCATCATCGAGATCAGCGGGGCGCTCGCCAAGATCCAAAAGGCGCGGGCGGCGGCCGCGGGCTTCGACAACGTCGAGGTCGTCAACGAAGACATCTTCAAGTGGAGCGGAGGAAGCTCGGAGCCGTGCTATGTCGTTGCGTGCGAGGTCTTTGACAACTTTTCCCACGACATGATCCGGTACGACTTGGCCACGCTCGAACCCATGCAGGCGAGCGTGGCGATCGACGCCAGCGGCGACTTCTCCGTCTACTACGAGCCGCTGCACGACCCCCTCTTGCGCCGCGTGCTCGCGTACCGCCGCCTCCTCCCGCCGTCGTCCTCAACCCAGCCGCCCCTCTCCCGCCCCCTCCTCGCCTCCTCTACCCTCCGCAAGGTGTACTCGCAGATCCCGTTCGCACCCAACCTCTCCCCTCCAGAGTTCGTGCCCACCAAGGCCGTCGCGTTCCTCGAGCGCCTCCGCGACCAGCTGCCAAACCACCGCCTGCTCGTCGCCGACTTTGACACGCTCCCCGACGCCGTGCCCGGGCGAAATGGACCCGTTGTGCAGACGCGATACGGAGGCACCATGGTGCCGTGCGAGACGTTTCTGGTCAAGCAAGGATACTTTGACATCTTCTTCCCAACTGACTTTGAGCTGCTGCGCGACACTTACAGCCTTATCATGAACTCGCCGTCGCGCCGTGCCAGTGATGAGGGCAAGCGCGGTCGGTTGTCCAACGACTTCTTCACGGGCGTTCGCGGATTCCGGCGCCGCGCGATCAACGTGTATTCGCAAGCCGAGTTTGTGATGAAGTACGGAGGAAGGGAGGCGATCAAGGCGACGACGACGCGCGACGGCATGAGCGTCATGCTCAACATGTACCACAACACCAAGGTCCTCTTTTAGCAACGACATAGACAGCATAGCCACCATGCATGGGCCCAAAACATTCATCTTTATTGTTAAGGCGGTATCTGAACGTGATTGGAGTGGGAATGAGGCGGCGTACAACCAAACGCCGTCAACGAGTGTGGGGCGGGGAATAGCTACAACTGTGAGTATGGACAGGAGATCTGGTACAACTAGATGCGCGCGGGTGTTCAGACGCGGCCGCCGCGCCGACGGACTCCGAGCACCACACCCTGACGTGCAGTGGTATGTGACTGCTCGTAGGGGAGGTACTCGCCGTCGTCTATCTCGATCACGTCGACGATGGGGACGAAGCGGCGCTCGTAGCTGCCCGACGCCGGGCGTGAACGAGACGTCTCAAAGCTGCCCGAAGCGGGTCGAGAGCGGGTTGTTTCAAAGCTCGTAGAGACCGGGCGCGAGCGCTGCTGGGTGGGCGCGTGGGTCGGAGTCTGAGGTGGGAGAGAGTGGCGACGCGACTGAGGCGAATCCTCGTCGGTAGTGGAGCGGCGCTTTGATCTGGAACGCGGCGACTTGCGGCGACGAGAGCGCGGCTTCAAGAGGAGGTTAAGGAGGACGCGGCCGACCCATCCAAACGCAATGCCGAGGAAGGCGCCAGCGCCCACAACGCCCCCAACGAAGACGTAGACGGGATAGAGAGCGTAGAGGAAGTTTCTGACGACGATGAGCGGTGCAAGCACGAACGTCCGCGCGAGCAGGCGGAACGTCGACGTGATGGGGTAGAGAATAGTGGCGACTATACTGACGAGCAGGTTGAGGGCGTTGAGGAGGAAAGGGAGGGGAATGGCGATCAGCGTGATGGCGATATAGACGGGATAGATCAGAGACGCGAGGAGCCAGCGCCAAGTGGACGGCGCCTCGGCCGGCGGCATGGGCGAGGGCAGCTGCTGTAGCGCGTACGGCAGCTGATACTGGGGCGCCGGGGCGGCTGCGGGCGCGTTGCGCTCGTACGACGGCTGGCTGAAGAGGGCCGAGCCGGAGGGGAGGTGCTCGAGGATTTCGCCGTCGTCGGAGCGCGTGAGGATCTGCCACACGACGTAGAAGAAGACGACGTAGACTGGGGTTAGACGCGTGTTGGTGGGTACAGGCGAGGTGTCGTGCGGAGGGGTGGAGCGGAGTGCGGGGTTGGGGTGGAGGTGGTACTCACGGACAACGGCGACGGGGCTCATGGGCTCGTCTTTGCGCACGACGGGCGGCGGCACGATGTCCTCCTCCTCGTCAAAGTCGCTCTCGATGTATGCGTCGCCCATGCCCATGAAGTCGCGTGAGCGTCTATACGAGCTGGCTGTGGAGCGGCGGTGGACGCGTGCACGGTCGCGTGGCATGAAGTGGGCGGTCCGCGACCCGCCCGCGGTGTATGTTGTCACTGGATGTCAGCGCGTCGATGACCGGGCGGCCGGGGGTGGGAGACTCACTGCTAGTTCAGTAGAGGTGTTGTGGAGAAAAAAAGTGTGGTGTGAAGCGATGTGATGGGCGAAGGGCAGGGTGACGCGAAATAGTGACGGGTGCGGGGTGGGGCACGCGTCACGGTCAAGTGTTGCGGGGGGGGG